GTTTGAGCGTTCGAGGTCTTGTAATGTGTATCGTATCCAGGTATGCTACGAAGTACATCTGTATTCTGATGAGCATCAGGAATTCATAGATATCCAGTAAACTTACATTATACTTTTGCGACAAGGCCACCAAGTTCATTCTCCAAGTTGCTGGCCGAGGCATACCTTGTAAAGAAGTCGTCTTAGCATCGCTCGGGAGTTTGTGGATAGAGGTCTGAATATCATCAAGGGCCTTGCTATCAAGACCACTTGCAGAGAACTATAACAGGTAAGTATGATATAAAGCAGCTATTTGACTGACCCGGAAAAACGTGACAAAAGTAGCATCTTTCCCATCGAAATGTAGTTTTCATTAATCGATTCACTACACTGAAAGGACCATACGACTCAGCTTGAGCTTCAGCTTCCATGGATTAATTATGATGATATATGTAAGTCATCACAGCAGCAAAAACGCTTCATGAAGTCAAAAAGTCTCGCATTATCGCGCGGCAATTCGGAGACACATTGATGGGACTGATCACGTACTCTTTCTTTTGGTGTTTGAACATCATAACTTGTAATAACAAGAGAACTTGTCAATTCGTGTTCCTCCATCATTCCCAGATTATTTTTTTCAACAAAGTCATTGATTTTGTTGTAGTATTAGTAGCAGCATTGATAACTATAAGATGCAGATGGTTGATGATTGATGATGATCAAATCTTTGTGATGTAATAATGATGAGAAATGTGGTTTGATTAGTTGATACGAGAAAAGCTTAAGCACGGATCATAAGGCTAAACTTTGGTATGCAAGGCTATTATGCAAGGCTACTTCCAAGAATGAGGGGCAGCTCCTAAGCCACTCATATCACACCTCTCTCTGACTGGGCACCGGGGCATAGGTACGTACCTACCTAGCTACCTAGTAGGTATTCAAGACCTCCAGCTTTTTGTTTAATGTCACATCAACCTTCTCTATTACCAAGTTAGGAGAATACAATTGGAATCATTAATTACTTTCATTCATTTTTCGTATCGTTTTGTTCTGTTCTCCATCCCAATGTCATGCCCAGCCCAATCCCATGCAATCCACGCCCCAAACTATATTACAAGCCAGCCAGCATAACTCATAAATCATGCTTCACCTATTTATCCCAATGCAAATTGCCCCTTTATTTCTTGACATCCTTCTCAACCTTTCCCTTCAACTTCTCCGCCTCCGCAACCTTCTTCTCAACAACCTTACTGATATCGTCATAAGCACTCTTTACCAAGCCCTCCAACTCATCTCCATGATCCTTTGCTACATCTTGCAGATGCTGTAATTTCTCCCACAACTTTTCTGATCCGGGGATTCCTGCCATCTTAGCAGCTTGTTGAGCATACTGTTGAACATTTTGTCCCAATCCACTGTTCTTTGCCTTCTCTCCTGCATCCTTGACATATTTCTGAAGATCATCTGTGTTTCCAGACTCAATAGCCCTCTTGACTTGATCGAAGATTTCCTTGACGTTACCGGACTTCAAGGCATCGGCGTTCTTCTCGACGATCTCCTTAACCTTAGGGTTCTTCTCCAAATATGGTTTCCACTCCTCCATTCCCTTGTTCCAAGCTTGTTCTCCAAGCTTCTGAACCTTCTCACTCTTCTCCTGGATCAATTTGCGAACCTTCTCGATCGACCCGGCACCCAATCCTCCGGAGAAAATCTCAGAAACCTTCTTGTAAGTGTCATCCAATTCTTTCTTGGCATCCGGTCCATAATTCTCGGCCATACTCTTCAACTGATCCAAATTACCCCCTACTTGTTTCTTAATTTGTGGGTGATTGTCCATAATGTCTCCTAGAGAGTCCTTCCCTAACTCAGCAATCTCGCCCAATGCCTTTGTCAATACATTATAACTCTGAACCGCAGTTTGCATATCAAGTCCTCCTTTTTGGCTGATATTCTTTAATTCAGAATAGGTTTTATTAACAATCTCATCGACCTCCTTGCCATGTTTTTCTTGTACTTTCTCAATATCGTTGAATGCACTATCAAGGAATGATTGTGCACCAGGGATAAAGGCGGCATAAGAAGAAGTGGCATTGCGAAGCCATTTGATAGCTTGATTTGGTTCGGGTGCTTTTTCAGATAGTGCTGAGGTAGCCTTTTGGAATTGAGATTTCGTGGAAGAGTAAGCGTTGACGACGGTTTTGGCACCGGAAAATTGGTAGTATGTGTAGCATCCCTAGGGTATGGAGTTAGTATGGTGTTCGAAGGTGGATCGATACTTGTAGCAAAGAGGAATGAAATACTTACAACCAAAACCACGGCACCACCAGCAATACCCGCTGCAAAGCCCGAAGCACCACCTGCCTTTGCACCTTCAGCTTGTGTCGTCGAAACAAATCTAGTTTGTCTAGCTTGTTGTCGAATGGGTGCACGAATTGTGCGAGCCGCAGCTCTTGATGCTGTTCTTGAGGCGAGCATTATGTATGTATTGTGCGTTGTGTCGTGTGTTGTAGTTTGGGTATCTTGTTAGGAAGAATGATACGTGTCTGATGTGTAAAAAGGGAGGAAACAACGACGTAGTAATTCAATTGATATGTAAAGTAAGGGTATTAAACTTTTCAAAGGGATGTATTTGTATATGGAGAGAAGAAGAAGAACTTGACAGCTTCAATTCTTATATATTTATCTACTAGGGAATTATTTTGGATAATTCTGGATCGTCTAGCTCGACGTCAATACTTGGTACAGGAAAACTTGGTAGGATGCTATTCTTCAATGATTTTCCATCGAATTCCACCTTTTGCGTGCATCAATCGTCACAAAGCGTTATGAGATTATGAGAGGAATGACGACACTGCCCAGACTGCCCTGCAAATCCCCCGCCTAACAAACTCCGGCGTCATATGTGGCGGTGCGATCAATGGCTGGTGTCTTCCAAGGTACAGCCAGTTATGACAAAGAGAAACACGAAATCATGAAAATGTCGGGCTAGAACCTCCGGGAACAAATGCATAATAGCAGAATAAATGTTGTGCAAAAAATGTATGTGAATGAGTCAAAAATGCGAAGGGGTAAGTAAATAATGTGATTATTGTTGTTGCCAGTATTGCTGTTGCTGCCAATTTTGCAGAACAATTGAGTTTTCATAATCATATCTTGTTGCACCCTCTGTCTAACTTATCAGGATGTGAATTTGGCCAAACATTGAAATTGAGGCTGAAAAAATGTTTTTTTTGTTATTTTGATCTGCACCAATGGTCTATAACAATGGTTGAGTTGCGTTTCTAATCGCGATTTTTAACTCCCATACAAATTCAAAGGTCGAACATATCCTCCTCTTTCCCTATATACTATCCATCTTTTTTCCCCCAATTCATAAAGCCATTCTTTCATTGAACTCATGCCATATCATATTTCGTGTCATCCCATTGTATCATGTAAGTCGTAAAACCCAAAACCACCGCCCTCCCATCCGTATCCATATCCGTATCCGTGTATAATCATCATCCGCGAAACCGTCTATCGTAGGTACCTCGTCGTGGAAATCCGTAAATCCCTCTAGTTCTTGGAATATCTGACCACAGTCCAAGTAGCGATAGCCGCACTAGCTAACATCATAGCACCTCTTCCCAAATTCAACATTGCCCAACGATCAACCAGCTCGTGAGCAGTTCGAACATCCTCATCTTCATCAGATGCCTCCTTTCTCCTGCTTGAAGAACTCTTCTTGTAACTTCTATCACTTCTCTCGCGGTCCTTGGAAGATTTTTTGTGCTTGCGGCCAGACCCAGATGAAAGATCATCCCAATCTCCTCCAGATTGATTGGCATAGCCTACTTGTGCTTCATCCACCTTTCCTAACAACTTTGAATTTGTATACAACATGAACAAAACTGTATAAGGGATCATTCCAAAAGCCAACGCGCCGGCAGCACCAAACAACTTCATCTTAAGTTTATCGGTCTGTTTGTATGCGAGGAAGAGGAACGATCCCGTTGGAATCAACGAAGCGATTGGGAAAAACGCCTTTCCTTGTTGGAACATGTTGTTCCATTGTTTGAGTAAAAGGTGCGGTGGAGATTCGAGTATTCTCGGAACGGCAATGAAGGAAATACTGAGGTTGGCACCGGCCAGAGCACCTGCAGCAGTGATCCCAACACACTGGGCCACACGAATAGGCAACTGAATATCAGTCATTTTTGGGAAAGACGCAAAGGTCGAAGGAGAGGAAGATTTGGACATGAAAGGCATGATGAATAGATAGATATCGAAATGAGGGGTAACAACGAATACACAAATATGAAGGATAGATATGTACTGCAGATTAGATGAAAAGGCGGGAGGAGATATAAATGGTTATGTTTGATGTGGATGTGATGGAACGAGAGAGATCAAATGGTTCGATAGGATTCGATGCAAGTTTAGAGTCAAATGCAAACTGCATAACACACAACTTGCTGGCGGTGAAGGGTCGTATCTTGAGCTTGGGCCAGCTAAGTACCTAGTAACCAACCACTTTCATATGGATTACAATGCCTTATTTTGATCATTCGATGAGATTTGCGAGACTTGGTGGAGTAAACACATTGATAAGATCTTGATGTGTAAAAAGACCCCTCCACCGCGTCTTCCGATGATGAAACAATGAAGATTTCTTCTTTAAGTTGGATATCAATCGAATGGATCTTGTCTTTACTATATTGGCACAATACGTGATCTAAATTCTTCACCAAAGAGTTCGTTCCGTACCTCACTTCAGCTCCCGAGGCAACTGTCCTCGCATCGGAGGTAAGATCTGGAGTACCTTACATACTGTACTTACATAAGCTCAACAGATATTAAACCCCTCTTTTCGTGTTGGGTACGAGGTAAAGAGTGACGCGTGATGCAACGGAGATCGAGTTGAATACTAGCTTTGAGGTGACTTTACAAGCGTGTGATAACCATATATCGAAAGTTCTTGTCTTCAAAATTGCTCGATACTCCGATATCCGACATGGAAGAATTATGCTTTTCCTATCAAGTTACCTCGGTATTGACAGCTATGCGGTCTTACATCACAATCAGAAGTGCCCAACACAAGCAAGTAGTGCGGACATGACTCGGATTCGGACAATTTGCGTCCCATAAATATCCAGAATAACACGTGAGTGAGACACGATTCCGATGTTTGTTTCCTGCAAAACGTGACCGGATTTTGATCGGAGCCAAACACCACATAGTCAGTCATAAGGCTGCCCAAAAGAACCATCAGTGGATCCAACATCTCCATCCTTAGTAAGTGGAGCGAACCTGACACTTATACGTCGAGAGTTCTTCGCTTGTATCGAACCTGTATGACTCCTCTCTGAAACTTCCGACTTGTGGGGAACCGCACCATACTCCGTACAGAAATAAGGCGTACATACGACGGGAATCAAATCAAGGAATTTCAGATGATTTGCGCTGTATTGCATTGCTGGCATGAAGTTTCAGGCCGTCGATCAGTTGGGATGCAATGCTCGCCCCATGAATGACTGTCGTACCACATAATCGGTTTCTTGGGACGTTGGTCCCCATCAGTAGCCGAGCAAGAGCCGAACATTGAGCCCCTGGCTCATGGGGTTGGAGGTGGGGTTGCGAATAACATCATTTTGTTGAAGTTTGGAGTACTAGAAAGCAGGGCTATTCGACCCTAAGAATTGTTTCACCGTGTTCATGTTCGAACAGCATACTTTGGTCGGAGTTTGCGGGGAATCCTATCTGACAGCCGAAAATCGCTCAATCATTCAATCTTGAACACCTCATACTGAGTCATATATTACATCAACAAAATCTTCCATGTGTTGATATGATTGAAATATACGGGGAACTAGATTTTCATTGAAAGGCCGAACTCCTCTTCGCTTGCGAGATTGGGGCCTATATCCAGACTCCTTTTCATAATGCATAATCTCATCAACCTCCCTTCAAACGCCCCAATACCATCTATGCAATAGGATTCCTAATACATCTTTCCATTTCACCACCTCACTATTTCTCTGGCTTCAATATCATTTACTACCTCTTCACAACATCTATAATCAACATCATGACCCCCCTCCCCTATTGCCCCTCGATCCCCCCCCCAACTATACCCTCCTCAATCTTCCTTTCCATTCACGACCTCCCTTTTATTTTCGTAGCTTCACAATTACGTCTCCATTTCTTCACATCAAACCCTCATCCATTCCATTCCCATCCAAGGAACACCCTCTTGAATCCATAGTCCATCGTCGCTCCACACTCCACACTCCACATTACACTTCATTCTTTGATTACACTCAAGATCTTTTGATTATTTATATATGCTTGAATAGATATGCCCCTAAACCCAGTGCAGCCCAGTCCATAATCCCCAGTCCACATCATCCAGACCACACACTCAAACGCCAACCCAATGCAACTTGTTCCGTCAAACCACAAACGCCACTCCGAGTTCCCTACTCATCCAGAACCCCATCTCCATCTAACTTCTAAGCCTTGGTAGTAAAATCCGTCTCAGTAGGAAGTAATCCACCATCTGTAGCTTTCTCACAGGTGCATGCATCTATCTTCCATCAGTACTCAAATTCATATATCATTCCATTCCTCGTTTATGAAGAGGAATGATGAGAAAAACATACCAGCAGGTCTAGCACCGCATGAACAGAGGTCTCCAGAAGGAACCTTGTTTTCCTCGGCTGAACGCTCGCAGGTGCAAGCTCCGGCTGCACGGGCACCTGGGGAATTGTTAGTTGATGTATTGAAAAATGTTTGTGAGAGGGCAATACATACGGCAAGAACATCTAGCACCCTCGACCTTGTTTTCACTCTCGGATTTAGCGCAGGTGCATTCGAGAGCTTTCTTTTCGCCGCAGGAACATTTTGCTTGAGTTGCTGGAGGGAAGCGTTAGTTATGTTATTCGATTTATTTCATGTGATATTTCACGATATGTATTGTGAGAATGTGTTGTGAGGGTGAAAATCGTGATAGGGAAGGTGGGAAGAGGTGGAGGAGGAGACGAGAGAGGAACAAAAATAGATAGGAACATACCACAAACACAACCATTGCTGGCATTCTCGCCCTTCTTGCAACATGTTGATGGAGCCATTGTATTTAGGATTTTGTTTGAGATTGTTTATCGAAGTTTTGAAAGTTCAATGTTATTGATTTTCAGATCGTTGAAGTGCTTGGTTTTCGAGGTGTTTCTTGAAAGGATTTATTGACGAAAGGATGATGCTTAGATGTAAAGTAATGAATTGATGTTGATAATGAAGCAATACAAGTTCTTTATATACTTTCACTCCCGTACTATAGAATTGGTGATTGATACTAGAAGCTGTGTTGGTCGTCAATTGATGACCATTGCTTACAATTACGCGATCGTTTATTGGTCAGATAAGCTTTGTACTGAAATAGGTGGGGTTTGATTGGATGGATTTTGGAGATTTGGACACCATGAGTAAAGTTTCTTTTTTGCGGGGAGAAGATGGACAAATCAACGATTGGTCATTCGAAAATGATTATCATTGAATGATTGACTTGCTGCAGACGTCAATTCACAAAGCTCTAAAACTCTCGAGTGTGTCATCACGTCCAACAAGCTTTACTCCTGAATTACAAGGCAGAACTGGCGAGTGTCCAACTACATCGTTAGTCTTTTTATTCTTCCATTATAATGCAACATTCTATCCTTTATCATCAATTTTTTTCTCAAGTCGGTCTCGATATCTATCTTACATGTTCCAAAGATTATTTATATATATTCATGAAGAAATGCACTCGCGAATTCCACCCGCGACGCCAATGTGGCAAGTTTGCTTTTACATGGCCTCTTTGGTCTCACCACAGTCTTTCTCTGGCCAAATGCAGAGATATTACCTTGAGTATACCCTAAGCTGTGTCGAGCATCCAGGTGCTTCTTGTCGATCGCGTGGTGAGCATCATCATCGTTAGAGATAAGGAGAACGGAAGCAAAGGAAAACCTGCGTCGAAGAGCATGTTGCAAGGCTTAACACAAAGGCCATATAAAATGGCTACTTTGGACCCCAATATCGGCATCTCTAACGATGAGTGTCTTTCCCTGGCGCAATACATGCCATACATTCAAGCAAATTAGAGAGGTCGTAGGGTGTCGCCGTCCATACATCTTCAGCCCGGATCTCATGCACAACCTATTGGTTGCCTAGGCGAAAATATGCAACGATCCCAACCCGTGGATAATTGTTGTAATCCATGCTCCCGTTGACCATTCTGATTGAAATTACAGCTCAAAACTTATTGCTGCCTTATCAGGTGAAGACTGGTGCATCAACGTGTCAGCAGGTGATTCCTTCCCTGATCTCGAGCCTGATTCTCAATGAAATAAAACTGCGCCTGAAGCACTTGTTAATCGTGTCGACAGCCTTGATTTTCGGTGCCAGAAAAACCGTGAAGATTACTACAAAATAATTGCTAGAATGAATCCCGACGATAAACTTATCAAGCCCAATTTCAGGCATCGCCTTGCAAGGAGCTTTAAAGACAAATTCAGATCAAGTGATAAGAAGAAGCCTGAGCCATCACAGAAAAAAGTTCATGCCCTTACCAGCTCCACTGCTGCTACCAAAAAACAAGATCAGATTGACCGAAATGACACAACTGCAAACAAAGTTAGACCGCCTAAATTGCAAGCTAAGCTCGACCTATGGCAAGAAGCAATGGACAAAGCCCAGCAGTCCGCAGACTGGAAAAGTCACAAGCGTGAATATGATGAAGCGATTCTGGAGTGTCAAGGCAACAACCAAAACATTTTGAATAAGAGTGGCACCGAGAACAAAAAATGCACGAGCTTAGCTGACGCCATATCCGAGCACTTGGTCTCACTCCAGGAGAAAGTTCTAGGAAGACAGTGGAAATACAAGGAAGGTTCAGGGGATGAAAGTTTTTATTTTCGAGATGTCATAAAACGCATCGTTCAATGGGTGAAAGTTTTCAAGGACCCCGGCAACCAGCTGGCTGCTCTCGATCCTACCAAAGCTGCAGCGTTAGTTTGGGGATTCGTGCAATTCTTCGTCGAAGTACGTATGATTGTCTATGTATCTTGCAATTATTAACTGACTCGGAATAGAGAGCTGTCATATACAATGAAATCAGGGACATGGCAATTGATCAAGAGCCAATTGCGAATTTGATAACCCGGTATGCTCTGATTGAAAACTTGTATCTCAACATGTCTGGAACCCCAGATGAGGTTGATGAGGCAGTCAAAAGCAAAATAGTGTCATTATACACAGCAGTCATTCTCTACCAAATGGCTATCTACAATTTCTGGAAGCAAGGCAAAATTACACATGGCATACAAAGTCTAGTTCCTAACAAACTCAAAGAAATGTCGAGTACGATCCAGAGAAAGTCGGCAGAAGTTGAGGCAATTTTGCACAGTAGTGACAGAAAGGTGCTACTCGAACTACTCGAAGACATCAATCTCAAAGTCTCAAAGCCAATTGCCCAGATCGGAAGTCAGATGCAACAGGTTTTGGATGTGGCTATGAACATTGATAAAGATAGATACTCAAGTGTCTTGAATTGGGTTTCGCCAATATTGCACATGGACCATCATCAGGAATACAAACCCCTGGGCGGGACTGGGGAATGGATCCTTGATCACTCAGATTGGAAAAAATGGCGGCAGTCCCAGAAATCGAGACTTTTTTGGCTCCGTGGCAAAATGGGTGCAGGAAAGTCCAATTTGGTGTAGCCACTCCAAATTTCCGCATTTGATACGTGCAGAAATCTCTGACAGATAATTTAGGTTTATCATCATATCTCATTTACTCAAAATCTGCACGAATGGCCAGGAGCGTACAGCATTCTTCTACATCAATAATACCCGTCGGGTGGAACATACCAAATCCGCAGAGACTATTTTGAGATCCCTACTCAAACAGCTCGCAATTCAGGATAATGAGCTCCTGCTGCAGCCCGTTGTTGCAAAATATGACAAGCTTCGAGATATCTCTAGTCTCCATAAAGAGGATTGCATCACGCTGCTTACTGATATCATTAGCGAATTTCGACAGACGAATATCATTATCGATGGTTTTGATGAGCTTGAGGATGATGATGTTCGATCAGACTTGTTAGTCTCTTTGAAACAAATAATTGATGGGTTACAGGGTGCAGTGGCAAAGGTTTTTATATCGAGCCGAGATCACGTCAATATACAAGATCTCTTACATAAAACTTTTCCTTATCGCGCTGAAATCATTGTTGCAAGGAAAAATTATGAAGACATCAAGAAATTCATTACAAGTCGTGTGCAGGATGTAGAGAACACGCTTTCTAATAAAAGAATTCCCGAGGATATAAAGCGTGATATGGAGTCAATCTTGGAGGAAAGATCAGACGGAATGTAAGAATCTCTAGAATCCTTCCCGTTGGTACATGTTTTGTTAACAAGTCAGGTTCCTCTGGGTGCACCTGTCCTTGAAGTATATAATGGGAATGAAGGCTAAAAACCCCGCTACGTTTGTTGAAGATTTGAAAACGGTACCGTCAGGTCTCGAAGAAGCTTATGGAAAGCTATACAATTCCCTACTTCAGGGACAAAACCATGAGAGAGTTCTTATCATCCAAAAAGCATTTTGCTTTCTTCTGTACGCATGTCACGATGAAATATTTGAGACCTCTGCGTTTCTTTCGGTAATCAACCACAAGGCCACATTAAAGCTATCTGCAAAAGACATTCTGGATTTATGTTCCACATTCATTGAGTTGGATCCAGAGACCCGAAATTTTAGAATAATTCACTTTTCTGTGAAAGAGTTTCTTCAGACCTTGGTAGAATATGAGTTTCAACATGCAAATGCTATAATTGCCGCTGATTGTGTCTCTTACTTAAATGACCAAAGTGGTCGTCGCAGTCCGTCAGATTATTATGTGAGAGGCCGGCGTCGGGTCAGAGGCGGTCAGAGATACAACTTCGAATCTTATGGGACTGAGTCTTGGATGATTCATTGTTCTCGGGCGGGTAGTTTGAGACAGAAATCGCCGCTTGTGAAGACATTATGCGAATTTTGGTCTTCTAACACGCACGGGAATTCATCCCCTTTCAAAAGATGGGCAAGTTCATTGAGATACTTGGGACCTCACCGCGTTGCGTATCTCGGGTCTATATTAACCGGAGGCTACGGATCGTTATTTATTGATTCGGAGCCAACAGCTTTTTTCCTAGCCTGTCAGTATGATCTCCGAGAGACAGTAGAAAGCTATTTGTGCAAAGGTTGGGATATAAATTTCACAGATGATCTTCTCGGACCAGGGCTTTCACATGCATGCATTGGCAATCATATGGAGCTCGTCTATTATTTACTTTCTCATGGAGCGAAAATATTATCCGATAAATTTGAACAATCACCACTTTGCGCGGCTATTAGAGCTCAGCGACCAGATATTCTTCGTTTGTTCTTACAGCATACTAGTTTGCCAACTGTAGAACCTTTACTGGAAGTGGCTCTAGGGAAAGGGAATAGTATAAGGGGAATATATCATGAGCTCGATTCGCAGGCCAACAACCGAGTATTAAACTTGTTGCTCGACTATTCATCGGATTTTCAGTATTCGGACAAGTTATTAAGATTAATATTCAGGGGAGGACCGAGGATCCTCAAACTGCTTCTCGAACGAAATTCTTCATTATCCGTAACAACCGACACCCTCGAATGTCTTTTCACTTCTGAGCCTGATTCTCGGTCCATTACTCGATTGTGTCTCGGTGTATTACATCCGCTAAATCCCGAGTTGGTAAAATCCCGGTCATTTCTAATTGCTCTTCAAAAATATAAGGGAGATGAGCCTTCTGAATTGGCCCGATACATTGTCGAAGATTTAAACTCATCAGATCCTTCATCTTTGATATCCGAACTGGCCCTGAGGGGCGCAATGCAAAATTATACAAACAAAATTCCTTTTATCCAGTTCTTGCTCCGAAAAGCCCCGGCTTTCAAAATATCGGACGAAACGATATTATGGACACTTGGAAATTATTGGCTCACAAAGGAGAACGATGTGATCAAAACCCTGCTCCAACACGACCCCACTATTCGAAATTTCTCTGTTTCAGATTTTGAGAAGGCATATCATAATCATTATCCAAATTTTGGCAAGTTTATGGCGAGCGGTTTTATGGCAGTTCTCCTAAGATACTGCCCCGAAGTGGCTATCGGTCAGGAGTTATTTACCGTAGCCATAGGAGCTTATGAGGCAAGCCTCAGCGGACTTAAACTTCTGCTTCATCGTAACCCGAAAATTAAATTCACCTGGCAGTTAGTGGGAAATATAACGTCAGATGCCGCGGATCAGGTAGTAGACGAGATCTTATGTTCGAGCAACCTTGTGGAAATTACAGATGATATATTACGGGCAGCTCTGAGTAATCATTATCTCCGCTACATTGATCACATATCACCGACAATGGTCAACTTGCTATCTAAAGCGCTAGAATCGTTGGAATTATCGGATGAAACTGTCTACCAAGCCTGCGAATCCCGGGCGTGGATCATGGAAAAAGTGCTTGGTCGTTGGCCAAACGCACCTTTGTCAGAGAAAGCTCTAGTGGCCGCATTAAGCGATAAACAAAAATTCGATATCCTTATGGAAAAAAGACCTTCGATAGCAATCTCTGCTGAGGTCATTGAAACTCTATACGAGGGAAATCGTGGCTCGGACAACATGATAAGTACTATATTGAAGGTCTTGGAGTTACAGCCAAAAACTACAATCACGGAAAAACTGCTCGAGACAGTTTCTTACAAATATCCTGAAACTGATGTGGGAGTGCATTGTCAGTTGTTCGATATCCTTCTACGACGTATTCCTCACGCAAAGTTGACGAGTAAAGCCTTTCACAATTGCATGAAAAATAGCTTCCCTCTCGCTCGGCTCGCATTTGAAGCTCGACCAGATTTGAAACTCAGTGTCTCCTGTTTTGGCAGCATCTGTTCTCAATTTTCCGATGAAAACACAGAGTACCAGATTATCTTACATCAACTGTTGAAACGATTGAGCAGCCCTGGACTGGATGAAAAGGGAATGCTAGAATTCATCCCAGGATGTACGCCAACGGCACTTATAGCAGTTTTGTCAAGCAAACCTGATGCGATAGTGACAGAAAGCGTCATCAATAGTCTTTTGAAGGAAGTTTCTAGCTATCCATACTTAAAAAGTACTCGGTCGTGGTTTCGCGACCCTGGAGATGAGGCGTTCAATATGTTACTGGATCGATCGAATTTACCGGAGGCTTCACGTCAATTCTTGTTGTCTGATTTCCAGGGGTTCAAAAAGAAGGACAAAGAACTTGAGGACGAGAGTTAGTTCATTTATTGTTATGGAGACATGCTCAGCCTAGCTTTTCGTAGATCGATGCATGCAGCACCAATATTACGAATAGTGACATTCTCGCCGAACAAGCTCGTAACATAACAACCTTCTTTAGATATCAGCAAATGCCTTCATCAAAAAAATTCCCTAATTCTCATTATTCGACGGGACATTCAGTCTCAATTCATGATCACACAATTTTCTACTCTTCTCTCCGTCGCTTTAGCGACATGACAAGGGGAAAATATCATATACCTTCTGACTAAGTAGCCTAGGTTTATAAAACAGTTCAACATAACAGAGAGGTATACAAAGCTACCAGCTTACAGAGCCAGTATCATCATGAGTGAGGTTAATAATTGTTTGTTTTCTCTCCTTCATTCCTATCCCTATATCTATCCAGACTCTGCGTGAGCGAAATAAGTTGCTGAAGTGAGCACTTCAACCTCTTTGACTGATTAGAATCACAGATCACCTAACTATCAACCCTCTAAAATCCGAAGAAACGCAACAAAAAGTTAATTTCTATTCACTCCAGACTATATAGTAGAATAGGTTTAATTATTATTTAAGAAAGATGATCGAAGTATAAAGATTTTCCGAAGAGTTTGGTGCCAGCCGGCAGCCTTTTCTTTCACCAAAAGCAAGCGCATCATCTCAGCCTTACAGAAAGTAGCAATAACACTACACATGAACCCTTCCTCCAAATCGATGCGTTCGAATCATTAGGGGTTGAAAATGTTCTGTTTTGCCCAATTTTGTTGAGGCCTTACCACATTCAATTTCGTTTTGATACCCTACATTCGATCTCCAGGTTCGATCTCCAGCGCACACGCTTGTCAAATTATCTTGTTTTGTTCCCGACTGCCTGCAAGAATTGAATTATCGAGGTTCAATTGTTCTTGAGCATCGACAACTACCTACCTAGGTAGGGTTCGTAGATCTCAGAGCTCGAAGAGGTCTTGTGCATGTGATTGGGCCGCCCGGTGAAATCTCGGGTGATTGATGTTTGATCGTATGATCTGAATTAATCTGATATCAGATTCAAAACAAAGCATTCAAAGTTTACCCACGCACGTGGGTAAATTATCTACAATTCAACACGACTATCCCAGGCACTATGGCTGCAACGGTCTGTTCTCCATCTAGTCTTCCCCTATCGTGACTATATACTTCCAAAGAATGTTTTCCCTCGTCCTTCTCTGTTCTAATTTCCTTGTAGCCATCCAAGAAGGACCGCACGGGCTGTATCCATAGCCCTGCGACCTCTCTCCACCGAAAGCTCAGCAGTGGAAGCCTCCATTCTTACAGAAGCTGCAGTTCCTCTCGCTGCCGCCATCTCTCCATATGTAGCAGAAGTGATGGCTTGATCCGCCAATATTCGTGCCCTCTCCGCCGCAGCCACTACTGCCAGAGATTCATTCAAAGAGTCTGTCAAACTGATATCCAGCCTCACTACCGCATCATTGGCAGCCGTTGCGTATTTTTCGGCCATGGCACGTGCAGCAATATCTTGCTTTCGAGCGTTATCGCACTCGCGGACCTTTGCCTGGGCAGCTTCGACTCTTACTAACACATCTGCCACCTTGTCTGAAGTTATCTCTGCCTGTTCTCGTAATTCCCGCGAGAGTATCTGCGTCTGGCTTTCGTCCTCTTCATCTTCACCTTCATCATCTCCAGGGACATGGTCCGGTTTCTCGGCGTCCTCGACATTGGTTGCTGCCTCCACGATAGCATTAGTTTTGCTTGTTATTCGTCGCACCGCCTCTGTAATTTCCGCAAATGAGGCCCAAGCAGTGGTTCCGCATACAAAGAAGTCTGTGATTCGAATTGCTGTGGCTTTCAAGAAGTCGCGTCTGGCGGTTTTTGCAACCTCAAATAGCTGTTTGTCGTACCCGGATACTTTTGAAGCAAATTCACTCGTGGAAGAGGCAGCAATAGTGATGCGAGAAATATCAGCTGCAACTGCATGGGTAGTGGCAAGTAGCTGTTTGCGATATTCAACGTATACATAGATCCATGCAGCTACTAGCATAGCGACGAGACTGAGACTAAGAATTGGCAGGAGCATTAAGTAGAAAACATCCGGATGAAAAGATGTCAGGTAGGGAAATAGGAAGAGTGCAACACAGCACCACCAGTCGAGGAGTTTATACAGTCGAGAGATATGGTCAGAGTATTCTAGATAACCGAAACGAAATGGACCATAGAACTTTGCAGTTGGTGCAAAGAATCCGATGATGGCTATGCCTGCAAGAAGAGAGACATGGAGCCATGGTCGCAAAGGAAGTGCGAGCCCATAATGGATGGAAATATACGTAATTAAAACGACCAATGAGCCAACTGCAAGAGTTAGATCAAGCCAGACTTTCGAGGCGGGCTAAGAAATTCTACAAAATTAGAAGACTTACCTTTGACGTAAGGTGCTAAACGTGTAGCCACTGCTTCTATGGCCGGTAGAGCTTTCTTGAACTCAGACAATTCCGAATCCTCCCCAATCGGACTGCTCTCGGGAAATCTCAGATAGCCTTTTGTGTAAACAAAAAACAGACCGATAAGGAGTGCTGGGTTGTGAAATGGATCTAGATCTATCAAGTTGAGGCGAAGGGTATGGAGTAGATACAAAATTGCTCCACAAAAGACAATGTTTGTGCCAGATGCTTTCTGACGAGACGCTTCTGGGCTCTCATTCGCCAGTCTGATATCAGGGAGCTTCAAATAGCCACATAAGTGAGCTACGAACAGAATAACCACGAAAGTGGGGCTTTTAAATAGCTCGAGGTCCACCCCATCGGCGTTGGATTTGGAAAGATAATACAAGACTATAACGGCGATGACGAGCCCTATTAAAGTATGATAGTAAGCTATTACTCCGACGAAACCTGTTATTTTCACAGAACTCACCAGTACTACTTGCTCCGAATAATCTAGATGCCGCTCGAACGGAAAGGAAGCTATTTTCCCAAAATGGACTAGGAGAACTCATGGTAAAGATACGATGCTCAATAGCAGTCGGCACGGGAAACGCTGATATCTCGAGGTGATGAAGAAATGAAGATCTAGTCGATGGTTGACTAATATGATGATTAAATTTCTATTCATATGTAGGCTTTTGAAGCTCTTTTAAATCATCTTATTATCGACTTTTGATTCTGTATCGGCAATTAGCACCCCTCAGCGGACAGCTATCCAACACTGCAGATGCATGTCAGATTCATAACTGCGTATTGATATATCTCTATACAACGGTAGCTTTCTTAATTTACGGCTATATCTTTTATGGACTATAATTGACAGGTATAGGTCGTATTTCAGCTATACTCGACCCCACCACCTTGAATCAATCCCACCTACAGACGCATGTCAGACTTATGACTACCTATTGATTGACATCCATACTACCAATTGATCTACTTCTATACAACGGTCTTTTCTTATTTTAGACAGCTGCAGCTTTCCACATTCAATCAAGTATTTTTCTAAGAAAAAAATACACCGTCAACTTATTCTGTGCTTGTCGATTGATCTTTGGTGCTACACAGAATTCAATTCTCGCTTTTTACTTGAATGTGCTTTGAGGCCAGTTTTCTGAAAGAAAGTTCACTCGGGGTCAGTGTAATTTGTGACTCTGATTCAACGTAAGAACATCAAAATCTTTATCCCTTTTCGCTCAAAGTTTCTCATGAGCTCGGTACTATGGCAAACCCTATTACACTCTTCACTTTCTCACAAGGTACTAAAGCACCAGCGAGGCCACTGAATTATGACAATTTCAGAGGAGGAAGGAATCGCACAGAGGGTGCATTTCGTCTTATCGACGTCAAGGGTCTCACGTTGAGCCCTCCGGTTCTGAATATCGTTGAATTTTCGGACATAAAATTTGGACAAAATGCAGCACGCAAACTTTCTACTCTTAGCATCAAATACACAGCAATCAGCCATGTCTGGAATCCTTCCCCCGAGGTTGAACATCAAATGAACGCTATGATTGACAAGGACTTATTTGGGGTAGAATTTGATCCTCCGCATGGCGGAACAGGATTGAGATTGGTGAACCTCAGTTGGATTGGCCTGGACCAAATGGCACATGCTGCCAAGATGAAAGGTTCCAATTACATATGGCTCGATCTCTGCTGTATCGACCAGCCGGATAGGAAAGACAACGAGATGAAGTTTCAGATCTCCATGATGGCCGACATCTACCGGCACGCGAACAATGTCATTGTCATGGTCGGCGGAGCTGGCTGTGTTCAGCACACCGATCAAGTTAGCCCTTGGATGGAAAGAGCTTGGACCCTCCAAGAAGCGATTCTTAACAGGAAGACCTTTGTTTGCGTGTTGTGGCCAAATCTTAAGAGAAAGGTGACATATAATTTCAAAGGATCACCCGTCGTGTGGACGTTCCAACAGGTAACAGCCGCAAGATTCGCGCCAAAAATCTCGGCTGGGGACGTTTTCTGCCTCATTTCTCTCAAAGACCTACTCGACATGGCCGATGTAGACTCTTCGCTACTTAAACCGCCAGGCTGTCCAGAGATTAGCGTTCTCGATGGAATGACGCTCAAGGCCGGTAATGCACCAAGGCTAGCGCTTCGGACAGCATGCTTGAGCTCCCCTCTGGCGATAAAGTACACAGGCGTGTGGAGGAGCATGTTCATGCGAACATCGACCAAGTCTATTGACGTTGTCTATAGCATCATGGGGATCTTTAAACTGGTGATCGACCCTTTCAAAAAGAACCACGATCCTTCGTTTATGTTCAATGATTTGGCCCGCAAGACAGGAGCAACACCAAGTATTGGCGCATGGGGGTGGCTGACTATTGGCGGAGTTACTGGTAGTGACATCCCGTTGGATGGCACATCTGGAATAATCCCACAATTTCCCCACGATGAAGCGAAGATCGCTGCCACGACCAATCAAGCTCCAGAGATGAATTTTGGGGGCAGGTGGGAATGGGTCGGTCATCATGTTGATCACTCCCCATTCTATATCACTTCGCCAGGCTCTTACGGTACGAGCAAAAATATCAACTTCATGACCCACTCTCAGCCACATATTATAAACGCGACCATGATTCCTGTGAACTACAAGCCCATAGTCATAGGTTCGAGACCTGTCCTGACTGGTGGTCGGAAAGGCGTAACAAGAAAAGTCTCTATGCTCAACCTCATGCATTCCTCGGGGCGATGTGTTCACAGCGGCGACCTCGCTGGATCATGGAGCCAACCTGGAAGTATTCAGGCCGTCTTTGTAGGAAACATTGGAGATATGAGCAGAGCGGTCGAAGTTGCTAAACCTTTTCGTAGTTATACAGGGTGGATGTACTTTCTCTTCTTCAAATACTCCAGGAGCGAAAAGAAATGGGAAATAGTTGCAAATGGTGCCTGGCAGGCACCCACAGGATGGAAGCTCCCTGCATCCCGTCGCTCAATCTTCAACGTTGGCAATCATGCACAGAAGCGGTTGAAGAAATGGTCGGCAGATGATAACGAGTGGTTAGATCAGAGGTATCAGATATTTAGGCATAGCTATGGAGTAGAACCCTTGCGTGGATGGTTAAGCGACAACCCTAAGGAGAGGAAAATAAAATGGTTTGGAACCAAGGTGAATACATCCCTTCCTATTTTAATTTGTGTGGTGCATTTTATCAGACATAAATAACAAGCTTACTCATATTAGGGCTCCATACCCCCTATGGCTTCCGAACTTGTGTGGCGAAACTTTGAGTTCAATTACGATTTATTGAAAAATTTAGTCCCTCTCATGAACAAAATGAATGAGAACGACGATGATTCAGATGAAGAGGATCATCAAGATGAGTCGTATATCGAAAAAGAAGAGAATGCGCCACTCGATGATCTACTTAAACAGGGACACATCCACCACTTGCGAGTTCTATCCTGCATCGTCGACGAGAACCGTATCCCGCGAACCAGCACAACACAGACGCCCTACAAGATCTTGCAGCAAGGCTCTATGCCCATGACTTACAGCTACGGGGATTGGCCGAAAGCAGTACATATCAAGCTCGTCAAATGCAATGTTGAGGGCCTCATGATCCCCAATCCGTGGAACAATAGCGAACCAGTGTTGAAATACCAGGTACGGATTGTGTTTGGTTATCGCGTCATGTATGTCCAGATGAGGCATAAAGGGAAGAGCGATCAGAGGTTCTACAACATGTACTGTGTGCCGTACAGGGCTCCCGGCCAAAGTGGTCCAGTCCGCAACAGGAAGAGTCTGATAGCTCCGCAAAATACTAGCTATGGACCCTGGTCTTATCAACTGCCGGCCGCATACTAGCCTGATGTGTCGTTATAGAGCTGTAATGTTGGCTGTTTGATCTTTAATTAAGTTTCAATGCTTCTCTGCAAATCTTTGGGACCAAAACTAGTAAATCAGAACTTGATATGCCAATACTGGCTCTAGAACAATAAAAGTTAATTGGTAAAATATACTGTTCAATTTTTACCTCGAATCAGAGAGTGCATAATATCTGATTGGTCAAGATCAATCATATTTCTGCTTCAATGAGAATTCTAAGCTAGGATTACCATGCTGTGTAACTCGAATCATCGGCTCATCAGCTGTCCAAAAGAAAAGCCATGCCGCTATGTAAGCAGCCACTTCTCATTTGTGTTTCATCGAGGAAAAGATTGTTCCTCGTCCGATAAGTGTAACCTCGTATTACCAACAATACCCAACTGCGTATATCGATCATCATGAGCCAATTGACTAAATACCACATCGTCATATCCGGACACCAGTGAAACCTCGATACTTTCGACACAGCTGTATACTACCTATATACCATTTATCTCATTGGAATTGCAATCATCGGTATTCGCATCCCTTCTGACCACAATTGATATTCTCTGCAATGTCAGATATTCCAGACGACATCAACACACAGTTTCTCGAGCAGTGGAAAAATCCCGGCGACGTCTTCTCCGTCCTCCTTATCGTCGGCGGTGACGTGATTCTCCTCGCTCTGGCCTGCCTCACTGGTAGGACATTCACACCTATCGCTTTCTCCTTCGGTTGGGTTGCATATGCCGTTTCGGCCGTTGTAGTCGCTGTTGGCGATAACAAACTGTTGGTGCGCTGTCCACCCGAGATCTCGCTGAAAGTAATTAATCTGAAGAATGGATACTGTCGCGAGAACAAGTCGTGGCTGCTGGGTAGATTCATCAAAGATTACAATTTTTGGATGCCTGGGGATGTTAAGGAGCGACTTCTGCGTCCGCGTGTGCATTGTGATGAGGAGAATAGTCATCCTAAACCTATTTCTTCAGGTTCTTCAGCGATTCAGAAGCCCACTGAGCCCACTGTGACCTTGGGTCGATCCGATGCCGCGCTGTGTATTGCTGTTTTTAAATGGATTGATGGTGCAGTTCCAGGCCTACCATCTCGTGACTGGGCCTGGTGGAGCGGTCTCTTTGTTTCACTGCTACAATTAGGTATCGCGGCAATCCCGTGGGGTCTTCGCTCCAACTGGGGAATCTTTCTCGCTACTGCCATCGGAACGCTACTAGCCTACCTGTCTGCTTCTCTACCCCAATGGCGCCAAGAAAAATGGTCCGCGGCAACCAGAGAGAAAGATGTAGCTGTGACGATAGGCAACGGAAATAAACACGTGATAGTGATTCTGGGTGCTCAGCATGGCTTAGACATGGAAGATCTAGCTACGGGAAAAGCCCCCGATTTACTATCCACGCGTATCTATACTTCTCTCCTAGCTCTATTGTGGCTGACATTGTTAATCACATGCTGTGGCATCAAAACAGACTCTTGGTATCTGCTCGCCGTCGGTGGATTGGGTATGGCGCAAAACCTGATAGTCGCGAGCGTACCGCGGACTCCCGCAGCGCTTGGTCTACCTATCGAGCTCGTTAGCAGTGGGAATGAAGACCAGATTATTCCAGAGATTTTCGCAGAGCCGAAAGTGATGTGGACGATAATGGAATTTGAAGGAAAACATCACGGGCGAGGAAACGCTCTTGTAAAGGAGTTCTTTCCTGGAAAGTTGCTTGATTGGGAAGAAAAGTGGTGGAATTCTGATGATCCTGACGAGAGACGGGAGCTACTTGAAGGAGCGCGGCGCAAAGCATGGAGGAAAGCACACGAGACGGCACGAATGGAGACGGAGAAGGTGGAGAAGCAGCTCCAGAAACAGTAGAGCGAGAGCAAAGAGATTCTGCAAACGCGCTGGATCTACTGCTCGATACAGATTCAACGGATAACATACGTCCAAAACCTCCATATTCTTCCATAATTGCAACCCCGTCCGTTACAGTTCCGTCGGAATAGAAAAGGGAATCTCAGACACGGCTTTATGCCAATCCCACAAAAGCAGAGATCCTATCCGTGAGGAAAAGACCAGGAAACCACTATAGAATACCAGCTCACGCTTCAAGTCCTTTTCAAAAAAAAAATTATAAAAATATAAAAATATTAAAAAAAAGCCCAGTTTCGGCTGTACCAGTTCTTTTGGGGAGCCTCAGATGTACTCCCTTAACACTGACAAGATATACTGAAATGACGGTGCATGATACCATGCTACCTTCAATCATCTGTAGAATGAGACTTACACTATTGATCCTCTTCACCCTTACCTCATTCATATATTCAAGCTTCAGAGACAAAATAAATTAGCAGAATCGCATGCATAGCAATCTCATCGATCATCCACAAACAAACCCATCAAATCCTCGAAACCGGACAAATTTTTACCTCTCATCTAACTACTCCATATCATAGTAAATCAACATTCATCCATTCATTATTAATATAATCCTCAAAGTAAAAGCCTTCCCATCCATCAATTCCCTCGCTAAAGCAGAGCCCCGCCCCACTTCTAATATCCACCACCCCTCACCCCCATGAGTCCCCACCAAACAATGAAGACTTTTTATTTCATTCTTTCATCCAACACCATATTTGTACCTACTTGAACATATATCAAAAAACTGTTACTCACACCATCAACCAATAAAATAACAGCGTTTGTGGTTTAGTGGTAAAATCCATCGTTGCCATCAACCTCTTCTTTCATCAGAAGAGTACGATTACAACCTCGATGGGCCCCGGGTTCGATTCCCGGCGAACGCATTGCTTTTGTCATATTTTGTGCGGACTCATACTTTTTACTTTTGTGTGCGGTGGATGACGTATGAATGGCTGGCTGGCTGGCTGGCTGTATCTCGATGTATATACATGATCACAGTCACTTTTTTCTTCTTCTTACTCGTAACTTCTTCATAACTCCCTCCTCACTTACACCTATAAGTTTTGCAGGAATCATAAGATATACAAACTCTGGATTCAATATAATATCTATCTTTCTCTCTCAAAAACCCCATCTTCATACCTCTAAATCTCATCAATTCCCCTCCCCCGGAATTCCTAATAAGAAAATCCCAGACTCCTCTTAACATTTATAGAAATAGAAAGAGAAAACTTACCTACCAACCGTCAAATGAATACATACATACGATTTAAGTATGCATGTATCATTACAAGCTCTCATTGAAAAATACTATTGAGGGTTTGATGTCTAGATGTGTGTGTATAGAGAGCTCGAAGGAGAGAGTTAGCGATTAACTACTATTTTTTCTAATTTCTGCTTTCATTTTTCTCTCTTTGACATTTTCTGTGATTTTCCATTTCATTTTCGCCTGTCTTCTATTCTGTTTTCCCCTTCCAAGGTTCCTTCTAAGTTCCCTCCCCCTTCAAATCTCTCCCTAAATCCACCCCCGATAGAAGAAACCACGCTACTTCCACCTCTTACTTCTCTTTGATTCTGTCCTCTCTACTCCCTTTCCTTCTACCTACTCCCCGCTCAAAGGTTTTCCCCACACCTCCTCACCCTTCAAGCCCCCCTTTTATAGAACCATTAAAACTGCCTTTTCCCTTCAAAGTTAAAACTTCCTTGACTAATTTCACTTATCCTGTTTATCAATCATACTTATAACAATCAAAATATCTTATAATACAATTCCCAATTTGTAATTCCAATTTCTAAGTGCTCTACCAAAATTTGGACTTCCAAAAATACACATTCTTCACAATTGATGTGGATCTGGAATCGGTGAACTGCCCACAGCATACATTATTGCCGACATCCCTCATTTTCTCGGTGAAACGGTCGAGCACATATGATAAGATGATAGATCTTCAAAGACGAAAAGACATGATATCACATGTGCGACGAAGAGCGATTGGACGAGTTAAAATATCTTGTTGTATTTCGCGCTATCCTTCAAAAAATGAAGATCATAGTGCATTATTGATCTACTCCTCAAATTCCGACAATCTTTCAAGGAGTGATAACAAATTTCCCAATTCCACCCTTCCCAGCAAAAACCTCTTGACAGCCCTTCCTAACACCGTCAACATCCTCAAGCTTGACCTCGGAGCCTACAATTGGTCTCAGCTTCCCTTCGTTGACTAACTCCCCTAGCTTTTCTAAGTCCTCCCGACTTGGTTCCATCATCAGATAGCTATAGCTTCTCCCATTCCAGCTGGCCCACGTTCTTAAACTCCAATCCAAGAAATCCATAATTTTGACCATCCACCAGCTTAATTTGACCTTAACACCTCCTTCAGATACCCCAGCAGTATGGAGACTCATACGCTCGATAGTTTCGGTGCCACCAGGTATCATCGAAATAGAGACGATGACTCCCCCCTTTTTAACGAGAGAGCCAAGAGAAAGTGAGCAGGATGTTGTGTCGAAGAGAAAATCTACACTCTCTTTCCCTATTGCCTTTACGACATCTTCTTTCGTATAATCTACTGTTTCGATTCCCTTCCCTAACAATTCCTCTGCTCTACCAATCTTTCCCGTACTTAAAGTGGTAATGACCCTCCCAGCTCCAAAGACATTCTTGGCGAGCTGAACAGCGATACTACCCGTTCCGCTCATACCAGCAGGGATAAGTACAGTTTTACCTTTTAGTCCGCCGGGTAATTGACTGTCTGCTCGGAGTACAGATTGATAGGCTGTCAGTGCAGCGAGTGGCACAGCGGCGGCTTCGGAATGAGAAAGAGAGGATGGCTTTTGAGCTACAGCTGCAGAAGTCGAGAGACAGTATTGTGCTTGAATAGGAAGTCAATCATGTTAGTTACACACTGGGATACTTTTCAAAGCTAGGGAGAGGGGGTCCAACAACCGGAAATCGAAAAAAAGGAACCGCGCATACCAATGGTTCCACGGTGACGTTCAGGTACGCGAGAGTAGACTGCATCGCCGGGCTTGACGTGGGTGACGGAAGAACCAGTGGAGACGACAGTACCCGATACGTCGTAGCCCATCAAGTAGGGGAACCTAGAAAATATCAGAGAAATGTAGAAATAAAACGGAGAAATGTGAGGCTCGATGCAAGATCGCCTGGAACGGCAGTAGAGTTACATCCGTTCTTCTGAACTTTATGATAATACACATTCTAGGAGATCTTGAAGGGTGTGAATCATTCGCAAGGCTAGAACACATGATCATCTCGTGCGCATGAGCATATCTCAGATATAGCGTGGACCGTGATTACTTGATATAGTCGCAACCTCACGTTCCCCATTATAGCATTGGCGTCCTTCATCCATCAATATCACGGTAGAGAAAGTACGTACTTAACATCGAACATCATCTTTGCATACCCGCCAGCCATCTTGACATCAATAGGATTGACACTAGCGGCTTCCACTTTGATCAATATATCATTTTCATGCGTGATTTCTGGAGTTGGAATGCTTGCTATGTCGTATGTATCCGGTTTTCCAAACTTGGAGAGAGCGAGTGCACGCATTGTTGCCGGAACCTGGGTGGCGAATTTGGATGCCATCTTTGTTCAGGAGTGGAGAAAGAGTAGAGAGTAGAGTTGACTCAGGATAGAAAAGATGAAATGCGAAGAAGGATATTCACCACAATATATACTGATATCGAAAACAGAGGGAACTAAAAGGGGACTTTTTTCTAGATGGATACTAATGAAGGAGAAAAGTCAGCCCGACTCGGAGACTTTTTGATATGAAGAATGAGCTTTGATTGGGCGAGGCATGTGACGAATGAAGGGAAAGGATCGAAAATTAGAACGGGACAATTGCTCTCCGAATAGGGTCAAAAATGACCGTTTTGAAGAAACTTTCTACCTGTATCAATATATCATGAAAAGACAAACGAAGTACTCTCACAAAATACCACAAGATTACAGTGAATGCGTAAATAAGTGTCGGAGGAAAATGTGTACCGGTAGGTGATAATTTCAAGTGCACAACTATCAATAGCATATCGATAACATCTCAAAGTCACGTGTGACTTGACGCAACCACAATTTTGAAATTTAATATCCTCAACTTCAACCTATTCTCGTCCCCTGAGACTTTTGGTCTCGATAACTAACAACACTTTTTGTTCTGTTCGTCGTAGAATTCTCCAATCATTCTTTGACCCTCCCAGATAGAAAAGGGTCGAGATAAAAGCTTCCCTGGTAGCCACCTCCATTGCCTAAGCAGGAGATCCCCACCACACGTGCTAGTTACCTAACTACTACATCTCGCAAATATAATCTCTCTACACACCCACCTGTCAATAATCTCGAGTAAAATCATGGCTCTTACTCTAAACCCAGTAGATGTTCCATCCTTCTGCACAACTCAACTCCACCTCTTGGACCAAGAACTTCAATCTGAGCTGTCCGAAACTTCGACCCTCATAACTGGAACCTCACCCACTTCCCTTCAGCGAGCTGGACTTGCGATTACAAATCTCGTTTTGATATCTCAAAGAACGGGATTGGGTGGAAAAACTGTTGTTGAGCTAGGTCCCGATCCGGCAACATCTAGTTCTGGCTCTGGAGGAAAAGGTAAAGCTGGTAGTGGGGGTCCGGGAGAGGGTGAATTACAAGAACATGGGATACGGGTTGGCGATATTGTGGCAGTTAGTGAACAGCCCAGTGGTAGTGCAAAGAAGAGGGAAGTCAAAGAGTTGGAGGAGAAGGGAAGTAGAGGTGTGGTGACCAAAGTAGGGAGGAGTGCGGTGTGGGTTGCGCTGGATGAAAATGGGAAGGGCGAGGAGAATGTTGGAGGTATGAAAAGATGCTGGGTGGTCAAGCTCGCAAATGATGTTACGTACAAGAGGTTTGTTTATTCTATGTTGATTTGATCTGCTGGTCTCATGGCCGATTGAGTAAGAGGAGAATGGGGTGGGATGCTAATTGGTAACTTAGAATGAATGGTACCATGGGAAAGTTGGGGAAGATGCAAGAAGCGGAATATTCAAATTTCGTAAGAGTTTTATTTGGATTGTCATCACCTTCGCCAGTTCCAGAAACCCTGGGGTATGCGGGAATTGAGTGGCTGGATCCAAGTTTGAATGATAGTCAAAAGCATGCCATTAAGTTTGCACTTGCTTCGAGAGAGATGGCTTTGATTCATGGACCACCTGGAGTGAGTATCCTAGATTTTTTTCTGGCATTCAGCGGGTCATTTTGAAGGATTTATGAAGCTTCTTTCATGTGGACGAGTACTATCAAATATGTCCACATTAATGGATGATGGTACTGTGGTTGCAGTTTTTTGAATCACGCAAAAAAACATAACCAGTTTCAACGGGAATGTTGGCAAAATGTCAAGAATGATAGACGGAGGAATCATGCCGCTTGAAGAATTTGCTAACAATTAATAGACTGGAAAAACCCATACCTTGATTGAACTTATTCTGCAGATGCTCAAGCAGAATCTCAGAGTCTTGGTGTGTGGGCCATCCAATATATCCGTGGATAATATTGTTGAGCGACTTGCACCGCATAAAGTACCTATTGTACGCTTGGGTCATCCAGCGAGACTTTTGCCATCAGTGGTAAATCATTCTCTTGATGTCCTCACACAGACTTCAGAAGCGGCTGCGATTGTGCAAGATGTACGAAAAGAAATGGATACCAAACAAGCTTCAATAAAAAAGACCAAGAGTGGTAGAGAACGAAAAGCTATATATGGCGATCTCAAGGAACTTCGTAAAGAGTTTCGAGAACGTGAAAGGAAATGCGTCAATACTTTGGTGGGCGGTTCAAAAGTCGTACTTGCAACCTTGCATGGTGCTGGGGGGTTTCAACTGAGGGATGAGAAATTTGATGTTGTGATTATTGATGAAGCTAGGTAAGAGTGCAATGTTTTCTTTGAATTCGCGTCAACCGATTCCAATCATCTATGTCGTGTGTTTCTCTTCTCTTCTTCTGAGCGCCTCTCGTCTTTCTCAGCGATTTCCCCTTAGAAGATAATTACTAACTTTTCATACTATAGTCAGGCTTTGGAAGCTCAATGTTGGGTACCTTTGCTGTCAGCTAGTAAAGTTGTTCTTGCCGGAGATCATCTCCAGTTGCCGCCAACAATCAAATCACTAAATTCCAAGACTAAAACGAAATCACAAGACACAGAGACAGAGGGTATCATCAAGGGGATGACTTTGGAGACCACTCTGTTTGACAGATTACTCAAATTACATGGCACTGGAATTAAAGTCATGCTTACTACACAGTACCGTATGCATGAGAAGATCATGAGATTTCCCTCGGACGAGTTATATGAATCAAAACTTGTCGCAGCTGAAGCAGTCAAGGCAAGACTTCTCACAGAACTACCGTATGATGTCGAGGAAACAGAGGATACTATTGAGCCCCTGATATTCTTCGATACTCAGGGTGGCGACTTTCCGGAAAAGAGCGAAGAGGAGAGTGCTGATAAGAAAGCCGGCAAGGGAATGTTAGGTGAAAGTAAAAGTAACGAAATGGAAGCGGTTCTCGTGAGACGACATGTCCAGAATCTTGTCGATGCAGGGTTGAAGCCAGAGGATATTGCGGTTGTGACGCCATACAACGCTCAGGTGAGAATGATAGCAGTTTTTTGTGCCTCATAATCTCTCCTCTGAAGTGATACTAACGCAAAAAGCTCGCATTAATGTCTCGATCGATGAAGGAGGCCTTTCCCGGCATCGAACTGGGCAGTGTTGATGGGTTTCAAGGAAGGGAAAAAGAAGCCATCATTGTTTCCCTCGTTCGAAGTAACAGCGAACGCGAAGTGGGATTTTTAGGAGAGAGGCGCAGGTTGAACGGTACGTCCACCCTTTTGCATGAATTTCTTCATCTGTTCTCTACTTCTAGAACCATTGAACCCTTCTTTGCATGAATTTCGTTCAACACCCGCCCCCGCATCCCAGTATGATCACTGTAAAAGCAGATCTCCCGCAAACCAAATCAAACGGTTCTTGGGCTATAACATGTTTGATGATCAACCTCACACAACGAATGCTAAGCATTTACACTTCCAAGTATCTATGCACAAATAAAAATGAGGAAATCATGATCATGCAACTGACATAACCTACGAAATTTAGTCGCTATGACCCGACCGCGACGCTCACTGACAATCATTGGCGATTCGGAAACTGTCTCGAGGTAAGTTCAGACCTCCTTTTCATCTTCTTATACTCTGTATATATTCACTTACTTGATCCAATCTGGTTGAGACCATATGCTGACAATTGATGTATGATCGATGCAGAGGTAGTAAATTTCTCAAACGATGGATGGACTTTCTGGAAGAAAATGCCGACTTACGATACCCATCCATAGCGGAGTTGAATTCGTAATGAGTCTAATGACAATCAATAAATTAGGCTTTCGGTCGAAATTCCGAAAACCGTTACACCTCAATGGCACTCTAGTTCCCGTACCAAAGTTTGAGATCCATGAAAGAAATTATGCAGTTACGCATGGAGCTTGGAGGATTGCCTCGGAAGCTTTTCGCTTTTCGCTTTTCCTTTTGGTCTTTGCTGATGACCCACAAAATTGTCCATAAACGCCATCGCTGTCGTGCCACGCGATTTTGTTCTTTCCCTTTCAAGAAGAGGGTGTGCATCAGACGAATGACGAACTCTATATCAAGGACCCCCTGTAGTTTCAAGTAGAGTATGACAGTGGCACGGATCCCAAGGTGTGCTTCGTACAGAGAACCTCTCGAGAAATCCACCTCCCATCTCCAACAAGACTTGACAACCCGTTTTTTTTTTTTTTTTTCTTACCAAAGAGTCAAAGACCCCCAAATTTGACTATAGCGGCGTTAGCTGTCACATCTGGATATCGCATGGAAAGTATGAAGATGACATGACCTATCGCATCTTCAAGGTTCAAGAAAAGAGTGGGGATGGATACGGGGTGTGGAAGTTTTAGTGTCGAGTCTTTGACATGACATGATATGATATACCGCATCTGGAGCGCAGACCCAAGTTTACGAAAGAAGATTTATGCCGCGTCCAGGAAAAAGCTAATCGCGACTTGGAGATTGAGTTCCCGTTTGCATTTTCTGGCTTGCACAATTGGGGGATGGTTCTAGATGTATGTAATGTAATGCAATGTAGCTAAACACCCTCTAGAATCTTAGGTTGCGGATAATTATTGATCTAGGAGGGTTTTTATGGGTGACGCTATTGATCAGCTTTGATAGTGTACATTCCCTAGGTAGTAATTCATTTTCTGTGCCGCTGTGGCCGCGGATCATTCATGGTTTGCATTGAAGAATAAGAATAAGAAGATGGATTGTACTTGTACTGTATGTAAAATGTAAATTCGGGTAAATATACCTAGTATCTCCATCACAGTCACTTCAGTGACCTTGGGTTGTACGGTATCGGTACGCCATGTATATCAAGCCAAGAGATATGCAGCAGCTAGAACGGAGGATTGTTATTACTGTATTGTATTGTGTTGTGTGTAGTTATATAGTTATGTTATAGTATTTACTCGAAGACCATAGACTGTATTTCGTGACACCGCTCGCTCGCTCATCTTCACAAGATGATCGCAAGCGCGCCGGCAGAAGTGCGAATTTAGAATTGAAGGGGTTTCTTCATCGGTTGGCGATACGAGCCCGCATTCCCTGGATATGCGACCCTGCTGTGGTAGGTACCTCTGTGTCCTTCTTGGCGCTGTATGGCGACATGGAGGGTGACTGCTGGGTGAAGGAGATGTTTTGAAGGGGATTGTGTGATTTGTGATGGGGCCCTGGGGTTTGCATACGGAGTTGATGGATGTTTGGAACTATTCCTGTATGATGAGAGGTGGGAGGGATGGGTGAGGTGCAGTGCAGTGTAGTGCAGTGCAGTGCAGTGAGGTAAGGTGCATGTTTAACCGTTATCTAAGACAGTATGGGAGGTAGCTTGTGTAGAACTTTGGGATAGAGAGAGAAGCATGCATGCATGCATGCATGTATGTATAGAGTCTGGTGAAGATGTAGGTTCATAATTCTGAATTTCTGGATGGTAAAATAGGAGTTGTGGTTTAGTGAGTGTGAGTGTGAGTTACCTCAATACTTTATATAGAGTAGTTCCTTGCTTGCTATGTGAATAGAGATTTACAGGATTTACAGGATGTGCATAGACAAGATTTACATAGCGAGGGACAATAGTAACAATACCAAGTACCTCGCTTTGGACGAAGGGGTTGGGGGAGTGTAGATATGTATGGATTGATCTTTAGTTGAGTAGTACTTGCTAATACTTGGTACTTCCACTTCCACTTTCACTCACAGAACCCATCACCACATCCATAACATCCATACTAGCCACACTAGCCATGATACTACACCCATAATCACTTAACCTCCAACACACCCTGCATGAATAGACTACCGCCAGTGCTCCACCACGCATCCGCATCCATCATCTATCAACCTTCATCCATCAATCAAAATCGATCTCTTCTCTTCCTCATTCCAAGAGAGAAAGGCTCCAAAAGCAAGCAGAGTGGATTGACGGCACCAAGCACGAATCAGGATTTATATCCTTCCTCTACCCAGCTACTTTACTCCTTTCGGACGATGTTGGGAGTTCATCAACAAAAAAGAAAAAGGAATTTTCGCATGGTTCATTCATTTACTGTCTAGGGAAAGCGATACCGCGGAAGATTATGGTGTTTCGGTGATGGATGGATGGATTGATGGATAGATGGATGGATTGGTTGATTTGATTCAATGAGATTATGATCATTAGCTCTTTTTAGCCTTTTTCCTTCCGCTTCTTCTTCTTCTTCTGCTTCTTCTTGAAATTATGATTGTCCCTTTTTCGGATTTCCACTTTTGACATGTACTCTTCTAACTGTGTTCGTCTCAAGTACTTGAAATATTGAATTCCAGTGGGAGGAGGATGAATGAGGATGGATGTATGGATGGATGTATGGATGTATGTGAATGTATGTATGTATGGATGGATGGATCTATGTATCTGTGTATCTATGGATCTATGGATCTATTATCTATGTATCTATGCATCTATGTATGATACGATATGATTGATATGATTGATTCATTAATTAACCAACCCCTCTAGACTCGAGCATTCGAGCTTCAATCCTTCGTGGGGTAAAATTATTGTGCATTGCAGACAACAACTCATACCTCCCTAGGTCCATAGCTTTAAGCACACTATATCCTTACTATCCTTACTATCCTTACTATTCTTACGATTTCGTGCAGTCGCTTCTCGAGTAGGTTGGTACAATATTTGCTTCCCTGTTTTCGAGAATAAATTTTATAGAAGATGCAAAGAATGCGAAGAAATGCTGGGAGAGGCTGGGTCAGATGCTGGGAGATGCTGGGTCAAATACTGCGAGATACTGAAAGATATTCGTATCATTACCAATCTTCGCAATCCACCTCCCTCCAATACTTCAATGCTTCAATGCTTCAATGCTCCATACAGCCGCCTCAACAGGGATGAAAACGATCATTCCATTCAACCTTACCATTGTGGGTTTGGCTTGAATCTTTTAGTTCTATTCTTGAATCGATCTCCCCGTCCTTTCAATTTTCCTTCTTGTCATTTATCTTGTTTCATGGTCGCTCCTTGTCAGTAGCTTACTTCTGTCGCAGAATATATGGTACGTGTGATGCGCCCTGGATCGATAGAGTTCCCTGGGTAAAGGGACCCATTGACCCATTTCACTGAATAGTACGGAGTTGCTTAAGAGAGAGAGGGAGAGAGAGATTCACATATATACTCGAACTGCCGTACATTCAACCCTGAGGAACGATGATGAAATTTTAACATCTAATTCGACTGGGGAAACTGAGACTTTTCAATCTTCTCGTCGTTCGGAACTTGCGAATATGCCTAGGAGTCGTTCCACATCTATCAAACAATCCACTGTCACAATAGATTTATCCTTAATCCGCGACCCACTTATGAATACAGGCAGACTGAAGGACCCGTTCTAATATCCGGCTCTCAGTAAAATGAGTAAATTTACAAAGTCCCCAACCTGGAAGGCGGAACCTTCAGGTCGAGCAAATACCGGTTCGACCATTCGTGGAAAGATTTCTGCTCCCATTCCAATCCAGGACGACGACGAATTTCCCATTCGCTCTCCAGGAACTGGTATAGCAACGCCTCTTGGATCTCTTAATTCTGATGGAATCGACAAAGTTATGAGGGGGTCCGCCATTTCTGGCCGCGATAGTGCTCTGGCACATGGAGATATTGGGACCGGGAGTTATATCGAACCACCCAGGCGAATTGGAACCACCCCTCTACCATCCGATCGGCCATCATATAATGCCCCTCACGTAGGACAGAGGATTACAGCCTTCCAAGGAGCTCATCGCCTGTTGGCAGACCATCAGGGTCAATACTCTCGAAGCCGGCGCGAAAGAAGTCAACTTTCAAAGGAGTGTTGGGAAAATTATTTGGCAAGAAAAAGAAGGATGCTGCAAACAAGAAGCAGAGCGTGGGTGCTCTGCAGAGTGAACAGCATCACCGCAGTGTGAGTAGAGGCATGTTGCGTTACGTTACTCTTGTCTAATAATTTGTAGGACCCATCTGCGCTCAGCCGTAGTCCACTGAATACCGCGACCTCCCCCAAACGATCTACTTCCATGCCGATCAATGAGTTTAATCGAGCCCTCCGATCGCATTCTCCTTTCGTAGATAGCAGTTTAAAGGAACAGATTAATACAGAGCGGGACCCAAATCGTATATCCACACAGACACAGAGTACAACGACGAGAACAAGGGTTACAACAGGTAGACTATATACTCCAGATAAAACACCAGGATATATGAATTGGACGGGACTTTCACCACGACCTGCAAGTGCTCAAGCTAAAAGCAGTAAAGCTCCCTCTGACGAGGCGCTTCCTGGTTCAATTGGAATGGCAGTCACAATTAGCAGTCACCCAAACAGGCGTTCAAGGTCTCTTGGTCAATTGCGTGAAGCTGCAAGAATTGCGGGAGGAATCGATAGACGTCGAAGCGACGAAATCCGCTATTGGAGAGCAAGCTACGACCCGGGGCCATTATCTCCATTATCATCAGACAAAGCGGAAGTGGAGGAGCCTAGGTCAATAAATGATCCGGAAAGTCCACGATTGATAGATGCTCAGGATCAGCCACAGCCTTTCAATTTTGGCCACTTGAGTGGATTAAGTGGCATGAAGATCACCCAGGCTGCCGACCTGGCAACTAGAGTTGATCATATTGAGTCTAGATTGGTCGAAATGGAGAAGACGGTATTTCAGATTCGTCGGCGAATAAACGAAAACGGAGACAATGTCGCACTTCAAGATCCCCCCAAAGGAGGCAAGAGAGATCGCAGCTCTTCTGCTCGTCGTCCTCCAACTAATAATTCAGAAACGACTTTACCAGGCTTACCCCGGCATCGACATTGGCACGAATTTGGAGCTCACAGTCGACTCTCGAATAACAATCCTCACCGCCCAACATCATCGTCTCATAATTCTTACCACCCTGACTTTGATGATACAACGCAAGCTCCATATGCTGCAACGACAGATGAACGTGTGCACTTGAGCAGCTCTCACACCACTGGTCGACCTCTTTCAACCTCGACTACTATTCGAGGTCTTGCATCTAGCTCTCCTACCATTCAAAAAGATGCCCATTTAACCATGGAGCACTACAACAATTTAACAAATATGTTCTTAGCGGAACAATCTGCTCGCGAACAACTTGAAAGCATTGTCCTCACCCTACAACGACAAATTGCTTCTTATCCCTCGATAGCATCTACGTCTTATCCCACTCCTGACTCTGCCACTGGAGGTGGCCCTATTCTTGATACCACATCATCGTCCAAAGGCACATCTGAAGGCTTTGGCATGGATAGTGATGATGACGCATACGCAGCAGGTTCCGAAGTTTTTCAAACCCCTAAAGAAGAATTAGGAGGTCAGAACTTTGGAGATGAAGTTTTTGGGACTGGAAAGGGTTACGGAAGCGGCAGTTCAAGACTGACTGTCGACACTGGAAATAGTGATGCAAGGACGTTGAGTCTAAGCCAGATCACGATGGGGAAGGGTGTACAGCCTAGTTTGAACTTTTAAAGTCCAACCATCAAAGAAAAGGAGGGCTGCAGAAATAACTGGATGATTTTTATATATCTCAGTTGCCTCATCGCGTATGGATTCCTATCATTTGTTTGCCTTGTTTGATTTTGACTTTCAGGATGATACCATGAACATCTATTTTTTTCTTCTATTTTTTTTTTCTTTCTTCATATCCCATTCTCCTGCATTTACATTTCTGTATTATACTATACGTACCCTGACTTCAAGCATGTCTTGCTTTTGCCTTTTATCTCCATATCATGAATCTCGTGGTCAATCCAGCATGGAAAGTTTGATCTTTTTTTTTGTCAGATCTCGTTTGTTAGTTTTCCTCCAAATGTATTTATAGAGGGGTTTGGATGGAGTTTGGGTTGGATGACTGAATGGAATTGGAGTTTTCCACTATCGTGGACAGAGGAAGGAGGGGAATGGGTGTCCCGATTAATTCGAGGTCGGCCTCCCCTTGTTATATTCGTATTATTGTATTATTTAGTGGTAGAATCAGGAGATGTGAATAGGAGAAAAAAAGGGATTAGAAGTGTGGGTGGAAATGATGTTTGGGCATTTATTTTTACACAGCGAGCAACTAGTTTGTCGGGCATTTTTAATAAAAAGAATCGGACCTATATATATACCCAAATGTATGCAAGAATTGTCTCATCTCAAGCTTTTTACTTTACTAGACAATTTATCATATTAGATTGGTGACATTGAGCATGTGATGGATTGAACCAGGAGCTGCAAATCTATTCTTTTGGCTACCTACCTGGGTATTGGAAACTGGGTGATGTTATGTAAATCGATTAGATCAATGACAATGACAATGACAATGTTAAAGATTGGTGATTAAAGCTTGAAATTGGTTGGTGATTGAGAATTCGAAAGATGTATTGATGTCTATAGAACTGACACTAGCACTAGCATTCCTTTATAGTCTTGACTATTCTCCTGAGCAGGCTGAGCTACGAGTAGTATCTTCCATAAGCTTTCCCCGCCTCCGCGGGGGTTAGCGTCCTTCTACATCCCTGTTGAACCGAGGCCGAGGCAAAATTGTCTGACCTCAATCTTGTCTCATAAATACAACATCCAGCTCTCCAAAATGTTCCAACCCGTATCCTACACAAATTCCCATCGAAAAACGATTGTATATTCACCATGGCGGGTCCCGTAAGACAACCGATTGATCTCCAGGCACTGGAGAAATATATAGAGAAGCACGTTCCTGAAATCAAGACACCGATTGAGATCAAACAGGTGCGTATGATGTTTTATCTAGATTCTCATTGCAACTCTTGAACTTCTGAGTCCTCGATGCTGATCAATTCCATCGTGGAAGTTCGGATTCGGACAGTCAAATCCAACGTACCAACTCCTCTCCTCCAATGGCCACAAATACGTGATGCGCAAGAAACCACCCGGAAAACTCGTCTCGAAAACGGCGCATCAGGTCGAGCGCGAATATCGCGTCATTCATGCGTTGGAGAAAACAGATGTGCCGGTTCCCAAAGCATATTGTTTGTGTGAGGATGAGGGGGTGATCGGTACACCATTCTACATTATGGAATTTTTGGATGGGAGAATTATTGAGGATCCTGGGATGCCGGGGGTCGGAGAGGAGGAAAGGAGAGAGATGTATGTTATTCTTCTGCTGGCTTGTTATTGTTTTACGATTAACGTTATGGGAGCGGGAATGCTAATTTGGAGTGTAATTTTTAATTAGGTGGCATGATGCTATTCGTACTCTGGCCAAACTCCACCGTGTGGATATATCGAAAGCTGGCCTGACGAGTTTTGGTAAAGCAAATGGATTCTACGATCGCCAGATTAAAACATTTGGGACCATCAGTGCAGCGCAAGCTTCGACGGTGGATATTGAAACCAAGAAACCTGTGGGTCAGATACCACATATTGAGGAGATCTTGGGATTTTTTAAGGATAAGAGATATCAGCCCAAAGATCGAGGGACATTGGTGCATGGAGATTATAAAATTGATAATCTCGTTTTTCACAAGACGGAACCGAGGGTCATTGGGATTTTGGAGTATGTATATTCTCATATAATATCCATTCGTCTGAGATAACACAGAAACGAAACTAACATCCTCTAGCTGGGAAATGTCCACCATCGGCCACCCCCTCTCCGATCTCGTCAACATTCTCTCACCACATACCGTGCGCCACGAGAAAAAATTCGCATCGCTCCCGCAATTTCTCGAGGAGGATATCCCCGGGCTGCCCGCGCAATCAGAGCTCATATCCTGGTATCGGGAAACTGCGGGTTGGGATCCGGAACCTGATTTGTCGTGGGGAGTGGCGTTTGGGTTCTTTAGGAATACGTGTATTTATCAAGGGATTGCGGCGAGGTGGGCGGTGAGACAGGCGAGTAGTGCGAAGGCGGAGGTGCATGCGCAAGCGAGGTGGCCGATGGGGGAGTTGTGTTGGAAGTTTGTGGGGTTGGCGAGGAGGGGGAAGGAGGAGGGGGAGAGGGAGAAGGCGAAGTTGTAGGGGTGTGTATTGGGGGGGGGGGGGGGGGAGAGGTTTATGGTAATGTAGAATGAGTGAATAGAATGAGTAGGTGTATGGTATGGGAATTACAATGGGAATTTTTGGTGAACACTTACTTCTTCCCCGTTGATTTTATTACCTCTTTTTATTCTATTCTATTATATCATTCAAGGAATTAAGATAGACTCTCTCTCTCTCTCTCTCTGGTTGTTAACACATAAATCCCAAGAATCAAACTTTCTTAACCGCTCGCTACAGCTACAGAATGAGTAGTATAGTATGTAGTATTATTGTGTAATATTTATCACTCATATGTACATACATACATTCATGTATATATAATAATAATAATAATAATAATAGTAACGGCAATAGTAATAGAATCTCCGGACTGTAATAAGAAAAGAAGGAAAGAAGGAAAGAAGGAAAGAAGGAAAGAAGGAAAGAAAAGAAAAGAAACTCTAGGAGTGGAAATTGATATAAAGATAAATAATAACAAAGATAAACAAAAATAAAAATAAAAATAAAAATATCATTAAAGATCTCGTTAAGAATCGCGTTCAAAGGTTTTCATCACACAATACAGAGGAAATAGTGGGATATTGTTTTGTTTAGGATTGGATGGAGTAGAATGGAGTAGAATGGAGTAGAATGGAATGAATGGATGGATAGGATGGGATGGGATAGAATAGGATGGGATAGAATAGGATGGGATTATACTCCTATCTACAAACAAGTAAGAGAATGTGATTCTTTATTCTTTTATCCCTCTACTCTTCTTATCTTGATCTTTATTATTATTATTATTTCCATTTTCATCTCTATAGCTATCTCTGTAAATCAAATCAAATCAAATCAAATTAAATCCTCAACTCCTATTTCCCATTCCAGAAATCATATTATATCATATTATATACACATCACATATATATCACATATACATCTCATTATATCTCACTACATCACATCTCACTATATCACATCTCACTACTAAACTCTCCAAACTCCAAACTCCAAACTCCAAACTCCAAACTCTAAGCTATCATCCCATCCCATCCCCTCCACAATTAAAATTAAAGTTTTCATTTCATTATCATTTCCATTGCTGTGTATGAAGTTAAGCTACGCTAGAATAAGCCAAGCTATACTCCTATGATATGATGGCATGATGGAATACCCCTCCCCCTCCATCCAATTTTCACTTACTATCGCGTGAAGATAGGAAGAAAGAGAACGAATGGAGGAATGGAAGAGATAAATCCCCTATGTAAGATTCTAATTACCAATTGACGCCCCGCGTAACCTATGAACCAGGCCAGACCGAATAAACTCAAAACCCGCATTCACATTTCCCCATCCCCATCCCCTAAAGTCTCTTCCAAAGAACATCCTTCTCAAAGATCCTCACCCCGGGAATATCATGAAACATCAAACCATCCAAACTCTGCACCTTCAATCCTCTACACAAACCATCACCACCCAAAAACAGCCTCTCACTCTCACTATCACTTTCGCTATCACTCCCCACCCCCAACCCCTTCAAACCCTGTTTATACATTTCCACAAAGCTCAGTATCTCTCGCTTCGCCTTCTTCTTGATTCTCTCAATCTTACTCACGCTTCCTTTGAAAGCCAGATACTCCAGTTTACACTCTGGGTTATGAGCCACGCTATCCATGGTGAATTTTCGTAGTTCGTTTCGAACTAACATACATGTATCTTCTGAGCGGAATTCAATTGCGTGAAGAGCGCGAAGGGATGGGAGTGCAGAAAGGTTTTGATTGATTATGTGCTGATTTGGTGTTAGTAAATCAGGAGTGTCTGGTTGCGTTAAATGAAAATGGATGATTGACACATGCAAGAACAGAAATCGATGTATGGCATGTGCAACTAGACAAATTGCCAGACCCAGCATCCATCCAAATAATCCCGCAAAACGAGAGTACTAGAATGACAAGAAAAAGGATATCTGAATATTCAAACACTACAAGAAACAATGAAAGAAGAAGGTTCAAATAACATACCAAAATATTGACATCAAAAGAGGCCGCCAATTCTTCCAAGTTCTTCCCCTTCCTACAAAGTAAAATCGTCGTCTTAGCATCCAAATCCCACGCAAAAGGACTCTGTTGACGAGGGATCCCCTCCTGATGCAACGACAAAACCTTTAAATGTGAAGCATGTTTCCTAAGAACCAATTTTCTGATTTGTTCAATCGTTACTATAATTTTAGACTCAGTATCGACTTTAGTTCTGTTAGATCGTTCGAGCAAACAAAGTTCGGTTATTTTGGAAAGTTGACCAGCAGCTTCGAGGAAATGTACGGTGACAGTATCGGTGTAAATCACATGAAGTGGGAGAGGAGCGACTTTATTCTCGCGTGCTACCATATGCCAAAACGCTGTTTGAGATCCAACACTTAGTAGAGTGATGCTTTTCAAAACTCTAATGTCAATGGCTTTTGAGATGACGGAATTTTTCATGGGTATGTTGTAGAGTGACAAATCTTCGAGGGCAAGACCACGACTTTTCCGAACGTAATCTTTCATCTCCTTGTCGAAATTGACAGCAGGAGCCTCAATCTCCTTTCCCTCTTTTTTGCTACTTGTCTCGACTGCTTTGAGAGATTGTTCAACTTTCTCAGCAGAATCATCTCCCAATTCGGAATTCGTCTCGGGCTCAGTAGCAACATCCTCAGCGGTCTCGGAATCTATCGTAAGCTCTTTTGATTCAGGCTCTTCTATATCGATATCGTCTGGATCTATAATCTCTTTGGATTTAGGTGCTTGTGTTGGCGTTCTAGATTCGTCAAATAGACTAGGTTGATCATCAGATTCGGTATCATCTGTAGCTTCTTCCTCTCCAGGAGTCGTCGTAGCTGATGAATCAGTACTCTCCACATTGGCATCCTTTTCAACATTTTCATTTGTAGTAACGGCCGGTGTGTTGCTACTCTCCGCGTTGTTGCCTTCCACATTACTAGCCCCCGATTTATCAGAAGATTCAACCCCATTTTTCAAGCCGTCAATGTAAGCCTGTGTACTCTTCTTGATCAATTTCTCGACAAGTCGTTCCCTTTCCGCGTCGGAAATTGCGAATTCAGCAATGAGTTTTGCCGATTTTTGCATCAATTTTACAAAGGCAGCCAAAGAAGCAGACTTTTCCTTCTTTCCCTCAACTTCAATCTCTGAATCATCTTCCTTTTGACCCGTTTCCGTATTGCCTTTTGAATTGGAATCGATACTAAACATCTTTCCCAACGCAGCTTCCTGTGCTTTTTTTTCCTCTGTGACCGTAGTTCCTTTCAATGGATCGGATGCCACCGAAAAGGGATTAGGAAGTGATGTTAATTGACCAAATTCATCCTCGGTTTCAGTTTCATCGTCATCTTCGGCAGGAACTGACACAGGTGGTTTCTTAGATCTAGAAGCAAAGACTTCTGAGAATGACAACTTGAGGGAATTGAGAGTTGTTGATGAGTTCCGTAAACATTCCCCAATTTCAGATAGATCGTCCAAGTTGTCCATATCAAGAATTGTCAGACTTTGCAAGTTTTTAAAGCCTGAAAATGTTGGAGATTTCCCATTCACAATTGAAGTATGACCTTTTCCACCATTTTGTTTAGATTTATTCGCAGTGAAAGATGAGTATGGATGGGATGTAATATCATAAACTGCAGAGTCAGTTTGGGTTGTTTGAAAAACTGGAATGACAATAGGCGTTGAAACGTTGTAGGTCAAAGATGGATTCGCATTGGTGACGGAGGGCTGTACAGCTGGCATTCGAACATGTAAATGTTGTAGAGAGCTTATACGGTGTAATTCTTTAAATACCTGGCCACTCAACTGCACACGAAGGTCCCACCTAAGATTCATACATCAGCAAGTGCACATTGTTACCAAGAGGACAAAATAATCAACCTACTTGAATGCCTCAAGAGCTTTAGCTTTCCGTAAAGTCAAGAGGAGGAGCGTGTTCATGAATTTTCCACAACTAGTATCATATAGATAAGAACGATATGATAGTTGCCCCTTCAAACTCCCATTCAAAGGTTCCAAAATAATATGTCTCAGATATTTCGAATAATCATAGTCGCTCGTAACGAATGTGTCCAACCCGGATGCAAGACTATCGATGATTGATTCATCTTGGTCATCGAGATCTGGAAAGACAATATGAAAGGTTCGATATAGCTCTTCGGCGGCTAGGTCGCGGAAATGCTTTGAAACGACGGACAACTGAAGTAAATCTGGGGTGTCCAACTAGGATAGAAGTGTTAGTATTGGCGCATCAAGAATCACACACTGAAATGCATCAGGCATGTAAATGACTGCCAAACAATCAAATTAGAGGAGGACTTGAAGGACTTACGTGCACCAAGATTCCTGATTGAATCTCTGAAGGCAGACGAAGAATACCAACATCTTGCACCTCCTCCGACATTTTCTCTGCGATTCCGAAGAAGTTGTCGATGTGTTTCAATTTAAGAAGAGTAGATAGATCTCATTAAGAGAGATTGAAAGTTGAATCAATTCAAGAAGAGCAGATAGATCTCATTAAGAGAGATTGAAAGTTGAATCTTGCCAGCCACAGTCGCAGTCACAGTCGCAGTCGCAGTCGCCGTCGCCGTCGCAGTCGTAGTCGTAGTCGCAGTCGTAGTCGCAGTCGCAGTCGCAGTCCTAGTCGCAGTCCTAGTCGTTATCGCAGTCGCAATAAGAACACTTCAAGAATCTCCTTCCTTATGTATATCCTTCCTTATCTGTAATATTCTCCTCTGGATCAATATTTTCCAAGTATCCTATCAAAGATCTGATCCATAAATTGTTCTCGTTGTAAAATAAAAAAAAAGTTCTCTCTCGCATTAGATGATATTCCCGTGTCGATATTTTTAATAATTAGGTAGAATCAAACGATACCTAGGTACTTTTCGTTCATATGTACTACAAGGCTGAGATAATGATTACTTAGTGAATGCGGGTTATTATTGTAGGGATTTGCCCTGCTTACTAGTGAATTGCGGGGAGCGATGGCACGGGATTTCAATGCAGAGAGATCCTTTCATCACACTTCATACTTCAAACTCCAGTATCTAGTATCCAATATCCAATATCCATACCTCATTCCAATCCTCATATCTTCCATCCCACCGCAAGAATTCTACATAAAATACTCCAAATGAATAAGTAATAACCTCCAAGCCCTTATCATTATGGGGGCAAGCCCCCAAACCCCCATAGCTCGCTGCGCTCGAAGATTTATATATCATAGAATATCGATTCCATTCAATAAGAATCTATTCGGCCTCCACGGCAGTGGCTCCCAGAGGGCCAGCGGAGCGTCGGTTCTAGATGAATGAATATGGAGTATCAAGTATCAAAGAATGTTAATTTGGATATCGTTAAATTAGAATTATCTATCTCATCCCACTCCATCCCACTCCATTCCATTCCATTCCACCTCTTCCTCTTTTATCTCTATACTCAGATTTTATCGTCGTTACAAGATCTCATTTCATTGCATCCCAATATACCCATCATGAAAAAGATATTCAAACGCCTTCCATTAACCCAATTCCTCATCACCAGTCTATGAAAACCCTCATCTCTACCACAACCTCTCTCTACCACCTCTTTCAAAATCAAAACCTCTCACTCCATCCCTCGCTAACCTCTCGCTCGCTCTCCTTCTCCACGGACTAGCCGTCGCCGTACTAACTCTATGCAATTCCGCATATTCGATTTCTTTATTCATATCCACTTCATTCAATCCCTCTAATCCCTCGAAATTGAATGTCTCATCCATTTCTCCTATACCTTCCATGGTTTCCAATGCCCCAAATGCACTCATATCAATGTTATTTGATTGTGAGCCAGCCCATGGTTCGGATTCATTATTTCCCATTGAGAGATCCATATTCATACTGATATCAAAGTCCATATTTGGATTAACATTACTGGATGACATAAGAGCAGATACACATGAGCCAGGGATAGTCCCTAATGGTGCCGAAGGATGATTTGAGAGGAAATCCATGTTGTTGGATGATGAAGTATTAAACTCCATGCCCAAATCCATATCTGTGTTGTTGTGTAATTCCTCATCAAAGGAAGCCAATAAATCATCATCGTTAAGGAAAGCCGGCGTTTGATGTGTTGAGAAGGAAGGGATTGATTGGGCTTGTGGTTGGTAAGTTTGAGTTTGAGTTTGAGTTTGCGAATGTGGCGAGGAACTTGTTGAATGAACCCCATAATGGGTTTTAAATTTCTCCAAAAGTTGACTATCATCCGCAGCTGTGTTTGGCATATTCAAAATCTTTCGTGCTTTAGCCCTTAACAACTCATCGGATGGAATGCGCCCTTGAGCCTTTTCGGTCTTGACCAAATCTAGTAATGCTTCTTCCAGTTCTCTCGAGCAAAACACTTGTGCGGGCATCTTATATCGTTGTTTAAGACTTTTAATGTATCCATTTGCGGTTTTTCCTCTCAATTTCACAATCTTTTCGCTTTCATCAATTTTGGCGAGATTGACTTCGAATTCTATTGTATCACATGCCTTAATGTCTTTTCCTGGATTTAGATAAGGTGGACAAAAACCTGTGCCACCCAAAGAGACTTTCCAGGAGAGATTTCCCGTGGGAAGGCCTGGTCCGGATTCTTGTGGTGAGAGACCGGCATCGCGTTTGAATCGCATTAGCCATTCGGCATTGTCGGCTGCGGTTTGATTCCATGGGTCGTCATCATCATAAATCACCCAGCGAGCTTGGTTTTGAAGTTCGGCGTCTGTTGGTACCTAATAATTGTTAATAAAGTAGAAGAGACTATCAAGAATCAAGGTGAGCTTACATGTTGATTTGGGTTATTTGGTGACATACACCTTGCCACGAATCTGGAAAGCTCTCTGACTAACCGAATATAACAATTTGCATCGTTGAGAAAATATTTTAGAGATTGTGCAGGGTTAGAGTTTGCTGATGGCTGACTGGATGCTGTGAGTGTATGAATAGGCTGATTGTAATTCGTGTTTGGTGAAGTCCCTTTACTTCCTTTGCTTCCTGGACGACTACGAGCTTCAAAGTTCTCCAACTCCCAATGTAAAGTTCGTGATGGAGACGATGCAGCTTGCCCGGGAGAATCAATAGCTGTTGGAAACATAATAGAAGGTTTATTTTCTGCAGCTGGCGCAAGCCCGTTTCTGGTTTTGAATATGTGAAGATATAATGGATCGTCAGCCCAAGTTTGATTCCATTGATCATCACTTCCATAAACGATAAGTCTAGCATGTCTTTGAAGATCAGAGTCTGCAGGCTTTATACCCAATGTAGCTTGAAGTTGCACATAATCCTTCATCTCTGCTTCAAGTCTTGCGTAGTTGTGTATGGCATGATCAATGGTAGTTTCGTCCTTTGATCTTACACCTTCGTTAGCCATCTCAGAACTCCTAGGCAAGCCCGCACGTCTTCTAAAATCAGCGAGCCAGGAAGTCGAGTTTTTTATCAAATAATTGAACCAAGAAACAGCACCTTTGCAAGGTACTGTAGCTGTTAATTCAGCTTCATCAAGAATTCTGCATGCTTCAACTTGTAATTCAGAATCGGTAGCAGTTAGACCAATCATTTGTCTCGAATCAACGTAACTCCGTAGGGCTCGCTCTTTTGGACATTGATGCATTGATGGTGTTGCACCAATTAACGAATGTTGAGCTGTTTCGAATGGTTTCTTTCGAGTCATTTCAAGTGTATCTTGTTCATCTGTTTTGTAGTTGTCCGACCCAGAGAACAAGATCAAATCTCGTAACCAAGATTCTTCGGGATATTGTTGTGAATCTGAGACAGCATCTAGATTGCGAATTATTTGACGAGCTATTCCGAGTAACTCTTCATCGGTAGGAGTTATGCCTTGCACAACTTTATCATTGACGTATTGTGTAAGGCCACTCTTGACCAAGTTTTCTGGTGTGCGAACCTCGTTGTAAGGATCTTGGGAGGCTTCGAAAGGTCGTACGGTCATTCGCTCTTCATGAATAAGATCTATTGTAAAGTTAGTAACTACGAATGAGGAAATCAAATGAGAGCAAGAAATGCTTACAAGGAGGAATTCCATTCTCAACAATGTTAAGAATCTGTGGTTCAAAACCCCAGTCACCTTTCCAGTCAACCATACTTTTACCACTTTTGAAATGTTCCGCCAGATGATCTATTCTAGCAGTCCAAGAATCCATTACAATTCCACAGAAACCACATCTAGAACGTATTTCTGGTGTGATAGCTTTCCAACTTTCCATACTCCAACTAGCGAATTTTACATCGTGAACAAGGTTCAGATGTTGGCGTAGGTGATCTTTCCGATAGAATGTCCTTTCTCCAATTGGCTTTTCAGCACAACTTGAATGGTTATGTGATTCTGCATGAGCGGCGGATGGGTTTGGATGATCACAATATACGCAACCTGGACGTTCAAATTCTTTATTGTACTGTATAGGTCCATTGGGACAACAGATCCATCGCTCCAGTGATAAATGTAGTGATTTCTCATGCCTCTGCCAATCATGTTTCGTCTTGAAAGATTCAGTACAGAAAGTACACTGAAAGGTTCTCGCGGGACCTGCAACTATGACCTTGGCTGCTTTAGGTGCTTGTCGACGACGACGACGTCTACCTTTGTTTCCGAAAGAGCCAAAAGAACCAAATGACCCACGAGATTTATGAGAGTATGCCGAAGCAAACGAACCGGCACTGGAATGAGAAGTGCCCAAACTACTCGCCGATGACACATTATAAAGGGATCGATTCGATCCATCATCAGCGTAACTTGTGTATGGACTGTCCATACCAGAGCTAAAACTAGAAGCCGTAACGGCCTTTGCAATAGCTGTTTGAGAAGCAGGTTCGTGCTCGGGTGGAGAGTGCTTCCAACGTTCCAAAGGATTCATATGTTCCAAAGCAGGAGTACCTTTCCTTGGAATATCCATGGCATTTGCATAATTACCCACAGTTGGTGGAGTGACAGTTGGCCTGGTCTTTCCTCTACGACGTGCATTGGCAAGCCAGTTTGTGATTTGCGTTTTGTTCAATCCCGTTTTGGACATTAGAATCTCCCTCTCTGAATCGGTTGGATATGGATGACGATGATGTAACCCCAGCCAGTCCTTAAGAATTCGTACCGACTGTCTTGAGAATCTCGCACCAACTTTGGGACTGTTGTCTCCAACATCTGATTTAAGATTTTCTGTCGAAGTTTGAAGAGCTGGCAGATCCGTTGAAGAGTTGTTTTGAGATACAGGGTAAGAGTTGTACCCTTCAAATGGTGATGTAGGTGATGTGAGAGAATTGCTCCGAGGTTGGCCTTCTGCCACTTTCCAAGAATCACTGTATTTGACCAAACTACAAAGTCGACCCAACACCAAGCAACTTTGACAAGCGAGGCTTTCCTCATCTTCTAATCCTGTGCATGGTTGGGCCAATAATTTGCAGTACTCACACTGCTTGGCTGGGGCCATAGATTCATCTTCTCTGATGCGAAAATATCCTTGGCCATCAGTAGCACAATCGATCTTGCCCGAGGCACGATAATCATATAATATTTTACTCCTGATATTGAGATCCTGTGTCAAGCTGCACGTTCTTGCAAGAGCTACACAGCATGTGCAAGAGCCCATGCGGAAACCCTCTTTAATAACTTTGCAATGTGTATTTTCCTGTCGACATCGTGAACAAGGTTTGATAGGCTCTGACATGCCATCAATCCATCTTGGAAAATCTTGAAAATCGTGTGCTTCAAGTGTGGTAGTGTCAAGTGCCGGGGTGACCACCTCAGTTTCCAGATCTTGAGAGACTTGTTCTTCTGGAGCCGAGAAATGTTGTAGACAAGTAAAGGAATTCTCATCCCCTTCGGGATCTGCAAAGGCTAGGTCGATATCATAAGGACCTGCACTTGAAACAGTATTGAGATGACTAATATCATAATCGAATTGATCGGTAGTCGGAGAGGTGGCCGCATGAGTGGCATCATCAAAGTTGAAGAACTCATCCATCTCGTCAATTGTGGTCATCTAGAGGGCGCGAGGGCCGTTTGGATGAAAGTATAATGATATGTAAGACTCAATTGAGTAGGTGGAACGCGGGGAATGTGCTCTGATAGAGAAACAACCCACTATCCTATGCAGAACTGTCTAGGTGCTCGATTGAGTAAGGCAAACGAGAATGAAGATGTTGATAAGAAAGAGTCCAAGAAAGGGCGTAGAAAAGAAAAGATGATTAATCCTTGGGTATATATTGTTAACAAGATGACAGATAGATGTAGGAATGAAAGAATGAAAGAACGAATTATCGAATCGAAAACATATCAGAGAGCTGATACAACAGTCAGTCACCTTACCCTCCCCTCCTCTGGAACAGTCATCTTTGGATGAATTGGTTATCCAGGTTATCGTCAATCCTTGTCGGAAAATGTCGATAACACGCCCTTTGACAACCACATCTGATCTTAGTCAGTCCACAAAAATTGTGCATTACCTACCAAACCCCACACAGCATTGTGAAAATTGTGGTAAAATTCCGATTGGATTCTGAATTATCATTAGTAGCATACAGAGTTACCTAGGTATACGAAGTAGTAAAGTGCTCAGCGACTGAGCAAACTCGGCGAGCTACGAGACGATCTAGGTATCGAGCGAGAAAGAGACAAATCAAGCACCCCATTTTCTATCGCTTAATTGTTCTTTTCAGCCTATGTTCGCAAGTCGGAGTCGATTTGTAGTCAATTGCAGATGAATTACATTGATTCAATAAGATGAAATGAAATATTATCTTCTTATTCTTTAGATAGTAATACTCAAGGGAGGCAATGGAGTTATTAAAGATTTTTATAAACAGTCAGCATCTGCTTCTTTTTTCCTCTACAATATATACCGGTACTCATTCTCACGATATACACATACACACATACACACATACACACACACACACACACACACACACACACACACACACCATCCATCCATCCATCCATCCATCCAGCAAATCAAAATCACATCACCATCAAACTACCTATCCAACAATCCAATAATCCAACACGCCGACATCGCACTCCCCCATTCCCATCCCCATCCCCATCCCCATCCTCCATTCCAAAACAAAATAAACTCAAAGCCAGCCGGGAATATGCACAGGTATGTCTGCAGATGAGCGAGGCAGCGAGCGAGCAATGCTCAATACGGGAAATACCTAGGCATTGTGATAAACTTTTCTAGCCGCAGTCCTTGGCGATCACTTACTTTCTTCAAATCACAAATGGAACAATGGATAAATGAGGGAAACAAGCGGGTATGGCATTAAAATCTAGCTAGGTGGCTAGCAACAGGAATTTGCCGACGGATCACGGCTATTTACTACGTATTTTCTTCTAGTTAAGGGGAACACGAACACATCCATGGATAACTTCTCTAGATGCTTTCTCTTGGAAATTGTGAAAATTATAAAATAATCTCGTCGTTAATACTACATACAGTTTCCGCCATGCATCATGATCATTTCCCATATATTTGATCGTGCAAGCCATATCCAACCAGCCAGCACCGTGTAAGTAAGTTCATCCACCCGTAAAATTCGTACAATGAAATGGAATGGAATGCAAATAGCCACCACCGCGCGGTCATCATCATTTGCGGTTCGAAATATAATGAGGTCCCCATCCGTAGGTCTGTCGAAAAAAAAATAGTCGAAAGGTTTGCTCTTCGTAATTATATTAATGTCGGAAGATTTCTTCATCTCCTCATATATCCCCGCCATTACTCCAAATCTCCAATCCTCCCATCTCAATCTCCAATCGCAACTCCAGTGTTTCTCTCACAACCTTGGGTATTACCTCCTCCTTTCACCTCTTCGACCTTCTCCACCAACGACACCCCCAAAGCTCAATGGGTCCACAGTTCTGAATCCACTGTCTCGCTCCGCCCGCTCCCCACGCTCTCTCCTCTCCCTCTTACTCTTCGACCTCCTCGGCGGGTCGTGTTCTTCAATGACCACGACTTCATCACTACCCCCACCGCTTGAACTAGGACTTCTCTCCCTACTCCTTCTCACTTCTCTCCTCTCCTCAACAATTACTCTCTCCACAGGTGGTGGAGGCCTCCTTGTTTCTTGTCGCACTTCCTCCCTCACTACTCTAACCGGAGCCGGGCTTCGACTGCGTTGACGCCTAATCTCAACTTTCTCTGTTGTGCTCACTCTTCGACTGTGCGGTCTCGAACTCCTGTGCGAATTATGTGATCTCCGTCTAACATTCTCACGGAAAGTTACATCTTCGGTAACAGTAGATTGCGCAGATTGACGACGTCCCAATGTGCAACATGTATACAAGAGCCAGAGAAGTAGTAGAAAGCCTCCCACGGAACCCAAAACTATGCCGACAATTGTGCCAGGCGAAGGAGAATTGTTCTGTTGTCCGTATGTTGTTGGAATTATACTTGGGTTACTACTCGTAGTTTGTCGCGAGATTAGACGAGTCAAGAATTTCGTCAATGTTGAAGGAGAAGATGATTGGCCATTTCTTGGTTGGAGAATTGTAGAGATTGGCTGTAAAATTGGCGTCGTCCTCGAGGTTAACGAAGCCGAATGCGCAACATCCCTTGAGAATAGTGAAATTCCCGAGAATCGAGAAATTGGAACAGGTGCCATATTGGATGATGAACCTGCGAGCGATATGACGCTCGAGGCGTAGAGGAGGCTTCTTGAATTTATTCCCAAACTATGCGCCGGAAGTGTGATGTGTTTTCATGTGCTGCGTGTTGATACCCTGATTGATTGTTTACAACTGAGCTGTTTGAAGATGCTGGTCTAAGCTTGACGGGGTGATACGATACGATAAATTCAATTCAAGTGGAGGGGTTATGCTTGGATTTGATAAGCCAATTCTTGAAGATGGAATTATGGGGTGGGTGGGTGAATACAAGAATAACGAATGGAGGAACGAGGAACGAGGAACGGGGAACGAGGAATGATTGACTGGAGATATCCCAATTGAAGATATATTATGCGAAGGAAAGAAAAAGGGAGAGACGATAGGTAGGGAGGAAGAGAGGAAAGAATATAGAGAAAGTTGGAAAGGAGTTGGAGAGGAGTTGGAAAGGAAAGCATGAGCTAAAAGTAGATTTATCCCATTTTGAGGATTCCTTCAAACTATCCCATACATTCATACCATACATACCATACATACCGAGCACAATGTTACCTATCAACGAACGCTCGTGCATCCATTTTCTGTACCTAGTTCTATACCTTTCCTTTGGCTTGCGCAATCTAGAACAACATGAACAAGAACTCTCTGGGGAAGCAGGTACGAGGCAGACTTTTCCGCTTTTCTGGCACTCTTCATGATCTGTGAGTGGTTGAAAATAAAGATGGCTGGTAGCACTTTCATGATATCGCGTAGGTATCTGTGGTGAGATGAAAATTTGATTTCTTTGACATGGTGACATGGTAAAAAGAAAGAGGCTGGCATGGGATTCTCTCACATCGAGGGGTCGAGGGTCGAGAGCGCTTGTGCATGTGAAGATACTTCTCTCTGTACATCCGCAGTATTACTCTGTGCACTGGAACTGATTCACCTTGCAGTTGCCCCTCCACTGTGGAGCGAAAGTTAGAAAATCTTTCCTCTCTCTCTTTACCGCCGACGTATCACAATGTGTGTGGGCTCCACCAAATAATAAGAATACCATGGCCATGGCTATGGCTATGGACGAATAGAATAAGACAGAACAAATGCTAACAATATCATAATCACGTCCTTTCTCTGTACATTTTTGGTTGAACTTTTCACCCAACACCCATCTGTCTATCTTCAATATCTTCGATATTTGCATCAGGTTCTCCTCCTGCTGAATGATGAAGCGTTTGTGTCGTCTCTCATAAGATGTACTCGAATGAATCGCTGGTGGGAGGATAGTTGGTTGGTATTATGACCTTGTGCTAAGCCACTATCAAAGGCCAAGTTTGCGACGGTAAATGTATTATCTTATCGAAATATGAAAAGCCCAGAAACTCCAAATACCAAGCATTTCATTTCATTTCTTTGTTTCTTTTTCATTTTCATCTTCATCTTCATTTTAATACCCAAGCATCCAAGGTAATCTCGACAACTTCAATAAATTCGTTCTCATCTCCTTTTTCTTTCAATCGGTGTTCTTGCCATCAAGTGCCAATATACCTACAGATTCGTCGGCCGAACCATACCCATATCCGTTGAATACGAAGTCAAACATACTTTGGATCTTGATTAATTAATTTAGCCATCTTGTATGACGTTGATCTGGAATTATTAGATCGTACCAAGCGCCACCATCTAACGGATCTGTCTTAACAATACAAAGACTTCCCATTCTATCTACAAGGAGACTTCACATCACTATCCGACAGTCTCCGAGAATTCCCATACCAACACCAACGTCGCAATCAATCTACAAAAACTCAATTAAAAATGTCGAAGAAATACGAAGAAGGTCCTCCACCTCCAGCATATGGATCGGATGGTCCTAGTCAAAACTCCGCACCCATCCCCCTCAAGCAGCATATATGCATCCTTCTCCCTCGCCTCAACCTCAATATCAACAGCAGCCATATCAACAACCATACCCGCAAGGTCAATACCCGCAACAAGGCCAACAATACCCTCAACAAGGGTACCCACCACAAGGAGGATACTATGCGCCAGGTCCGCAGATGGGATATCAGCAACAACCTCCATACGGATACCAACAACAACCTTATGGATATCAACAGGGATATGGTCAACAGCAGAGAGGTTCTTCTACCGATGGCTTTTTGGGAGCTTGTTTAGGAGCTATGGCTTGTTGCTGTTGTTTGGATTTGTTGTTTTAGGGGAAGTTGGTATGCAGAGAATGGGAAAGGGATCGAGTGAGACGGTTGGGTTGTTTAGTTTCGGAAGTAGATGGATTGGAGAAGCAGGCATACTGCAGCACGGGTTCGACAATGAAAATGAAGCGGAAATATACGATTGGGAGTATCTCGAGGACTAGGCAGGCATATTCAACATTTACTATTTGAAAATTGGATTGGGAGGTCTGTATAACTACATAATTGGCGTATTGGGCTGGCTGGACCTGTCTTGGAAGAATACTGTATGCAATGGGTACAAGGGATTCAGGTGTATGGATAAAGCTATTTATCAAATGCAAAGGAGTTATGGGTGGCTATAGTCTGGGCTCTGAAAGACACAGGTTCTCAATTTTACATCTTTCTTAATCAAACACTTTACTAAATTCTTAGTAAAGGTATTTTTCATCCCCTAATATTCTGCCTCCACGGCAGTGGCCCCCGGAGGGCCAGCGGAGCGACATTCTCCTCATTGGTATAAGTATAGATGCAATTGCCTTTTGGTTCGATCAAAGATTCTACTACTATTATGGGGGCAAGCCCCCAAACCCCCATAGCTCGCTACGCTCGAAGGTACATTATGTGACTTCTATTATATCGACTTGTATGGAGAGGAACTCTTATATATATACATACATACATACATACCTACCTACCTAGGTAGGTAGATACTACAATCTAGTCCGATAATTCTATGGAGTTTGTTTCTAGACGTAACGAATTCGGAAACTATCGAATTCGGTTATTCCAATTAAAACATTTCAATAAAATATCTAGACAGCTATTTCCTTATATATCATCTAAAAGCAAGTAAGCACACCTTACAAATCTATAAATATATTATAATCCAACTTTCTGCGGAGATATGGAGAGATGGGACTTTTAAGAATTCCACTTTTGGTCCCTGCCAAGTCTACTTTATTCCGCTTTACCCAATTAGAAATTTTGTCGACCACTTTAAACAGCTCAGTTTGAAGATCTTCTATTATCACATACATAATTGCTTAACTGTGCCGCACCACAGCCTTGTGCTGAGGTATTTCAATTCCATTCTTTACATCAGTTGTCATGAATCCTTCGATAATAATCAAATCCTGATTTCGAGAACTTCGTCTTAATGTTTATATCATAACACTTTCGTTTTTTGCAAACCTTTTAATATCCAATCTTCATCTCACTGTCGTTCTTGCGCTTCGAATTCGTTGTGACACCCAGCATACATCAAGTGAATCATTTAGGCAGTATACTGGCCCCACCTTCAACAAGTATTCCTTCTGTTTTCTTGGCTACTACATATAATCTCGCTTTTATCCAAGGTCTGAAAAGTCACTACAATCATATCGCACATCATGGCCGATGTTGAAGAGCCACAGTTTACCACCCTCGCGCAACGTATTGCTGCATTGAAGCAACAACAAGCGGGGGACTCTGCCCCTGCGAATAATAGTTTGATAGTAGCCAAACGACCTCCACCACCTCCTATTCCAAGTTCCGATAGACCTCCTCTTCCTACAAGACCAAAGACTGCCAACAATCCTCCAATTGTCACATATGGTTCTTCTGTGAGCCAGAAACCTTTCAATGAGCCACTTGGCACAAAAGCCAACTCGAATCCAGTCAATGGCAATGCCCGAGTTAACAATTCCAAGAGTCCTGCTCTCCCAGCTCGAAATGCACCTCCTCCATTGCCCACGAGAAAAGCCTCAACTCCAAATCTGCCACCAAGAAGAGCATCTACTTCTACACAATTGGCAAGGAGAGATTCGGGGGATTCGACCATTTCACAAATGTCTACGGTCTCGGCCATGTCATTGAATAGTTATGGCAGACCCGCATCTTCGATAACATCTGTAGGATCAAAAGATGGAAGAATGCTACCTCCCCCTTTGGATATGGCAAAACTTCCACCTCTGCCGCCTTCAAGAAGAGAATTACAAGAGAAGGCAAGGTTAGAGCAGAAGGCTAAATTCCCTCTCGTTTCTGTAAGTATTTCTAGTACTATTTCTAGTCTTGGATTTGGGCGGGCGATCTCATTATCAGAGTTTGTTCTATTTCAGGTTGGACGTAGAACTCCAGGCATATTCATCTCAACTTTTCTCCTAGCTCCGAACCCCTTTATAATTACAAATTTAACCCTTTTAAAAAAAACAGACCAAGTCAGCTCCCGTTATTCTCAAACAACCTCCAGTCGTTGAACGTGAATTGCCACCCAAACTGCCATCAAGATCAAATGGCCCACCTAAAATGCCTCCTAGACCCATTGCAAATGTAGAAGATGAGAATTCAGTCTCTCTACCACCGCGAAGATTACCACCTCCATCCCATACTCGTTCTGTTCTGTCATTAGGATTTGGTAACAAATCTACCGAAACACCAAATCCTTCATCAAGGCCAGCACCTACATACAATAGGCCTTCCGGTCCTGCTGTTCAAGAATTGAATGCCAATAATTTTGATCGTATTATTCTCTCCGGAAAATTTGCTCTTGTGGACTTTTATGCTCCATATTGCAAGTATTGTGTTGAGTTGGATCCACATTATAAACAGCTTGCCGAGGATTTTGCATTTGCTTCTGACAGAATTGTGATTGCAAAAGTTGATGTTGATGCACATAAATCTTTTTTGGCAAGATATGGTATTGAAGGATATCCGACCATCATGTTCTTTGATGGAAATGGAGATAATCCGGAAAAGTATCAATATATGAGAGAAACGGAGGCTATGACAAAGTTCTTGATTGAAAAGACTGGAATATCACCATCTGATGCACCAAAACCTGGGGCAGGAGTACCACCACCTGTTAACCTTCGGTCCAAGCCAACATCGGCTCAAGTAAAAGCTGTAAGTGCTGCTCCAACTACATTATCTTCTCCATCACCGGGCTGCCTTTTATGTCGAGACTTTTCCGGTCCGGATCAAATTGCATCAAAATATTCAAGGGAATTCCTGCCAAGATCCCCTGATAATACAGGATATCTTGCTGATGTTCTTTGTCGTTCTTTCAGCTCGCCTACTGATAAAGCTCGTGCTATCTTCGTTTGGCTTCATCATAACATCGCTTATGATACCGGAGCTTTCTTTGGAAATCGAGTCAAAAATATTACACCTGCCGATACTATTAAGACTGGATTAGCTGTCTGTGGTGGATATGCTGGTCTTTTCACGGCCATTGCACTTAAAGCAGGACTCGAAGCTATCATGGTAACTGGTCACGGAAAAGGATTTGGATACACACCTCTTAAACCAGGAGAATCGTGTCCACCACCTAATCCTGGCGGCCATGCTTGGAATGCAGTACGTATCGATGGAGGGGAATGGAAACTAATTGACCCTTGTTGGGGTTCTGGACAACTAGGAGACAATCAAATGTACAACAAAAATTTGATCTCATCCTACTTCACCATGTCGAATGAAGAATTTGGCCTCAAGCATTTTCCAGCCAACAAGTCACATTTCTTTAGGAAAGATAGAAGAGCTTTAACGTGGGAAGAATACTTTATTGGAAATCTTGGTGGTGAACCGTTACAGATTTTCGGCTCTGTAGAAGATCGTCATGGTATCTCACAAACTTCAATTACTCCACCTCAAAAATACATACAAGCCTCATCCACATCCAACGCAATGATGCGATTTCAATTCTCCAAAGTCTGTGAACATTTCGACTTTGAACGAAATGGTCTTGGTAAACCTTATTGTCTAGTTTTGAAAATAGGAGGAGTGGAGGGAAGAAATGATGATATGGTACCATTTGACTTTGATGGGTTTTGGTGGTGGGTAGATGTGGGAGTTAAGGAATTGGGAGTGAGAGGCCAGACGATTAGTTTGTATGCGGTTACGATTGTCAATGGAGGGGATGCTAGGGGTATGACGAAGAGAGATTATGAGGGGAAGAAGGGAAAGTGTGCGATGGAATTCGCGGGGGTTGCGGCGTGGGAGTTGAATTGATTTTGTTGATGAGTTGGTGAGCTGGTGAGCTGGTAAGTTTTGGATATGCTTAAACTCATTAGCGATCATTGTCTTTTATTTCGTTTCATTCGACTCAGCTCAGCTCAGCTCAGCTCAGCTTGGCTTGGCTTGGGTTATGGCGTTATGGGATCGGGGATGGAAAGGTGTGGGCAAATCGAGATAGATCACAGTATTCTCTTTAACTAGGTAATAATACCCAACGCAGCGTAGCGTAAATATATGGATATCTTTCCAGTCTTGACGTTATATTGATAAAAATTGATGGTTGATATATTTCTCACACACTACCCACCCGTTTCCGAGACCACTTACTCATTCACTCGGATCATTCCACGTGGCTCCGGATATTGGAGGGTTGGTTCTTGGTTTTTGCATGGAGTGTGTGTGTGTGTGGTCTTGTTGTACATATGCAAATGCAAATGCAAATGCATGGGTGTGCGAATTGTGATGTCTGATTTGGGATCTGCGCTGTTGTGTAATCCTGGATGGAATGGATATTCTGGTTGTTTCTATGGAGGTGGAAGGCGAGAAAAGTTGGATGGGAGAAAACTTGGAAAGGAGAAAAGTTGGAAAATCTGCCTTGTGTGTGTGTGGGTTGAGGGGTTGAGAGATGGAGGATGGAATGAGATGTGGTGTGATGGAATGAGATGGGATGTGATGGAATGGGGATGTGATTGGTGATTGGTGATTGGATGATAGATGGTGTGAGAGAGGTCGAGAAGAAGGTCGGGTGGGTGAGGCGTAGGAGTAAAAGTGGAATTCGAAGAGGGGTAAGGCGTACGAGGAGGAGGAGGGGGGAAGGGGGAGAAAGATGTATATAAAGTGCTGTGAGTTGTGGTTCTACTTGTGCTGTGCATTTTGATCTCTTCAGAGATTAATGAATTCTTCATCTTCATCTTCATCTTCATCATTCTTCCACACAAATCAAATCAAATCCACTCAGCTCAACTCAATAGGATAGGATAGGATAGGATAGGATAAAACGAAAGAACATAGGAGTATTTGGAAAATGAAACCATCATCATCGAAATCTATCCTTCTCATCGCAGTCCTCGCGGGCATCGCAACCGCAGGACCGATTGCGTACGGTGTTTGTCAGAGTGGGTGTGCGGCGGTGGTGATGGCTTGTTATGGGGCGGGGGGCGCGACGGTATGAATTTTTCTTTTCTTTTCTTTTCTTTTCTTTTCTCTAGTTTTGGTTTCTTCTCCTGTGTATTTATTATTGTTTCTTCCTATGTGTACATAATTTTTAATTTTTTGTTGGGAAATTCGAAAGAGGAGTTGAGGATGTACTCATGCTAATGTGACAAAATCAATATAGTGGGGAGCGACGGCGGGAGCGACGGCGCCGGCAACGATCGTGGCGTGCAATACGGCGTTTGGGGTTTGTAGCGCGAAGTGTGCGGGGTTGTTGGTGGCGCCTATTCCTTGAGTTTTGGGGGAGGGCGTGAGGGACAGAGGAAGTTCAACACACAGATTGTTGTGATGTGGAAACCGATATACTTGTGGAATTCAACTTCCGAAATACGTAAGGGAGGTGTGAAGATCGATTGCGTATACGAGTGGGATTTGGGGTCTGGGATTGGGTTTAGGATTGGGTTTAGGATCAAGATTGTATCCGAGAATATCAAGATTTGGAGTTTGGGGAATGTGATAGTGATGTGTTGTGAAGATGGGTATTGTGATGGGATGGCTTTTCTGTTATCTACTTGAGTAATGATGATTGATGATTCTTACTTTTGTGATGGTTGATGATGATATTGTGTGATTGTTCACTGGGTGAGTAACTTGTATATGTGGTTTGTTCGCTTGAGTATAGGGGGTTGGATGAAAGGTATCTGGGATGAGCGAGTGTTTGGATCACCTTCTTTCATGATTCATTTTTTTTCTGTGATGCTTCCTTTCTTGCATTGCTTCGTGGTGGCTTTTTGATTGTGCTTGCGTGACGGGCGGCGTCGTCTGGTCCTGTATGGAATATCTCACTTGAGACTTGATAACCTTCCACGTTGGAAACTGGGAGTTAGATGTGAGCCAAGGCATACGATCAGATGACTACATTGTGAGAGCTACTTACTCTCAAAGTTTCAAGGCTTGAGGTTTGAATATTGGAAGTGGCCAGAGTTCCCGATTATTCGGAGCGTATTTGGATCATCAGAGGCTCTCAAATTTTAAAGAAATATAATATCCGAGATGAATTGAGTATTTCAAATTATGAAAATGATTTGACTGGAGTTAGACAATGAAAGCTTTTGATTGTCGAGCTGTACTTTTGACTATTGGATTTCTGAGAAGAGAATTCGGAAGTCTAATAATCATGGTTACGTATGACTTGCGGACTCAAGATTTTAGGGGTTCAGAATCAAATCTTGGCTGTAGATAGAGTTGTATAACTGTATACACTAAACCTTAATTCTTAGATTGGAAATCCTCAAGTGCTAAAATGGGGCATCGTATTGTGGTAATAGACAAGACGGTTAGCTATAGCTGATAAAAGGAGAGAAATAAAGTTTTGCTCTTATTCGATTTCGTTTTTGAGCATTGCCATAACTATTATGTCTGTTGTATAAATGTTCGGTTTCGGTAGAGCGAGAAGATGTCCGCCCCTTTATACTATATCGCGCGGATCTTTCATCTCATGGCCGAGATTTTCCATCTCAGCCTTATCCGAAAGATCAGATAACTTGAAGGTTAAAGCCACGACAATGATAGGGGTAAAGAGGTAAACCTGAGCATACTACCTTGTACATTTGCTTGTGTATCCACTTACTGAGCCACTCCTTATTGTACTTCTCTGGGTTTATTCCGCTCGATAACCTTACCAAGACCTTGGTATTTTGGTACACTTAGCATTGGGTTTTCATGACATGATGATCTAGATGCAGATTATCCGTTCACTGCCCGGTAATAGGGTTGGAATATGACGATCATATCAAATTGTATTGTTACATGGTATCAGGTCATAGCGATCTTTCCATGTCATAAGGAACATCAAAAGAATACGAATAGAAGGATAGAAAATGATGAGGTATTGGATGAATTAAGCGGTCATGAGATTATACTTATCGAAGCCAATGTGAACTTGTGACTGCTACATCGGAAAGTATCACGATTAACATGACCATAGAGTTTGATTAAATTATACATGATGGCATGTTTTATACTATTCTTGATGTAATAGTTATATCAAAAGTACGACACTACTCGGTAGACTATGTATAACCTGGCTCTTGTCTAACTGACTATTTCCTTGTGGCATTACCATTAAATCTTCCGCGTTACATCAATATTGATTTTAAAGTTACAATAAAACTGACACATACAATATATAAACTTTAAGGTGGCAAGATGATAGTCATCCCCAGATATATCTCAAATGATCGGACGTCGACGTCAAAGGACGGTCAGCTCGGACCATATTCAAATGTGCGAATCCTCCGACATTCCCCTGACTAGTGATCTTTTATGCGTCAGTCCGAATACGATGCATATCAACTAGTCAACTATGGTCCATTTTCTGGGGTTTGGTCTCTTTATTTCGTTCATCAATTTAGATTGATGGTTCGTTATTCTTCTTATTTGCTAAGTCGAGTGTAATGCGCCTCAATATGAGAATGCGAGAATGCGAGAGCATTCGCATCTTGGCAATTTGAGTAAAAGATCTGAGTAAAATATCCTGACAGTCTAGTACACAGCCATAATTCCTGGTCTTGGAAGTGGTTCTGGGTAATATTAGACAGAAAATGCGTAATGAAAGAAATATGCATGTCTTCAGAAGGAGATATATAAGAAAGTTCTATTCGGCTACCTCATTCATCACAACAACTTAAAACTTTATCTTTCAGTCTGTCTATCACTTTCTTTAATCGGATTTTCCTATTTCCGTCATGTTTTCCTTGCTACTCGCGGGATCTACTTTCGTGGGAGCTGTTTATGCAGCTTCTAATGTTTCAACTTCCCTTGCAGGTACAACTGTAACGACTGATTACGGAACTTTTACCTATTCGGAAGCTTCAGCATGTGCATGCTCGCAACTATCAACTAGTTATCCGGAGTACCTCTACTTTCCAAACACCTCAAACTACACTTACTACAACCTTGAGGCATGGGATGTCAGAACTAATGCGGATCCGGCTTGTATCTTCAGCCCTATCAATGCCGATCAGGTAGCAGCGGGAGTAGAAATTATCAGTACTTGTGATGCTCAATTTGCTATTCGTGGTGGGGGTCATATGAATGTAAGCTTTTAGTAAACATTTGAGGTTAGTAGCCTTCCGCTGACGTTCTTTGTAGTTCCCCGGAGCCAACAATATCAATGCTGGTGTGTTGGTAGCTCTTGCTGGCCTTAATGACCTTCAGATTTCCGCCGACAATACCACCGTGGATGTTGGTCCAGGTAACAGATGGTATGACGTCTACTCTTATCTCGAACCTTATGGTCGTATTGTCATTGGTGGTCGTCTTAAGACCATTGGTGTTCCTGGTCTCACTCTTATCGGTGGTGTTCATTACTTCAACAACAAGTATGGATATGCAATGGACAACGTTGTGAACTATGATGTTGTCCTTGGAAATGGTACTCAAGTCAAAGCATCCGCAGATTGCAACCCCGACCTTTTCTGGGCATTGAAAGGTGGTGCCAATAACTTCGGTATCGTCACCAAATTCACACTTAAAACATTCGATATCCCTCTCGTCAGCACTACCATCCAAGTATTCGACGAAAGTGGAATTGAAGCTTTCCTTCAAGCTACTTGTGATTTAGCTGCCAACAACGATCCTTCCATTGCAGCTGGAGCAGTTATTACTACTACATACAATGCTACTACAGGAGCTGTGTCAGCATCCCTTCTAGGTGTTCAAGCTGGAACCGAAAGTCCACCATCTAGATTCGAAAACTTTACAGCTATTCCGGCATTACAAGCTATTAATAATGTTTCTTCAATGGCTACTTTTGCAGCACAACTCGACTCCCCTCTTCAAATGTTCCGGTAAGTTTCACACAATCTTTCATGGAATGATCACTACTAATGTATAACTTCAGAGTCGAATTTGCTGTTCATTCTATGAAACCAAATGGAACTGTTCTCTATCAAATGTGGCAAATGTGGAAAGCCGCAGTCGAGGATGTTAAGGATGTTGTTGGTTTCTATCCAACTTTCGTCACAAACCTTGATCCTAAAAGCGCCAACACTATCGCAAAGACCAACGGTATTGGCAATGTATGGGGAAGAGATGACACTGAATCTGGTATCTGTAAGTTACTTCTCCTCTTTTTGTACACTCCCTATTCCATCTCAAGAGATACTAACATCAAGAAGGGTGGCAAATGAGCACTGGCTGGGATTTAGCACAAGACGATCTCCGCATGACAACATGGATTCAAAAAGTCATGGGAGAAATCCACAACTTTGCTATTGCGAACAATGTCTCGAGTGAAGAAACGGATTTCATCTATATGGGTGATGCTGGAGGATGGCAAAATCCATTTTCTACAATGCCAGCGGAGAATATAGAAAAAATGATCACCATTAGGGAGAAATATGATGCTGAGGGTGCATTTTCGCGTTTGAACTGGGGTGGATTCAAGATTCCTTCTTAGAGAGGTTGAGATGGTAGAGAAGGAGGTTGTTAGATTATATGATGGGAAATGTGACATATGGAGGGGGAGGTTTTGAGATGATTGGCTGTGATGATGAGCTAGGTTGTCCATGCCTGAGAGTTGGTACTAGGCTACTAGCTATAGTCATTGTATAATATTCTTATTTTCTCAAACTTATATATAGATACCACCTCCAGGTTCCTAATAGCCTTGGCTCCATTTGAAATTTCAGTGCTTTCAATAGCCCGGACTGCAGTCTATTTTATGATTCTAGTTTGAAAATATTGAAGGTACCATTATCGACATCATAAATTCATTGTTTCAGATCAATTCAAACATCAAGACTATCTCAATGCACGAAATGATTTCATTATTCAGAAGGGATTGAATATTTCAAAGTTCTTGATTGTTGGACTGCCGGCCAGACCATTGGACATCCTGGATTGGACAAACAGGGATCAGTTTCTGTAAGCCTAAAAAGCTATTGTATGATATCCGCTATCATTTTCCTGATACGTACTCGATCCGTGATTCGTTCTGATAGTAGAAGACCAAGTTCCTCAGAACTTTCGATCGTCTCTGCGTCGATTGAATCTTGGCAACCGTGTTCTTTTAAACATTGGAGAAGAAGATGGGTTAGCATGTAGCACAAGTAGACTCTGTGATTACAATCTTATCTCATCTTTTCCCCTCAAAATATATGTCTATTTACTCATCACACTTTCCAGCTATTCAGCTATAGCTATTTCTTCCCCCTTCCCTTTCCAATAATTTCAGCACTTCCAGCTTCCTCTTCACTCCCTCCTCCCCTCTTCTTCTTTTTCTTCCGACTTCAATCTTCCTAACAAATCTTCCATACGAATAGCCCAATCTAATTCATGCAACGCATGCAGCTCGTCTCGAAGCTTCAGTATTTTTGTCTCCGCGCCCGTCAATTCTTGCTCTATGTAGTAGATCTCTCGAAGAAGAAGATCAATCCTCTCTAATATCTCTGTCTTTGCAATACGGTCATTGTCGATGTTACCTGTAGTCGAATCTAGGGATCGCCATCGTCGAGCTACAAGCGGTATCGTGGTTGACAACTGAGCTACTGAGTTCTCTTTGTCTGGCGCTGGTACTGGAACAGCAACGACTGTCAATGGCGAAGTTGAAGTTGATCCTAAAGTTGCCGTGGGAGGTTGAATTGAGTCCGAGATTGGGACTGGGGTTTTGACTGGTATTGTGATTAATCTTTGACTTATGTATGTTTGGTAGAGAGTGCTGAGAAGTATGTAGCGAGAAATACCGGGAAGTCATCGAGGGTCTTTATACGAGTTAAGTCTATATTGTCTCATTATAATCTTGAATAGACATTGTGTTATTGTTTCAGATTATTGAGATTTACATCATAGAATCTTGAGGATTGTGTAGAGAATAAGAAGAATGTTTAAGAAGCAATGTTCTAGACGTATCTACGCAGCTTCATGAGATGTCAGGATCATACATGGAATCTCTTTGAGAATCTAGAATTATCGTCTTGGCCAATTGCATCACATTTACTTTAACAGCTTCATTTCGATACTGAATTTCACCACTAAAGAAACGTCAAAATAGTTATTGAATCATAAGGAATGCAACAAAATCATTCTATTGCGTGCGAATTGAGATAAGAGTGTAATGAAATTCTCGCTAAGTGAATGTGAAAAAATCTTAAGATACCTATGCAACAAGACTCGAAAAGAAAAGTAAAGCATAAGCACAATTGCCCAAAATATTCTCAATCGAACAATGCACCAAGGAAATATGTCCAGTAGCCCCGTCCTTTCTTTTCCTCTTTCATCCTCTCTATTTCCGTTCGCAGCAAATGTGCTTCATGCTTTACTTCTTCGTATTTTTGTTCCAAGCTAATCCATTTTCCCAAGCTCTCTGCTGCATGTTGCTGGGCTTCATCTCTTTCCTTCCGAACCAGCTGCATCTCTTTCAATCTCACCAATGCAATTCGTTGCGCGTCATTCATTCGACTCAATCTCTCAGATGCAAGCTGCAATGCATCATCTCTTTCTCTTTCTGCCAACTCCATATCTTCAAATCTCTTGGCTGCGACTCGTCTCGCTTCGTTGATCTCCCTCACTTTTTCGTTCTGCCATTCTGTGACTTCAACTATAAGTTGCTTTCCCTCATCCTTTTCTTTCTCCGCCTTCTTCTGCAATTTCAAACTCGCCTCTGCTTGCAAAATAGCTTGATCTCTCTCCGCCTGCACCAATGCTATTTTCTCGCCTGCAAAGAGATCCGTCTTCCTCTTCTCCAATATAGTCAGCTGATACCGTGCCTCCCATAATTTGCGCTTGGCATCATCGTTTTCCTTCTCTATGATTTCGTACTTCGTCTTGGTTTCTGCGGCACCGAGAATTGCGTCATCTCTTTCCTTTTCCAGGATCAAGCTTTTAGACTTTTCCATCAAGAGTTGCTCGAGAAGATTGGAGCTGCGTTCCGTTGCTTTGTCTCGCTCTTTGATTGATTCATCGATTCTCTTTGTCATGTCTCTAGATTCTGTGGATGAGTCGTCCGTCTGAGAGGAGGTGTGAGTAATCATACTACCCGTAGATCCCACCGGAGAGGAAGGGCGACTTTCAATGGGAGAAGCAAAAAATGACTCTGTTGGTGAATTAGGTTCGGTTCTTTCAGGAGACTCTAGTTCCCAGGAATTCCGGTGGTAAAATCGTGGGTGATACGCTGGTCCAATATCGACAGAGATAGGACCCGATGCTGATCCTGCTTTCTTGTAATATCTTGCGACATCGCTGGCGACTCTGGCGTGTATGGAATCTCGAGAGGGATTGTCAGATTCAGAAAGCGGACGGAGACGTAGGACTGGAGTATGGGAAGGGGATGAAGGTGACATTTTCGTTTGAGGTGAAATGAGGTGTTGGGAGTTTTTGTGCACGAGAATGAAATTATATGGAATCCCTTTCCTTTATACTGTTCGTGATACGCGATTTACGGACTGCTGCCATTTTTTTTTAATTCTGTCTTTTCTTTATGTTTTGCTTTGAAACGCAATATTAGATCTATGTGTTAGGCTTGGAAAGCAAAAGAAAGACATTTTGGCACGCACCCTCTCGTAACCATCATTATGAATCTAGATCATTCGAAAATTCAAAGAAACACTTCGTCGAAAAATCCAGAGGAATGAAGACTGACAGAGAGCTATCTCCTTCGAGTTTATAGCGATGAAAATACACCAGTGGGTGCATGTATTGACAGAACACTTCTCGACTTTCGAGATTTTAAATAAATCTACTCTTCAATTATTCGCTATCAGAATCTGTATTTTGGTTGTTCTATCTCTAATAAATATCTTTAACAATTTTTAAGATATAGAAATTGATATATCAAGAGATATTCACAAATCCATTTTTTACAGTGTCCCGTCAGCTCGTACACCTACTAGTGATACTATAGAACAAGTATGAAAGTCCAAGATGAAATAGAACAATAAGGTCTTAATTTTCGGAATTGAATAGAACAATTAAGCTGTAATATCCAAAGTTTCACTGTACAATAAGAGAGTACAGGTTCAAACCCCCAGTCGATGCTGATCGAAGCAACAAGATATTCTCACAAAGTTCAGCTCAAGATATGCCCCTTCTTTTTCGGGCTTCTTTCAAACGCGTTTTTTGGGTCGTTTGCTTTGAAAATTGCGAACATAAAACTTGGGGAATTACTACCTGGCTGCAATCCGGAATGGTACAACGCATCTCATTCTTTTCCACAGTTAATGGTTATGCAAATAAGTGCTATTGAATTTTCCTACCACACTACCATTTTGACCAAAATTTATACATCTTGCATTTTTGATATTCGCCCAAATCTATACCAACGAATTGCCACAATTAAATTCAAACATCCTAAGAAACTTGAACAAATCCTCTCTTTTTCTTACTCGACCCATCGTCCTCCTCCCAAGTCTCCTCATCCACATAATCCTTAGTCCCCATATCCTTGACTCTCTCTCCAGTAATCTTCAAAGCTGCCAAATTAAATCCCATCTCATCCTTCTGTCTCTTTAAACTCTTTCTCAAGTTCTCCTTAACGCCATCTAACATAGTCCTCATAGTTTTACTTGAAACAATCTGTTTTTGATGTGTCTTTAACATGAAGAATAGTATTCGACATGTAAGCGGTATGTTCATCTCTTTTTGGGCAAAAATATTTAAGAATGTGAAGAGCATGGGGAGAGTGGAGAATGGAAGAACGAGCAATGCGTCGTGAAGAGCTGCGGCTTTGATTTTCTGGAGAGTATTGAGGACATGTCGTTCGGCACTGATATTACCGAGAGCCATGAAAAGGAGGTTGCGGGCTGGAGGAGCGGTATTAGGATTAGAGGCTTTAGCGAGTGCATATTCAGCCATTAGTTCCAGATCGACGGTACCAATCTCAAGGGCTTCGACAATCTTTTCTCCAGCCATCAGAGTCTCGGTTGTTTGTTTTCCGGCGGCTCCAACTTCATTATCATCATCTTCCTCGTTCTTATCAGGATTCAGAGATGTTGTCAAAGTTGATTCATATAACTCTTCCAACTCCTTCTCCTTCTCTTCCTCGAGGAATATTTGCTCGTCAGTTTGTTCCCATACTCGAATACTTTTATCATGACTTGCACTGACAAAAAAGTCACCTGTTCGACTGACCGCCAAAGCCCAGATCTCACCGTGATGACCATCCAATCTTTGAATCTGTTCGAATTTGTCTCCATCCCAGTACTTGATCATTTTGTCCTTACTGGTACTGAAGAAATGATGTCCATTGCCATCTTGACTATGTGGAATGAATGCGACTTGTAAAATACTGTCTTGATGTCCAAAGAATGCTTTATGACAATCTCCAAAATCGAGACCCCAGAGACGTATATTCTTGTCAGCAGAGCAAGTAACAATGAGCTTGCTATCAAAAGAGATATCCATGTTAAGCACAGGCAACTTGTGACCATACAAATTTAGGAAGAGCTTTAGAGAATCGACGAAGAACACCTTAACGGTATTGTCCAGGAGGGCCACAGCTAACAAACGTGCATCTGGTGAGAATCTCAAGCTCAAAATATCATCTGATACTTTCAATGTTCTGGTATGGACAAGTCGTAGTTTTGGGGTTTTCCGTGTGGTTCCGGGAATCTCCTCCTGAATCACTTCAAAATTCCAGAATTTGGCTGACTTATCTGCACTTCCGGATACCACAGAACGGCCATCTGGATGTACCTGTAAACTCCAAATAGCACCTTCGTGTGCTTTGATACTCTCGATCATTGCAGTCGCAGTTACATCAAATAACTCCAGTTCCCCAGATTTTGTTCCAACCACTAGAATTTTATCTCCCGGCAAAAATGCACAGCATAGAGCATAGCCACATTCAAAACTTCGTATACAAGTTCCCTTACGAACGTTCCAGATTTTGATACCACCATTAGATACTGATGCCAGCATCTTGTCATCGGAACTCAGTGCCAACGCTCTTATATCTGCTCTGTGACCTGGCATTTCGACCGATAGTGTTCTTGAATAATCCGGCATTTCTTCACTCTTAGATTTCTTGCTCTTCTCTTTTGTGACTACTGTGTAGACCTCCAATTGGTTGTTCGAAGTTGCTATAAGCAATTGTATGGATTTGGTGCCTTTAATGCGTACCCAATCCATGGATCGAACTCTACCTCCCGTTCTAACAATGACGTACGGGACGAAAAAGTCTGTGATATCAGCAGTTGAAACGTCTTCGACCTTTTCATCCACTTCGTCAACTTCCATAGCTGACTTCTCAGTTGCGGCCAACTTTTCTCTTCTTCTCCTGCGCTTTCTTGCTAAACTTTTCTTTACTTCCTCTTCTGATCGTATCCTCCATATTTCAACCGACTTTTCCGAACCATGAACCGAAAAGTAGTCTAAGCGTGGGTGGAAACTGATTTCGAGTGCCCTATCTTTTCCCTGTCGATGTAAAATTCCTCTACCCTGGAGATATCGAGCTTCAACTGCACCGTTTACCTGTCTCGATAATTTGTATAGACCGGCTGTATCAATAGACCACACTTTCATTTCCCCATCGTTTCCAGCCGTGATACACCCACTACCATCCGGCGAAGTGCCTAAAGCCCAGCATTCCCCATTTGTTTGAGCGACATGCGTTTCGATACAGTGCTGAGATGTCATATCCCAGAGTTTGATGAGTGCATCCTTGCCAGTGGTGAGAAGAAATCCCTCAGATGAACTGTCCTCCACTTCGACTACTTCTTCGTCTTCACCAGATTCTTGTGGTGCGCCAGGTTGAATGAATTGGAGCCCGGTTATCTGATCCTTGTGTCCTCTCAATTTGAACAAGCCAACCTCAGCGACCAGGTCCCATACAATAACATCTGTATCCTTCGAACCACTAGCTAGACGGACTCCAGATTTATCGAATGCTAATGTAGTAATCGCAGACTTGTGCCCGTTGAATTTGACTAGAATAGTTGCAATTTTCGAGTCCCATAGTCGTATACTACCATCTTCGTATCCGACGGCGAAAATGTCTATGTCTGTTTTACTCTGGGCAATGGCTGAAACCTGAGATTTACATTCATTGTCTCTCCATCGACTCAAAAGTGCTCCCGTCTTTATTTCCCAACATAATACCTCCTCATTGGCAGCCACTATAGCTCTTCCCGAACCTGTATTTCGACTCGAGACGCCGGCTCCATCTGTTGACCAAACAACATTTGAAGTACTCGAATTGACAAGACCGAATGATTTCGAATGCTCGTATTTCCTAGAAGTAAGTAGGTCAATAATTGCTTATTGGCATATATCGTTTTGAGGACTTACAAGTAAGATTTGACCATATTTATAAACTGGCGCAAAAGTACTCATATGCAGTTTGAGAACCAGAACTTTTTTTCTAACCTATGCGATAAAATTCCTTAGTGCTACCGATAAGCATGGGTTTCACAGGTTTAAAAGCGGCAGGAAGACCAGATACTTCTATCCGAGAGATCTCGAAAATATAATGCCGCTTTAATACCCAAAGCTAAGCCACCCGCCCCACGTCGTCAGCAACCTGAGCTACAACAACACAACAGGAGAGCAGCAGCTTAATTCCCCATAGTGCATTAGTAGTACTGGAAACATCACAACGGGAAATTCAAGTCTCTTACACACCACCATAATGCTTCTTCTCGATTACCAAAATGTACTCATTCAATCCGTACTCACGGAGAGATTCTCAGGGTTTGTGTAAACCTGTATCCTAAAGCTCGACCAAAACTAATTCATATCAGAGCACCACCGGTGAACATTGATCAAACTGTAGCCGATTTCGACGGTGTTACTTTCCACATCTCGACCCCTGAAGCAAAGACCAAAATTCTCATTTCCATACAAGTCAAATGCTACGATGAACTTGTACGATATGGCGCTCAGCAGGTTCTTGAGCGTGAATATGGTCCATACGTTGTTGCGCCGGAAAGTGGTTACAATTTCTCGGTGCAAGTTGATTTAGAAAGTCTGCCAGAAGAAAAGGGTATGAAAGCCAGTCATCTTGTATGGCACATGCTGATGCAATATATTTTCCAGAAGCCCGAGATGATTTGATTAGACGCATATCCTTATTGAAACGAAATGCCATGGCTGCGCCATTCGAGCATGCCTTCACCGAATTCCACAAATTACAGGAGGAAGCATCGAAGTTCACGTCTGAGGAAGCTCCCCAGGGTGTCAGAGAAGGTGGAGATGTTATGGCAATTCATTACCGTGATGAAGAAGCGATTTATATCAAAGCCAGTCACGACAGAGTTACTGTTATCTTCAGTACAGTATTCCGCGAAGAGACAGATAGAGTATTCGGAAGGGTCTTTATTCAAGAGTTCGTAGATGCCCGAAGGAGAGCTATTCAAAACGCTCCTCAAGTATTGTTCAGAACCGATCCGCCATTGGAGCTTCAAGGAGTTCCAGGAGTAAAGGACAATGGCAGTGGAGATATTGGATATGTTACATTTGGTAAGTTCAAATACTCTTCTGCGGTATCGTGAGCTTTTATTCCACCCTGCTAATTCATACAGTTTTATTCCCACGTCACCTCACACTTCAACGAAGAGATGAAGTTATTTCCCACATCCAAACCTTCCGTGATTACTTCCATTACCATATCAAAGCATCAAAGGTACTCTCATGAAACACGGCCAATTCATGATTCAGTGTTAACTTCTCCTAGGCATACATTCACTCTAGAATGCGTACACGTACCGCAGACTTCTTGCAAGGTGGGCTCTTATTTCTGAAGAGTGGATGTTGCACATTACTAACGATTAGTAGTTCTGAGAAGAGCACGCCCAGAGAACGAAGAGAAAGAGAGAAAGACAGCTACCGGACGCACTTTCAAGGTCCAAGGTTGAGGATAGAAGACAACTGGGAGTTTGGGGTAGGCGATTGTATGACACGAAAATTGAAATTGAGCGATATTGCATACCACAAAACTTCTAGGAGTTTTTGTTTTGTGAGTTGATACCATCTTGAATATCTTGTGATTTTTGGCGTGATTCTTTGACACATTCCCCTTTTCAATTGTCTGTCTGTTATTATTACACTTCTCGACCTGGATCAATCAAATTTTATTGTGAGAACCCCGTGGAACAAACAATAGGTAGGTATGTTTACTTCAAATGGATAAGATTTTACAAGTCATTAATAATTATTCCATCGAGCAGATAATAAGTGAGCATTTACACTGGTGGAAAGGACATCCGCCGAAACCGAGCAATCGTATATCACGTGACACATGCATCAAACTCAGCCTCGTGTGGCGGGTGGCTAGTAACATGAACTAGTGCTGGTTATCAAAGCTACTAAGTACCTTCTCGATTACAAAATCAATACAAAATTATCCCATCCGAACACCAATGCGCATCACTACAACGCGCCAATATGTCCGACACCGACTTCGAGACGATCAGGAAGCTACAGGCTGAGAGGAATGCTGCCTCTGCTGGTAAGAAGGGATCGAAGACATTTGATCCATCAAGTCAGCGAACTGATGTTTCCACCAAGGCCTCCTTAACAGAAAGCTTCGATACCAGTCTTTATGAGCGCGATGGCGGTGATAAATTCGCAGGTTACAATACTTCCATCGCAGTGGCAGATGGTGATGATGATGAAATGGAGGAAGCTGATACCAGCCGAAGATTGGTAGGCCAATACACAGCTTCCAAGGAACAGATGAACGAATTCGCGCAGGGTAATGGGGTTGAGGAGGAAGATATTCTCTTAGGGAGAGAGAAAAGTGCACGAATTTCCGATCGCGAAACCGATTATCAAAAACGTCGACACGATCGAGTCTTGACACCTACAAGAGCTGATGGAAATGCTGAAAGCTACAGAGATGTCATGGCTAGGAGAGAACTTGAGCGTGAGGAAGAGAGAGTTAGGAAAGCCATTGAGGAAAAGAAGGCGAATGGCGAAGTCATCCACCATACTGCAACGCTGATCAAGGAAGGTAGTGGTTCTCCTGGTGATAAGGAAAACGACGAAGCTGGTTCCACGGAAGCTGTCGCAAGTGGACGCAAGAGAAAGAAGAGATGGGATGTTGGCACTGAGGAAGATACTACCATGGCTCCACCATCAGCGGAGGGTAAAACCAAACGTTCGAGATGGGATCAAACACCAGCTGTTGGAGGCGCCGCGGTTGACGAAACTCCTAGGAGAAGGTCTAGATGGGATCAAGCACCTGCTGCCACCCCCATGGGCAATCAAGGATTAGTAACACCAATGCATCCATCACAAATGGGCGGTCCGTCTATACCAACTACATTCGGAACTGATATATCATCGAGAAATGCGCCACTTTCAGATGAGGAGCTCGATATGATGTTACCATCTGAAGGCTACAAAATCTTAGAACCTCCGCCAGGTTACGCCCCAATACGAACTATTGCGCAGAAGGTCATGTCTACACCATTACCTACCGGCGGGTTCATGATGCAAGATCCAGAAAGTGGAAGACAACTAGCAAAACAACTCCCAACAGAAATACCCGGCGTGGGAGATTTACAATTTTTCAAGGCGGAAGATATGGCATATTTCGGAAAGCTCACAGATGGTAGTGATGAAAATTCCATGAGTGTCGAAGAACTTAAAGAAAGGAAGATCATGAGGCTCTTACTCAAAGTCAAAAATGGAACTCCACCTATGCGAAAGACTGCTCTGCGTCAACTTACGGATAACGCAAGACAATTTGGCGCTGGACCATTATTCAACCAAATCCTTCCATTGCTCATGGAAAAGACACTGGAAGATCAAGAGCGCCATCTGTTGGTCAAGGTTATTGATCGTATCCTCTACAAACTTGATGATCTTGTCAGGCCATATGTTCACAAGATTTTGGTCGTCATCGAACCATTGCTTATCGATCAAGACTACTACGCTCGAGTTGAAGGTCGAGAAATTATTTCCAATCTCAGTAAAGCTGCTGGTTTAGCTCACATGATCAGTACTATGCGACCAGATATTGATCATGTTGATGAATATGTACGAAACACAACTGCTAGAGCATTTGCTGTCGTCGCTTCTGCACTTGGTATTCCTGCACTTCTTCCTTTCTTACGAGCAGTTTGTAGAAGTAAGAAATCGTGGCAAGCAAGACATACTGGTGTGAAGATTGTTCAACAGATCCCTATCTTGATGGGTTGTGCTGTGCTTCCTCATCTAAAAGGTTTGGTTGATTGTATCGGTGGTAATCTTAATGACGATCAAACAAAGGTTCGAACTGTTACCAGTTTGGCAATTGCAGCTTTAGCAGAGGCAGCAAATCCATATGGTATTGAAAGCTTCGATGATATCCTCAATCCATTATGGACCGGTGCTAGGGTTAGTACAAATTTATTCTTTCATTCCCAAACAATTAAATAACAATTTACTGACTCACAAATAGAAACAACGTGGAAAAGGTCTTGCCGGTTTCTTGAAGGCCGTTGGATACATCATTCCTTTGATGGACGAAGAATACGCCAACTACTACACGGGACAAATCATGGAGATTCTTTTGAGAGAATTCTCATCTCCCGATGAGGAAATGAAAAAGGTAGTACTCAAAGTTGTTTCACAGTGCGCTGGTACCGATGGTGTAACAGCAGGATACCTGAAGGAGAATGTGTTAGATGAGTTTTTCAAAAGCTTCTGGGTTCGAAGAATGGCATTGGACAAGCGTAACTATAGACAAGTGGTTGAGACTACTGTTGATCTCGGCCAAAAAGTTGGTGTCGGCGAGATTGTGGAGCGTATCGTCAATAACTTGAAGGATGAAAGCGAAGCATATCGTAAAATGACTGTGGAGACTATCGAGAAAGTTATTGCAAGTCTCGGTGCTGCAGATATTAGCGAGAGACTCGAAGAACGACTTATCGATGGTATTTTGCACTCTTTCCAGGAACAGAGTGTCGAGGATATCGTTATGTTGAATGGATTTGGAACTGTGGTTAACGCTCTTGGTACGAGATGTAAACCATACCTCCCCCAAATTGTCAGTACCATTTTGTGGCGATTAAACAACAAATCTGCGACTGTTCGACAACAAGCGGCGGATTTGATCTCTCGTATCGCAATGGTTATGAAGCAATGTGGTGAAGATGCTTTGATGGGCAAGCTAGGTATTGTTCTTTACGAATATCTCGGTGAAGAATATCCAGAAGTTCTCGGTTCTATCCTTGGTGCCTTGCGTTCCATTGTCACTGTGGTCGGTATCAATCAAATGCAACCCCCAATTAAGGATTTACTTCCTCGACTTACACCAATTCTACGAAATCGACACGAGAAGGTACAAGAAAATACCATTGATTTGGTTGGTCGTATCGCTGATCGTGGACCTGAGAGTGTTAATGCTAGAGAATGGATGAGAATCTGTTTCGAACTTCTAGACATGCTCAAGGCCCACAAGAAAGGTATCCGTCGTGCTGCCAATAACACATTCGGTTTCATCGCCAAAGCTATTGGACCTCAGGATGTTCTCGCTACTCTTCTAAACAATCTCCGAGTTCAAGAACGTCAATCTCGTGTCTGTACAGCTGTAGCGATTGGTATCGTTGCGGAAACTTGCGCTCCATTCACAGTTCTTCCAGCTTTGATGAACGAATACCGTGTTCCCGAACTCAATGTTCAGAATGGTGTTCTGAAATCACTTTCTTTCCTCTTCGAATATATTGGTGAGATGGCCAAAGATTACGTTTATGCTATCACTCCTTTACTCGAAGATGCATTGATCGATCGTGATCAAGTTCATAGACAGACTGCCGCCTCTGTTGTCAAGCACGTGGCATTGGGCGTTGTTGGTCTTGGTTGTGAAGATGCAATGCTTCATCTTCTCAACTTATTATACCCCAATTTATTTGAGACCAGTCCTCACGTTATTGATCGTATTGTCGAAGCTATTGAGGCTATCAGAATGGCAATTGGACCAGGTCTTGTTCTCAACTACGTCTGGGCTGGTCTATTTCACCCAGCACGCAAAGTTAGACAACGTAAGTCACCCTTCTTACATTTTTATTCACTTACAAACTTGATGCTGACTATGTCATTAGCTTATTGGACGCTTTACAATAGCGCTTATGTATTATCGGCCGATGCTATCGTGCCTTACTACCCAAACATGGATGATGAGAAGATGGACAGGCCTGATTTGGCAATTGTGATATAAAACAGGCATGCGATGATTTGAACATGGAGGATTGGGTATTTTGGGCATACGTATGTACATTAATTATGATAGCGGCTCGAGCGGGTATAAAATGTCACTTCATCTATTTCGTTAAGATACAAAAGTGCTGGGAGATGATGTGTGAAGTTGAATGGAATGATAACTTGTGATGAAACCAGGGTAGAAGGGATAATGGCATCATTCCATGGACGCGGTACGATTCATCTGCGCTATGATTGAACAAGACAACCGAAAGCATTAAAGTAGAGAAAGGGATAGTAATTCATTCCCTGGGCTTCTTACCTGGAATAGAATTCTTATACTTTGTAATGAATACGAACAATCGAAAGCATTGAAGCAAACAAGGGAATAGTGACATCTTGTTTAGATTTCCTAGATATGATGAAATACTTATTATTTATAATCAACCTAGACAACTGGAATCTCTATTAAGGGTAGATACATTATCACACTCTTCGATGCATGAATCTGATTGTGGAAACAAGAATATGCCCCGGTCGTTCCAATTTCAAGCTGACCAGTCACATTTTGTTAAACCACAGACTAGTTTGCCGTCCACATATTATTACACACATATAATCCGCCATTCCACATATAATTCTTGGACAGTCAAACTACTAAGTACTCGAGTACCGGTAGGTATACTTCAATACACTTGGTAAAGTTTATGAAGCCGGACACGCCGGAGTGAAACCTAGCAAAGTCACGCGACCGAAACTAATCCAAAATCATCTATTTCTAAAATTCAATTCTCAATTCTGAATTTTTAAAAGAAAAGAAATTAGAGTGTTATGGAGATTGGTTTCAGAAATTGATTGGCCTTTTCTGAGAGATTACCTTCAGTCTCAACAATCTAAACATGATATCGTTATTCTACTTGTAGATTTATACAGAGATACTAAATCTTGATTTTTCAAGTGTTCGTTCATTGAAATACCGAGTACAAATGTAATACAGAATACACATAATACATACACCCTTTACTATCAGATGAGAATTCATTACTCGTAGTCCTATGTTAAGATTACTACTTACCATATATTTTGAAATATATGCCGACCTCAAGCCCAACCCCATCAATCTCCCCGCAGTGACATCGAAAATGCGGGGGAGATGCTTGCCGAGCGAGCTAAACGATCTAAACGGGTTAAGCGGGCTTTACGAGCCTCTACACGAGTTTCTCCACGAGCCTTCGCAATGACATTCATCCATTCATATGGACGAAAAGAATGCGGTGTAGCCCCACAAAATTGCCTTGGTGAAAAAAATCACAAGGGGTTCTCCATTGAATAAGATGAACTAAATCATACTTTCGTCCATTGCTATACCGAATTCTGCGAGAAGTGAAAACGAGATGACATATTCTCAGTCCATTTGAAAATATATATAGCTACGATGAAGGAAGTGTACCAAAAGCTAATTGACTCTACGCAGGAAGCTTTTGGTCTTCAATCTTGGTCAAAGTTCTCATGGGTTCTTTGTATATCTCCATTTAGTTTTATGTCGAAAATACCCACGATGATTTTCTCATATTTGTCTGTCAGTCTTCTTGGCTTGTGCGTGGTATCAACTAAAGCTATACCATATGAGGAATACATTCTTACACCAAATTCTCGAACCCTATCACCTGTATCAGTATACAATATCAATGGTTCAGTTACCAATGCAGAAGCATTGACCGCCACTGGATCCTCAAATCCAGCAACATTTGGTCCCTCTTCGGCTATCACCTATGATTTTGGAAAGAATATTGCTGGTATCGTCTCCTTCAATGTTGGCACCATCGACGGAGATGGTGATCAATTTATTGGAATCAGTTTTACTGAAAGCTCACTGTGGATCAGCGATAAAGGATGTGATGCTACGGCCGATGGAGCAATCGATGAAGCTTTGTGGTATACGGTCACCAGTGGCGGCTTTTATCAAGCAGAAAAGAAACAACAACGTGGTGGATTTAGATATCTAAACGTCTATCACAATACCACCGGGTCTGTTGAAGTCTCGAATCTGACTATACAATACACTGCTTTACCTCACAAAGCAGAAAACGAACTCAGAGCCTATACTGGCTACTTTCACAGCAATGATGATCAAGTTAATCGAGTATGGTACGCTGGAGCCTATACTAATGATATGTGTACTATTGATCCTACGACCGGAGACTCTCTAGTACATTTAGGCGAGATCACTTCAAATATTACTATCACAGAACCTGTAACATGGTGGAACAATTACACCATTGCTAGTATGTTCTTCTTCTCGTGTTGCGAAATAATACTAACAAGTAATTATCAGATGGTACCAGTGTTCTTACTGATGGCGCCAAGAGAGACCGTCTCGTATGGCCAGGAGATATAGCAATTTCGGGTCCCTCAGTCTTCGTTTCAACTAACGATATGCCAACCATCAAGAATTCTCTCGATTCATTACTAGTACTTCAAAACTCTTCAGGTGCACTGCCATATGCCGGAATCCCATTTACCACAATTATTCCAATCTGGAGTTTTACCTATCATCTCCATTCACTGATCGATATTCACGATTACTATCTATTTACCGGCGACGAAGAGTATTTGAAAGAACATTGGGGACAATTCACATTAGGAATGAACTTCTCCTTAAGTTTTATCGATGAGACAAAAATGGCCAATCTTCCTGCAAATAACCCCGATTGGTTACGAGTCGGTATGGGTGGTCATAATATCGAGGCAAACTCTATCCTTTACTATACTCTCAATTTGGGTACGAAACTCGCGAAAGTCCTCAATGACTCTTCACCTACCACTTCAAAATGGCCAGAATACGCCGCTGCTATCAAATCAGCCGCAAATGTTGCGCTATGGGATAACACAACAAATCTTTTCAGAGACAATGATACCCTCCCATTAACAACACTCTATCCACAAGACGGAAATGCATGGGCCATCTTCTCCGACCTTGTGTCTACTCCCGCCCGAGCCCTCCAAATCTCCGATTCTTTATCCGCACGCTGGGGTAAGTACGGAGCTCCCGCTCCCGAAGGCGGCGGTAATGTCGTATCTCCCTTCGTCACAAGTTTCGAGATCCAAGCACACTACATGGCTGGAAGAGCCGATCGGGCTGTCGATTTGATTAAATTCATGTGGGGAGATTTCATGCTGGACGACCCACGTATGACGAATAGTACGTTTATCGAAGGATACTCTACTGATGGTACTCTACACTATGCGCCGTATTCGAATGATCCGCGAGTATCTCATGCGCATGGTTGGAGTACGGGGCCAACCTCTGCTCTTACATTTCATGGAGCGGGATTGAAAGTCACAGAGGCAGCGGGAAAGTCTTGGAGCGTAGCACCTAATTTGGGAGGATTAACGGATATAGAAGCGGGATTTGAGACAGGCCTCGGTAGCTTTGCGGTTAAGGCGACAGGAAGCTCGGGGAGATTGGAAAGTATTGAGATTACGACTCCAAAGGGAACAATCGGTTCGATAAGCGTACCGTATGCGAATCAAACGGCAACAATGAGTTTGCAGAGTAGAGATGGAGAAGAAGTCGCTATGACGCGGCAAATCGCCGCGGGTAATGCGACGAGTGGGAGGTATGTGGTGGAGAATGTGGAGGGGGGGAATTGGACTGTAACTTTATGCTATTAATGTTGAGCTATCACAAAAATAATAACAAATATGTATTCGTTTGATACCATCCAGCTTTTGAGCATTATACCGTACATTGTGATGGTGGGCTGACTAACTTGATCTGATTCGAGACCTCTTGTGAAAAAGTGATCGTCTAGGACGTAAGTATATTTGAGACTGAGAAATTGATAATAGACGAAAAAGATAGACCAGATTATATATGTGTAAGAAAGTAGATGTGGGAAAGGTCTGAAATTAGTGACCTCGACCCGACAGAACGTTAATTGCCAAATGATCGAGGAGATTGGTTGGGTGGAAGTTGTGTGTATGTATTTTGTATGGTTTGGGTATTCAGAAATTAAATGGAAGAGGGATTTACGATTAGGTCCTGAACATGATGCGAGAGGTACCAAGTATCTTTTTTACGTGTGCTGAGTAGTATTTCTTAACGAGTACTTTTGTCCGCCATAAAGAATCTCTACTATCAGCTGTCGATATTCATAACCCCTTCTTGACTCTCTGACTTTAATTCAAATGTCTCCTTACAGCTGGACTTCCATTGTCAGGCTGTGGTTCAAATGTTACACTACACACCCATTCATGTGACTTCACACCGTACATGGCACACAAACACAATAGGATAGGAAGCTAATATTGAAAAGGTATCATATATTATTAAAATCAAGGGATATCATTTCTATTACATATCAATCATTACTCGTCCGAATATAACCTTTCCTTCATATCCATCCATACATTCATCCGACTTTTTTGTACAATCATCTCATCTCATGCCATTAAATCATGATCTAACAAATATCCTCCCTTTAAATCATTCCATAAAGCATTAAACCATCTCCAACAATTTCGTCATATTTTTAACGACTATACCCATTCATCATCTACAAAGACTCGGGTTGCATCAACTCCTCATGCTTAGCATCTCCCATTCCACCTTCATCGGACTTATGTCCATTCTCCTTTCTGAAGATATCACTCTCAGAAACAGGAGAGAAGACTTTACCCCATCGTCCATGAATGAAGTCATTAGCAGTGACCATCGAACTTCTCAAGTTCTCCTTGACTAACTGGCCAGTAGGTTGACTGAAAATAACATCAATCTCCTCAAGCGTCTTATTCTTAGTCTCAGGCATGAAAAGCACTTGGTAAAACCAACCGACTACTGCAATACCACCATAGAAACCCAGTGTCAAACCAATATTCGACATGGCCTTTTGCATTTCAGCAAAGAAGTATGTAACGAGGAAAGAACAGAGGAAGAGCATGGTATCCGAAGTTTCCATTCCGTAAGAACGGAGATAAGTAGGGTAGACTTCGGAAGGAATAACCCAAGTGAGACAGGCGTAGGAACCGAAGAAACCTTCGTAGAGAATAAGACCAGTGATATATGTACCTTGGGAACCCGCTTTGTTGGTCAAAGGAATAAGGTATGAGCAACCGATAATGACAAGACCGATGAAGAAACCGGGAAGCATAGCAATAGCCCAGAAACGACGACCAAATTTCTCCATGTAGAGAATGGCGGGAATAGTACCGATGAGAAGGGCTCCACCTCCAACGAGCGACATGAAAACAGCTTCCTTGTCGTTGAATCCGACTTGTTGCATAAGTGTGGCCATGTAGTATTGAATAGCGTTGATACCAGTGAATTGTCCCAAGAAAATCATGACGTTTGCGTAGATAATCGCACGACGAGCACGAGGAACAGTGATGAAGTCGAGCCATGCGAATCTCTTACGAGCACCTTCCATCTCACGCTCAGAATCAACAGAATGTTTCATGACGAAAAATTCCTTACGAGCAGCTTCATCTGTACCACGAATACGACTCCAGACACCCCAAGCATCGGCAGTACGTCCTTTGTGCATAAGGAAACGGGGAGATTCGGGCATGAAGAGAATACCAACAAGCATGATTGTGGAGAAGATGAGGGAAGATCCCAACATGTATCTCCATCCACCAGACTTAACACCGACGAAAATAGCAGCGACGACATAACCGAGAACTTCTCCAAGAGCAATCATGAATTGGTACAGCGAGACCAAGTTTCCACGATATTTGGGTGCAACGGATTCTGCGACGTAGACAGGGACAGTTCCACCTTCGAGACCAACACCTAGACCAAGGATAACACGTCCAGCCATCATCATTCCAAAGTTGACGGCACCGGCTTCGAGTGCTGCTCCGACTGTGTAGAGGAATAGAGACCATACGATAGCTTGTTTTCGTCCGACGGCTTCGTTCAATGGTCCAAGCATCAATGCACCACCGACGGCACCTAATGGTACACCAGAACTGACCAAACTAATTTGTTTTGTATTGAGACCAAGCGAAGCTGGCATGTATAGATTTGCTCCCGAGATTAAAGATTGATCGATACCGGAAAGAAGACCTCCCATAGAAGCAAAAGCGACTAATAACCTGCACAATACCAGTTAGACACTTTCCTAAATCTCTGGCACAAAAAATACATACCAAGTGTAATGTCTAGGGTCCTTGAACTTCAACTGGAATACGTCGGAACGAGATTTGCCTCGAGCTGTGACCTCTGCTTCCAAATCTTGTACTTCGTTATCAATGGTTTCCATGTCACCTGCGGCAGCGATTTGGAGAGCCTCCCACTCTGAGACCCTTCGGCCAATATGACCTGGACGAGCTTGAGCTGCACCCTTCTCATTGCCGAAATCTGATACATTTTCTTCGCTCATCTTAGCTGGTGTGTTATAATGAGAAGAGCTGACGTCTTCATGATTGACGACCTCCTTGGTGGGGAGATCTGACATGATTGTGAATTATATTATGATGCGTTTAAAAATAATCTGTAGATGAAGAAACGGAGTTATGAGGGAACTGTCCACTCAGCGATAAATTTGAGGATACCTTTCCAGAAAAAAGGGAAAGGCGCGAAAAGAAATTAGAGAGGTATAGAAAATGGGGAAATGCAGAATGAATGAGGGGAATGAGCGAAGATATATGATTTGGATACCCGGGGCATCTCAATAGCCATCTCATCCCAAAGTTGCAACCGAACAACATTCCCTTTGAGGATTAAAGTTTCCTACTTGTCAGATGAGAGCTTACCTGTTACTTTTACCTATTAAGGAAAGGTGGTAGAAGGATGTCATGTTGACGTTGGGTTCTTTCCGCAATCTTAGGGCAGTGAAAGTCTGAAAGTTTGGAACGAATTACCAAAACAGGTGCCAAACCCATTCGGCCACTTGGATCATAGGACTAGATTCTTAAAATTCCTGAATAAAAATTTGCCCCTGGGGTCTCCGGTTCACACTAGATCTTGCAGAATCCCCTCGATTCTCCACAAGAAATTTGCATGACTTCCCCTCCCATGGAGTCTGTTGGGGTCTGGAGAGGCGGAGAGTGGAGATTTTCAATCTGGTGGGTTGGTAGAATTTCGGCAACACTTCATTGCACAACTTGTGCTTGAACAATTTTGATTGAACAGAAGTATTTACGCGGTTGATGGAAAAAAAGAGTAAACAAATTTGACGTCAGATTTCTAACCATGCAACCATGCCACGCATGCGTAGAGGGATCCCTCGACCGGCGTCTGGCGGTTCACCGGTAGTTCATCTTTTTCCGTTATCTTGATTGGAGAAAAAGACGAGAAAGTACCAAACTAGTCGAAATAAATCGCAAAAGTCTTCATCCCTTGTGAATCATTAGTAACATGATTCGTTAGTCGCTCAAATTCTCGCACTAAATTGAAGATAGATTCATTAATCGGATGCATGATATCCTAGTACAGCATCCACAAAAACGCCGAAGATAATTGTTGATTGCACGGACTTTATTCAAGTAGCTCTGTTGTCGAAAATCTTCTCCGGATAGGACGAGAAAAGTTTTTATAAAGACTGACACCCATGCAATGATTGTTTTGTTGAAGTGCTCGGGATTTCCGTTGCTCTGGTAGACTTCTTAAACAGCTAAGTGGCGATGGAATTGTCTAGTACAATTAGTCGTACATCGCAGAGATGAGCAGACATAAAAATTATGTTGGAAATTTATAAAATCCCATATCAGTCATCGTTGTCGCATAACCACAATATCCCAGCGGGTGGATTTCGGCTTAGAGTAACCATGCTCACTATAAAATGCTTAGATCAACCACTTTTTTCAGTGGAAGCTTATTGAACCCAAGCTTCCTTGTCCCGCACTTGGTATGGTCTTGTTGTTTTGCTTATAACGAGTCAAGCACATGTCCAAAGCCTTGACACTGGACAAGCCGTTAAAAGTTTCTCGGATGGCTTACTCAAGCTTTCACGTCTGATTCGGAGGCGTCTTTCCGGAAAATAAATATTAGTTCTACAAACCCAGATCAATCAATTGTTCTTGGTGTCTTCCAAAAGTCAATTTTATTATGCTATGCATACCTGGAATAAACTCTCGCCATTGCAGGTATTGCCTCGCTACTTCCAAATTCCCAATGGCCAGAGGAAGCTAATCTATCCTGGCATCAAGCCAAACTGGAAAATTTCTACTACCCACAAAGAGGCCGAATCTAACATCTTTGGATCCATAAAACCCGAACCACGCTCAAATCGATGTCGATTGTATTCCCTGAACGTCCCAACTTATCTTCTTGCATCTGTCAAGGCGTCAATCGTATTCGAGTCAGGAGATCATGATTCCGCAACTCCACATGCTGGATCACCCCTGATATCCAGTTTTCAAGAGCGAAAGTTTGTCTTCCACGCGACAACCTAGCCCATAAGAGTGAAACAATGCAGCTGCCCCAATACTCCAGTCTCCAGTCCCCAACCTCCAGAACTTTTGAGTTGTGGAACCAACAATCGAATGTTCGCGGGGATGCTCTCGGTCCGATTACACAGTTCAAAGAACGACAGTTATATGAAAGTTCCCAGCGTCGATATGAAAACCAGGTAAATTATCTCAGTCAGAGTCTACTTCTATAGGAGTTGGTTTTTGTTGCGCTGATTTTTTCATATCTGCGACATACTCAATAACAAATGTGAATCCGGCCCATACAATTCCCGTTGCGATAAATTGGAAAGCCCATGAAGAGATCAAATGTTTCAAGCTGGGCATCTGGAAACCTATTTCGTAGAAGTTGACCAGACTCATACCAACTTTATTTCCGTATGCTCTACCGACAAATCGCAGCATTATGGCCTCAAGTGGCGTTATGAGAATGGAAGCGGCCAATTCTCGAAATCCTTCTGCGGCAAGTATTGTTGGAAGCATGGTAAGTCCAGTCTTGCGATATTTGACAACTTTTGGTTCTCCTGGAACATTCGTACTTCGTAGCTCAGCCGACCATGCCCCATGACCAACCGTTGGTTCGGCTGATGTGGATGTAGAATCAACGTCAAAGCTGATTAGTGTCGGTCGTGGGTCGTCATCCTCACCAGGATCAACACTCACTGAGGCATTGGTATGGCGCCGAGGTCGAGGTGTTGTTCTATCCAACGCCGGTAAACCTTCAAGAGCTCGTAAAGTATCTTCCTCTCCACCTCGAACTGGGCGACTCTCTTCGGGATCGTCCGGGGTGTCAAATTCCAATATTGGTGCTTCGACTCCAAATCCAGCAAACATACTATCTCCTTTTGGTCGAGGTAGAGATTTGAATATGGGTCGATACAAGAGTCGCGAAACAATATATTTGAACTTTCCATGAAATAATACTGCCATAATTGGGGTTGTGGAACGAAGCAAAGCTAATGTCCATGAAATAATTGAACCTATGTTTCTTGAAGGTGGAGGTGGTGCTTGAAGTAGTGATGCTTTTGAGAATGGAATCAATGACATCAATGGAGGTAAGAATTGGTTATATTCGACCAATCCAAACTGATGTAACATAGCAAACATCCGTAAGTGTAATGTGATATAACGAAAGCCTAGGTTGAGACTACAAATCATCAGTTGCGCGTCAGTATTTAGGTGTTTATATAAATACTCACAATTTCTCGGCAACGAACTTGGCCCATACTTCTCGAGAGGTAAGTCTTCTTTCATCTTCATCAAACATTTGATCTAGAAGAACTTCCAAGAAGCAGCCTACCCAGTCTGATACATGATATGCTATGACCGTGGGAAGCCCGGAAAAGAACAGGCTTGTGACAGATCTCCTAGTTCTCTCGTGCTGGATCAACGCTAGGATTCCAATGTCAGAATATGATCTGTAGAGCTTCAACGTGTAAGCATAACACTATATTCAGTTGATAAATCGACGTACCAAAACCCTTCGCCTAAATCCAATAGCACCCCAGACACCAGCATGTAGTGTAGCACGGCCAGCTTCCAATATCCTTAGACCTTTAATTGTCTCTTCGATTTTCTTCGTGTTATGTAGTATTGCAGCTTCTCTCACAGCAGTCAAATCTTCAACAATACCCGTGACTTGCATCACTTCATTAGCTGCACGAATGTTTTCTCGTTCCCTCCGTTTAGTCTCTGGATTTCTTGGATGTCCATGTTCGTCATATATCTGTGTGTAGCCAGCATTCTCAGGAATATTCGGTGGAGTTGGCCAGATTACTTGGTCTTCATATGGTGTTCGACCCTAGAATCTGTGAGTATAAAGCATCATGGGTGTATCAATTTGGTGTCAAGTGTTTTGACAAATTCGAGATTTCCAACAGCTACAATAAATTTGATGTATAGGAAAAGACTTGGCCGCCTGCGACTAATGAGGGAAAGGCATTAACGTACCAATGCCCAAGCAGTCAACGATTCTAGCCTGCCCATGGTTGCTGATTGTAGACGCTCTATATTTTGCACCAACGCATCGTATACCTACTGTGATGGTTACAAGTAGCTATTTCTGTATCATACAGTCATGGTCTGATGAGTTCGATGAAATTATTCAAGTGTTTTACTCTTCTCTTCAAAGAAAGGTTTATGATCGCAAACAAGAAGGAATACACGTCTGCACGTGATATAGAACGCTAAGATTGAGCTTATCGTCGACCCCTGTCAACATCAAAATATTTTTGATTCAAGTGAAAATAAAATTATTTTGGTTATCAACATTTTCACCTCCAATTGATTCTAGGAGCCCCAGGCATTATAACAAAGTCAGGAAATATAATAAAATCGCACTGTGTAAGAAAGCCAAATATTATAATAAAGCCATACACTGAGATACCAAGCTTGTGGCGCATCATGGCAACCAAGGCTCCTTACCAGACGACATTCGAACCTGAGCATACTATACAGCCAATTTACACAGGAGGAAGTGTTGCACTTGACCAAACGGGTCGCATACTTGCCACAACACTCGGGGAGGATGCATTATTGACAGATTTGAATACAGGGAGGGAATTGGCCAGGATAGAAGGAGATGGAGAGGTCATCTCTACATTAAGTCTCACGCCGTCTGCTTCCCATCTCATCATATGTTCGAGATCATTGTCTATGCGAATCTACTCCCTACGACCTTCACCTGCCTCTGATGTTTCTCTCAACTACGAACTTCTGCGAACGCTTAAACCGCATTCTACGCCAGTAGTAGTCTTAGCTGTAGACCAGACGAGTACTCTGCTAGCAACCGGAGCTGCAGATGGAGTAGTGAAAGTTTGGGATATTGCCGGAGGTTACGTCACACATACATTTCGAGGCCCCAATGTACTTATATCCGCTTTACACTTCTTCGAATTGGTTGCGAGCGGTAGGGATGAGGAATTAGGCATTTCAGCAAGAAACCGAAAGAACGGGAGCCGAAAGAGTCAAGCAGATGATGACAACAATGAGAACGAAGCAGCGAGAGGGTTCCGTCTTGCATCTGGAAGTCAAGATGGTAAAGTCCGTATTTGGGATCTTTACAAAAGGAATTGTGCCTCTGTTTTAGATTCACACGTGTCGGATGTTCGAGCTTTAGATTACTCACCAGAAGAAAATGCGCTTCTTACCGGAAGTCGAGATAAGACAATAATGTGGTGGGATGCGAAGACGTGGAAAATTAGAAAAGTTATACCCGTGCTTGAGGAAGTGGAAACTGCCGGATTTATTGAAGCCGGAAAGTTCACATATACTGGAGGATCGAATGGAACCATTAGAGTTTGGCAAACGGAAAATGGTAGGGAAGTCACAAAACCACAAAAAGGTGGCGCAGAGGCAGATGCCATTGTAGATGCGCTCTCATACCATGATCTTCCTTTCATTCTATCAATCCAAGCAGACCATACCTTAATCCTTCACTCAAAAGCTCCCATGGAAAACGCGGATTCCACTATCACCATTCCGGCTCTGCCCCAAGTCCAGCGAATCTCTGGAACTCATGACGAGATCATCGATTTAGGATTTCTTTTACCTGATAAATCCCTCCTTGCTTTAGCTACCAATTCGGAGGAAATTCGTATCGTCTCCTTGAATCAAGGTTCAGAAAACGACTCCAAAAAATCGGCCGCATATTTTGGTGCTGATGTCGCTCAACTCAAGGGACATGAGGATATCATCATCTGTTTAGATATCGACTGGTCAGGCCACTGGATTGCCACCGGTGCTAAAGATAATACTGCTAGACTTTGGCGTATCGATGCCGAAAACGCTTCATATACCTGTCATACAACTTTTACTGGACACGCCGAATCTCTTGGTGCTATTGCACTTCCTCATACCCCACCACCAGAATCTTCACCGGCCTATAAGTCGCCGTTGGACCATCCACCCAGCTTTTTGTTGACCGGTTCTCAAGACCAAACTATTAAGCGGTGGATATTCAAGCTCAGACAGCAACTGGTAAAGCGCCAAGAGCTTCATTAACCAAAAAAGCCCACGACAAAGATATCAACGCATTAGATATTAACCACAACTCTGAATTATTTGCATCGGCATCTCAAGACAAAACCGTCAAAATTTGGTCAACCAAAGAATTAGAAGTACAAGGTGTATTACGTGGTCATCGTCGTGGTGTTTGGTCTGTAAAGTTCGCGCCAAAAGATACCCCAACTCTTCAAGGAGATTCCGGTCCAGCTTCAGGAAAGGGTTTAATTCTTACTGGAAGTGGAGACAAAACTGTCAAGATATGGAATCTTTCCGACTACAGCTGCTTACGAACATTTGAAGGGCATACTAATTCTGTTCTCAAAGTGGCATGGTTGAAATTACCAGCACCAGAAGATAGAAATAGGAAACACGTTCAAATAGCCACAGCTGGTGGAGATGGTCTTGTCAAGGTCTGGAGTGCAACAAACGGAGAGTCAGAATGCACATTAGATAATCACGAAGATAGAGTTTGGGCCCTCACTGTCCACCCTAAAACAAACATGATAGTATCAGGAAGTGGAGATTCCACTGTCACCTTCTGGAAGGACACAACCTCAGCAACAATAGCTGCTAGGGAAGCGGCCAACACTCAATTCGTGGAGCAAGAGCAGGAGTTACAAAACTTCATACATGCTGGTAGCTACAGAGAAGCTATTATTCTTGCACTTACACTCAATCATCCCGCAAGATTACTTTCCATATTCACAACCGTTGTTACCGGTGCTCACGAAGAAGGAAGTATCTCAGGTCTCAAAGCTGTTGATACCGTCCTAGCCTCCTTGACAGATGCTCAAATCTTCAACCTACTTCTCAGAGTCCGTGATTGGAATACTAACGCTAGAACAGCGTCTGTAGCACAAAGAATCCTACATGTTCTCGTCAAAAGTTATCCCGCTTCTCGCTTATCGAATCTTAAGATTAAGGGGGCACAGGGACAGAAGAGTTTGAAGGAGGTAATTGATGCTTTGAAAGTTTATACGGATAGACATTACAAGAGAATGGAAGAATTGCTTGACGAGAGTTATCTTTTAGAATACACACTGCGGGAGATGGATGGTCTTGGATTTATTGAGAATGGAGCCATGGATGGTGCTGGGGATACAATTATGGTGTAATTTTGTTTGTAACAAGGTGTCTAATGGTCAAGATTAGTAGAATAAAATTTGAGAGGTTTCAATATTCAATCATTTTACTTCAAAGTTGAAATAGATTTCAGTGGCTGAGATATAGGGAAAATCTGAAGACCCGTGAATTATTGAAGAGTTTCCAATCGCGAACGAATCTAGCATTCTGAAAAAGTTTAAGCTCCCGAACAGATCCAATAATCAGAGTATCTAATAGTCCGGACTGCGATCCAACAATATGAAGTTTTGAATGTCTATAAGCAATTAAATGTTTGAAGATGATTCAATCTTCCAACCATATTCAATATCCCAAGATATTTAGTAGTCTGAATTGCAGTTCAACAACATGGGATTTTGAATGTCTAAAAAGGTAGTCAAAAGTTTGAAAATAGTTCAATTTCAGAATCACATTTAATATCTTAGGGTATCTAATAGTCCGTACTGTGGTCCAACGATGTAAAAGTTTGAATATCCAAAAGCAGTCAAAATTTTGAAAAGAAATTCAATGTTCTAATCAAATCCAATATCTTAGATGATTTAAATATTCTGATAGGTTTAGGATTCAATGATCTTTCATTGTTGGACTGCAGTTCGGACTATTGGACACTCTGAGGTCCGCTCTGATTCAATATCTCGAATCTTCACCACACCATTCCCATACCGAAATTCAAAACCTGCCCGCACTCCCTCTAGGAGCTCTACTACCAAGCGTACATGTCACCCCATTATCACATCTATTTTGGAATATCGCCCTCCCGATACTCAGCACAGAATTTCGTATACTCTTCTTCGGAGAACCGACCGCGTAGATACAAGGCATAAGCCAGATCGCCTTTCGTCTTGAGACACACCTCTTTGTATTCCCGGAGCTCGCCGTCGAATTTCGTTTCGTCCCTGAAGCCTCCTAGGACATATATCAGTCGAGTAATGTGGGACTGGGTGAGGGGTGTAGTATATTCATTGGACTACAGGCGGGGGGCGAAGTAGGAAGATTAACACTTACGATCTTGGTAACGGACTTAGTAGGAGGAGGTAAGAGAACGGATTTCGCTTTCACGGGAGCAGCTTCTAGTTCGGCCGTGAAGCTGGGTTCGGTAGCAGGCGGAGTGTCAGGCAATTTATATGCATATGAAGGCGGAGGCGAAGTCGGGTTATATCGAATGATTTGCTGAGATGGAAGTAGTTGTCATGGTATAGGATCTCGCTTTGGTGTGGTGACTTGTTTGGCAGGGGAAGCTAGTTTGTCTACGGAAGTGTCGAAGTATTCTAAGCAAAAATTGGCGTATGTTTCGGCTGAAAGTCTATTTCTTTTGTATAGAGCCAGGGCAAGACGGTCCCTTGTCTTTGAAGACAAGTTTGTTTGTGTTCACATAGTTCAGCATAGAGGTGTGTAGTTTTGATCTATAGATTGAGATTGAGTTAGCTAAGTGAAGCTGAGGAGAGTGTATGGGCAAACATTTACCGATTTGTCAATTGTGGACTTTGGAGCATTCTCCAGTCTTTGGACTTGCGTTCTTGCTGCATATATGACTGGGAAATACTTCTTTTCAAACTCTATTGGCGTCATCCTGACTGCATCAATTGATCGTCAGTTGAGTAAAGGAACCCCACGTCGAAGTGTAACCTACAAAGGCCCATCACCATCTTACGAGTGATCAAGATAGGATCTTTGGGATGTTTTTCAATTGAATCTTTGTGAGCAGCATTCTTGCGTTGCTCCGTGATGATTTCTCCTTTGTGGTCTTTTTCACCAATGGCCCAATTTTCAAAGGCTTCGAGAGTGAGCATTTTGGATGAGAAAGACAACTCGATGTGGAGTTATTACTGGGCAGCGGTCAGTTTCAAGAGGCCAGTGTGAAGTATAATGATGTGCTGTATTTCCGAGTCTTTTCGTTGTCCTACAAGAGATTAAGTTCAGGTTGAGGTATAGCAAACTCGGCAATTTCCCATAGTCTCATTGCAATTTAAGAGTCCAAGTGAATTTTTCAGGAGCACTTTCAAGTGAGGGGTTCTTATCACTTCAAGTGAATTTGGGAGGAAAATTCGTAGAGACTGCAAATGCCAACCAGTAATTTCTGACAGTTGACGGAGGCACAGAGTATCTTCGGCAATTACTCCTGACTTCACTTCGACAAATTCACTCACAACTCATTTCTAAATCACGTTACGCTTCAATCCGAAAAAAGCTTAGAAACTCGGTAGTCTTACTGCCTTTCAATTGGAAATTTCTTTTCCTTTTAAATATTCTCGTTTTCAAACCATCAACAATCAACAACAACAACAACCACCACCACCATGACATCATCATTCAAACACACTTTCACATCAAATTTTCTCTATAAATCAAGTTTATCACCAAAAGCAACAATTTGCAACATTGAATATGATCACATTAGATGTGGCCGAGAAGCGTTCGTGGGATGATCGCAATGAGGGGTTTCATCCGGACAGGAAGAAGAGAAGTTATTAAGGGGGCGATGCAAGGATACATGGGGGGGGGGGGGGGGGGGGGGGGGTTAGATAGAGAAAGGTTTCTGATACAGCAAAGGAATACCCAACAGAGCGATGATGCATAGCAAAGAGAGCAAGAAGGTGCTAAGGGAGAAGGGAGGAGTAGTGCAAAGATACTATATAGACAGGTTCATCAAAAAGCAAAGTTAGTTAGCATTAGTTCCACAACAAAACGACAAACTTGAAATGAAACACTTATACATATATACCCGTTGCCTCATTGAAAACTATGCCGTGAAATTGAAGTCTTGAGATTTTTCCGTGCTCCCATCCACTATCACATACATTGGTATCAGACACATTTGTACTGTCTTGAATGTTCTATAGCAGCCCCACTCCAGATGTTAAACGAATGAAATCCAAAGTGTGTCTAAAGTCGCGGTATTGAAGGCGAAATGATGCTGGGTTCATCACAAGTTTCATGGCGCGCAGGACTGGACAAACTCCTTCTTTCCTTCAACTTCTAGGGCTGGCAGAACTGACATCTTAGCACCTACAAGTGTGGTATAACATGCCTGTATGATTGCCTCAGAACAACGATCCAGAAAGACAGAAAGTTGGCTTGCGCAACGCGTCAAAATTGCTGCGGTCATGTATCACGTGACGCAACCACGAACTTTGACCCCCATTACAATTTTTCATTGGGGAAGCAAACAGACGACTGTTACAGCGTCGCAATTCAATGAGTTGTTTCTGTCCTCAACTACCTACATCAACTGGTTGGCTTGCACCGAGTCTATCGTTTTTCTATGAAAAACCATGGTTCTCCAGGTCTCCGAAGCAGCCTTATCTGTTAAATCAAATCCAATCGTTCATGATCTCAAAGATGCTTAATCATTCAACAGCAGTTTGTAGCATCTAATATTGTTCCTTTTATCTTTCAAGAGAATGCTAGATGCCTCAATTGTTTCTAGAATCTTAGTGGTCTATTCATTCTGCCTCTATTGCAAAGGGATTATTCATATAACATTCCTGTATTGTTGCCTTCGCCATTGAGCTTCCACATCATCTAATCTTCTGAATATCTCACCCCTTCGATCCATTGATCTTCTACCTCCGGTAAAACTATTGACCGATTCTTTCCTCCTCATTGATCCACTACTAGAGTCATCTCTATACCAAGACTTTCCATTATTAAGAGCCTGGACTTCTTCTTCTCTTTCATGAGCGTTTTGTGCAACATCAAGTTCAGGATTCTGTGTTGGATCATTATCTGGATCTCCATCCTGTCCAGGATTTGCCATTTCGTATTCCATCAGCTTGATCAATCTAAAGAAAAGTACTGCCAGCCCCGCCCCAGAAGTGGTCCAACCCAGTAGATCCAATGTTCTCTTGGAAAGTTCCAGACAATGGCTGATGGACCAAAACTACGAGCTGGATTTAAAGATGCTCCAGTAAATGGAACAGCAACCATGTGAGCAACAAAAAGGGCAAGCCCGATCCCGATAGGAGCAACAAATGTAGCTTTATGTTTCTCAACAGCTAACATTATGATGGTAAAGATCAAAGCCGCTGTAGTAATGGCTTCAATGACGAATCCTTGAGCCATAGAAGTACCACTTCCAAGTGTGGTGGCAACTTCAAGTTGCTTTGGAAATATTTCTTGCACGAGAATAGCAGCTAAACACGAAGCGCCAAGTTGTGTAATGGCGAGAAGAACAGCACGAATCGGTGAGACTGCTTTGAGTAAGGCAAGTGCTAGCGTTACCTATCATTGTTAGCTTGAAAATTACTCAACTGTCATGTTACACTTACGGCGGGATTGAACAACCCTCCACTGATACGAAAGAATATCCACGCAGTAACCATAAGACTGGCACCGAAAGTTGCGGATATATAAAATAAGACTTCAAGATCTGGTGGTTCACGCCCTTGAAGTTTCGCAACTTCAATACCCGCATAGCCAAAGAAAAGAAAAAGTGTCGTTCCAATTAACTCTCCAATTACAGCGACAATATCTACTACGGTTAGTGAGAAGTCCCAAATATAATTGTGTAATTACTTACGATTCTTCCAATCACTATTCATCCACTTCATCCATTTTGTTGCCGGTCTTCTTCTTTTGTATCTTTGGATCCTATCCTGTGTCTGCAAATTTTGCATCCATGGCCGACTTCTACTAGCTCTCTTATTTTGTGCCATGTTATCCCCATTGGTTAAACTGACAAACCCATCCTCACTCGTTCTGTACGGATGTAATTCAGGGTATATTTCATCGACGATTGGATAATGTCTTGGAATATCGTGCGATTTCTTAGGAAATTCAAAATCTTGCATCAGGATTGGCGCAGGAGTGTTTCGTTGTACTACTCTTCTTGGTGGTGGAAAGCTACGATATCGACTGTCATCTAGACGGACTTGAATTTCTTCATCTTGAGCAGACAGAGGACTTGCTCGTAATGGTTGGGGATGATCGCTCATTAGCGGACTTCTCATAGTCATTATGTTTATATCGATATATTATATGTATTATATGTCAGGAAAATAACTATTGAGTGGGAGATTAGAACACGTTATATGAATTCCGAACATTGATATAGTTTCCGGGTATGCCACTTTTCTCCGTTCTCTTTCTGCGGCATAAGCATTGTCCACTCCATCTTCAAAGCTTGAAAGTTTCTTTTTCCCTATCTGAATCTTCATTCTTGGCAAAAGTGGCTAGGTACATCTCGGCTTTTGAAAGTCCAGGTTTCATCAATCGAAGATACTTCTCAATGTTGAGTAAGGAAAGTTTATGCAAAGGCCATGCCCATAAGGTACTTCCCTTAAGAAGCATTTACGCAAAACGTAAATGACGATGATGTCTGGAGATACGGAAAGGCTTTTGCGGGGTTGAGGGATATTCGGCAACGATGGGTGTTTGAGAGAGACGCTAAGCGGGACGAGAGAATCTGATACAAGAATGACGAGATTTCGCACAGACATCCGGAGCAAAATCTCAATTGTATTCTTCAACAATGGGAATCTTAATTGCGGTCCTCAATCGGAGCTTTTGTACGGAACATGCCTTTTATCATGTAAGCTGCTCGTCGTGTTAAGAAGCGAATTTCATATAAGTTATCATGGACATCTTCTAGGAGGGACAAAAGTCCACATGTGCCATCAAACATGAAACAATCAGCTAAGCTTTCTTAATTTACATACGCTTATTTTACGAACCGCTGCCACTAATGCACAGGCAATGATTTCTTGTGGATGGACGTCATTGTCTGTGCGGAACCTGGGAGATCGACTGATTTGAAACATCATTTGATCGTTCCGAGGAGACCATCAGAGATTGAGATTGCTGATGTTATGTTATTTTAGATCAAAGATTTGTAGCATATCGGCACATGAAGAATTTTCTAATAATAGTCAATGCCTACCGGCAACGGGTGTGTTTTGCTAAAAGGGATAGAAGAATGGACTAGTAGCATTGAGTCTAGATTCTTACCAAGATGATCTCACTTGTTGGGCAAAGGTATATGAGTCGCGATCAAATGTTGCTGTGGTAAATCACTCTGAAGAAAATGCTCAATAACAATTCAAGTTCAACAAATTATTATTACTTCTAAAACATGTAACATCCATCTCTCTCATCTAGCCCATCCAATCCATCACCACATTAACCTCTTCCAAAGCCCTTCTTACCAAAAGCTCCTCTTCACTTCTCACACTACCAATCCATCCATCACAACAACTATCTCCCATCATCCCTTCGCTTCCCTCTCTCAAATTCACCTAAATCCAAACCGGAAATAACAAAACCCTTGCACAACTACTGGGCACATCATACGGATTGGGCGCATCAAAATACTTAATCATCTGAAAAAGCTGCGGCGCATTCAACCCATGAAACCACTCGCAAACCACCCATCCATCCGCCTCCTCTTCATCAACCTGAAAGCCCGCACTACCTTCATTGACAAACTTTCCACTACCATATCCTGAGGTAATAGTCACCGGTTCCCATCGTGCATAATTGGTATCGGAGGGAAAAGCATTAATGCTGAATGGGTAGGGAGAAACGTCGAATTGGAGCTGGGAGGAATTGAAGTACATGCGGGAACCGGTGTTATTGGAAGAGTCGACGAAAACAGGGTCGGCCATTCCGGCGCCGGTGTGCCAGGCTTCTACTTTGGGAATGTTAGGTGTGTGAAGAAAATCAGAGCGAAGGAATGGTAGAGGTGGAAACCCAATGAAGAAAAAAGGAAAAGAAATAGAAAATTACTTACAAACCCATCCATTATGCGTATAATCACCATCCGTCACCGTCATATGGAGATAAAACTCCCGAGTGTTGTTCAAAGTACCCGGAACCCAGGTATCCTGTCTGGACTCGATCGTTGGAGCGGCGGAGACGAAAGCGAGAATACTTGATGCCGCTAAGGCGAGGTTGCGGATTGAAACCATGATGTTTGTCTGTTTGTTTGTTTGTTTGTTTGTTTGTTTGTTGTCTTTGAGATTGTCTAGAAGTCTAATGTGTGCATGCGAGATTGAATGAAGATGATGATGGAAATAAAACTCACTTCCACACCATCCATCAGAGACTTTATATAACAAATCCTCCCTCGATCTTCCCCGTCGCCACTCCATACAATTCTTTCATTCTTGCATGTACTCCATGTACTCCCTCCCTCCCTCCCTCTCCAACGTCACAGTACCTCACTCGTGTATGTATGTGCATGTGCGACGGTCACCATTACGAGCTACTATTTCCATCCCCCGGCAAAAGCGCCATGCTATCTATCATCTCCGTCGTATCCCACACCCACCACCCCGAAATCGACCGAAGAATGCAGAAAAGCCTATTTTAACCTTACTCTTTAAGCTTATGTATGTAGGTATACAACCCTTACACGAAAATCGCTTGAATGTACCTCTTTCGACCCCGCATCGCACAGAGCCGGGGTAGTGTAGTTGCACATCGTATCGTACAAACACCAACCGACTTGGGAACACGAAAACTACCAAGGTACGTACCGCGATTTCGTATCGTGACGATTATTAATTCTCCGTGTGGGACATCCTGGTTTATTGGATATTTCTTTATTGATTTATTTGTTTATTCATCATGACAAAAATTAGTAATAGCCGTTCAACATGAGGGTGATGGGTGATGGCAAACGGGATCTCCGCCTCGTATTGGATTACGTGAGGGGGATCTGCAGATATGCAGATATGCATGCATGCATGAAGGCATGTAAGCTTCGTGTTTGGATACTTGGAAACATCAGATGATGGAGATGGCGATGGAGAAAAAAATCGTATTTGTACATTTTTGTAGCAATGTTCTTCGGTTGATTCGGTTTCGTTGGGCTGCGAGGGAATGTATGATGGGTAACGGGCGATGGGTACGATGTGTTGTGTTGTACGAGGTGAGATCGTATGATGAAGTTAACGGTTTGGGCATACGATTTGCACTTTCAACGGGTTGCGGCGGCTTGCACTGCAACTATGGATAGAAGAGAAGTATATTGCTTATGAATGAACGATCGGACTATTTCTGTAAATCTTGCTTTTGGTATCCTAAATATTTTACAATCAAATTCAAAATCCAAAATATCTCTTAAGGAACCCGCCTTCATTTGCAAGATCATATAGTACCGTACATAGCATTCGGCGCGAACACAAACATGGTAGCTATAGATTCTTGAGTACACATCTTCGTTCCCTTCCCTCCACCTATCCTATCCAGTCTCCAGGACTGCTCGGATTAGTTTCCGACCGAATATATCACAACTTCGTCTGCAAACCAAATTCTCCCTCAACCAACTCCAATATCTTTCTCGCAGCATCTTTTCGACCTCCATACTTTTTACTAACCAGCTCTCCCATTTCCTTTGCTTTCTGCCTAATAGAATTATCCTCCGTAACTCCAATCAACGCCTTTCCTAATTCCTCTCCCTCAACACCCGGTGCACACCCCTTACTTGCCCATACACCAATACCGAAAAACTCTACCTTCTCCGTATAATCATACGTATCGAACCAACAAGGCAATACTAATTGCGGAGTCCCAGTCTCAACACTCTCGTAATACGAATTCGCGCCGCCGTGATGAACAGATGCGATGATGTGACCTGAGCGAAGTATAGATATTGGTTCTGCTTTGAGCCAAGGTACCAGTTTTACTTGCGAGGCGATTGGTGCGAGGATTTCGGTAATGTTGGGATCGGGTCCTATGGATGTGGGCTTGAGTTTCCAGAGGACTTGGATGGAGGGGTTTCTTGAGAGGAGGATGCGGATTCCGGTGGCGATGTTGCGGTTGAAGTCTTTACTTCCGTATACATGTGATCCGAGATTGATAAGGATAGTAGGTTTTTTCTCTAGCCATTTTAAAAGTTCTGGGTCGGTTTGACGAAGTAGGTAGGAGGGTATGGTGAGGGGTCCACAGGTCGTTACATTTTCTGGAATGTGTGGGAGTTTGAGATCGAACTCTCGTCCTGTAGGAAGCAAGTAATGAACATCTTTGGAGTATGGAACAAAGAATGGATATTGGCCTGGAATATTTGCTTTTTTGCGCCCAGCTTCGATAGCTTTGATGTTTGGAGATGTGACGACAATGACAATGAGGCGAATCATGAGGATGATGTTCAATGGAACGAGATACCATGGAAGTGGAAAGTTATAGCCAGAACAATCACTAATCAAAAATGTTAGATGGTAGATCACGAAGGAAGGAGGATAGACTTACGCAGCTATACCCCATAGTGCAAATGCATTCGGTTGAGCTTGAGCTAATGTATCCTTAAAACTATTTGGAGTAATACTCATAGTTTTCTTTCCCAGAATAGCACAAGCATCAAAACCCTGCGCACAAAGTTTTTCCACCACAATTCCATCCGGATTAACCTTCTCAACAATCTCAACACAAGATTGAACACCCTTCACATACTCATCAGGAGTATAAGAAGATAAAACACTCGGAATCTTCGCATAGATTCTCCACGCCTCACGAAATCCAACCCCATGACGCATAGCTTCCTGATCCGGCGCAACTAACGCGAGTTTTTCAACCATTCCCGGACTATCTATCGGATGGAAAACTGCTTTGATACTGCCAGGTGGGATTGGGCCATAATCACCAGCATTTAATTCATCGACGCGAGTTCGAATGGGGGAACGAAAGTTTCCATAATCGATGATATCAGAGACTTCTTTCGCAATAGCGGGGGCTTCAAAGGAGGCGATGTGAACTTCTACGTTGTTGAGGATAAGTTCATAGGCGGTTGCGAATACCACGTTACTTTGGCCATACTCGCTATTTGTCAGGAAAAGGATTTTCCGAGGGGGTTTTGAGGTTGCCATGTTTGAGGTTTGGTAGTAGGAGGTAGTTATTTTCAGTTGTAGAGGATGGTTGTTTCCAGAAGCTGTTCGGAAGCTGGTCGGGAACCTTTAAGACTACATGCCCCTGAGCTAGTCAAAATTGCTAATTTGGAGTCATTCACCTGAAAGTGGGGGTTATTCACCTAGCTGTATTGCAAGTATGACGAAACTAATCAACGGTATAGTCGTTTCTCTATTCTCGCTTCCGCTTAATGACCGACCCTCGGTAAATCTCAATTCACTTGCAATTAATGAGAGTATCGCGATGTAGTCTAGATGGAAGTTGATGTATTATTTCAATTGTGGATTAGTAAACCGTTTGGTAACTTCTTGGCCTACTAAAAGGCGTTCGATCAATATCTGCACAGACATGAATCAGTGATGAGAGGTGTTTTTATCCATAGTGTAGTGCATTGCCACTGTTATTCCAAGCGAAAAGGCGATATGTCCACTAAACTCACCCCACATTTCTTTTAATCTCTGCCCTCTCAACTCCGGAGTGAATTTGATTGACTAAGTGCACGAAATACGTACCTTTGCACAGGTTTCGGCTATGAAGTTTGTAGCACGATAGTCGCAATTCGCGAGTTTAATTTGATCATCAACGTTGCACCCGTGCTAAATCTGCTTACTGCGTATACATCTTCACCATTTTGCCTTAGAATTAGATAGAACCCTTCAACGGAGGCATCCAGAATTATACCCAGCGTGAGATTGCACAATGGTATTTATTATTGATGTATTCTTCCCAAAACAATCAGATTGATCGATTAGCTTATGAGAAACGTCTCAAGCTTATGGTGGTTGCTAAGACCAGGGTTCTGTCCGAAATAATCGTTTTGTGTTGAGCGAGGTTTTGTGTCAAGGTTAGTTGATCGAGGTTTTGTGATAGTTGATCGAGGTATTGTGATATTTAACCGAGTTGATTCCTGACCGTGGCTGTAGATCGAAGTGTCGATGTGACATTCGCCCACAAAGGCATATTCTGAATATGCAGGCTCAGAATCTCTCAAAAGTGGGAGACCAAGATCTTTAATCGTGTTTTCTGAAATTGCAGGTGGCCCAGCTTTTTCCCGAAGAACAAAAGGAGTGGTTAGATCGGGACTTAGCCAGCAAACAACATCTCCTATCATAGCTGTCACTGGCACTAAAACTAGAGTTCCATCTTCGAGTGTGGCAAACCTTCTGTCGTAAAGGACCTCTGAAAAGGCAGTTTCAGCTTTTCCATGTTCAAAAATAACGGCATGGGCCCATATGATAACACTCATGGTAGAAGCGAACAGGCTCGCATTCCCCCAGTTTCTCTGGAAGAATCCGTTAACCATCGTTGGAAGTATTTCGTATGGAGAAAGAGTCTGGGCAATTTCGTCAATTCTTTTCATTCTAAGACTCTGTGATTGCGCTTTGAACAAATCAATGAGTAGTTGTGGACGACTCGATGCAGAGTCATCGGAGTTTGATTTCATGATGTTGGCATCACTATAAAGCGGTCCTAAGACATCACACCAGTGGCGATACAATTCAGTCAGTGCATGAATCCAGATCTTTTGGCGTGAATTTCCTCCTAAAAATAGACGAAAAAGATATTCTTTTGGTAACTTCCAGCCAGCTTGAACTAGAGTGATAGCACTAGAAACCTTTGTAATGTTGCCTGCCCGCCAGCCAGAGCATACGAGAGACGTATTCATCCACGTATATAAAGTCGGGGAAGTGTGCACTTGTACTTCAGACAGAATAGGGGGCACAGTGCTGCCCCACATATGTTCCATTTCTCGTAGACGTCGGTAAGGATGCGGAAACCCTTTCACTGTCCAGTTAGGTACCCATGAAGGTACCTCGAGTTCGTTCTCCTTAGCCCGCCAATCATTGTGGTTTTCTTTATATGACAAAATCTCCAATCTGCTGTGATCTGGAAATGTCTTCAAGCAGTGGCAAGCTAAATCTGCGAAGACTTTCTCTACGCTCTTGGAATAATCAATCGCTATATCCTCTGCCTCAAGGTAATTCTGATATGGCGAGGCCTGCACGATACCTTTGTGTGCAAAGACCATATCGCGAGGATCAGAAGCTCCCAGTCCCCTTCTGACCGTCAAAAAGCTGATCAGATTCTCTGCCAAAGTCTTGGAGGGTCTTCTAATTGAATTGAAATTGCTTCGTTCTTTATTCATCGCAGCAAATACACGGTATGCCTCCGGTTGTTCGAAGGCAGCGAAGAAAATCGCTATTGCTTTGGTGACCTGGGAAAGGTGTCCCCAACTGACACGGTGTCGTCCACACTGCACCCATGGGTCCACTGAAAAGAGCAACTCTTGAAATACCCAGACTCTGGTGAACCAAGGTCGCTCCAATAGTTCCAAGACGAGTTTCCACGCCTTTTCATTATGCTCTTCCGTATGAGCAGCAGTGTCGTTGAACAAAAAATCTGACAACCCTTTTGACCTTACATGGCCTGGCTTCTGTTTGCAGAAACGTGAAATTGCTCCCAGAAGCAGTGTCGATGATTCGGTAGACTCCCCAAGATAAATAATTGTGTTTCGAGCGATCTGATAAATTTTTGCCATTTGTATCACTTGCTTACTCTTCTCGGAAGAATTCGCCTGGTCAATACAGATCGCGTCTATCCATAAATATTGTTTCATCAAAGGGTCACGGATATCACGCAGGGCGGAATCCAGGTTAACTGTGATCCCAATAACTTCGTGGCCGATGTATATCACTTTCTTCTTTTCCGGGTCACCCCAAACATAAGATAGGGCTGTATATCCATTAAACGTATCGTTATCCCATTTGCCTAACGTGGTTGTCAATAAGGCGCAATGTATATCAGCTGTTGTATCAACAGAAGGTGATAAACCCAGAAGCCGAATCGAATCATGTTCAGTCAATGGCTTGTATTGATACCTGTTGCTTGCCATAGCGAAATACTTTTTCATGAAGATAACGATGTGATGGGTAGAATAGAGGTTCTTCTGAAAAGGAGATAAATATAAGTAAGCATGTCGCTTGTCGCACCAGGGTATTTTATCCGGTCAGCACTACGAAAGTACATAACCAACCACAGTCCGAAGAAATACTTATCAGTCATCCTTCCTGCTGATAAAGCTTCGGCGGTGGCTTTGAAATTCCAATGGTATGCTTCATATTGTGGTATTGATTGTGTGAGATTTAGTGGTTATAAGGTGCACGCAAGATATGCAACAACGTGCATCTTCACTCCTGTCACAACGCTTCGCTTTTGGAAGGTACGAGTAACTGAAAGTGCAAAAGGTGTTGAACTTATCGTCTTGATATCATACCTCACAAGGAAATTATCAAACAGTATTCATTATCAGTTGATAACACACACTAAGGTTGTGAAATGGTCGTCAGATCATATTACACCATCGGATCATGTCGATCAACCACTATTTTCTCTATCAACTGTTATATCAAAGATGATAATGAATATTTCTAATTGTATCAACAATCTTGTAGAGAATTCCAGATTCTATCGGATCAAATAATATCATATAACTAATCATCATATGGCCATTAAGTCAAATTTGCAGTCCCATAGCACACACAGCTCAACACATGATCACGCATACATGACAAACAGCACAATCCCAACTATACATTCATTCATCAAAGCTTCTTCTTTATCATGGTGTTTTATGGTTGGATATGTTCTTTAAGATCTTCATTGCACTAACTCGCCAACGAAACCTTGCTATATAACGCACTTTGACTAACTTGCTATATATAAATCTCTTCTTTTTACATTGAATTCTATTGCGTGCTTCCAACCCCTCCTCACAAATTGCTTCTCTTACCATCTCTTCCCATTTCCTCCCCATCCTCTTCATCTCCACGCACACGCTTGAAGCTTGCTCCCACCTCCCCCTCTCTTAGATACACCTTGCTAAATTGCTGATACCTGTCACAGAAATTCTCACACTTCGGAAGATATTTCTGCCCCTGCAGCCAGCGCAGAAATTGTCCAACATGTTGCAATTCCTGCGGCATAGCTAACCTCTCGAACTTTGCTCTATACACAGGCCAGATGATACACCATTTAGTGTGTGATTTGCCGAGAATAATGTTGATTTTGCTGGGGAGGTGTTGTTGTGAGCTGATACTGGCTCGAGACTTTGTTTTGTTGCCGAATGTTGTTCTTTAGCTGAAAATCTTGTTGTCGAAGCTACTGCTTCGATATGCAAGTTGCGAATTTCTTGTTTTGTTGGAGCATTTGCTTCGACATGCAAATTGCTCTCTCCTCGGACTAGATGTGCAATCGCATCGCCATGCGCATTGCCATCCACCTCACTTTGTACTTCTTGTTCTTGTTCTTGCTTTTCGACAATTTGTCTTCCCCTAAAGATTCAAAACACATTAGTATGAATCCTCATAACAATTCGAAAAGAAACATGGGTATGAAAGATCACCCAGAACAAAATAATCAAGAAGAATAAGAACTCTCAGCACAAAAATCCCTCGGAATAAACCCCAAGCAACCCACAGCAAAGGCAAAGACAAAGATTAAAATAAAACACAACAACACAAAAACACCTCGCAAATCTCCCTCCTCATTTCCCCCGAGATCTCCACCTTCCCAATCTCAATCACCGCTTTGCCAAAGATCTCTTCATCTCGCTCTGCTTTCGCAGAGCTTTCCTCCCACCTCTCAGATAAATTATCCAGAGCTGTTTTTGCCGTATATATGAATGTGTCCCGTGAGAATTGGGACGACATTGCCAGATCGTAATTGCAATTTGCTATTGAGAAATGAGCAATTTGCTGATTGTATTGGCGTAATTGTTGATTCGAATGTGCTGGATTGTTTGGTTGAGGATAGAGGTTTGATAATTGATTGTAGACGATGGACGAGAGGTTCAAAATTAACGATCTTGAAATATAAAATAAATAGTTACCAAATTCCCAAATGTGCGTTCAAAGTTTCAACGCTAGTCTTCCCGCTCGAGACAATGACATGAAATTAAGTAAAGTGAAGCAAATCAAATGAAGAGTGGAGTGAAGTTAGGGGTAAGAAACTTATTAGCCGAAGAATTCGAGAAATAAAAACCTCCCATCACACTTATCACAGTCATACGCATTCAACCACACAATTCAAAACACATATATATTCATAAACACATTCTTTCCTATTTATCTCGCCAAAACATATCGATAAAAAAACAACCTCTTAAGGGAAGGGTATCAAAAGACCATCCCGCTTCGCTTTATCGGCAAAGAATAAGCCAGTCGCAAATATAATACCGTATTATCGTACATGATTTTCTTTCATTTAACATTCATGCTTGTGCTCATCCATCCTTCCATCCATCCTTCCATCCTTCCTTCCCTTCCTCCATTTCTCGTACCTCCCTTTCAAAGTCTCCATTTCTAATCATCCATAGGTTTGTCCTCAAGACTAACCCCAACCTTTTGTTCCGCAGCAGGTTCTGGCACTTCGCCAATACTTCCTACACTATCTCTGTTACCCGCTGCTACCATATCGAAATTTTTGCTCATTCTTGCAACATTTCCATAAGGTTTTCTTCCTATGCTATTCCTCGAAACTTGACCGCTTCGCCCTAAACTGTTTCTCTTTTCCACATTTGGAAGACTAGACACATTTGAAAGACTAGTCTTCTTTTCTACAGTGGGTTCCTCTATTCCATCTCCAGATCCAGGCATATATGTAGCACTTGTAATACTGGGGGTGCTAGCTTCTGCTCCATTGGCCAATGGTGACAAAGGAGAGGATTTTGGTTCGACAACTGGACTAGCTTCGGCTGACGATGGAACTTCGAGACTTTGTCTCACACTTCCTCGGGAGTTTCTAGTTGAATCAGTTGTAGCTGTGGGTGATGTTTGTACCGGGAATCGAGTCTCAGCTGCTGGTGGTCCTGAACTTCTATCTCTACGGTGACCACGTGGACCTGGTGCAGGACTAGTGGCGCGACTTCTTGCTCCACCAGCTGCAATGATTGCCTTTTGTCTAGCCTCCATGTTGGCTCGTCTGTTGCTTTCATCGGTGCTAATGGCTCTAGGTCTTCTGGTATCAATATTTGACGCAGAATTGAGTGATGAAGCTCGCTTAAGTTCAGAGAAGATAGCGTCTTTGTGAGCAAAGAGATCGCGAATCAGACGGTATGAATACTTCTCTTCCATGGTCATTGAGGTTTCAGTCTTTGGTCGAAGGATGCATGGAGCGAGGATAGTTGCGAGTTCGGAAATATAAGTCTCATCAGCGGAAGTAAGTTCAATTAGTCTAGTAAAATGGGTCATGAGGGCATCCAAGGTAGCAATGTTGGCCAACCTAAGTTGACTGAGGGTATTTTGTAGAACTGAAATTCGGGCTGAGTCGGTAGATTCGGATGCTGGCGTTGAATAGATCGTTTTCATAATTTCGTAAACATGAGATGACACTAAAGAATCTATGACCAAGAGTTAGTTGAGAAATTTCATGAAATGATCAGCAGGGCTGGGCTTACCTGGTAATTCCAGTAAATACAGTTTAAGAACGCTTGCAATAATAGGAATTTCATATGGCTCCAAAGTTTCAATAGGAAATGGTTTCCCAGTATTGAGAACATCTCGTACTCGGTGAGTTTGATGAAGGGGAACATCAACCAACCAAACACTTCTCCTAGCTGGATCGCCTTCAAGATCAGGATATCTGTTATCAAGGAAGGTGAGAATAGTGGTAATGATGACTGGTACCCTCTTTCTGTCTCCACGAGCCCGAGCTTCCAGATCAACACCGAAAGTTTGTTCATCCGCAGAGTTGTAATAATTCTCGTAAACGATAACCTTTGGCGCAAAACCACCAGTGCGATAGTTTTCGAGAAGATATCGCAAATCTCCAAGAGGTTGTACAGTTTCTTGGTAAAGCATCATCTTATCGACTGTTGATTGCAAGCTAGGAATAACATTGCTAATAGTTCCGGAAAAGTCGAGAATAATGGTCTTGATAGCCTTGAGTCTGTCAAGCTCACAACGTTCCAGATATCTCAAATGCTCGAAGATAGCCTCCTCCAATTGACATCGCAAATGATCCAATTTTCTAACACCTTGCTTGTACCTCTCATCTGCTTCTGCGGCTTCCCTACGAAGACGATCGCCTGGTGTTTCGTTTGGATGTTGATTGTTCAGAGGATTCCAGCCCGCTAAATATTCGGAGACCGATCCAACAACAGGAGAATCTACGAAATCGGAATTAGATGCGATAGAGAAAGTGCGGCCAACTTGGGGCTTCTTTTCGGGGATTCCTGTCAATTGGAAGCCCTTTGGTCGCCATTGGTAAAACATCTTGGAACTATTTGCGAAAACATTTCCAACATTTCCAATCAATCGTAGAAAGCCATGCGATACCAAATCCTGTCCAATACGTTCAGCGTGACTGACACTTGTTGCTCCCATGAATTTCTGAAAGTATTCCACTATATCTGCACCACATGTTGTATTTTGATATGTGCCCAAGATTGGAACTTTTGTATCGGCCAATTTGATTGTTTGTAAAAGGTGTGTCAAAATCTTCTTGACTTGTTCCGAGTTGTAGATTTCATCACCAATCTCTAAAGATTGGTCATCCTCTTCATCGTCCTTATCGCCAAACTTGATCTCTGGAATCTTGGCCTTCGGACTGGTTTCTGGATCCTGGAAAGCAAGTTTATTTTCCTCTTCAATATCTTCAACCAACCGACACTTATTAAAGTAATGACTACGCAACTTCTTGACCAGCTCTGCTTGTTTGTCGTGAAGTTTTATTCGGGCCTGGAGGTCATCCTGTGAATTTTGAACTCGATTTTCGTGTGCATCACACCAGCGCGAAAAAGGGGCGACGACTAAGTCTCGAATACTTTGTGCGATCTTGCGGTGATTTTTTGCAGCTTCTTCCATTTCTGTCCGTACTCCATCGTATGCCTATATATTGCGTCAGTCAACCAGCCCCTCGAAAAGACGAAGAGAAATCTCCTGAATATCAATACCTTTCTAACACTTGCTCCATCATCTCTCCCGAAACCGCCTGTTATTTTATCCGTTGCTGCTCCAATATCTCCTAATTTCATCCCATAGACATCTTCGGCTTCCGCTCGCATTCGCGCAATGGTGAGAACTTGTTGGTTTTCGGCGACACCTTGCTGCAGTTTGCCGAATAGAACACCAAGACCTATTTTGATGTAGTTGAATTAGTACATGAATGCAGGAACGGATGGACACATTTTGCAGAAAGAGGAAGCCCCTTACCTCCAGCATAATCTCCCGACCAAAAGGAATCCGCAAAATTGGGCGCCATTATTATGTACTCTTATCGTCGATTCGTGACTTCAATAATAGGGATTAATATATTCGTTGATCCTCGAAAGGTTTGGAACTTTAGACAGACAAAATAAAGAAGAGAAAATCCTTCTTGTAGAAAGGAATAGGGATTGTTGAACGAATGACAGATTTGCTGGAGAACTGGAGAAGTTTATGATGGACGAAGTCGAAAAAGCTGGGCAGGGAAATAGAAGGAAGGATTGCGGATTTTTAGTTGTGCAAGGGCCCTTTGGAACGAGGTTGACCGTTGATCTCGTTTACCCGGGGGTTTCAGAATGTTGAGATGGATGAAGCTATCACCAAAGTCGTTGGATATGATTCAGTTGGATAGTTTATTGAATGAAATGGGGATTGTATGACTATGATAAGTAGGTCAACAAAGACATAGATGGCATAGAAAAAAAGGAGTTTGGTAGAGAGTTGTAAATCATAGAAAGATGAAATGATATTGGATGATATTGGATGATATAAAATGGCATTTACTCTATTACTCCTTATTCATAGGTTCAATGCTATATATCTATATATATCCATATATATCCGTATATACCTACACAATTTTAATATACGAGTAAATATTAAAAAGCACTTAAACTTTTCCAGTCTTCACTTCAATTCCTTGGATTTTCGTTCCTACTTTAACTGACGTGCAGGGTCTTGCATGGAAAAACTCCCAGTGGCAAACCTTAAATCTCAGGTGTAAATCATTCCCAAAAATAGCTAAATCAGGGAATTTCCGGTAATCCATTAAAGGGGCTTAGCGCATTCATGCCAACCTAGTAATTAATGTACGAAAGGACTGACGGGACTGAGTACGGAGTCGCTCGAGAATATGGATACGTAGGTACGAGCGAGGCGAGGGTACTGGACTTTGGCACAGACTGGGGGAATGAAGATGTTGACGTAAAAAGATGGATGATATGATTCGACTTGATCATGTGATCATTCCTCCCATTCCATTCCTTATCTCAAGACCCTGACTTGGGACTGTTGGTACTTAGGTACTTTGAATCTCATTCATTTGTCACCGGCATCAACTTTTACACTCTGACTCTTGCCATTGTACAACTATGCCTCAAACAGAACAAGATCCTCTATTACCAAGAGATAGATCATCGCCAGAAATCAAAGATTCAAGAGAAAGTCGAAATGCCTGCTGTGAACCAACAAATGGCCGGGGGAAGAGACAATTCAGTGATCCAATGGCAGTGGTTGTGGGACTGTGCTCTCTGCTTATACTTACTATGCTAATCATACCTGATGGCTTTGTTGACGATATATTGAATCATCATCTGCCTTTTGGAAATCAAGAACCAAAGACAATTGAAGAGAGAGTGGATAGAATCTTGACTGAAACACCACTTATAGGTATGGTCATCTCGGAATCTCGGATGACATATATGTTATACCTCTTCACCACTTCAACTAACTAAACATAGATGGACACAATGATCTTGCAATCTTCATAAGATCTGCTTATAGAAATCGCATCTATGATGACAAGTTTACCAATAAGTTTGAGAATGGTGGGATGGCTTATCACGTGGATCTTCCTCGATTGAAAGCGGGAAAGAATGGAGGTGCTTTTTGGAGTGCATTCGCTCCATGCCCCTCAAACTGGAGTGATTTTTCTACCCCAAATTATGACTCTTGTTAGTGATATTTCGTCGATGTTTTGATTCACTTTGCACTCTTTATACTTCTCTCATTTCATCTCGCTCCCTCTATGCAATACTGTTCTACGATTCTCAATGACGTCCTCCGCGACTTCTTCCGCAAATTAATTATCTCTCAGATTGATTGTAAATCTTGAACTAACTTTCTAATATAGCCGTTGACTTCACTCTGACGCAGCTTGACCTTCTCGCTCGTCTCCAAGCCGCCTACCCCTCTCATTTTGCACTTCCAGGAGACAGTAGCACTGCCTTGACTGCTTTCCAAAATGGCCAACTCATATCACCATATATCATTGAAGGTCTGCACCAAATTGGAAACTCCCTATCTAATCTCCGCGAATATTATAACCTTGGAGTTCGCTACGCAACCTTGACACACAACTGTCACAATCGCTATGCAGATGCGGCACTGGTTGAGCTCCCAGAGGGTGGTATCGAGAAATCGAAACCTCACTGGGGAGGTGTTTCCCCCGCTGGTCGTCAGCTTATTCATGAGATGAATAGATTGGGGATGATTGTCGATCTATCACATACTAGTCAAGATACGATGCGTGCTGTGCTCGGCTGGGAAGCCGACTGGTCGGGTAGTCTTGCCCCAGTAATCTTCAGTCATTCATCTGCCTACGCAGTATGTCCTCATCCACGAAATGTACCTGACGATGTCCTACAACTCGTCAAGAAAACGAATTCCCTCGTCATGGTCAATTTCTCGCCAGACTTCGTATCATGCGTTGCAAACTCGTCCAATACAAATGGACTTCCAGATTTCTATCCTAACAACTCAACCTTAGAACATGTAGCCAGACATGTCATGCATATCGGTGATCTCATCGGCTATGGCCACGTAGGCTTCGGTAGTGATTTTGACGGTATCCCCGATACACCAAAGGGACTAGACGACGTAAGCAAGTTTCCAGACTTAGTAGCCGAGCTTCTCAAACAAGGAGTCAGCGACGACGATGCTACAAAGGTTGTAGGTGGTAATATTTTAAGAGTTTGGAAAGATGTCGATGAGGTTTCTGCACAGTTGAAGGCGAAGGGAGAGAAGCCTCTAGAAGATGATCTTTCTTGATTTATGGTTTAGATGTATCTGCGTGTGTATATGGGATGCTTATTTTTTGTACGTCAGTTTGGCTGTTTTGTATATATTTGTGCGTTCATTTTCTGCCGGCCTCGTAGGGCGGTGGTTTATCAACATATTGAGTGAGTATCCTGTTGTAGAAAGAATATAGACCTGATTTTGCAGCGCTTGTGAACGTGTGATTTCTCTGCAACATAACTAGCCAAGATCTTGTTGGAAAACACCAATTGAGCTACAAGTTCATACAATTCCATTGTAATCACTTGGCAATAGATTCAGAAAGCTTAAGATTGTGGCATGAGGGTATTCAGACCCAGGTCATTGGCATAGCTGATCGACAACTTTGAAATCACGGGGTTGGAGTGCACTCGCGTGAGCTATTGAATATGATATGGATGATGCGACTTGAGCATTTCCTCTACACTGTTTCCAAAAATCTCCAATAATCTTATGCTCTGATGTCAACGCTTGTGAATGCAAGAGGTCCTATCTTTCTGTGCCCTTGCCGCCTCGCAAGAGGTAGTAAATATTTGACTGGCAATGATCATTGATGCTGCTGTAAACGACGATGAGTGTTGACCTTCTTGAAGAGCTCATACCATCCTGTATAACAGACTCATGGAACTTGTATGAAATCAATGCATACACAAACGATGCTTAATCGACAAAGTGTACCCAGTATACATTTCGTGATCCAATCAAATTGGTAAAATCCCCGCGACGCCTCGACCACGCGTGGACCATCAAACTGCATTGATGGTACCAATGCACGGCCGGAAAAAAAATCCATCTCGAAATGCTTCATGTGCAAGAAAGTTCCTGCAAAGAAATCATCAATTCTTTTCAACTCTACAACTATTTACACCTTTCTGTCGCAAACATGGCACAAGGACAGGTTCAAGTGCATTTCAGCACCACATCTCCAGATATTGAACTACCTGAAGGAAAACAGCAATTGCTCGTTCCTACCAGTAAGTTTTAATCCAAGTTTCTCTCAGGTCTTCTTGAAGTCTTTTTCAAAACTAATGATAAAATAGATGTACGAAGATATGGACTTTCACAGATTCTCAATTCCGAGGCGATGCTCGATACCTCTTCGCCGATACCATTCGATTTTTTGATCAACGGAACATTCTTGCGAACGACCCTCGATGAATATCTTACTGCGAATGGATTATCCTCCGAAACCACATTAAACTTACAATATGTTCGAAGTTTGATTCCTCCTCTTTATGAAGCAAGTTTCGAGCATGATGATTGGGTTAGCAGTGTTGATGTTTTATCTGGTAGTTCTGCTGTAGGAACTTGGGGTAAAAATTCAATTGTTGAAGGACAGGAGCGCATATTGTCAGGTTCTTACGATGGACTTCTCAGAGTTTGGAACAAGTCAGGTCAGGCTATTGCAACATCTGCTCCTGCCAGTGTTGGGGGGCATACCTCTGGAGTAAAGGCTGCGAAATGGATCTCAGCCAGACAAATTGCATCGGCAGGGTTGGATCGCACAATAAGGATATGGAATTATTCTGAATCGGAAGATCACTTCTCAGCGCAATTGAAGCCAACTATGGAATTATATGGTCATACCGGTAGCATTGATTCAATCGCAGTTCATGGACCATCGAATCGCATTTTATCTGCTTCAGCAGATGGACAAATTGGTTTCTGGACTTCACATAAATCTTCGGCACCTGAAGTAAATACCAGTCTTATTTCTGGACCATCTTCCAAACGACGCAAAATCACAACCTCCACATCCACTCCTCAACGCGGTCCTCTATCTCTCATGGATTGTCACAATGGACCAGCAACTGCCGTCATTTTCAACCCTCAGGATCCTACTGTTGCATATTCAGCTTCTCAAGATCATACCATCAAAACACTCGATATTACCACTTCTAGTATTGTCGATACGAGAACTTTATTGAATCCTATACTCTCATTAAGCGCTCTACCAGGAATTGGTCATCAAATAATAGCAGCGGGTACAACAGCACGTCACATCGCTCTCATTGATCCTAGAGCTTCGGCTGCTACAACACAAGCCATGACACTTCGTGGACATACCAACTTCGTTTCATCGATATTTGCGGATCCTGATAGCAACTATGGATTAGTATCAGCAGGTCATGACGGAACTTGTAGGGTATGGGATCTTAGAAGCACAAGACAAGGAACGAAAGATGAAGGACTTGGCGTTGTTGGAGAAGCAGTTTATATCATTGAAAGAGAAAGTAGGAAAGATAAGACTACCAAGACAGTTGGTGGCGAGGGAGTTAAGGTTTTCGATGTTAATTGGGATAAGGATGTTGGAATTGTTAGTGCTGGTGAAGATAAAATGGTTCAAGTGAATAGGGGAAGAGGTGTTACAAGACCCGAAAATTAGTTTATATACCCTTTTCTAATAACCAAGTGGATTTATACTTGAAATAAGATTTTTGATTTGCACAACGATGTTTGGAATTCTGGAAAGATAATCACGTGAAAACAAATCTGTTTATTTGATGCATGTAACTACGTTCAGACTTTCACGTATTTGTCTACTTTAGAAGAACTTTCTGCATAGCGCATAGTAGTTCTCGTGTCCAATTTCTTATACGCCTTTTCAAACGCTATCACGGCCATGTTACGGCCCTTCATTGTTTCTAAAATGTTAAATAAGTCGAAATATAAAAGATCCTTTCCAATTTTAGTCATTAGTCCCATAATTTTTACTTCAAGCGATTGTAAAAATTGGGCTAGTATGGCATCATTTTTTTATCCAATTATGGTGAAAATCGTCCACAGACATCCCGTGGAGTGATCATATTTATATATCATATCCCAATAACCACTGAAATCGAATTGAATTTTACTTTGTAAATTCTCATCGATTTACATTACGCGGGGTCGGTCACCTTTTCGCCCCCAAATATACTTTGTTGTGGTATTGTAGAATATAGAACATTCATCTGTGAGATATTCAAAAATGTCACTTCCAGATAGAAAAGATGGTATTCAGAATACATCCGATGATGTGGGAAATGACACCCTTCCCATTGACCCCAACAGTGGGCTTTCTCGAGGTCTCCAGACTCGTCATTTAAGCATGATGGCACTAGCAGGTAACTACAACCCCCCTCCAACTCCCATATCATCAATCTAACAACACTCCCAGGAATCATCGGACCCGGTCTCCTCGTAGGTGCAGGTGGTGCCCTCGCATCTGGCGGTCCAGCATCCCTCCTCATCGGCTTCGGAGTCATTGGTCTCATCGCCTTCTCCATCATGCAATCCCTCGGAGAGCTCACCACTCTCTATCCCTCATCCGGCTCCTTCATATCTCTCACATCACGTTTTTTCGACCCCGCCTTCAGCGTCGCCGTCGGTTGGAACTATTTCATCATCTGGGCCGCCGTACTCGCAAATGAATACAACACTCTCTCCTCCATTTTCATTTTCTGGAGCGACAAAGTTCCTCTCTGGGGCTACTTTCTCATTTTCTGGTTTGCCTTTCTCGCCTTTCAGTTACTAGGTGTAGCCGCATTTGGAGAAGCAGAATTCTGGCTCGCGCTGTTGAAATTGGGGGCTTGGTTGCGTTTTTTATTTTCTCGATTATCTATGCGGCGGGGGGTTTGAAAGGTCAGGACCACACGTTGGGGTTCCAGTATTGGCATGATCCTGGTGCGTTTGCGGATGGGTTTCGAGGAGTTGCAAAGGTCTTTGTGTTTTGCTCGACTTTTTACGCGGGGTGTGAATCGATTGCTGTGGCGGCAGCTGAGACGCGGAACCCGAAACATGCGGTTCCTCTTGCGATTCGTCAGGTGTTTTGGCGCATTATTTTTATCTATATGGGCTCTGCCCTATTTTTCGGAATGACCTGTCCGTGGAATGCAGAGGGCTTAGCAAGTGCTGGATCGAAAGCGCTCAGAAGTCCCATGACCGTTGCGATACAAAACGCAGGGTGGGAAGGAGGTGTTCATCTCATCAATGCGTTTATTCTCGCGACGTGCTTGAGCGCAGTGAATAGTTCTATCTACATAGGCTCTCGAACAATTTTATTCCTAGCGCAGGAAGGACACGCGCCGAGATTTCTCAGATTCACTGATCAAAGAGGAGTTCCGATCTACGCGATTATTTTCACGAATCTCTTCGGTGCGTTGAGTATGATGAATGTTTCTTCCGGAGCGGGAGCCGCTTACAATTATATCGTTAATCTTTCCGGTGTCTCGACGTTTCTTGTTTGGGGCTCCATCTCGTTTATTCATATCCGTTTTCGCTCGGCGTGGAAAGCACAAGGAAGGAGAATTTCTGATTTGCCGTTTGTTTCGTTCGCGTATCCGTATAATGCGTATTTTGGATTGGCGGCAAATATCTTTTTGGCATTAGTACAAGGGTGGACGACTTTAAGTCCTTTTAGTGCGGGGGATTTTGTCGATGCGTATATTTTGTTGGCACTTTTTCCATTGATTTGGGTGGGGTATAAGATCTGGTTTAGGACAAAAATTTGGGATTTGAGAGAGATTGATCTGGATGAGGGGAGGAGAGATGATTTGGATCCTACGGAGGTGGGAGGGTTTGCAAGTTTAGAGGATGGAGAGGGAAGTGAGGTGGGGAAGAAGGTGCCGTTGTGGAGGAGGATTCTGAAGAATTTTTAGATTTTTGTTTGATGTTAATGATAATGAATTTGCCAGTGTTGGTATCAAATTTGTAACGTTCAAAGAAAAAGTGCTCGATTTTATCCCTCATAATCCTTGATCTACTGTAATCTATGGTAGACTAGAACTATCGCTTCAATTCACAGTGTCTCGCTAGCCCGTGATATTTGTGCAAAAACGACAGAGTGAGAGGTGATGAAACTTTTGATTTGCAGAAAACTAGTAAAAATGAAAATACGGAATGTACTGTGTTATCGAACTGAGAGCCTGGAGAAGAGAAATGGTTCAAATATTGAAAGGTAGCATAGATACCATCTTCCCATCTTGTCGCAAGGTGTAGCTCACTCATCTCAGGCACACGTTCAATTCTCAGGGTTATATCCCATATCTCTTGCAAACGAACAGGAAAGAAGACAAAGACAAAAACAGAATCAAATAATACTTTTGTAAAAGAAATACACCAGGCTTTTCCTCAAAATAATAGACCAGACGCAGTTCCTATAACTAAAGAAACTAGAATACCAAATACATTCACACCCCTTTTCCTTCCGTCCTTCTCCCTACTCGTATTCGACGATGGCTTGATCGATGAGTGCACGACTTGATGAATTCTTAAACCATGTACGGCATCGTAAGACTCCCGACAAGCGGACAGTATTGGTATACACAACGGAGAAGTACGGAATTTTCGGGGGGGGTGGATATGATATATACACGGCGCTAAAGATGCCTGTCGCTATATTGTAAGCCTGATCTCCAAGGGTAGTTCATTGAAGTGCGGAAATGACTCGGATTCGGCTGGTTTTATTTGTCCAACTTCATGATACTTCCTGGGTCGATGACTGCGGATCATAAGCGATGGTGGTATATATTCCTACCCACACTTGGGATATTCAAGCTGTGAGGGGTTGTGTTGAGTATCACAATGAATACAATATACTGAACCAGGGGAGCTGTTTGATCGATGTCCAGATCGCTTATTAGCAGATTGGATAACACCGCGACACTGACTATGCGCCATCATACAGGAAATTTGTAGAATGTGATTTATTTTGAGGACCTCGACCAAATGAAGAAGAGACGAAACGAAAGAACAGTCTTGAATAAGATGCGAAGGTGCCTATGGATATATTCTTCTCAATTTGTAAAAGCAGCTCGTTTTGGTGGAGTGTTTAAACAGAGGGGAAGACAGAGTGACCAAGAGAAATTGAGTACAACACGGAGGATCCCCTCAGAAATGTTCTTCGGTACCAAACTAAAAAGGAAAAAATTGTTCTGACAATTCGGCAAAAAGCATTAGTAGTATCGAAAATGTGAGATAACTATTCATTTCTCTATCTATGCGTTCGACATAGTGTTTGCACTCACTGGAAAAAGTAAAATGATCGACATGCCATAAAGGTGTTGATACAACCAAAAGAAACTGCGGCGCAAGCCGTGATCATGTCCCCGCTCTGTATAACACACTCCTACTGGAAATCAAGTTAAAGAAAACGCCATTATATGCATGAGGTAGCAATGACGCTTAAGTGAATGGAGCATTGAAATTGACGGATACCGACGTCAAATTACTTCAGTGACCAATTGGAGCTAGACAACGAAGTCCACAACGATATTTGAAGTTGTAGTTGATGGATTTTGACATGCATCACATTGTTAAACACAAAAATCTAAAGCAGGCTGGTCATTAGACTTTGAGAATACCTGATACATTGAGATAAGCACACCGAAATTGCAATGACAGACACTTGCGCTGAAAACCTAGAGGACAAATTCGAAGATTATGAACGTGTTGCTGCCACTTAACTTTCAGACAACAGATCATCAAAAGCAGATGCTCGAACCAATCAAAATGATGTAAAGATAACCAAAGAACGTTGAACGTACAGCTTGAACATTTAGATCAAGCGTCACAAAGCAAAATAGCCATGGCAAAACAGTAGACGAGAAGCGCCAATACCAGAAATGAATAGCAATATTTCCAATAAATTGGAGAGAAATAAAGCGTGAATGATCTCCGCTCCTGATACTCACACAAAGCCGTCTTTTAAGAAGGCAAAAGACTGAACCTCGTGAATGCTCGACATACCCTTATGTCGCAAGCAATTTTCTACTCTTCATATACTCAGCCTTCTTCACTCTGAATGCTGCTTTGGCTCGTCCAAGCTTTGCTTTCGTTGACGTAGTTGTAACGCTCATGTTTCTGATGATCGGCATCTCGTACTCTGGTTCTCCACACTTCACAGTACAAAATTCCTCTAAAACATCAAATTTGATCGATGCTAAGCCTTGAAGCTGCTCAGCATATTCTTGTTGTGTGGATTGAAAAGACTCCTCAAGCTTTGGTTCGTATGGACTTTTATAGAAATTTAGAGAAACGTCGAGATCTTGAAGATCAATGAATGAGAGATCGCCATATCTATCAGGTGTATAGGCATGTGCATTATGTGGGTATCGGCGAGTGACGAGTGTAAGTATGTCAAGGCTTTCTGTGGCAGCTAGGTAATTATCAAGAAACACTTCAAGGATGCTCGGGTCTTGATACTCCCATCACTCTTGCGCGTTGTACCCCTTGTCAAGAGCAGTTGCCGGAAAAGAATTGGCAAATACAGCTAATTGTTTCAAATTCTCGAACCCAGGTCGCCCATGATGAAAAGTTTCGCGATGACCAATATACAAGGTGTCGACGTCGAAGTTGAAGTTTTGAAGGGTGACTCAGGCGAAGCGAAAGTCTGGGTATATCTCGTAGACGCAATATTGAATGACTCACGACAGACATACAAGGTTGTGATAGGGCTCGATGATTCAAAAATACAGTCTGGGACGTGTATAACTTCATGCGTCCCCCAACGCGTTGAACTTTTCCATCTCACAATCCAGGTCGGGCGAAGAAGCACAACCCGTGGCCCAGGTAAAGATGCTTGCCAAATCATAACCCTAATATCGAGCGGCAGTTTCATGAAACAAATGAACGTGGCTCCGTCATTAAGGTCGTTATCGAAGTAATTCGGCAGATCTTCGAGGGCGGATAGAACTCTTGTATTCGGGGAGTGAGCAGTTTGGACATTTCGGAACCAAGATCTCGTATTCAGTATCGCAGTGCATGAAATATACAGCATGAGTATTGACATTTGACCTTAAACTACGTTGCTTAGGCAAACTAGGCTTGAGAGGGTTCGATCTTTTGGGCATTTCAGAAGTACAAAAAAGACTGACTGAGATTTGATGCGAGTTTGTGTGATTTTGCCTTTTGTGTGGAAGAATTACTGTTCCTAGATGCCGAAGAAATATATGCCGAGCTCTACGACTGCGCTACAGTCCGACTACATAATCGCAAGCAATCAATGTCTATTTCAGAAGAAGCGAGAAGCAAAGCTCGCGGGATTGCCATAGTATTTCCCCGCTGTGTATAACAATAACGTTCAAAGGAAAAGACAAACGCTCTGCAAACTTTTGCTGGCGCTTTAGGTCAAGGTCGGACACACAATGCATGTAATGCTTGTATTTTGTATGGTATGACTGAATTGAGAAAGAACAGGCATATTGCTGACTTTCATCATCTGCTGGGTAAAGATATTTTGCCAACTAAGCATATTTCATAAGCAAGTCATAGTTTAATCCTGGGGCTCGAGATCTCAACTTGATCGTTTTATGGGTGACTCGGCCAAACAATCAAATTGATTAGAGAGCGATATGAGTTGGTATCTCCTAACGTCATGTAAAATGATATTTCTATTGGTATTAGATGCCATGATCGAAACGTGGTAGTTGCATGGTTAATACTTCTCTGGGGTTGAAAAAGACGAGGTCTACATGCACGCAATATTATCACGTACATATCTACTTACACGGCACAACAAACTGCTAGAAGGGTGGTTCTAAATGAAAGAAAAAGCCCAAACACTTCTAGTTTACTCTGGGAGAGTGTGACTTCCAGAACCATGCCATCTGGTTTGAGCAGGAGGAGTTAGGTTACTTGGACTCCCCTGATCTCATGCTCTTCAACACCTTCGATTGGCTGATTGAAACAGAATGCCGAATTGACAGATGTTTGTATATTGACATTATTATCAGTCAATCTCAGCCCTAACCGGTAGTTGATTTAGAGCATCGTACCCCGCGTGGTGCCAAAGCTCCCGCTCACATGATGATCCAGTTTTTGCTTTCAGGGTCAAGAATTTGGAAAGATTAGTGCAAAAGTAATCGATTTTATTACAGCTTCTTCTTAAGACTCAACAAAGAGATACAATAGAAAACATAAACCGGAGCCCGACCCATCTCATTCTCCAATGCCTTCCCATTCATTACTCGTACTCGCACTTCAGACCATCAAGAAAACCAGAAAAAGAAAGAAAAAACCCCGGAACAATGCAACTAAGAGTCTGACATGACAAACTTTCAGATTCTCCAGAACTCTGTCTAGCAAGAAAGAATTCTAGATCGCTGCCTTGACGAGGTTGTTGGCGAAGTTTGCGTCATTGAATGGACAAATGGCCTTTCCGAAGATGGGTTTATTTAAAGCTGTCTTGCTAACTTCTGGCAAGAAGTCATACCACATCATTGGCAAATCTCTGCCCAAGGTGTTGGTGAACTGCAACTCGTGGTTGGTTGGGAAAGAGACATAGTATTCGACCTTCAATCTATTGCCCTGGCGTTGGGGATTTGTCGTTTTCTTGAGACTTCCGTGGCCAGATGCGGCGGCACCGATTAAGGTGGGGTTGGCGACGGTAGGGTTGTTGACCCAGACGACGACGTGCTCCCAGTCGTGACGATGACCTCCGACGACGTTTCCGGCTGCAGGTTGATCCTTGGGGAAATCTGGGGAGTGTTAGAAGGTGTGAGATAAGTGGGTGGAGATGGAGGGGACACTTACACCAGGCGTACATGATACCATAGCGACTTCCAGACCAGCCACCTCGGACATAGGTTTGACCTTTGCTCTGATCACGGCAGCCGGCTGAGACATTGCCAGTATCTTGGAGTCCACCACTGCAGGATGTATTAGTAAAGCGATATTAGAAGGGAGAGGAATAAGTAGTTTTCATACCTGGTGTTGCCATTACCATCAACTGCACTGTATGGTTGACAACCATGAGCAATGTGGATGAATGGCTCGAATTTCTTCAAGGTGTTACCCAAGGCGTTACCAGGTACGTTTTCTCCCCATGGGTTGATCGAATCGTGAGGGACTACAGCGCGAGCTTGGATGGTGCTCTCCTCAATGGGGGCTCCCTTGACTGCTGCAGCGGCAGCGAGGATAGAAAGGAATTTTGCGTTGGAGAAATACATCTTGAATAAATTAGATTAAATTGCTGATCTTAATGATTGAGGTGATTTGGAATAAATGAATGAATGAATGAATGTGGAAGCTGATTCTGATGATGCTGATGATGGATTGAAAGAGAAGACATCGTAGATGCTTATATACTATTTTGCTATCATCACTCGATGCATTCAATCCGCACAAGAGGTATATCCACCCTGACAATTCCCAGCAACATATTCTTGCATTGCCTCAATTACTTCTTCCAAGAGCTTCAATTCTATCTTCCAAGAGCCTCAATTCTTTCTTCCAAGAGCTTCAATTTCGGTATTTACCCATGCCGGGCTTTTTCAATTCCCATAACATTTCCCCGAGCGACTTTCCATCTCTGGTTATCCACATACTGTGACATTCACATTGACAATGTAAAGTACTCAACAATCTTGGCAATCGCATCTTCACTAAAACCGTCTAACATTGTGCACAAATCCCTTGGCCTTTTCCGAATACGATATGCGATGAGCCATTTCAGATGAGATATAGAAACACGTGAAATGAATGAGGCTCGTATCGAAATTTCACACCCATGATTTCGCTTGGCGTCACAGTGGATTTCTGTTTTTAACTTTTAACCTTAAATTCTCTTAACCTTATTTTAGGCACAAATCATGAATGTAAAATTGTAGAAATTATGCTTCAAATATGCAATGCCGACAATCCCAGATACATGTTTATGGTTAAAACTCAAAATCGTTGGTATACAGGGTTACACCTGTGCTGGAGCGGTGGGGTGGATGGGTGGGTGGTGCATCCAAAGCACCGGCTATAGTCAGAACAAAGCAATTGTGTCCTCGGAGAAGCTGTAACATCGTAAACTCTGCATTCAATACTACAGACTTTCAATGAACCAGTACCTCAATTCGAGACCATAGTATAGAACTCGAGCAATTAAGATTCATACCAGTCACCACAAACATATAGAGAAACAACCCTCACTCCTTCTCCAACAGTACAAAACGCTGTCGGAAATGCGGACATTCTTCAATTCCCTCCAGGTATTGATCAACAGGAAACATCACATTCTAAACCCACAACAAACAAACCCCATATAATTCTCTTATTTGTCAATTATTGAATCAATTCGCTACCATTTCTTAAGCTTCCGCATGACATAACTCATCCCTTTACCCTCACACCCAAACCCAAATATATTAATCGAACCATTCCACCAATCTTCGAATTTTCGCTTAAGCACAGCCTGCCCCCTCTTTTCCCTTGACAGATCATGATCTTCGGCAGACCGGTACCGGTAAACGACCATACACTGGCTTCTCCAAGAACGCAACGTGCCTGCCAAGATTATGCTTAACTGTGAATCACCGTTTAGTTCATCTTTGCCTGGGTCTCATTGACTCTTTCGGTACTTGATGGCCCGGATTTCGAGAGCTTTCATGATTGTTAATTCTGAACAAGAGAATGGTTTCCAAGTAATCTCATCCACTAAACGAAAATTTTGCAAACAGGCTCTTGGTATTATAATCGGTGTAGAATGATCACGCCATAAAATTTCTCGAACGACATATTCCTCGGACTACGTATAAGAATTTCATGGGACTGCCTTCTCTCCTACGCTGGAGGATGATACGAGTAATGGCAATACACTTTAATCTCCAGTAAACAGCTCATGAAGGTGAGATTGAGAGCCAAGTATGGATAGCACTAAGTAGTCATGGATATGTAATTGTATATCGTATTGCCGTGGTTGTCAAGCTATCGAAAGATCTCTGGGTAGTTGATGGAAAAAGTGAGTGAAGCTATTCCCATCTCAGATGAACATAAGAATAATTTGAAGAAGACAAGAAAAGGAAATTCTCTCTCTCGACGCCTCTTCCCTGAGAACCACACAATCAGACGTTCCAGATCTCAATTTCAACCCTGACACCGAAAACTAACTTTGAAATTCAACAAGATGGCTAACTGGCCAAGGTGATTTTGCAAAGCTCTAGCCCTATTGCAAATTCTTCAGGGTTTCAAGCCACTCAATTTCCAATTCCCATCAGTCTAGAGAGCAGAAATGTTCCATTAAGCATCTCTTCCCTTTTCCTTTTCTTCCTTTCATATTCATTTTTCTTTACTTGATATTGTGCTGCTGCTTCCTTCAACTTCATCTCCATCGCTTTCGTCGTCATGGTTTTGCATTCAATAATGGGCATCTCAAAAGAAGCTACACCGCCGTTTGCAGCAGCTTCTTGTTGTCTTACAGTATCCAAACTTTGAATGTTTGCTAAGCTTGGTCCTAGCTTGATGCCATGAGAACAATATCGATTGCGGAAAGATTCTTGTTTTCGTTGTAGTGCTTTTTTGGTAATAGGATCGTACGGACTCTCATATATGGCCAATGATGCGACAGTGTTTTGTAAGTCGATAAGTGTGAGATCATCATAGACAGTCAATGGATGGCGCCTATTGATGAAGATAACATTGGTGATACTGCCACAATATAACATGTGGTACAACCAATCACCAAACGCGAACTCACGCATAGAAAAGTTCCTGATATGATGTGAGTATCCATATGTTTCTTCTGGATCACTGAAAACAGCAAGACGTTTGACTTTTCGAAAATCGGAAGACCAGCTCGCACAATTCATCTCTACTTGTAAGTGTTTTGTAATTGGTCCACCATCGAGGTAAAGAGTGTCGATATCGAAATCAAACCATGTCTGGGCAATATCTCCATCAAAGACCTGCTGGTACTCCTTCATTACCACCATATATGCTTCGCGACGTACATATGCCAAGTGAATATTACTAGGTGATTCATATTCAAAACTTGTTTTTCCATTTGGTAAATTGAGTAATCAACGTCGTAGATGAACGATGCGTGGTCCTGGTAAAGCTTCTTTCCAAATAAGATATCTCATTTGCTCTGGCAATTGAGCAAAAAAGACAAACGACCGAGTATGGGGTTCTTTTTTGATAGGATAATAGTCCGAAGTTCGTTTGGGAACAGGTATATCCATACCATGCCAAAGCAAACACGCTGGACAGCAGACTGAGGGAAGTATGCACTCGGTATCGCAATGGATACAGTAGACTGCATGAGTGCTTGGGTCTACTAAACTACCATATCGACTGGGTCCAGTACCCACTGGACAAAGGTCAGGTGCATAATCCATTGTTTCAAAGTAATTCATGGTAGCCGAAAGACGTAGCTGTATTGTATCTTGATAATGATATTGTCTACTTCAAGGGAAGAATAGCTACAAGTCTGAAGAGAATCAAAGAATATATTTTGAAAGAGGGGTGCGGCTAGGCTACAACGCCAAAGAAAAGAAAGATTGAACTCAACATCATCTTACGAAGAAGCAATCAAGTAGGAATTCAAATTAAGCAGAGAACCCAGAGTACAATGCAGTGATTGGATCATTGTCTCGAAACCATATAATTGGACTTTCGAGATATGGCGAGTGGGAGTGTGGGTAGGAAGTAAGAGACAGTTTCATTGCCAAACGGATGTTGATGCTGTTCTCTTTACATGGAGACTTATCGTCACAATGGAGGATAAGAGAATACTAATTAGATTAGATGATAAATATAGAACAAGTAGTATCATGCTGGGATTCTAAATTGTAGCCCCGCCCCCGCATATATCATCACTCCATAGAACTAGTCGGCCAATAGAAAGGCGCCGATTCTGTATCTTCATCCCCCTCTTTCTATTATTTTTGTATTCTCAAAATACGAAGCCATGATTAGCAACAATACACACATCTCTGAATTTAAGTGTTGACGAATAAAGACAAAGATATAGTATCATTCCCTCACTTCAGCAACTTGACACCAGAAACCAAACAGATTATCTAGAAAGACCCAGTTTCACAGCCACATCTAGCATCACTCCAGCCATATTATAAAGAACATAATTATTTTCCTCATTGTCTTGCAGAACAGACGAAAAGTCTCATCTACACACACTGGACGCGCAAATCAAATCTACTTCTTTATGTGTGTCATGAGGTGTACAATATCGCTCTTGAATATCATACTAAGATATCTCAATCTCCAGAATTAAACTCCACCTCTCCAGCTGCTTACATGATGTTCAATTCCGATACCGATGTTATATACTTGTATCGATTTACTTGACGAGGATGAGAATTCCATACTATAGCCCTGGGATGCAGATAAAAACAAGCGTCCTCCCCTATCTTCGCCGCATTATGCATCTGGCTCTCTCTATAAGAGCAGAATTTTCGAACCTCCAAACCTAAACACTAGTTATATCAATTTCTTTCCAAAACGGGAAGACAGTAACACTGATTCATCGCCGACACAAAAAAACCACTTCGATAATCTAGTCTCGATCAACCTACCAATATCGGAATTTCCCTGATCTTCACCAATAGCCATATGATCAAGTCAAATCAAGAAGCAGACCTTTCTTTCCACACAAAACACGTACAAAAAAAGCATTCAACGTGTATACCCAGAAAAAGGGAATGTAACAAGATAGAGAGATCATGTATGCATGCAATATTCTCTGTATTCAAAATACTAATCAACAAGAATGAAATTATGACGACTTGACTTATGCAATGGAGATGAAAATCCAGCACTATGATATAGCTCAGGCAGAGTGTGAATGGAAGAGAAGAGTGGAAGATGGGGTTGAAATGATGGATGTTCTGTATCTTGTGTAGCAGCAATTGCTTTTCATGGAAGATTGAATCATTGGAATATGATAGAATAGAATGAATAGAAAATTAGAATATCGTCGTAATGACCTCCTACTTCTTGAAATTATTTTCAAGTGCTGGAGATGATTTCGTGTAATTGTTAATCGGGATTGATGTCATTTATCTAATCAAAAAAAGGAATCTGTTAGCACTTACTGTCAGATCTAATGATATTGTGTGATGTACAAAGGGGATTATCGTATAGGAATAAAAAAGGAGGGATGTTCAGATGAATTGGGCGAGCTGTTCTAGGGAGAGAGCAGGAGCTAGCAGGAGTCTTTCGCGAGAATCATAGATATAATTGCAGGTATAGATTATGTCTCATGGAGAACAATGAGTATACGGAAGCTACAAGCATCGCTTTTGTATCTTAGGTGCTTCAAATTTGGTAGACTCGGGAAACAAGGTAAGAATCTTCGATAACTGTATCAAAATTTTAAATTTATTTTCTTAATTCGACTTTCTGAATTTATATCCTTAAACTAGGTATTCCTCCTAATCTCCGTTCCCCTCCTCCTCTCTCTCTTTTCCCCTCTCTTTCTTTCGCTCCCCCTATCACCACTCCCAGCCCTACTCCCACCCCCAGCCCTATCCCCATCACCCCCCTCTACTCCCTCCAACCCAAACGTAACCATAAAACTCGACCCCCTACTCACCGCCTCCAAACACACCCTATCTCTCGCCACACTAAATCCCAACTCCCCAAAGCCCCCCGCCGGCCCCAACGTCTCTTTCATCTCATTCAATGCCGATGCATCAATAATCAACTTCCAATCTAATTTCCGTTCCTGAGTCCCTTTTTCTGTACCCGGATTTTCGCTTCGTTGGCGAGAAAGCTCGATGATTTGTTCTTTTTGTTGGTTATAGTTTTCATGGGGAGATATCGATACATCACCACCATTTAGCAGTTGCGCATCCGGGGATTGAGAATACTCAAAATCGTGACTCCAATCTACAATAAGCATGAACTTATAAATCTCTCTCGTCCTTCTTCCCACGCTTCTCAACACTCCTCGAAAGTCATAATCCCCGCGCAACTCCCCCAAAGACGGAATTACCGTGTCCATCACCCATTGAGATACCTGCGAAAGAACCCAAGAAAATATCACTTCCAGCACGAGAAGCTTTGCAAATCCGTAAATGGAAGATTCGTCGCCGGTGCTAAAGGCCCAGTAGTGAAGATTATAGATTGTAGAACGCCATTCGAGATAGGTGTGCGTGGTTTCGGGGGTGGAGAGGAGGGATATGAAGCTGTTTAGGAGAGATATCATGAGGGTATTGAGGAGAGAATGGAGGAGCCAGCATAGGGTAATAAGGAGGTATGATTCGCTGGGTGAAGGTGGTTGAATTTCTGATGTGGAATTCTCACAATGTGAGGAGCGTGAGGGTCGGAGGGATTTTTCACTTCGACGTCGAGATCGATTTGGGGGTTGATGTTGATGCAATACTTTAAAAAGGAAATATTGAACCCCAATCATCCAAAACCAGGCAAATAGATTTTCAATTAGAAAACTCGTGAAGGCGAGATTGAGAGGTAGAGATGAGATGATTTCGCTTTGGTGTTCGAGATCCAGACCCTGTAGTTCTCTGAGCGAAGAGTCGTCCATCTTCGATAGAATGTGTAGATGACTGGTGGGCTTGAGATGAGCTGGATTCAAATACATATGTATATAAGAATATGAGATCCCAATGCAATGCTGCAAGTAAAGTATGTGGAACGCCCGAAGATAAAGAATGAAAAAATCAAATAATGAAATCCAATCTCTGCAAAGAAAAAAACAAAAAAACTAAAAGACAAACCTCATGATATTTCTATAAAATAAAAATACCTTTGACGTTACATTCCCTGCCATCTACCAATATAAGACTCAAACCCTTACCCACTCACCCACCCATCCATACCTACCGGTACATATAAATACATCAAAGACAAGCCTCAATTAAACTCAAGACATCCCCTTCCCCTTAACACAAAACCGCGCAGCGCAGCGCAGCGTAACGCACTATTCAACGACCCCTCCAGAGCCATTCATAAATTTCACCGGCAATCAAGCACGTTCAGTTCAGCTCAGCCCTAACCAACAGCACACTAATCCAAAAACATACCTCCAATCCGTCAAATACGCTTTACGTGTACCCCCATGCTAATACGACGTATCGAATACGCCTGCATAGCAGCACTCCATAAATATCTCCATAATTCTTTACGGATGAACCAATAAGAATGTAGAGAATACGAAGACTGGCACTATAGTTATGCACGTGGTTTGTGCTTCAGGGGTTCGATCGAAAAGTGCGAGAGCGAGATGAGAGTGCGAGGTATGCGAGATATGCTATGCGAGCTGCGAAATGGTACCTCGATGCGGTGGGTGAGCGAGAACGAGAGCGAGAACGAGATGTGAGGCATGGGAATTGAGGATTGAGATGGAAGGTTATCTTTCCATTTATATATTTACTTACTTGAGGATTCGTCATGTTGGTATTCTATTACTCTGATGGTTACGAGAAGTGCTTGATTCACGATATCGCAACGGTAAATAAACTTTATACGTAGGTAACCTTGACCGGAGAATCGAGGGATAATCCATCCATTCATACGTGAATCTCAATTTACTTCACCTAGAATAGCATCCAACACCTCCCCCTCCGAAAAGATATCGCAAACAAAATCCCTCATCCAATATTTCCAATTCGATAATCTTCCTCGAAATCGGCGTCCATTGCAGAGACAAAACTCAATCACATCACATCACATCTCATCACGCGTCAAATTTTCTGCATCTTCTGCATAAAGAGGCTGAGACCGTTGACTTGATATACCCTGTTATCTACTTATCATACCTCCCACCCAGTCATTCAACCTCATGCATTTGAGACCTGGGGAACCGAAATTCGATAATTAAGAAACTTCCCAATTGAATGTCGACGTATATACACCACCATCAAGGGAGCAGTTTTATTGTATGCTTAGACTGATCTGAGAGACAAGAGGTAAGCATAGTAAATCCGAGTTCCGTTCATATGTTTTTACTCGATTCAAAAAGTTCGGACAATAGAAATAGCGCCGTATATTGTGATCTAGCTATTCATAGTTATAAAAGCTTAAGCATCCAGCTTGAAACCTAGTGTCGAAGGTATATACAAGCTTGCTTAGATCCTCCTTATCCCCCTCGTCTTCTTCATCCACTTTGCCCATACCTCCAATTCAGTCCCTGTTCCTTACATACGACTAACATCCGGTAACGGCTTCTCCTTAATATCCTTAATCAGCGATCTCGAATTCGGATTGTCCTCAAAACTCAACTCAATCAAATCTCGCACTTCGTCTTTCGAAAAGTACAAACTAAGATGACTTTCAAACCAAAGATACCTAATATCCTTCAAATTACTCTGTAGAACTTCACTCAGGAATTGCATTTTAAGCCAATTCCCTGCATAAGTTCCAATTTCATTCGCTTTGAATAAAGATTCTAGAGCGTCAACTTGTTGAATCAGCACTGCTATTCTTTCAGCGTCATCCACTCCCAAATCTGTGAGTTCGAAAATATCGTTGATGATTTTAGTAGCTACCGTGTTGACCAATGTACCAACGGCCGATGCCCAAGTTGAAGATGGAAGTATTTCTTTCCAAGAGGCAGATTGTTGATTGATATGACCGATAACAGCACGGATTGCGTTCTCGCTGTCATTATATACGAAATTCTGAGAACCTAGATAATGTTAACAATTGCACAAAATGATATCTATGTGTACATACCACCAAGTAAATCGTGTAAGATTGTCCGTTGTGTATCCATCTCATTTTTATAAGCTCTCTTTCCAAAACTTTCAAGAGGTCCAATCTCTGAATCAATGTTGACAAGACTCAAAGCTCGTGGGGTTATGTCTTTTCGTAGATGCCATTCTTTCGAGAAACTTTTCAATTTATCCACCAACCATGTAGCATCGTTATAAGCAAACCTAGATAAAATAAGTGACAATGCTATATGGAGAGGGCAATGCCAAACTCAAGACTTACATATTTCCCTTTGGATCATCTACATAGTAACATGGAGACACCGCACGATACATTGCCAAAATCAACGTAGGGATCTTGGACAAGGCACCAGCAGCAGGTGATATGGGAAGAGATTCGTTCCTGTACAATGTTAGTGGTGATTTGCAGGAATTTGACTTGCATTAAAGTTGTCATATACGTACTCTTCCTGCATCAATTTGGCGCCATCTTCATAAATAGTGACAACGTGATTGAATATTTTCAAAGGAATAGAAGATGTCCAATACTTTTCTGAGAGAGTGACGTTTCGCCTTTCTGCTGGGTCATTTGACTGGGTATGACTAGTAGGACTATAATGAGTCCTCGGGGCTCTGCGCGTGTCGGGGGTTTCATCGGTAGGCGTTTCGACAGCAACTTCATTATCGTCACCCCAGCCCCAGGCATCTTCTTCATCTACTTGAAGAATATTTGGATCAGGAGTAATGGACAGCGAGCTTGCCCTTCTTTCCTCGTCAAAAGAAGCTCGGCTTCTTGGAATAGGTTGAGTCTCTTCCTCTTCGTCTTCTTCACCCCAGCCCCATTCATCTCTCACAGTCTCGCCATTTGAAGTGACATGCATACCGTCATCCCTGGTCACCATACGCATTTCAACTCGTTTAGCTTCAAGAGGTTGGCCAACGCCTAGCATTTGAAGTCATTAGTGTCAATACATAGGAAATAAATGGAGGATCCATTTGGGGAGATGAAGAGGGGAGGTGAACATACCAAGGGCTAAAGCATTACGAACTCGGTCCAGTGATGTTTCTCGCTTCTTAGTCAACCAAATTCTAGCGGCGCTGAAAACCCATTCATCGAATTTCTCTGCTCCAGGCCATCCTAATTCTCTCAAAGTATCGGCAAATTCACCTGTACGACCTAAAGCCTTTTGGTAATCGACCATATCGTCTAGGGACGTTGGTACAGATGACTCTAGCCATGTTCCGATTATTATTTCAGTTAGATCAGGCATCATAACCTTAGACAAGGCTTCGACCATTGTCTTGGGCAGGTTCTCGTCCAAAAAGCGAATGATGTCTAAGAGATCCTTGAACAAAGATTTAATGCTAGTATCTGAACGATCTTCAGTAACACGCAAAGTGTTATTCTCAATACATATTTGGAAAACAGAAGGTGATGATTCCAGGCCAGTACGAGGTCGTATAATTGTTTCAGACAATTGCTCCCATAGATCTTTGCCAAATTCGCCAAGCTCTTGAAATCTCTCCAATCCTATTGCAACATCATCCAAAGATGTTGAAATACCGTCAAATTTCTTGTGGATCGTGATAGAAGCTTCTTTAGGTTGGATATATATCAATGATTTCCGGATCTCACTAAGCTGACCATTCAAAGATCCCTTCAACTCATAGTATCGTGTATCCAGGAGCCGAACCGCTCTTACAGTAGTTTCCGCTGGAATCTCCGCAATTTGATGACCTGCAATATCGAGTGACTTTAAAGCTTCATGTATTTCTTGTTTGTCCGCCTGCTCCACAACTCTGTCCAGGGAATCATTCGCACGTTTTATGGATTGTGCACATTCCAGTAAGTGTGCATTGAACTCAATCTCCTTCACTAAAAGTTCAACATGGTTTTCATGATTGTGTACATCGGTAACTCGAGATTCATCCGCTTCTGCTTGTTGAACGACTTCATTCGCCAGTTTTCTTGACTTGTCGATATCGTCCTGGAGGGCTTGCGCGTGTTGTATCCATGTATCGATATCGACAGCGGAATCTCTACTGATTTGACGAACTTCAGTCTGTACGAGACATAGTTAGCAAGCAAAATAGTGGGTAGGTAGTGATTAACAAAGCTGGGGATTTTTGGAGACACACCTCGAGGGATAATTTAGCCTCACCCAAAGCTTCTATAGCTAGTGGAAGAGCTTCATTTCCAACCGCAGATGCAGAGACTTCCTCATTAGGAAATTCTCCATTTGATGCAAAGCCAATGAGAGTTTTGCTAAGTTGATCAACTGCTATTGTGGAGGCCATGTTGTCAAAGTCTTTGGGAACAGTAGGATACTCCAACCAGCACTGAGCCGTTGTATCCAAATAAATTTTCTAAGACGACCAAAAGCTAGGGGCGTGAAACTCATGTAGGTACCTAGTATTTATCTGAACATCACTAACATTCTTTTTCGAACATCTTGAATGAGATTATGACAAGGTGGAACCAGAAGCTATGGCATAATCATCTGATGACTAAGAATTATGCTATCAAGCGCGCGGTTAAGCTGATGCGGTAAGAGTGGGTTATCACCCAATGATAATTATCCAGGGCGTCTATTCATTCCTTCGTTGTAAGGCTATTAACTTTATATTTTATTTATATTGTTCATCGTTCAACCTATTCACCTACGTACTTTTTCACCAATATCTCGGCCTTTCTCTGTTTTGCGAAGGAAATCATAAGTTTCAACGACATATCCAAATAAGAGGCGATCCATTCATTTTTTGCCTCTCTATCTAGTTGGAGGCTACTTCTCATCTTCCCTGGCGACCTCAATTCGCCAGTTTTCCCGTTGGACCAGGCTAGGATACCAAAATACCCAACAAAGGTACGACCAAACTTGCCAAGAGTACCAGATTTCTTTCTCTAATCACATTGTTCTTCCTATTCTTTAAATATTTTTCCAAGAGATCTTTGTCCTCTTTAGCATAGTATCTTTGTTGTTTTTTCTGTCTCAATCATTCTCATGGCGGGGTACAATTCTCCCCGCCAATTTTGGTATATGGCAATTGCTATTATTCCTTTACTTGCTGTTGTGATTTACCAAGCGGTGGATTCGTCCTGGTATGCTTTATTGCGCTATTCCAATCGATTCCATACATCCTCTCATCCATTGCAGTCCGGCTTTGAAACTCTGGTGGTTTTCAAAGACTTTGTCATTTGTGTGATGCAGACTATAGCTTGATTCTACAATCATTGCACTACTTCAAGACAAAAAGTTGTAGTTCTCTTTTCGTTCCTTTCTAAATACATCTCACCCTGTTTTCTTCGAACTTGACACATGACTTTTTATGGATGTTGAAAATTATTTGATCAACCTCAATCTAACAATATTTCAGGTACTCTTCTCGCAAAGAGCTGCTTCACTTTTGGAAACCCAACTCCTTCATTAAGATGCCAAGTCAAACGAAGAAAACTTATTTCCGTACAGTGCAGAATTTCAAAACTGATTACGCCCCTACCAACATTACCCAATATGTCTCAGAACGTACTGGCATGAATGTTGTTGTGGTTGACCAGAAGGGACCTCAAGTCAATGGATATTTTGCATTGGCTACGGAAATTTTCGATGATTCTGGATCACCACATACCTTGGAGCATCTTTGCTTTATGGGATCAAAAAGCTACCAGTACAAAGGCTTACTCGATAAACTTGCCACTAGAGCTTACTCTAATACTAACGCATGGACTGCTACGGATCATACTGCCTATACATTAGAGACAGCAGGATGGGAAGGATTTTCTCAAATCCTTCCTGTTTATCTTGAGCATTTGATCTTACCAACACTTACCGAAGAAGGCTGTTACACAGAAGTCCATCATGTTGATGGTGAAGGTAACGATGCAGGCGTTGTGTATTCAGAAATGCAAGGAATTCAAAATACTGGTTCTGATATCATGGACCTCCGTGCTAGGCAACTTCTTTATCCAGAAAATGTTGGATTTCGTTACGAGACCGGTGGTTTGATGGAAAATTTGCGTATCTTGACCCCAGAGAGAATTCGTGCATTCCACAAGGAGATGTATCAACCTAAAAACCTTTGTCTCGTTTTGATTGGTGAAATCGATCAGAAGGAATTGCTTGAAATATTAGACACTTTTGAGGAAGGTATCTTAGATGACATACCATCTCCAACAGCTCCATTCAAGAGGTAAGTGTGTTCAGTTTTGACTATCAACAGATAATATTCTAATATATATAGGCCATGGGTGGATTCTGCTCAACCACCACCACTCACTAAAACCATAGTAGAGACTGTATATTTCCCAGAGGAAGATGAGTCGATGGGAGAAATTTGGGTTGGTATGTTTGGCCCTGATTGTAAAGATGCCGTCGAAACAGGTGCTCTTAACGTTCTCCTTGCATACCTCGCTGGATCTTCCGTTTCAATTCTTGAAAATATCATGGTTGAGAAAGAAGAGCTTGCTAGTTCAATTTCATATTGGTGGGATGCGAGACCAAATTCAGTGATTTGGTTTCAACCAACTGGAGTAGAAACTGAAAAGCTTGCATTCGTAGAGAAGCGTCTTTTTGAACTTCTTAGGGAGGCTTTAGAGAAACCTCTAGATATGGCATACATGAAAAATTGTCTAGAAAGAGAACGCAGACAATGCAATTTCGAAGCCGAAAGTTCTCAGCGTTTCTATGCTGAAGCCATCATCAATGACTTCCTTTTCGGTAACAGAGATGGTTCTACTTTGAAGGATTTGAAATCACATGCAGAATTTGACACACTTGATAAATGGAGTGAGCAACAATGGAAAGATTTTCTGAAGAAATGGATCGTCGATGCACCTCACGTTTCTTTACTCGGAACCCCTTCAGAAGAGATGTCGAAGAGAATAAAGAAAGAAGAGGAGGCTAGAGTTGCAGAGAGAAAGGAAAAGTTAGGGCCAGAGGGGCTTAAGAAATTGGCTGAAAAGCTCAAGACGGCAATTGCCAAGAATGATGCCGAAATACCTGCCTCACTTCTACAGAAGTTTTCCGTTCCTGGAACCGATTCAATCCACTTTCACAAATCAACCACCGCTAGATCTGGTTTGGCCAAGAAATTGGGCGCACCTACCAATGAAATTCAAAAGGTCATTGATTCGCAAGCATCTGAGTCTCCATTGTTTTTACAATTTGAGCATGTTCCAACAAATTTCGTTCACTTGTCAATGCATTTTGGCACTTCAGAAATCCCTCTGGAGCATAGACCACTGCTCAGTTTATTCATAGACAACTTCTTTGATACACCTATTTTTCGCGACGGAAAGAGAGTAGAATTTGAGCAAGTCGTTACAGAATTAGAACATGACACTATTAGATACGAAATGAGAGGGGGTTCTAGTCTTGGTGACGCAGAAGGTCTTATGATTCAATTCCGAGTTGAGCGAGAGAAGTATGAAACAGCCATCGAATGGATTCGCACTATGATGTTCGATGGTATTTTTGATGCTACACGTCTCAGTACTGCGGTTACTAAGATCCTCGCCGACATTCCCGACAACAAGCGCGATGGTAATGGCATGCTTTACACCGCTGATGGTATGCTTCACATGTCCAACGAATCGAGCATGAAAGCAAGGACTACTCTCGTCAAGTCAGTCTACATGAAACGTCTCAAGAAGCTTCTCAAAAAAGAACCGGAGACTGTCATCGGCTGGCTCGAAGCCCTTCGCAAATCTATTTTCAAATTCAACAACATCCGAGCCCTCGTCGTTGCAGATATCAATAAACTCCCAGCCCCAGTACAAGCTTGGAATCCACTCATCTCTTCCCTCGATAAACCTACGCCCGAAACAGATCTCCTTCCTATCCGCAAACAGCACACACTTCTTTCCCATGATGGACAAAATCTTGGCCAAGCAGGAGCTATTATCATCCCAATGCCTACCAGCGATTCTTCCTTCCTACTAACAAATTCCCGTGGCCCAAGCTCTTACACTGATCCTCAACTCCCTGCACTCCGCGTCGCTCTATCTTTCCTACGCGCCGTCGAAGGCCCCTTGTGGACAGCTATCCGTGGAACAGGTTTGGGATACGGATCTTCATTCCATAATGATCTTGATACTGGATTTGTTCAATTTAGTGTCTATCGTTCTCCAGATGCTTTCCGCGCTTTTGCCGCCGGTAAGAAAATCCTCGAGGAATACATTTCAGGAGAGAAGAAAATGGAAGATTCAGCATTAGAAGCGGCTATTAGTGATATAGTCGTTGAAGTTGTCAATACACAGATCACAATGGATCAAGCTGGGCAAGATAAATTTGTCAAAGGGGTAATGAAGGGATTACCTGAAAATCACAATGAAGAATTGTTGAGAAAGGTTAGAGATGTGGGAAGAGAAGAGATTAGAGAAGTTATGAAGGAAGTTTTGTTAAAGGCTTTTGAGCCGGGAATGAGTAATGTTATGGTTACTTGTGCACCGATTATGGAAGAGGTATGTTTTGTCATTTTGTTTCTTTTCTTCTCTTTCCCCTCGACTTATTTCCATCCCTCCCCGATATTCTCCCCCTACTTTACTCACTTGTTTCCCTTTCTTCAATCAATCCTCTAACTATACACAAAATCAATACTAACCACGAACCTCCTGAAAAAAAGGCAATAGTAAAAAACTTCCAATCCCTAAACTTCAAAACACAAGTCCGCACCCTCGCAAGCTTCGAAGATGATTACGGCTTAGCAGCCCCAGAAGACGACGAAGGTGGAGAAGAAGATGAGGACGAGGATGAAGATATGGAAGATGAGGAATCTGGCAGTGAAGAGGATGGCGAAGAGGACGAGGAAAGTGATGTGGAGATGAAGAATTAAGATCCTGCAAGATATGCTAGCCTAGCTTGATTGGAAAGGTGGTTGTTTGAAGGGTCAAATGATTAACTGGTCGAACAGGCGGCAGGCATTTATTGTCGAGCATGAGTTTCTGTAGATACCTAGATATTCAGGAGTCTCGATTTTGCATTATTATTGATGTTACTATTGGTGTCAGTTTTGGCATTCGTGATATCGAATGTTCTTCGCACGCCCCCATCATGTAGATGGATGATAATTTGGATTGCACTTCTCCGGCTTATCCAATTCCAATCAAGAGTAGATATCGGGGTATACATTACATAGATACTAAGAACTCACTATACTTTCCCCAAAGATAGCCAAGAAGTAAAAAACGAAATGAAAGTAAATCACAAAGTCAAATATAAAAAGCTTCGATTCGAATTTCAATCTCAATTTCAATTTCAATCGAAAAAATCTCTCGATATAAAACTCCTATCTATTTTGACACCCCTCCTATCCACTTCGTCCATTGATTCATCATTCATCCATTCACCCGCTAGCTCACTCACTCATAGCCCGCTGACCAACTCACTGGCAACCACCCAAATTGGATGAACCCCCTCTCATTCTCACTCCGAATCACATTCCCATTCTCTCTCTCCCTCAATGACCGGTGATTGCGCCTTCGCCCCTTCTAAGTTGAGGGGGCAAAAAATCTAATCTTACAATAAATACAAAAGATGCCAAATCTCTCATTCTAGCATCTTTCCACTCCACTCCGCTTCGCAAGGTCTTTCCTCTGACCTCCGACCCCTGCTCATCTTCTCATCCTCCATTGCTATCATATCGTATCAGGTTTCCGCCATCAATTACAAACGAAGAGGAAAATGCCATTCATTATCTTTCTTCATGCGATAAAACTTTGTAAATCAAAAAGAGTCAAAGTTGAGAAAAGAAAACCAGACCAGCATTAACGCCAAACGACTCGATGTGTTGAAAAGAGTACATGTTTTTTTTTGATAACCCCCAACCTTTCCCATCCCCATGATTGTATGCCGAAAGCACAGATGAATGACTCCCGTAATGATCAAATTGAGCCAATTTATTGTATAATCACAAACCCCGGCTCTCAAGAATGCCGAATGTTGAAAAAAGTGTACGATGTTAAGGAATGAAAAGAAAGCAATTGAATTAGTTAAGAAATCCTTTACACGCCGGTGTACCACAGAGACATGGAATACGATCTGTACTACCAATCTCACGCTCGAATTTGTAATCGTAGGTGAGTTCCTCATCTAGAACGGGATGTTAGTAAAATGATTTGAAAAAATTGGATATAATTTGAACTCACTCTGTGCGATATCACGCAGCGCATAGATGACAATTCTCTTACTCTTCTCCACCGTGATGATCTTGGCAGTACAGTTGGGCATACAACTATGATTGATGAATCTTGCGATACCACCTTTCTTGGTTGCATCGATGACTGTGTTTTCATCGATTCTGAACAGATAACTACTTCCAATACCACTCTTGAGATATCTGTTTTCTCGAAGATCTGCAACTTGTTGCCGAACCTTCTCACCGACATACTCAATGATCATATCATTCATCGCTATATTCTCCATGGCATAAAGACCCCAATTGTGAATAGCAGAACGAGCGAACTTGACGGGCTTCTTACGTTTCTTAAGTTGATTGAAACGCAAGACATCAGTATCACCTCCAAGAGTCTTCTTCTGATCATTAAGGTCGGCAACGTAACGACGATTATTGACACGGGTAGCACGACCAGATGTACGGGCAAGCAGCTTTTCTGCCGCAATCTTAGCTGCCTCTGCTGCTTCTGCGACGACATCTTTACCGGCTCGTTTCGCTTGTGCTTCACGTTCTTCACGCGCCCTTTGAACCTTGATACGATGAGGAAGATAAAGAGATTTTTCGGAGTTCAGAATCTTCTTCGTACCTTCAGTACGAGCACAGCCAGTTGAAGTCTCCACATAGTATCCAGGGATAGTCGTCTCATCTTTAACAATACCTTTGTATCCATTACGATTGAGTGACTTGATTTGCCCTTGTCTCCATGCCCAGGTAGCAGGATCGCTAAGTTTGAAATCCGTCTTGAAGATTTTGAGTGCGGGTCCAGCGTCTTCGTCATCCTTGAGGATATTTTGCAGCCCGTCAATGTCGAGAATATTATCAAAGTCATCATCGACGGTAGGATAGGGTGCATCACTAGAGATGCCCCATTTGACAGATGTTACCACGGGTGCTGTATCGACAATGTTTTCCTCGAATTCAGACTCCTCATCAACTTCTTCTGGAATAATCTCGTCTTCCGTAGTACCCAGTTGTTGTCTTTTTAGGGCCTCCCTTTCTTCAAAAATCTGCTTCTTGGACTTCTTTCTCTTTGCCGATTTTGCAGCCTTCTTTCTAGCCGCCACAGCAGCCAAAGCAGCCTCTGTCTCGGATTCTGTCTTTTGGAATCCATCGAGCTCAGAAATACCTGCCTCAGTGGGAGTTTCTGAGAGGGGCTCAATCTTTGCCACAGGTACACCAAAGAGTTCCTCGTCGGTTTTCTTCTGTCGCTTTTTCGCAGCTTCCATATGCAGATCCAGCTTTCTCTTCTTCGTTGATACGGCAGGTTCAGAGAAATTGACTTCACTTGCAGACTCCCCATCTCGAGTGTCCAATGACTGGGACCTTTCCTTCACGTTTCGGCTCATGGAATCCGTATCATCATCAGAAGCTTCATCATCAGTACCCACACGACTTCTCGGGCGTGACTCAACCTCTTCAGTGCCTCTTGTCCTGGAACGAGCTTCATTATCGTCATCCGAATCTTCATCCTCCCTACCAATGAGGAAATGCATGGGCCGAACGTAAGCTTTCCGGGTGGGCCTGGCGAAGGGATCAGTAAATCCAACATTGCGATTCTTTTCCGCCTTGGCTCTTTTTCGGATCCTAGGCAGAGCAGTAACATTAACCTTCCCTGCTGTTAAAGAATTGCGGTCCTCAATTCGTGAGTTAGGCGTAGCAATAGCGTTACTATTGTCCTGGTCTTCCTCGTCATCGATGAAGGACGTCTTGGCATTAGGGTCATGAATATTTAACTTGCGTCGCTTTGCCACATGATTCGTTGGATCCATGAAATTTCGGAGGCAAGGATTTGCTATCCGTTCCTTCACCTTGTCCATCAAATGTGTCATTAACTCTCGTTTGATGACTTCAATAGCTTCACGGGCCGGATCGAAGTTTTTGGCCCGTTCCCGCTTCTCGTCCTCAAGATCAGCCTCTTCCTCCTTTCTAATCTCCTCAATCTCCTTTCTCCTTTTTTGCTCAGTCAAGCGCGGGTCCGGGCTACGAGTGCGACGATGATGACCTCTTTCGGATGCGCGATCGCGATGTTCATGACGTCGACCTCCGGTGCCCCATAAGTATAGCTTCATGATCATTTCATAGGAAAACAGCGCGGTGCCATTGCAAGAATTGTAACACCTGTCTGCCTCAAATCTTCCCTCGTCACTAAGCGCGAAGACTACATAATAACCTGTTCTATCAACTCTAACATCCTCCAGGAAATGGTTCTTAAGCCGCTTTTTCAAATGGAGGATTGTCGCAGGAATGACAGGAACATAATCTTTCGAAATGAAAATATAGGGTTCATCCTCGAGTTGTTGCGAAATTGGTTCATCCTCGATCAATGTCTGCTGGCGCGGTTTCGTAGGAATCGCAGCTTGTACCATGCTGCCAGGTCTAAATTGCGGCCTTCCAGAAAGGGCGGCTGGCCTTTGGGGGCACTTGGCGGGGGACCAGAGGATTTGACAACTTCAGGTTTAGGGGGAGGTAGTGGCTCCTTGGGCGGTAGAGGTAAAGGTTCGGGTTTCGACTTTTCCAAAGCATTCTCAAGCATGCGAGTACTGCGCTTGCCCTGCGGATCGAATTGGACCTTGATTCTCGGTCCTAGCCCTATCACACTGCTACCTCTTATGACGGCTTTCTTGGCAGCCTCTGCCGCTGTCAAAATTGTGCCATCTTTCCTTTTAGTATCTCGATATCTGAATGTGCCAAAGCCCAAACAACTTCCCGTCTCTGGATGTAATTTGTTACTGCTCTCTGCGATTTGTCCATAATGAGTGAAAACATTAGTGACCTTCATAAAATTTATTAATGGATCATATCCAGTGACGACAATTTCCGTTGGTGGGCCAGGTCCATAGTGAGTTTTAGGGTTGTATTTGTACTTTGGTAGCATAAACGGCGAATGATTGAGTCGCGATAATGCATTATGGTAATCGGTATTGATATACGACAATCTGCTTCCTTTTGCTAACCGCGGATCCGCTGGGGGAGCGTCATCTTTCTGAAAAGCTATTAGCCAGACGTTCTCACACGCAAAAGATGACACCCCCGCAGCAGATTGTATACGTACCAAACCAAACTCCTTATAATGTGGGCGGCGATTATGTTTCTCTTTCGTCGAATGGATATGAGGGTCGTGGAATGGATCATATGTGCACTTTTTCCCCTTTACACCTCGTGCTGGGTCTCGAGCGAGGACTCGTGGCTCGGTGGAAGTATGCTCTGCCGGGGCAGAATTGGGTAAAGCAACGACATGCCGAGATTTTGTATTATCAAGAGCGGCGCGAGTTGGAGCGGTGACAGGCATATCAGCCTTGGCATTGCCAGGACTTGCAACACCATTGGGTGATGATTCGGCATTTGTCAATGGTGTTAAATCGTTGATATTTCGAGAGCCAGCAGATGCTTGCATGCTGTTGGAAAGCTGATTGTTGACACTGAAAAGGGATGATCCAGAACTTGAATGAGAGCTTGCTGAGCCTACACCATTCAAAATATCGCCTTGTACAGATTCGTTGTCTTCTGTCGTTAGGGTAGGAGGATCCGCAATTGGAATTGATATATCTTCTGAAAGACGTGTAATAGAAGCATTGTCAGTTAAGGCTTTCGCATTAATTTGGGTATCAGTGACAGAAAGAGTGGTAGGCGAATCTGCCTGCTGTGCCTTTGACTTTTCCCTCTCCTTTGCTTTGTCTTTCGCAGCTCGAGGAGCCGATGGAAAGAATTGTGCGAAACTCGCCCCAGATGCGCGAGACATCGTGTGACTGTATTAATCTACCTCTCCTTCCTTCTGCCAACCACCATCTCTTTGTGAAAGATCAATATGCGACTGCATGCATTAAAAGGGTTAATGGCAGATGGCCAATACGCGCAAGAAGCGGTTGGTAATGACGCGATTCAATTCCCTCGGAACAGATTTGACCAAGTATTGCCGATACTTGTATGATGATAAAAGTATAGAATATCTCGTCGATATCGATGTGCGAATATTGGCAGATCAAAATTGATTGTTGTGCGACAGATATGAGATCTATCTTTTGACGCTGGGGGTTGGGAATTTCGTGAATATGTATAGTTGAAGTTGATGGAATGGAGGATTTGATGAGTTGAGGTTTCGATACTATCAATTTCTCGCTTTCCCAATAGGTTAGATTCTAGAAAATAGTGGCGCTTGACTGAATTAGGAGATTACATAAGAATTCAAGGAGATGGCAGGTCAACATGAGGGATAACTTTGATATCGTGTGCTAATAAGTAGACAAATCTTATATTAAAATGTATTGCATTTTAAATACTGTATAATGAATTCCTATTATTCCATTCTATACAGTTCGTTACTTCGAATTCTACTATTGATATCTTTATGTTACTATTCACTCTGTTCAATGTGTTGGTGTTGACTGTACGGCTACTCTCTTCGCTTGAAAGACACAACAATGAATCCGTTTTCAGTACAAAAAGTACTACAGAGATGAAGACCTTGGCTGAAAGGGATATCGTAATAAGTATAGTAGTATTCGAGAAACGTACATATATCATGGTTGCTCAGCTAAAACAGCCTGCTAGATTTGAATATTGTAGTGCCTAAAGATATGGAAGAATTTCATATGAAACATATACCATTCAGATAATCCCAAGTTTCCCTGTCTAAACAGTCTGCCTCCATGGCAATGGCCCTCGGAGAGCCAGCGGAGCGTCATTCTTCTACTTAACCATCAATATCACGAACCACCTACTTTGTACAAGTAATCAAAGAGCCAGCGAAGCCTCATCCAATCACTTACCAACAATTCCAACAACCCCCAAACTCCTGGAAATCCTCATCTCCTTCTAACACGTATGAGATTCGAGAAGATATATTTATCTTGGTAAAGTGGTCAGTTGAATAGATGACACAACACGAACCCCTTATTACTTTTCGTTACATTTCTTCACCCCCTCGTTACACAATTGCACGTGCTCCTTCTCCAGTGGAGGTTTGTACAACACCCAGGTGTATATATGTATGACGAGCGACTATCAATATACATTGCATGTTTATCCTTGATTCAAAAATACCATTGGGTTCGAAAAATGTTGCCAAATGAAAGTCATAATATACCCAGATACTCGTAATGTCAGTAGTATCATGTAATCTCCAAGCCCACTCGTCCATGCAACATTTCCATCACATATCATCACACTTCAAATAGAGAATAGGAATCTGCCCAACGTTTTGACAGGCAGATAGATATGCAGTACCTATTCCACTGTACCATCATGCAGTCGTTGTTCCACGAACCTGCTGTTAGCCGACCGATGCTATGTAAGGTTATTGAAGCGGAGGAAAACAATGAGAAACACATTTCACCATGCCATATTTATCGCCATGTTAAATCGAACCCTATTGTATTACAGATATAGAAGTGAGCCGTTTCTAGTCACAATGACATAATAATGTTCAAGATGATTGGAAAGTCATATACAAGTCCTAATTACTACTCTCTAACTTATAGCTTAAAGAATAACTTCCCCAATGTATCATATCATACAAATATAGTAATCGCACCGCATCGCACCAAATAACATAAGAGAGAAATATTGTATACCATGCAACACCTAGGTAAAGGTATACAAGTTGTGGTATCTTGTCCATCCGTACTCCATTTTCACACCCTTTCATAACACCATAGTCATCATAATACAACCAAAATCAAAACCGATCTTTTCGATACAAATGAAAAGAACCCTATTCCGTACCTCCAATTGTCAAAACAAAATCCTCTTCATCCTCATCGAATTTAATCAAACACTCTGGCAAACCACATTTCAAAGCTGGTTCCAAGTCCTCATCGTCAACCTCAAAGGCACTCAAGAAATCCAATTTCTTATACTCTGGATTCGACACATTTTCTTTCTGGGCAAAACGGGCGGGAGTGATGGTACCATCTGGGTCATGGGAAAGATTGCTAGTCGAGCGAGGTAAAGTATTCGTTCTCTTCAGTGTGAGAGGTGGAGCATCCTTCTTCTGAAGAACGTTAGAAGCTGATCTGCCTTTGGTATAACCAATGGTACTTCTAGATGTGGCTGTGGCAGCTGTGGCACGCATAGTGTTGTTTGTAATAGGAGCAAAAGTTGGTGTCTTTCTACCTCTCAAAAGTGATGAAGCTGGTCTTGGAATTGCTGTTGATGGTCTCTTGTAAGGCTCCATTGCAGATCGTGGGAGAGTTGACAAAGCGGATGCTGCTCGACGAGATGCGATTGCTGAAGGACCTCTGGTTGGGACTGGACCCTTTGGTTTCTGATCTGTGGAAACTGTAGCTTTGGTTTGCTTCGATGATGCTTTCCTTTTCAAATTTTTGAATGTTTCAGGGACATCACCAACAGTCCAATCCTCCTCCATTGATGCCATTATTTGTGCATCCGTCTTCTTCGCGCGCTCCACTGAAGACATTTCTAAATCTCGCTCAAGTTTTGATCTTCCACTCTTATCATTGGTGTTATAGAATTCGCCGAGAGCTCCTTTGGTAAGATTTTCTGACTTAAGCATATCGTAGTTGAGACAACCAGTAGGGAAAGTATCTGAATCATATGGTAAATCCTTGGATCTTGGTGGCATATATTCGACTTCAACATCATCTAGAGGATTTTCATCTCCATGTACATCGATCTTAATCTTCTCCGAAACCTTATGCTTGGGTCTGCGAGCACTCGTTTGTTTTGATACAGTCTTTTCGAGATCCTTCTCAGGTGCGGGACCTACGGGAGTTTGGAATACCTTAGTTTTCGCATTCGTAGTTTTCATACCAAGGGGAGCTCGATTGCGAGGACCTATCATAGATTAGTCATTGATCCTACCATTATGCAATGGAAAATTCTTACCCACGGGTGTAACAAAAGCATTCTTATCAAAGGTCGCATCTTTTCCACCTAAGCCCTTGCCTTTTGTACCAAGTACAGATCCTTTCCCACCCAATCCTCCCGGCGCATTCTCATCATTCAATGGAACCTTCAATGGCGTCTTCGGAAATTTATTTCCTGGCGTCTTTGGCTGTAAACTTCTGGTGCCTTGATTGAGGGGTTTAGAGGCAGCGACTTGTTGATGACCATGAATCAGATTCTCTTGATCCCTAGCTGCGAACATATTGATTGATTATCCTGTGCAATGTTGGTTAATGTGAATTATCTTGAGAATGTGAATTATCTTAAGAATGTGTATTACATTAGAATGTATCATGAAGTTGTTGTGTTTGTCGACATATATGTAAATTTCGTTCGATAGAGTAAAGTTTGCAGTTTCCATGCTTGACATTTATTTTGATTTGTTTCTACGGCAACTCTGTCAAACCCAGAGCTCTTCCCATTTCTGATTATACAGCCCCGTGAGCCCCTTGCTCACAGACCAACCATTCACCCCTGTTTATGTTCGGTTGGCAATAATACTCTCTTTGGTCTCTCTCACCCTTTACCATCTGCAACATCTCAAACAGTCGCAACTTCTTCAACTTCTTTCATACCATCAACATCAACCATAAAGATATTCTTTGTGATATCAAATCTTTTTAAATTCAACCTCACCAAATTGTGTTAACCAACAAATAACCCTTCAAAATGGATCGCATCAAGGAAGTAAGTAAGATCAACGAAACTAACCCCGCCATTTGTCCCTCCAGTCTACGAAATTCCCCTTTCCATCCGGATACGATCGCCGACACTGCTATCGAATGACTCTGAAGGAACGATGCTGATTTCCATCTTTATAGAAAATGAACACCCTCCGTATCGAGGCCGATGAAGCTACCGCAAAGGTTCAAGAGCTTCAAGAAAAGGTCAAGGTTCTTGAGCAAGAGAACCTCCAAAAGGAGCAAGAAATCACATCCCTTACACACAAGAACAACTTGTTGGAAACCGAAGTTGAGAAGTTAGAAAGCGGGATTAAGGAGGCCAAGGCTGTGGCAGAGGAAGGCAGTCAACACGGTACACAGAACGAGACTCTTCAACGAAGATTACAACTTTTGGAGGAGGAAGCTGAGGAAGCTGACAAGAACCTCCGCGAGACAAATGACAAGTAAGTGATTGAAATCTTGGAATCCCTATTAAAATAGGGGTTTGCTTCATAAGTTTTGCACATGTGCACATCTTGATATCCACAGTAATATAAGCTGACTTTAATGTGTCTTAGACTCCGTCAAACCGATGTTAAGGCCGGTCACTTCGAACGTAAGGTCCAGGCTCTCGAGCAAGATCGTGATCAGTGGGAGGCAAAGTTCGAGGAGATGGCCAAGAAGTATGCTACTGTGCAAAAGGAATTGGAGGACTTCCAAGCAGAGATTGGCAACATTTAAATTGGTTTCTATGTCACAGTCGACATTCTGTTCAAGAGCTTTTTAGGTGCATGGGTTGCGGAATAATTACAGTTAAGCCTCGTATGCGCTGGCGGTGGTACGCTGTTTTTACATGATTTGCTTCTCGATCGATATCGAAGTCACATACCAAATATTACTGCGGGTTCTGATTGTGAAGTTGTTAATAGATTCCATTTTAATTATTACCTCGTCGCGCATCTGCAGCTGCTCTACTCCCAGACTTTTGTTTTTGTCTCGTCATTTTCCTTTCCGCCTTGGTCTCATACGTGAACTTCTTCTTTCGTGGTTTCTTGGGCCAAACTTTCTTGACCTTCTCTTCTTCTTTTATGACCTTCCCCTTTGCCTCGTGTATACCATCATCACTATCCTCTTCATCCGCAGTCCTCTTAATTCCATCTTTCGATATTTCTATGCCTTCGACTGTGACTGTTGTGTATTTATCTTCATCGATGTATTCCTCTTCGTGATCTACCAACTCTGGCGCTTCCTCCTCGGCTTCTTCTTCCTCTATACCTCCCCATTCATCGCCATCTCCGCCATCGAATCTTTCCTCCACATCCTCTAGTAGCGCATTCACGGCTTTAACGTGCTCGTTCAATTCTGCTCTCCTTTCCTCTCTCAACTAAACATCAAAAGATTAACCAATGGTCATTCCAAAAGCATCGAACAACAAACCTGTTTCCTCATAACAATTCTCTCCTCTTTAGCCTTCTTCTCTGCCTCCTCTTGAGCCCTCTTCGCTCTCTGCACCTTCCGTTTGTGAAATCCAGTTAAATAATCTTCACGAGCACTTAAATCGAAATTGATTTCTTCAATCTTATGGTCGAACTTTCTCTTCTTTTTGTGCGCTGGTAGGACTGATCGCTTGGGACGAGGCTTGACTATGAATGAGGACTCCATGGTGATTGATTTGTGAGGAGGATGACTTGCGGCGCACTTGGAATTGGATGTCTATTCGTGATGAATTTAATATAATCCTGGGGAAGGAATAATTTGGGCAGTAAGATCTTACCGCCTTGGCTTAGTCATTGGAGGATGAGAATGTTGTGAATTGGGATGATGAATAATTGTTTCCTATTAATTGGAACTTAAATTACTCTCTATATAAAAGGTAATTCTGTAATGTCTTAAAAGGAAGCTGAGATCTAGATTTTGAATTGTAAAAAGATTTGAGAGTTGAAGACATTCAATTGAACATAAATCATGAAATGGTGGTAGATATCCAATTGCTTACATAATCGTAAAGAGAGCTCAAGGTTACACTTATCGAAGCTTAATGAAACAGCTTCATCAACAAGATCATCTCGCACGCATCACAACTTTCCAACCACAAAAGTCAAGATGCGGTATTCGATTGCTGGATCGCTATTATGCTGTGCTGCTGCAGTGCAAGCATTCAAAGATACATCACCTTTCCTTTTATTCTCATCATCGGAGTGAGTTATCCTTCCAACTACCCGCTTCATCGCCATGCAGTTACTAACACGAGAATGGCAGATTACCTTCTTCGATGCAAATTGAGAGTCAAGAATTAGATACCACGTCATCAGTCCTTCAAAATGCGAAAAGTTTCCTTTCGACTTGCCCCTCTGATGTCTACATCATTATCCAACAAGATGCTCTCGCCGCCTCTGATTTCTCGGCTCCAGAATCCGTTCCTCATATGAAAGCCGCTATTGCCGATTCGAGAGTTCGGGCTACTTATAGCGTTATGGATGTTATGCACGAAGATGGAAACCTGGCTGGGAAATTAGCAGAATATATTGAGAAGACATGCGGCCAGAAAGTCGAACGACGTGGAAATGTTGGTTCTGTGTCTACTGATGGAACTGGAAACGGTGTCATTGTATCGCATTTTGATGCATTATCGACTGAGAAAGTAGCAAGAGCTGAGGACTTCAATGATCAAGGTTTGTGCTCGTCGGAATTGTGAGAAAAGATTCACAACTAATGCATACATAGATTACATGCTCAACAATGTTTACTACCAACATCTCCCAAGTGGTCCAGAATACACCGTCATTTTCACCACCACACCTGTCGGCTCTGTTCTCGAACAACACAATTCCGAATTGCCAGTTTATAATGCGGAGTTTGACTCAACTTCCCACATCGATTTGAAGCGAGATTTCAGAATTAGAGCAGACAATTCAACCGCCGAACTAGACCGTAGACCACTATTCGAGAAATATCAATATTTTACCCCTGGTATTTTCATGGGTTTGGTGGTTGGTATCCTCCTTCTTAGTATCTTGTATGTGGGATTGAGCGCAGTATCCAGTCTCCAAGTTTCGTATGGAGCATTTGATAAGGAAATGGGACCATCTGCGCAAAAGAAACAGCAGTAGTTTTTAGGCTGAGGAATGAGAGAGAGGAAAGATTGATTATGGAAAGGAAAGGGATGGATGGATTGGAATTGGAGTTTTTGCGAAGTAAAGCTAGTGTATGATTTTGTATGTATAAAGTATGCATGGGTATTCAATAAATGGTATGGGATTTTTGAACATGCTTTTCCCTGTTTACTTGTGATGAATGGGGTGTGAGAAATACGTGAAGAAGCTGAAGTGTTTTTCTTTCTTGCTTGCTTGCTTGCTTGCTTGCTTGCTTTCCTTTCTCTCTTCGTACGCGAAAATGGAAATTCTAGATGTCTTCCCCCTCTATGATATGATGTGGTGTGAATATCGACTAGTGTCAGTCATGCATCAGTGAAGTATCTCAGGAATTCTCTCCTTAGTAGTATATATATCCTACCTCCCGCTCCTGCGTTCATTGTAGATACCTCCTCCTCTCTCGTATCTTGCAATGCGCTGATTTTGATTGAGACGCCTTTCCTCTATGTACTGGGTATTGAGACGGTTGGTGAGGTTTGGGTTGGGTTGGGTTGGGTTGGAGGGGTGGAGGGGTGTATGGCACGTTTCGAAGATGGGAAGGAGATTTTTTTAGGAGGTAGATTGTTTGTTTGGCTTGTTTCTCTTGAGGAGGGGGCGGAGAAAATGGTATTTTGTTCTGGGGCATGAATGTTTGGGGGTTTGCAGGTTGGACTTTAAATTTTGAACTTTGGAGATGGATTGGATGGGGGGAGATAGATGGGGTGGAATGGATGGGCTCGCGAGAAGACACAAGGAGAAGAAAGAAAGGGAAGGGAAGGGGAAAGGGTGGAAGCGATGCGAAGGTTCAGGATTGTGCAATTTAGGGGTGGAGTTAGATGGATGGGTGTTTGTTTGTTTCATAGAGTATATATACACATGTATTGTCTTTGCTAGATTTAATAGAAGCTATGGATTCCAATGCAACTCGATTCGATTGGGGCAATGTAGATAGAGATTTGTACTTAGGAGAGCAGAGTTGAACTGGTAGACGAAGATACCAATGGAGATGCGAGTGCCAGTCCAATCTAAACTAAACTGAACCTGAATCTAAAGCCAGATATAGTGATAAACTCAGTTACAGATGATGTTGTAGAGAATGGTAAGCACGTAGACATTTCTATCTTGTGGTAGGAATGATAGATGGATGTGGATATACATATACATATACATATATACAAAATAATCATAAAACTTGGAAACACATATCTTACCACAGAGCATGATATTTCACGGGATTTGTGTATGGTATATAATGTCTTGAGGGGAGTAGAAGGTGTAGTTGTTGGTTTTGATTTTGGTCTTTGATCTTTGATATTGGGGTTTGTTGGGTTGGGTGAGAGGGAAAGTGTGAGGGTGTGCGAGGATGGTGGCTTATGTGGTTTTGTGGGAGTGAGGGGGGAGATGATAGAGGAATGAACTCGTGGATATAATAGGTATATGCTGTATTGAGATCGATATAATGAGATGAGGTGAGGTGGCTGCGGTAAAGTGGTTGTTGAAAGTAAAGTCAAGGTAAGGTGTACGCATCGAAGGGTTCTGTTCGGAGTCTTTGGTTTTTGGGGGTGAAGTGTGTAGATGCTGGGAGGTATGGCAATCTTACTTACTTTCAGTAGATGTCAAGTAGAGTCGTGGTTGTACAATGCTATTTCGCTATCTGGATGGCTCTGGTAACGATTGTACATTTAGCCAACGTGGCTGAGAACAAACAATGAATGATACCTCTGTGATAAAACTACCCAGGTAGTGGTGACATGACCTCCAGAATTTTGATATTAACCCTTAAATCAATGTGTGCTGCACGGGTTTTCAATAATCGGTATTTTGTAGAACTACTGTATACATCCGAAATACACAATATTTGGGACACTCAAAAATATGAGGTTCCATACTATTTCCCCAAGCCATTCCCAATATCTTTAAAGAATTTTGATTCCCTTTTCCTGAACGCCAGACTTCCGGATATGCATTACCCAAGCTACCATGATCCATTCATCTTGATAGAGACTCTACTTCTCTGGAGCATCTGGTAATCTCTCAATAACATACTTTCCTCTTGCCACACTCATAATGGGCACACCAGGAACCTTTCTAATTCTTCTCTTCAATTCCCTATCGTTCGTTGCCACAATATAAATCTTATGCTTTTGTACTCTGTCCACAATACAATCATCTGCATAAACACCCTTGTGATCACATTGTAATCTTTGCCATCGCTCATCACGAGCAATTCGAAGAGCGATACGATATCTTGGACCAAGTTTTTCCAATTCGGCCATGACGCAGGAAGTGATGATCGGAATACATTTAGCGTAGAGACAATCCATGAGGGTTTCCAGAAGAGGAAGTTTGCGTTGGACGGTATGAGAGAGGAAATTGGTATCAATGAGAATAGAATATGGAGGGACGAGAGCTTCGTTGTATTGAAAGAAGAGAGCGGATGAGACTTGAGGTCTAGATGTGATACGTCATTAGTTAATGAATTGTGCGAATGTGGATGGAATGGCATACGCTTCTCGAACAAGTTCCTTGGGTTTATTGGCTCCTTCTTCTCCTTTATCCTTGTTTTCCTTTAGACGCGCATCTCGTTGTCCGATTACTCGTTTGACCTGAGGGGAGGAGGGGAAATGTAAGTAAGACGGATTGATCGATAAGAGAGAGGTGCGTGGAAGGGAAGAAGAAGAATACTTACAGCACCAAATTTGCGGGTTTTAGCTGCTTTACCCATTGTTCAAATGATTTGAGTATATGCGCGATCAATTAATATATGGTTGTGTAGGTTGCGACAAGATGGAATTTTGGGGTAAGTCGATGGAGGTATGTTCTCGATAAGTATCTACGACAATCAAGCAAAAAATGATAAATTTCGATAATTTTGCCAAAATGAACTTTTCACCGCCTTGAAGACTAGGTAGTTCTAATTCATTTTAGCTTTAACACGTGCTTGCGTACTGTTTTGTCCACCACGGAGGATTACCTAAGTATTGTTGCCCCTAGTAACTCCTAATAACTATTTATAGGTAATGGAGGAGATCAAGCGGTTAGTTTACATTTTATCCATAATTTGGTAATTTACTAATCCTTTTTAAGGAATTTGAATTAACTTCTGTCTAAGTCATGTCATGTGTCATGTATACTCTTGACTGGGGAATGCAGGAACACGAAGAGAGGAAAGAGGCAGGAGGCAAGAGGGAAGAGAGAAGTGAGGAAAAAGAAAGAAAGAAAGAAAGAAAGAAAGAAAGAGCCAATACAATACCGGAACCTAGGCAAAATACGAGAATTACATAATCAAAATACGATCATTTGAGTTGGTCAAGTCTTGGTCTGCATCTTTTCTTCCCATTGACTGTGAGTGAGTACAACCACAACGACAAATACAATTACAGCCACACACTCAACAAATCTTTGAATAACTTCATTCATTCAGTATTACTTGCTTTTCTTCCATGCGTTATTGTTATTGCATTCTCATTGCTATTATATCGGTCACGGTTTTGATCCTCTTCTCATCAATTCCCTACCACTCATCCTTCTTTGCATAACATCAAACATACCCCATAGATTTGGATACCCTTGCAAACATTAATTACTGTCTGTTCCACTACTGAAATCGAGAATTCATTCTCAACCATCAGTTTCCTGCTGCACAACGACAAACTTAACGTCGTGATCGACTTTGGAAGGATTCTTGCGACCAGAGAACAATTCTAGAACTGGGAACTGAATCAAGATTCGACTTTGGGGAGGAGGATTCGAAGCAAACATAACTCGATTTTCAAATCATTTCCCCTAGGAACGCAATTCTTCGGTCGGTCGGTCGCTGAGACAACATTTGATTCAGTGGGAGTGTATAACCCCAACTTTCGATCACGAATACCAACGATTCGTTCTCGAATACGAATTAAAATATACACAAAATGCGATTCAATAAATCAGTAGCATCTGCTGCTTTTGCAGTTTCATTATTTGTTATGCCAATCATGGCAGCAACTACCACAACAGCGGCTACAACAGCGACTTCAGATTTACCCAATCTTTCCAGTGTGGCAGCTTCGGAATCTTCAGCCGCTGCAGCCTCAACGAAAACTACAACCTCCAGTGACACAGCCTCGACAACAGCGCAATCGATTGCCGTAATTACAGGTGGATCTACATCAACGGGTACAGGAACTTCAACTTCCGCTTTACCAACATTGGCTGGAGCATATACAATTCCAACAGCTGCTGTCCCTCCAACCTCAAATGCACCATTTATGAAAGAATCAAGTTATCCCGAAGGTACGGTTTTTATTGCAGTAGGTGCAGTTCTTGGATTTATGGCCCTGTCAGTTTTGGTTTGGCGTATGATGGTCGCTTGGGCGTTACATAGATCAGTCAAACGCGCAGCGAGACAACCGAGCCATGTGGATAAAAAGCAATTGTTTCAAGCTCCACCAGCACCATTCTACAAATATGCCGACAAGGATTCAACTCTTTCACTGGGAGGAGGAGGATTGGGCGGAAAAAGTGGCAAGAAGAGACCAACCACTGCTAACGCACCACCATCTCAAACATCTTTATTCTTTAGTCCTACAGCTCTCGCGGGTGGTAATACTCCAGGAAATCGTGCTTCAAGTTACCTTCCAGCAGGTTATTATGCAGCAGGAAATGCACTCCCAGGAGCATATCCAGGTGATAGACAAAGTATCAACATGTCAAATCTCACTCCACAAGGATATGCAAGAGGAAATCAATCTCCACCTGGAAGTCCTGGTCATGGTACTCATTCTGAATCGAGTACATTGGAATCAAGACATAATGATGGAAATGTTCGAGCGCCGAGTGCTTATTTGCAAGATCTTTTTGATGGAGATAACCCACCTCCTGCACCTCAACAAGGACGTGATAGAAGATCAACTCGTTATTAATCGGGATGAGAAGAGAAAGAAATTTGATTTTGGGAGGTTTATATTGCTCAGTACCAACTTTTGTACAATGCGATTGGATTGGATTGATTAGGGGCGTTCTTTGAATACATGCATGCATAAAACATGAAGAGTTGGTTTACTAGTTTACAATTAGGGGATTTGGTTTAATGCTTCTAGGGTAGTTGGTGGTTGTTATTAATGAATGCCGTGGTGCGTATTTGCGCGAGTGATTGGAGCGGAGCGTAGCGTGTTTTTGGGAATGCCTTGGTTGTTTGTGGTTGAATTGTCTATTGCAGATGTATTGGGAAATGGGGGTGGCATTTTGTATAGACGATGGGTGGAGTGGAGTGGAGTGGATGATGGGGTAGGATGCACTGACTGACGCTGAATAGAATGAGGGGGGGCAATGGAATAGAGCTGCTTGTTGACTTGTATATAGACGAATTGATACGATAGCGAAGTGAAATGAAGTTTTGAAATCTTTTTCTAAGGGAATGAGGGATAGATTTTTGTGATAAAGATGCAGGTAGCAAGCCGCTGCAATAATGACGAAGTGGGTAAAAGGCGAGGGATAAATAATGGAAGAAAGTTCAGAAGTATGATGTTTGATATTCGGCAATCGATATTGAACAGATGAGATTTAAGGTCTGGATCGACGGACGGATGAATGTATGAATGGATAGATGGATAGGTATGTAGGTATGTAGGTATGTAATAGTTCGATGGTTTATCTTCAATTCCACGCGGAAGAATTGCCGGATGGAGTGGATGGATTGGAGCTATGCTTGTTAGATTGTTAAATTGTTGAATTCAGTGTAAAGGTGGAGGTTTGATGGGTGTTTGAACGATTGGGGGATTGATGATGGAGGATGGGGGATGGGGGACGGGAGAAAAGGAGAGGGGGGGAGAGAAGAGGACCGGAAGGGAGGGGAACACAACTATCACTGAGTGGACGTATTCTCAGCTTATCAAATTCAAAGGGTTGATAGTGTTTAGATTATTGAGGGACAGAGGATAGAGGATGGGAGATGGAGGGGGGGGTATGGGAGTCGGAGAGTATGATTGTGTCATTACATGTTAGGTCTGCTTGTGTAGAACAGAGGGGAAGGAAGAGAAGGGGAGAGAGAAACAACTTTCAAGAATGGTAGGGGAGGGGGGGGAATTAATGCACCTTTGCTGAGAAATGGCGGCGAGAATAGGGCTGGTGGTATTACAGATAGGGTGAGTTGGATTTTGTTGTTGTGAATTAGGTCTGTTTGTGTGGAGGGGAAGAGAAGAGGTCAATATACAACTATCAAGGATGATAGGGGCAGGGGGAAACGCAAAAGACTTTTGTTAAGGGAAAAGGCGGCGAGAGTAAGACTGGCGGTATAGGAAAAGGAGATATAAATGCTCAATTGAGATTACTGTGAGGTTACAGAGAAGTATTCGGAATTTAGAATCTAGGATTGGGATTCGAAATAATCTAATTTTCGCTTAATATGTATAGCAACGAGGTATGAAAGGTTCAATATACTAACTCTCAAAGGACTTCTTTTCAGTACATGAGAAGCAAGTCTTGATGACCAGCATTGGTCATTCATGTCCATCTAAAGTTGATCATAATGTTTTTCTTGTCCTTATTATGTTGTTGCTCGGATCTGAGTAAATAGACAAATACAACCAGTTCTCATCACCATGCCGATGAGCTTTGGGCAAATTTTAACACATACAAAATACTTCAGTATGGTACTTGACAGATTAAAATTGCATACAGAAAGACTCTATCCTGCAACAATCAATACAATTTGGTACTCGATTTATTGCATATCCACGATTTTTGAATACTTTGACAGCGGCTTATTCTGTACTTGAAGCTACACTACGTTTTGAAACAATCCAAAAAAATGCCGACCAACACTACCACAACAACAAACCCCTTCCCACCACTTTCGCACGGAATAAATCATGTTGCTGCTACCATAGAGCTCTTCTGTGCCGACATTGGACTCGGCCACGACATCCAAAACTGCGAGGTCAGAGAAGGAGGAAATAACTCCGTAATCATGTTCACCTATATCCCCTCTACACCTTCTGATCCAACCCATCCTCCACCATCCAATACCCGTCAACACTGCATCTTACGCACTAGAAAACAGATACTCATCAATTCTCTAAACGCCACAAGCGAAGCCACGAAAAGAATCGTCGCGGTAATGCACACCCATGGAGAAGCAGGTCCCCATCCATCTCCTCTTCCTATTCCTGCAATTCTGGCCTATGATGAGACGTATGATAATATGATTCGATGTCCGTATATCATACAGCGAAAAGCAGAAGGGAATGGTTTGGATATATGGTATAGAATTCTCGATGATGAGGGCTCAGCTTCTGATCAATATCATATGAAGGAAAGATTGAGGATTGCGGAGGAAATGGCAACATTCATTGCGAGCATGGAGAAGAATTTCCGATTTGGGGCGTATGGAGTGTTGGTTAACGGACCGGGTATGCTGGGGAAGAAAATAGGACTTCTGGAAGAGGAAATAGAAGCGAAAGTCAGAGATCCTCTTGTAGGTAATGTGCAGATTCCGGGAGAGTTGCAGCATGTTGATTTCATTGAGAGTTTGATCAATGCTCGAGGTGAGATTGCGGCTGCGAAATTCGGATGTTCGTCAGCGGAATATCGAAATCTGGAGAAGTTACGGGAAGTCTTTCAGCAGGTGAGAGATGGGGGGCTTTCGGATTGGTACAGTGGAGTGGCTACGCTGTGGCATCCGGATCTGTATCCGCGGAATGTGGTTTTTGATTGTGTTGATGCTGGTGCTGGAGCGGATAAAGAGATGAAATTAACGGCGGTTATTGATTGGGATAATGCAATGGTGGTAAGTCCTCCATGAATCTATCAATCATCCCAGAAGCCTTAGACAAGATTTCCAGAATGTAATCTTACCCCGCTAACCTCTTTCATTTATCTAGCTCCCCCGAATCATGACGCGCAAGCCACTGAAATGGCTCTGGACATATAACGATCTCCCCGCAGAGCAGAATAGTGTGATCAGAGAACATTTTTATACTCACATGGAGAGCTTGCTTCCGGGATATAGAGAGGAGGCGGAGGGGAAGGAAGCGAGAGTTGTGAGGGCAGTGTATGTGTATGCGCTTTGGGGAACGGGGTATGGGTATCACTCGGAACTTTCTTTTGAGGGGTTGTTGAGGGAGTGGGATAGGATGGGTGTGGAGGAGATGTTTTAGGGGGCGTGTGATGGAGGATGGAGGATGTAGGGGTGGGGGAGATGAGTGGGTAGGCTGGTCCTATCTTATTCTAGTCGTGATAGATACTAAGAAAAGCTTTCTGAGAGGGGAGAGGGATTACTTCACGTATTGACATGAGAAAGACATCTTCGTATTCAAATTCGTGTTTCATAGAAGACAGGAGATATCAACGAATTCCGGAATTCTACTTCTATCTTAAGACCTGGGTATTAAGAGACTATTCTTCGAATCAGTTGTGAAAAAATGGATTCAGAATGATAAGAATAGTATAGTCTGGATGAGACTGAAAGACATAGTGTGAGTATTAGCTGGTGCTCATCAGTCTCTGTATATCTCTTGTTCATTTTCCACATCTTTGGTAATCATTCAGTATTATACCATGCAGCTTCAGTCTATTCCCACCTGTAGTACATGATCCAATCCAATCAAAATCTTGCTTCTAGTACCAGAGACTGGGATAAAGTACATTTTAGATTTCGCTGATATCCAAGAGCAAAGATGGATTTATTTTGTGGTTTCTGCGTGGATGAAATCTTGGTCTGTATCAAATCATTTGGGCTCTTGATATGGTAAGTCACTCTTCTTATCTGCTAACGGAATGCCATGATACATCGCTTTCCAAGCATTTAGAAGTGTTACCTGTACGAGAGGGTGTTGATGGTAAGAATGAGAGAGGAAGTTTTGAATATCTACCAGATAGCTCTCTGGCTTGCGGAACTGTAATGATTGTTGGATTCTATGAATCATTTATGGACGAATATTCTTAATTTTTTGTATTGTAATGCTTTTGATTTTGTAATTGTCCTGCAAATCTACAAGCTCCTACGCTTTGGGAAATCATGTAGAGTAATAATGGAAGAATCTCACTTTCTGATCACTTGAGAATCATACAGAAATACTTAATAGATAAAGATATAAAAAAGCTGTGACCTGGGTGATTTTCATAAGAAGTGAAGCTAATTAGCTTTCTTCGACCTCGAAAGATAAAATTCGATCCACACCCAAGAAGTCTGGATATTAAAAACTGTTCTCAAACTTGGGTATAAAACATATAAATTCAGACTGATATGAAACAGTATTGAAGAAAAGCCTGTCACTGCCTTGTTAATGACTTGCAGAATATTCGACTGTTCACCAGATCACATGGCTCTGCATCGTTTTATAAGAATTCTTTAACTAATCATTACATAAAGTTCCAACCCATCATTCCTGGTCAAATATCAATCTTGCCTACCTCCACCCGTTCCTAGATGCTACTTCTTCCCTCCATCTCAATCCACCACCATCTTACTCAATACCCCCTCTCTCTCACTTGACTGAGCTAAGATATCCTTTACTCTTCCTTCATAATCCACTCTTTCAATAATTGTACTTCATACATTCCCCCAAAAATCATTCCAGAGCTCCAATAATGCACCAAAAGAAAGCTCACAATAATTCCAGTCAACACCCTTCAACGCATACGTCGCTATCGCCCTAGTCATATTCCCCCAATCAGAATATGCATCCGAACAGTATCCCGGCAACAATTGTTCAATCCTCTGATCGAACTGATACTTTATCACATTTCTCTCAAATATCGACAAATCATCCCCTTCATCCCACAAAAACACAGGAGGTCGACGAGTCATAATACGCGGAACAATCATAACACCATCCCAATCAATAACCCCAGTGATCCTAACATCAAGTTCAGTCTTCTCCATCATGATGTTCCGAGGCCAAAAATCAGGATGCCAAAGTACAGCTGGTTCGCCGATTTGTGCTAACGAATGAGTATGTTCAAGTTCATTCAATCCGTATGCCATAGTCACAAGTATATCATGTCTCTCCTCTTCCAGTGGTCTTCTCGCATTATTCAACTGCGAAGTCAAGATATCGATGAGAAAATGTCCGATCTTCGTATTTTTTCTCATAAAAGAATTCGCAGTCCAGGGCATTGGCGAAAACCCAATGAGCTGGGAAATGAGAGGAAAGCTTGGATCCGAACACTTCTCTGGCATTCGCGAGGAAATTGCAAAAGTGCCGTAGTTCTCGAATCGAAAACTTTCAATATGTTTGATGCATCTCGCGACTTCGTAAGCGAAGTTAATTCGCGTTTCGATCGGATCGTGCCAGCCACCAAGTGGGGTGTATAGCGTCTGTAAGTCATGACCAGCGATGAGCGGTTGGATGACGTAGGGACATCCGAGGAGATTCACACATGTTGCATCCCAGGCGTAGACGGAAGGGATGAGTGGTGATGCTCTTCCCATGACGTGGTGGAATGCGGCCATTTCTAGAATTCCCGGATCGACGTAATCGTGGAGATTCCATCGTAATTTTCCAATTCGTAAAATGCAGGAAATTGGAGAAGGAGGCGTAGCTTGTGTAGGGCTGGCGAACACTGCGTAGCAGAGGATTATGGTATTGTTTCCTCCTGCTTTCACAGAGCAACCCAGGATGCGAACTGGGAAGTTGATGGAGCGACAGAATCTGTTTAGGGTCTCTGTGATTGTGGAATTGGATGCTCCGGGTGGAGGGAAGGAATTATTGGTCAATACTAATGGGCGGGGGTAATGAGATGCCATTTCTTTGATTTCGTTGAGGTGAAAATATTAGGTCAAGGAAGATGGTAGAATGATGTTCTTCAGATTTTGAAATCCAAGGACTTTGTGGTAAAATAAGTTCTTTGGTTGGGAAGAAGCAAGTCAAGATATGATGAAGTAGATTTCCCTCGAAGATGATGGTTCATATATACAAAGTGTGCTTACAGGATACGCTTCATACGGTTTTCACTACAATGTCGATAGATAGTATCTACCTAGCCACATCATCACCGTAGTAATTAGTTGAATACGGTTGTCAAGCGAAAGGGCTGTTTTGAGCTTTTAGAACAGGTCAGAACGGAGTTCACAGTAGTGAGATCTTTCTCTATGCACTTGCGGCTTTTGCAATTTCTAAAATACTCTAAATAGTTTCTCATTACGGTTTGAAAAATTTATATACTGAAATGACGTATAGATGTGCATCTTTCTCGCTTGCGGGTTTAGACGAACTATTCAGTGAACATTCATAGAGCTTCGTCTATGACAATTCCCAACCTGTAAATGGATCACTAGATTCATAAAAAACGCTCTGTATTGCTGGATAACGTACTGAATCTCGATATGCCGAAGTTTAGCTAATTCCGCAAAACACCGTAATGTTTAATATTACAAAGATGTCGTATTAAATTTTGATATCACTTGGTTGGTTTCTTCAGTCGACACTTATTGCCACCGCTGTAAGAAATTGGTCACTATTATCATCGTTAATATCAGAGAATTGTAAATGTTGATAACTAATTATATAATATGGTGTTGTAACTTAGATTGGCAAGCAAAATGTGCTAGGCACAATGGGTTGATTACTCTCCATACTTCCTCTACATGTATCCGTATCTATCTCAACAAATTTTAGATTCTCCACACTATTGTTCAATCAAAGATGTAACTTTGACTTATCTGATAAAACCAACCACTCAACGTCAAGTAGAACATCACATCATTTCACTATTGTATAATCTAAAGCTCTGACTCAGAACTTGATCTTCGGATAAAACTAATAATGTGATGCAAAAGAAGGCACAATATTATTCTTGATGAGAAATTGACCGATATGATCTGAAAGTGCAATACGACCTCCTGGTCATTCCACAGCCTCAATCTACCCACACATTTGCACACCCATAAAAAGAGATATTTCATCTCTTCCCGCAAAATACGTACATTCCTATTCCGTCGCATACTCCAGATCCCTCGTTGCAGGCTCGATACGCGTCCACGAATCTATCAAAACCTCAAAAGGAAGTTCATTCCATTCAAAATCCACACCAAATAAAGCATAAAACCCCAACGCCCTAACAATCCTCGACATCTCTCCATAAGCATCCTCGCACCATCCTGGTAAACCCTCTTCTATCATCTCATCGACGCAGGTATATTTCCATACACACTTATCTGCCTCGTGTACTTGAGGACCTTCTCCCCAACAGAAATAAGGAGGGCATCGAGTCATGATACGAGGGAGTGCCATGGCGCCTTCCCATCCTAGTACAGCTTCTAGTTTGTAAGATTCTGTTCGGTTGGGGTCGTCATTCGATACGCCGGATATAGCTTCATTGTACTGAGGCGTTGCTGTCATCATGATTTTGCTGGGCTGAAAATTCGGATGCCAAAGAACGGAGGGTTCAGGTCTATGTGCAGCACGATACATATCGTCGTTGTCCAAAACCTTGATACATAAAGCTATATGTCGAATCTTTCGATATTTAACTTCTTGATCCGGACTCCGGGTCTGCGACTCTGACATAAATAGTAATTCGAGTATGAAATCGATAGCCTTCGAATTAGCTCTCATGGATAAAGTATTCATGAATGGCTTAACATCTAAACCAATTCGATCCTTGACTCTGTCAGGAATGGAACTCTGGAGAGCCATTCCCTGAACGGGCTGAAAAGTACCGTAAAACTCGAATTGATATGCTAATTCTTGTCTCTCAATATACATAGATATCATAGATGCAGCTTCTCCGTACTCACAAGCCGGCTTGTAATGGCCGTATGTGAGATAATTGTGGTATAGTATACGATATTTCTTCAGCAATGTGCAACCTTCCACTTGTTTCTGTATGATATACGGAGATCTGATGGCGTTTCCGCATCTAGCATCATATGCGTATAGTTTGGGAACTTCAAAGTGTTTGGCGGAGATGAAATCGAAAGCGGCGGTTCTCTGGATCCAAAGATCGGGGATCGCTCCTTGCATTTTCGGGGTCCGCAAGACATAGTGCTTACAAGGAGCCATGCGACTACCAGGGGCAAGATTGGTTAGAATCCATGTGAATAGTATGATGTTGTGTTTGCTACCGCCTTTTATTTCGGAAATTCGGATGATACCTGGGGGAAATCCGTTTTCATGGCATAGATGAGTTACCATTACTTTGATTGCCGAGATATCTTTCGGCGGAAAGGCATTTGGTATAGGAGGAAGGAGTTGAGATGCCATTGTTGCATAAATGAGCTATTTTGAAAGACGTATGTTGAAGGTTGCCAGTTTGGAAGAATTGAGAAAGTTCAATAGATCGGTTCCTTTATATAAGCATGGTACTGCCGTGTGAGAAGAACACAATCGTATTAAGTGAAGCTAGCTATGAGACTAGTGCCAAAGTGGATATAAACAAAAAAAACTGTCAATCGGGTAGACTTCAAGAGACAGGGTTGTATAGAAGGTATCTTAAAATTTCTAATTCTGGAATATTCATTGGAACAATTGAAAATAGGCAATTCGGCTGTGATGGAGTGTGGTGGAAGTGAATTAGGTTCTAGTTCTACATGTGCAGAGATCTTGATATACCATACGATTTCTGTAGAACAGATCTGTAACCTAGGAATTCATTGATTGACACTCAAAAGATTTTTATCAAGCTTCAGAAAAACGTGGGATAACCCTTAGGAAATCATTAGGCCCATCACAGACTTTTCTTTCATACACAAAGATCACTTCCACCTAGAAGTAGCAAAGCAATCTAATCGAATTTTCTCTTACTTTAATTCACCATCCAGAATTGAAATAGACGGCTATTTAACAAATACAAATGACACGAGAGAAATGGATTACATAAACTAGTGGTAACCTAGAGACGAAAATGAATTGGCAGTCTTTAGAGCCAATTCTATGATATGGAAGTGGTAAATTGTATATGACGTACTAAATCCAGAGTTATCATTGGTTACATAAACGAAAGGGCTATTTGGTAGTGTGTATCATGTCTACTGACCCAATCTTCTCAATTAAATGTATGTAATTGTCTAATTTTTTCTGACATACCATTCCCGATCTTTACTTAACTAAGTTAATAGATGATGAATCGTTAGCTATTAGAACAGCATAGATGTGAGTCTACAATTTACAATACGATTGAGTCTCTACACACGACGAGATTTCTGTCAATGAATCAAGGTACTATTACATAAATTGTATCTCGCTGATAATTTCTAATCCTTCATTACTCAGGATTTTTGCTGGAATGAACAAATCCTCAGGTCGGCGCTGTCTCTCTTATAAAGAAATGAAAATTGATCATAGAATGGGGAATAGTAGATCAGGGGCGAAAAATCTTTCACATTCCTGTAGGAATTCGTCAAAAGAGATCTCTCCATAATGCTTCCATTTGGGACCATATAATGAATACATGCCCAATGCTCGAATGAGAACTCGAGGTCTGGAGTATGCATCTTCTGTATATCCAGGGACCAATTGCTCTACAGTCTCGTCGAATGCTTGTTTCACCGCATCAGCCTCTGGCTGTGTAAGAACGCCTGGCTGGTTCCAGAGAAAGGAAGGAGGCTCTCTTGTCATGATACGCGGTAGCTTACTGGAGATTAGTTTCCCAGTAATTGTCGTGAGAGACCGGGCAATCACTTACAGCCAAAGAATTGTCCCAATCGATAACACCAGATAGAAGAATATCACTCTTATGTCGTACAATCATGATATTTCTTGGATGAAAATCTGGATGCCAAAGTGTCGAGTCTTCATCGTTGAGCATATCTCTCATAGCCATTTCTGCCCATACACATGCGAGTTTTTCGCCTTGATATCTCTGCCCCGATGCCTCTAAATTAATACATTTTTGCGTTTCTTTGGTCACCAACTCACGGATGAACTGGTGGAAGACGAATTTTGGAATTTTTTCACCCGCTAAGCTAAGTTCGTCCACTGCAAGGTCGTAGCAAGCATTTGGATCTTCCCTGTTCCAGATTTCCGTATCTGTTACATTTCTGAGGACGCCATAGCCTGGAATTTTAACGCTTTCCTTCTTAGCAATGAAATGTGCTATTTCACGCGCAAGTTGACAGTATTGCAGTGCAAAGGGGAAAACATTCGGTGATCGTTGCATTGTTTGATATAGTTTCTGTAGTGTGGTCCCAGATATCAGTTGCATGACAACATATGGACAAGAAATAGGGTTCTCAAAACCAGAGTCATAAAAAAGGATCTCAGGGATAGGCAAACCGACTCCAAGAACTCCGAATTGATGTGTCAATGCTACAAGAGTTTTGACAGGCTGACAAATTGGATATTGGCGTTTCTGGGAAAAAGAAATATATCGAGGGGTCCGTATGCAGTACTCGAGGAGTGCATAAAATGGACTTGTTAGGCATGTGAATACCACCAAGTTGTTATTTCCACCCCCTTTGGATTTAACATACGCAGCAGTTTGTGGGTGTTCATGTTGCAAGAGTAGTGCATTGAGCAATCTTTCACAATCGGAGCTCAGTGGAGATGGAAATGGAATCATTTTGCCTATCTTTTCGGGTGGTGAGTCTTTCCCAACTCCGCCATAGACTGGTGCGTCAACCAGGGGGAGTAACTCGACGTGTGGATTGCGGGTAAGTGGAGGATCCATATTGACAGTTTCCAAACGCTGTGATTCTGTGTTCATGTAGGCGACATCAGTAAACATCTACAAAATTTCCAGAACCTTGCTGTTGATACTATCCAAAAAGAGTCGATGATGAAATGATGCAATCTTACAAGATATTTCAAAGGTTATATATTTGAGGTGATGTATATTCAAACACTTTGTCAATGCAGCTATAAGAACAAAGGATGTTTGATCTCTAAGTTTGCACGATAATTCATAAGTCATTGAGGTTCAGGAGTGTTCAGGAAGATTGAAGTTGGAATCAACGACCACTGTAGATTATTCATTATGTTGTAAATTATCAAGTAGAAGGTCCAATGGTGCACTATTGTTAGATCAAATTGTTGTAAATCTGGGCGGGGAAAGTGCTCTCTGGTCAAGCAGTCAAAAGCTTAGTCAGGTACGTTTTGTACGGAACTGACGGCTGCCATCAATGTAAACGAGCTTGGGATACTGAGAGGATAATGAAGACAAAAGTTTAATCCGAGAAAGCTATTTCGGGGAGAGATACATATGCCATCTCAGGCACCACTCACATAACATGTTTTTCTAACCAAGATTTTTACTTGATCCAGAATATTTGAGAAATGTCTTGTCTGCATTACTCATACTCGAGACCTTTCTTAAAAGAAAAAGAACTCCAATTCAAAAATATCAAAGAAATTTATCTTATCCGTATGAGGGATATATTGCAATCGCTGCAACTCCATCGTCTATTTCTCACACGAGACAATTGTCTGCTCCCCCACCAAATCCCGCCCCTGTCGCGAACCTTATCCCCAAATTAATCTCAATAAAAATTGCAAACGATCTCTTCAAACTCTCAACTCTTCCTCATGAAATCCTCCCAATACCCTACCAAACCATCAAAAGACAACTCAAGGTAATGCTTAAAATTTACCCCAAAGACTGCATACATACAGAGAGCTCTAACTGCCTTTCTAATAGGCATACACGCGTCGTCTTTATATCCTGGACGGAGTATCTCCATATGATCGTAGAAAGCAGCTGCAATCGTGTCACTTTCATCTGGTAATAAGGGGCTCTCTTTCATGGACCAGAGCCAGCTGGGAGGTTTCCTGGCTACAAGGCGAGGGAACTGTGAGATTGTTAGTTTACAATCTCAAGAAGAGGTTTGTTTATATGTGAGTGAGAATAATGACTTACTGCCCTGGCTTCATCCCAATCTATAACTCCGGTGAGTGTTGCACGATTCTTAGGACTCTTGACCATGATATTCCTCGGGTAGAAGTCTGCGTGCCATAATACGGCTGGTTCATCTGTCAATAACCCCTTCTCTGCCATCTGCGAGCCTATCTGTCGAAGCTTCTGAACCTTCCAAACTTCAACCGGCGATAACTTGAGGAAGATATCAGAAGCTCTCTGCATTTGTGCATTCAAAATATTGTTGACCCAATTAAGAAAATTCGGCTCCGAGGGAATCCTAATACCATCGATGGAATCTCGACTTAGCTGGAAATCGCCTTCTACTTTGATACCCTTATGTGGCGTATTGGCGGGAGCGACGAAAAATCCGTATCCCGGAAGTTCAGTCTTATCCATCGCAGCCACAAAGTCGGCAACGCATCTGGCGTATAAGCAACGACGTTCCACGCGAGCGTTCCGCGGAGTCTTGTGTTGCAAACCGTAATTCAGCTTGAAATACTCAAATTCCAATGTTTCCCCTTTGACTTGTTCTAAAAGAGAATATGGACATTTGATGCTATTTTGATAGGTACAATCCCATGCTAGAACGAGTGGAATTGGTAGGTTCCTTTTCTGGCGGAAGTAATGAGTGATAGATACTTCCGACTTCATGCAGATATCGACAGGGGGGTTTCCTCTGAAATGATTTTCTAGAGAAGTACGTAACACGCAGGAGACTCGTTCGTCTTCAGTCGTTGCTTTGAGAGGAAGACAAGTGAATAAGATGGCGGTATTGTTGCCACCGACGAACTTATCCAATTTTTCGACCTTGTGGGCGAAATCAATGTCGATGCACAGTTGTTCGATCATTTTTCTGGTCTCTTCCATGGACTTGGGTGGAAACAAGTTCTTTGACCCATTAACGAACCCTAGGAGGGGAGAAGCTGCGTTTGCCATATTCGAATATTACTAGATTTGAGAATAGGTTGCGAATGTTATTTGAAAAAAAGGAAATATTAGTGTGTATAATGTCGAGTAATAATCGAGTTAAGTGTTGAACAAATAGATCTTGAATTGAAACTGTACGGACGTGAATAAGCGATGTGCTGAAAACATCTCAGCAACCGTACCATTTTAGTCCCCGAGTCATGTAGACTCAATATATCTATTACAGCTGTGTGCTTCTAGTGAAATCCTATTATGGCTCACAACGACTGGGTCTTTTTACCCGGTACGTATTAATCCCTTATTCCTGTCTCGTTCTTAGTTCTGAGAGAAGGGAGAAGAAATGATTTGAGATGATCAAGAACATTCTATCGTATCTTGTCCGGTCCGTTCGCACTGGAGAAATTACAGAGACAAATATTAAAAAATGGTAGAGCAGCACATTATGGAAGTTGGATAAAACAGGTCAACTCAAGATATCCTCATCATAAAAAAAAGAAGTTTGATATATTCACCCAAATCCTGTTAATAGGAGGTGATATCTTGTGACCCGGAGAACGTCTTTGTAGTCTAGCGACTTCGCACTCATTGTATCACCTCAGATACATAGTGTCCCCGAGAATAGAATGAAAATCAGTCGCATACAGAGAAAACGTGATAAAGGCCAAAAATCAAATCACCCAGAAAAAACATATTCAATAACTGTCAAATGCACGGAACTCGAATTCCGCTATCTAAATCGTGAGCAATAAAGATGCGAAACATTACTCTTTGGAAATGACTGTACAAACAGACGCTTTGATATCAACGCCCTATATATAGATTCAAGAAACTTCCAACAATAATTCGAAATTTGGAAAGGACAGGATATCCGCATAGCACCATAGCACCACAGCACCAGAACTTTTCCCTAAATCCAATAATCCCCTAACAAAAACACCAAATCTCTCTGAAAGAGTACATAATATCAGGCAACCAGTAAGAGCAATTACGGCTTCTTATCTTTTCCCGCTGATCGACTTCTAAACAAACCCCTCGGAAACGGTGGTACATGAACTGTAGCAGTCTTGACTTTCTCCCTAAGACTCGCTTTCTTCCCCACACCCATACTAGATTGAATTTCAACCCCAGCAATATCACCATTAGACGGTTGGCTTTCATATGAGTTCTGTCTACCACGAATACTCTCCGGTTGCTCGGAAGATCTATCCCTGCCCCACCATTTAATGAGTGTTCTCTTTTCTTCGTCTGTCAATGGTTTCACTTGGTTATTGGTAAAATATCCTTGAGTGACGCTTGATGGACGAACTGATTCCCATTCCATTAGGTCTTGTTGACAGTGATGATTTCCCTCTGCTGAAGTTGTCGTATTTTCCATTGGACTTGAAGATGGGCGGAGTGGGGTAGAGGAGGGCTCTATAATATAGTTTTGCTCTGGAACAATCACATTATGAGACCAATCTAGCTGCTGGTCTGAAAGCTCTATTGAAGGTTGATTGAATGTGGAAAATTGTTTATCTTCGAGTTGGAATGTCTCCACTTGCAAATTGTTTGACATCGTGATGGGCTGGTCAATTGGCATCAGATCATTGAATGTAGAGCCAACGGGGTCAAATTGTTCATTTCGTGGCCACCAATGATAAGTTTCGTAATTGGGAATATCGAAATTCATCTCATCATAGCCGGCGAGAAAGTTCACATCTGAACTTGTAGATAGCACTGAGCCGATGGAGTCATGTGATCTCGAACTATATTCGAGAGAAGGTGTAGGAAACTCCAATGACTGAGCGCTCGTATGGAAACCCTCTAATTTGTAGAGTGTTGCAGGGTCCACGAAAGAAGAAGTGGTCCACCTTGGTGATGGATCTAGAGATGGTGATGAGTTCAAAGTGAGTGTCTCAGGGTCTAACGTGGAGTTTATTTGACTGGCAGTTTCGGGGTCAGGGATGAAAGAAGAATGCCGTTTGTCTAGAGTCGATTCGGCTTCTACTTTGGCGGCCATATTTTCTAGACTACTCAACCGTTGTTTGTTCCTTGAACATCGTTCCGGATCACACTAGCGATTGTTAGTGGGGCGTCTGATAACTGAAACTGATGTTCGAGTACCTTCATTTTCTGTCTTCTATGCCTAGCACATGCAAATCCTCTATTGGCGGCCACTTTCACTCGCTCTTCCTTATCGTATCGTCTCTTCTTTATTTTAGGATTGAATTCCTTCATGTCGGCATCCCATGTCAAGAATTGAATGGTTCTGCTTTCAGGCATAGAGATACGATGGGACGCCATGGATCTAGATTTGACATGTGATGACGATTCTGGTACTTTCACATCTGGTCGCGTGACCTGATCTTCTGTATTCATATGTAATGGCAAACCATCAAAACCTATGTTCTCAGAGACTCCATCAGTCTTGGAGTCCTCTGATGTTGTGTTTTGTCGTTCATTTCGGAGAAACTTTCTAGTGGCAGCTTGCATTTTGCTTCCAAGGTCCTTCTCCAGTGGAAAATGATAACTTAAGGCGATAGATAATTCTTTAGACCCTGCTGGAGGATCCCATCGTAAGGTATGATCGTCATTATAGCTTATTACATACTGAGGTAGATCAAAGATTGAAGATTCCCTCTGACCTCGATTGCTTTCTTGCTCATGGGGTAAGAAGGAGTCCATAATCCGGGGTGCATCTCAATGCAAATGCAGTAGATCGTACCGGGGGATTCAATTTGAGAATCCACTGTACGCGGCTGATGCAGGTACGTACAGTACTGACGCTATCGCTAACAGTAGCGATGGAGAGTGGAATTACCCAGGGAACTGGCGGTCAAGAAAAGTTGATGTAGAAATACTTGGGACAAAGCGAAATCATCCAGTGGAAGTAACTGAGATCAGATAAATGAGACAAACTACTGGTAGAGATCATCCAAACGGTTGTGGAGTGAGAGAAATGAAACAAAACGAAGAAATCCCAAAATCTTACTCGTAGAGGTTCTTCCCCTTCATCCCATATTTCTGTACCATGTTACTCCGAGGTTGCCTTGGCTTTGACCGTGTCCTAATACGGATAGGATCAGGGATAAGGTCCGATGTGGCGCAGCTCAAAGTCATGTGATCTGCGAAAGCCACTTCGTCTGATGTTACTCTAGCTATCCTCTCCTCATCCTCAAATCAATGTACCACTGCCAGTCTGATCTGCGTACAATTAGGCAGTTTTCTACTGACTTCTTGGTGGAAACTTGGGTCACAATATCATTTTTTCTGATCCTGATGGCTGTTGTAGACTATGTGGCCTTGTAGGAAGAGATTCATGGAGATGATTCGAACCCATTTGCATTGAAGTAGAAGACACACATTTTCCATATGATGAAACGGGTGCCGAGCATACTTTTCTAGATGGATTTGTGGTGAGATAGGAAAACGGCAATGTATATATATGTCTTTTTGAGTTTGCGCGCGCGTTTGGTTTGGTTGCCGCCACGACTGTTTATTAACAGGTGGGAGTAAATGATTTGAAGAAGAACAAAGTTTGTATGGAATGTCAATGTGAGATTGCGCAACGATCTTAAGAGGCTTGCAGTAAAAGAAGAATTAACCAACTGCGAGCAAGCGTCGCCGTGGTAGTTGAAAATCAAGTGTGAAACCCGCTGTAGCAGTCTCATGGCGAGTCTCCAAGTGGATCCATTATCTCTGCAACAACGATAGTTAACGAAATATATAAGATGGTAAGGTGGAGCGTATAGGCGTTGTTCGATGTTACAGGTCTAGATTTCAAGAGATCGAGCTGTGCATTAAAAGTTGAGGTCAAGTGACCCCCAAGTCTTGAGAATCCTTATCTCAATCTAGGTCATCGCTCATCCCTGCGTTCGATGCCCGTTTACTAAGCAGAACCACGAGGAGACTTGTGCAAACAGACCGGAGATCCTGTGATACCATAAGTACCGCGCCATCTCTCACGTTCTCGACATCAAGGCATCTTTCGTTGTTTTCTTGAACCCCACTTCGTAGTTCTATAGAATTTGAATGAAAGACAGGCAAACCCCTATTCTGATATAGTCCGTCTCACTCGGACTTGTCATCCCCTCTTCTCGTCTCATATACAATTGTCAGGACAAGAATGGGCCCATCTATATATATCCGATTGTATTCTACGAAAATCATAGTTCAGTGTGTGTTTGTCATATTCGAACTTCTGTAATTTTGCCATTGGTTTTTTTTAATCTAGTTTTTTGAGACATGCTGGAATTTTCTATTGTGGATGTTATAATGGTCGATCGATTAATAAGATAAATAGAGTGATACTCCAATGACAGCCACGGGGGGAGAGGCGGACTGTGCAGTGTAGTGAACAACCAGGTACTCCTTTCATAACTCAACAAGCACTGATGTTTCCCTGCATTTGGTTCAGGTTGATTATCTCCTTTTTATTCTCATATTGTGATTCTCATCGCAATGATTCATTGAAAGAAAGTGTCTGTTGTACGTGCTCTTATCTCGTGTGTTGACTACCAGTCGACTTCAATACTTGAAGCATCCGGCGCGGACTTTGATTTCGATGAGGAATATTGTACAATAGATGCTGCTCTGTCTAAGCACTGGTATGTTTTTGACACAGGTTGATCATTCCTGCGAGAAACAAAGCAACTCTATCTAACAGGTTTCTTTAATTATAGCTAACCTGTTACAGAAAGATCATTTCTTGAAAAAGTGGACTGCGAACAGTTTCCGCTCAAATATGATCGTCTCAGCTGTAGCTTTGCCAGATTTCCTGCCGCTCGCAAACTATTTTTCCATATAGGCCATTAAATTCTCAAATCGTCAATTTCCTCTCAATTCTTGGGCTCTCAATTTCATCGGGAAGATTTTCCGAGCTCGATTCTCCTTGATCTACTAAGATCAAGAATCTGCACTCGTCATAGTACTGAAACCTTGTATTTCCTGATTTTTGGGATTGACGTTTGAAATTACATGTGAATGACTGTGACAGATTACCCGAATTCTCGCGCTAAAAGAAACCAAGACTTATCTCTGACTTCACCTCTCATGTATGATATCATTATAAATCTACAGTGAGACTCAATTCATTTGCCTGTGTGATGACGATACCTGCCACGTTGTTCATGTTATACGGCCGCTCTTGGGGAAAAAGGGGGGTTCGACACAGTCAAGACCACCAGGGAAACTTCGAAGTGTTATTTAGTAGCTACAGTGGCACCCTTGAAGGACTTCTCGTAACGTCAAATCATGTTTTCTGAAAACTTCTTCCGACGCTTCTTTAATAAAGATATAGCGATGATGCAAATAAGCTTTGTAAAATATTAGTAGAAATGCAAAATAGTCGCAGTCTGCTGTTCCACGTTTTCTGGATCCGATTCGATAAGAGCGATGGTATTGCCGTGGCAATGAGGGACTTGTTTATGATCAGTAATCATCAAACTACTTTTTCACATCCATTCTGATACTTACTACGAAGAGTAATTTGCCTGTGCCCCTTGCAACACTTTCGACGAGAGAAATCTTGAACAGGTGACGATGAGGGTCGCGCTTAGTGAAGAAAACATATCTCTCTTGGAGAAATGATGTTCAGATCCACATTTTATCTGGCCGAACTCTAACTTTCCTGTCTGAAATTGATGTAATGCTAGAGTCAATTCTTTTCTATTTCCATAGTAGCGCGGACAATCAATATGTTCTTTCCCACGTGGGCTAGATGCTTAATCTAAGAGGAAAAATGCCGCATCATTCTTCAACTTTTGAGTTTGTTAAAGTAAAGTGGAACCACATTCAGCTCTTGAACGTTGATTGTGGCACTCGCAGGCAGGGCTAACAACCTGCTCGAACTACTCGGCGTGGAACTGACTATTCAAATTGGCTAGCGTACAAGATACTACATGTGTTATCCAGGAATGCCTAAAATTTAACCGCCTTAGTTCGCTGATTTGAACGTCTGAAGCGCATCTAACATAATGTGTTCTATATTGTGAAATTTTCTTACCTACCACATGACTCAATATCATTTCCAACTGTTATTTACATACAACGTACAATAGTAATCCGCTTTATATGGATATCTGCGCATCGCTCGCTCCGTGGGTGGTCTACGAGAGCTACTGTTTGCTCTGCGCATATCAAATGGATCCGCTTAGTACAGGTTATCCGCAGATTTCCTGCGGGACATCTACTTATCTGCGGGGGGGCATGGATATACGTTTCACATGCATGATATTAGTATTTTGTTAAGATAGCATTGATGTCATTGTTGTTATAGATCTACGCTCGAGTCATTTTTAGTTTAAGAAACAATGTATGAAAGGGTTTCAGGGTTAAGCGAAAAGTGGATCACCCATACATAATCAGTTCTTCAACGGATGAATCCGACAACCCATTAATTAATGATCCGCTCCGTGAAGTATTCTTTTGCAGCCTATATATAACTCTAGAAGTTTAGATCAAAGTTTGAATTTAAGCAGCTCTTATTTCACACTAGTAAATGAAACATTGTGAAGGTGATACCCTACGCTTGTGACGTGGCAGAACGCATCTTGCATTAGGCGCGTTACTTGCATAGGTGCGGGGTAAAAGAATTGCACCTCGAACGCTTCCGAGTTCAACCACACGAGTCAGACTTATGTCAAGGATGAGATTGGATGAAGACTAATTCAGCATATTCTTACTCGAGTCAAACGACATCAGTGACAGTATTATGAGTTCAGCAACCACAGCTACAAACGAGTTCTGATAAACGGATTGAAATTGTCAAAGGAGACGATTGAGGAGTTATAATTCTGCCTAGTCTAAGCAAATGATTCAACAACATAGATACAGACATGCCGCAAAACGTCCTCTGATCCAATAATAAGGATGTGAGCACCCATCGTAATCATGAGATCGTGTATTCAAAAGAGACTTTACTAATTTTTGGTCTGCACTTGCACGAGTCGAGACAATGTCAGGGATGAGAGAATCTCAGTGCTAGTACTGATCAGCAATCTGCGCAGAAGAACGGAATCTGTTAGACTTTACAGATCACTCATGATAGCACTTACAGCTCAGCAATGTGGACACAGGTGTTTAATCTAGTAGATTCGTGCAGATAATCTATGATAGAACTCTTGGAAGAACTCCTTAAATACAGGAGCTGCTGTCGAGAAAGGCCTGTTCTATTTCAAAATCATTCTCAACATCAACATCAACATTCAGTAATTTGAGAGATCTCTCCTTACAGTATTGACTTTCAGCCTTCCAACTACTACCGGTAACTTCTCCAAATTCATTCATATTACCAGTACTGATAGTTCAATGTGCCAGATAAAATTTCAGTAAATCATTATGGGCAAATTGACGACACCCGAAGAGCGCGCAGCAGAATTGCGCGCTCGACTTTCTGGTCAGGTTCCAAACCGAACCTCCAGAAAGGGCAATCGAGTAGCCTCCAACCTCCCAAACCCAATGCTTGCTGCAGCGCTCCATGCTGCATCTCGTGACGCAAATGGGGCTGAGCTTTCTCCCGTGGAAGCTCGCTTGGTCCAGATGCTTAAGACATTTGCAACTGACCAGGAAGTTGCTGGGTACGGAAAAATGTACACCGAGACCAAAGACCAAGCTGGTAAAGGTACTTTGAGTGGTACTATTTTCTCGGGCGTTGCTCTCAATATGAATGCGGATACACCATATACTGATAGAGATATGGTTGCCGATGCGAGAGCAATGACGGCGGACTTGCTCGCAATGCCTGAAAATAAGATTATAGACATCACAACGATTGATACGGAATGCTCTGATAGCGCCGACTACATGGAAGCGCTTACTGGAGCAGGAAGTGGAATTACTGTGCTCAGTGCACCAAAGACCGAAGAAAACAGTCTCAAGTCGAACCCTGTCACAAATGTTTCCAGCGCATTTACATTGAATTTCGCAAGGTTTAAATGTCACCGTAAACAAAGCGATTCTTTCACCGGCCCCAAAAATGAGATCTATTGGGCCGTTGCATGTGGCTCCGATAAACGGAGCAAGAAAAGTTTCAAGACAAGCGAATATGGGAGCATCAACAGTGGAGATACACGCAATATGGACGTTGAATACTTTTACGGCGAGGTGGAGGAGTTTTTGGCAGGACATATCGAGTGCTGGGAAGCGGATGATAGTGGTAACAGCTTCTACAACAGAATGGTGCAGACTTTGAAAGATATCTCCGACTTTTCTATTGAGGCAGCTGTCAATGCAAATTCTGCTGACGATTGGGGAGATGAGTATGGATCGACAGGAAAGGCCGCAGCCATTCTTGCGCTAGTTGGAATCTGTGGGAGACTTGTTGCAGCTCTCCTTGAATGGTTGACAAATGACGACGACTTGGTCTTCCGACGTGAAATCGCCTTCACAAGATCAGCATTAGCAGTTTGGGGTTCACGGCCCAATCGCGAATTATCATTCATGTTTGATGGGGGAAGCCAAGGGAAGCATGAATTGTGGATCAAGTGTTTTGTACCCATGGATGGGCGCAAGCCAGTACCTATCGATGGATAAATTATATAATCTGCTTGGTTATATATCGCGTGTGCAATGCACACAGAGCCTGAAGGAAGGTAGCAGATCTGTGGGGGAGCACACTTGAGGGATTGAGGGCACCAACTTTTCGATTGTATAATTTTCAATCATATAGCTTTCAATTATAGTCGAAACTCCAGTCCATCAGAATCACTACAATCCGTAATCTGTTTTCTTGATCTTATGAGAGTCGGGAAGATACCACGTGCGAGTTCCACATGTGATTCCCATGGGAAAAGTTCGAAAGTCGATAGTCGTAGTTGATAAGATGAGAATAAGCGCGGATGGAAAGGGAAATTGATGGGCAGGATTGGATGAGAAAGTTTTGTTTTGAAATATATTATATGAAGTAAGGAGGAGAGAAAGAGGGAGATAGCTTAAGATATACTATATCATGAATTTGCCTTCGCCCTCCATCAGAACGAGAAAGATAGGACACCAAACTCGCTCGCTAAAATTCAAACCCCCTTTAAATTTTTAAATTTTTGGAAACTGGATAACAATATAAAACAAGAATTGTATTATAGTGAGAATACTAAAAGGTGTTGATTGTAAGATTAAAAACATCCCTAAGCTAACATTCTTTCAAAACATTTATAGAATGATTTGACGCATAATTTTGGTAAGGGAATGCCATTTTAGTGTCCCAGTATCTTCGTTCTGATGAGCTTCTTTATTGAGCTCGTTCCAAGATGTACAAGACATGTTCTACCCCCAATCTCTTCTCAGGAGACACTCAAGATTTCCTCCTCATTCTATACCGCTTCCTCTTTTTTTGGCCTCTTAAGGCAGACCGGAATTATTGCGGAACAATGCTAATTCTATGCGGATCGGATGTTGCGGAACACTACCATTATTCTTACGCAACAAAATAGAAAACCTAATTGGTGAATCCACTCAAACCCCATAAATAATCCTCATTTGATCCACTCCAAACGGAACTGAACTTTAATTGTTGCTGATTTTTGATTATGAGAACCTGACAATTCATTCTTTATCTGATCAATCCTTCTCGTTCAATTGCTCTAGAATTGTTCGAAGAGTTTCTGATCGGAGTTAGGATTGACATGTCTCAGTATTGTATCTCAATATGTCTACATTCGTAAGCATGCATGTACATATGCAAAGTTCAAACCTTAAGCATCTAATTGCGGCGAAATGACTATCTCCGCTGCAGAAAAGTTCCTATTCCGCTATTATCCCGATAATATTTGCTTACTGCTCGGGTTGCGTCACATCACCGACGGGATATAGATAACCGGTACGTACGACTTTTTCATTTACCCCGTGAACAAAAAGGAAGGGGCGGCCGAAGTTCGAATTGTCAAGAAAACGCCTGACTCGAATCAAAATATATTTCCCGGGACTAATACTCTTGCTACTCTCATAGCTACCTGGAGAACGTTGACATGGAAACCCCCTTATCACCGTCTTCCTCTTCCGAGATGATGGCAGGTCACGAGTCTCTCAATATTGAGAAGATAAAGTCTAGACCCGAGCACGCCCATCCGAATACCCTCGTTCCTGTTCAAAGTAAAATCGAACATTTCAATTCGCGCCCTCGAGAGTATACTTTCATCGCAATAATATGTATGGCTCAACTTATGACGCAAGCTGCATTGGGTCAAGCGATTGCTCCGCTACATATCATTGGATCTAGTTTTGGAGTTACAAATCCTGGACAGTTGAGTATGCTTCTCCACGTTCTGTACGCCATTTGAATCGTAACTAACATTTCGTGGTAAAGGTTGGTTTGCTGCGGCGTACTCACTGACGGTCGGTACGTTCATTCTTATTGCGGGTCGTCTGGGAGACCTCTATGGTCACAAATTGCTCTTTATAAGTGGTTTCTTTTGGTTCGCACTTTGGTCACTTCTGGCCGGTTTTAGTGCTTATTCGGAAGCAATCTTTTTCGATGTTGCTCGCGCTCTTCAAGGAATTGGACCGGCTTTTCTTTTACCGAATGCTTTAGCCATCCTTGCTCGTATCTATGAGCCAGGAAGGAAGAAGGAGATGATTTTCAGTCTTTTTGGTGCCACAGCTCCAACAGGCTTTACTCTCGGTGCAACTTTCTCAAGTGTATTTGCGGAATTCGTTTGGTGGCCTTGGGCGTACTGGGTTACTGCTATAGTTTGTGTCTTACTCGCTGTAGTAGGCATTATTGTCATTCCTCACACACCACCTCCACAATTTGATCGTTCTGTTAGTATGTTCGAGCGAGCTGATGGTCTTGGAGCCTTGACCGGAGTTGCAGGATTGGTTTTGGTTAACTTTTCATGGAATCAAGGACCAGTAATTGGTTGGACTACCGTTTATGTTTATGTTATCCTCATTATTGGGGCTCTTGTGCTCGGACTCTTCGCATTCATCGAATCTCGTGCGCCCTACCCATTGGTACCATTTGGTGCGTTCAATTCCCACACTGGTTATACGCTTGCATGTATTGCAGGTGGATGGGCTAGTTTTGGAATCTGGATCTTTTACTTTTGGCAATTATTGGAGGAAATCAGGGGAATTAGTCCACTTCTTGCGTCGGCAATGGTCTCGCCTACGACTATTAGTGGGCTTTGTGCGTCATTAACCACGGGGAAGATTCTTAGCAAGGTCCCAGCTAGTACTGTGATGATGATTGCTATGACTGGTTTTCTCATCGGATCAATTCTCATGGCCACGGTTCCTATTAGTCAAACTTACTGGGCACAAACGTTTGTTGCTTGTCTTGTAACTCCTTGGGGAATGTAAGTTAAAACATCATTTTCCCCCCAAACTTTTGGATAAAAAAGCTGATAAAATCAGGGATATGTCGTTCCCAGCAGCAACAATTCTCCTGAGTAATTCCATGCACAAAGATCATCAAGGACTCGCCGCTTCTCTTGTCAACACTGTTGTCAACTACTCAATCTCAATCGGTTTAGGTATTGCCGGAACTGTAGAAGTTCAGATCAATAACGGCGGAAAGAACCCGAAAGATCTTTTGAAAGGATATCGTGGAGCTCAGTATGTAGGGATTGGACTTGCAGGACTGGGAGTGGCTTGCTCAATTTTGTTTTCGTTGTCGGAGAGGACGAAGAGGGCGAAGGATAGAAGGGAGGAGGGGCGGATAGAGGAACCTTGATTTGTTATGAAGCGATTGATTTGTATAGATACCCTAGAGTTATTTTATAGCTGCTGTTGCTTGAGTAGTAGTTGATTGACCATTTTCTTTCACGAAATAAGAATCATAAGAAGATCTAATAATACTTCGTTTATCAACAATATTTTGATGATATCCAAGGTAGTGGAGTCGGATTGATAATTGTGTAGCACTAACCCCACATCAGTTAGCCAAGATCTAACTCCGACCGGAAAAGTTACTTTTTAGCCAACCTCAACTTCCCCCTTGATCATCACATATTGAATCAAAATGTATCCATCAAATCAATTGTCGGTTTCAATACAACTTGTATACACTGCATTGCGAGTTAAATTGAAGAGCGATTTCTCGGCTTTCAAATGATGTCAGAATCAATTAATGGGTCATCGATACAACTCCCACGCATACCATCAACGGCGCCATTGCCGTCGACGCAATCGAGCAATCCGGACCGTCCAATTCATGGACGTCAACGAGCGAGAAGAGCTTGTCTTCCATGTCGGCAGCGGAAGAGAAAATGTGATGTAGAATTTCCCTGTTCAATGTGTACTCGATATGGATACAATTGTCGATACTCCGATGAACCTAACCCACCGAATCCCAATCTTTCACCCATACGGACAATTCTCCCAGGCCACAATGAAATGAGACATGATTTTTCACCATCGATAACAAATCATACACCTAGACGCCAGAGTATAACAAATGCCCAATCTCCATCCACATCATCACAAGATGTTGTTGATCGTGGCATTCTTGATCCTTTGAGATCACGATATATGAGTCAGCATTCTGCAGTTGCTTTCCCCAGAAGTCTTGGCGTGGAATTTCAATCTGCAAATCCACCACCTCTCCATTCTTTTGCTTGGAATTGTGGGATTAGAGCTGAGGAAGCTGCATCTGCTCATACCAATTTAACTCAATTGGTTTCGTTTGAAGATTTTAAGCGGTTTTCGGATATATATGTGGCCACAGTTCATGGACCATTTGGATTCCTAGATTGGCCCTATTTTATGAAACGGTGCAATGATTATTGGACTAACCATGGAAGAGATTTGACGTTCGGCGCTGTTGTTGGTGGGGTGGTAGCTTTGGGATCGTTCTTTGCTTTTCGACTCGGTCATCCTCGGGAACTGGAAATTGTTCAGCATGTGAAGACGGTGCTGGAGGATCCAACATTCAGTCGACATCCGTCAATTGATCAAATAAATGCATGGATTCTACGGACCCTGTATCTTCGTTCAACTACCAGACCTCACGTTGCGTGGCTTGCTAGCTGTATCACCTTACATTTGGCTGAAGCTACAGGCTTACACCAAGAAGTCCACTCGGTACTATTGACTACGGAAGGAGATAATCAAGCAAAGAGAATGGATCAAGCAGAAATAGAAAGAGCGAGAAAAACTTTCTGGATGGCTTGGTCTGTTCATACGATCATCTCGTATGAATATGGAAGATCTGCAGTAATTCTCAATAGTATAACTTGCAAGCCAGTCAAGGACACTATGGGTGACAGTACAATTTTCCATATCAAGATTGCTCAACTAATCCCTCGCGATAACATGGTCGTCAATTCTGTAACACATAAAGAAGAACTAATAAACGGCTTGAAGGAATTGGCAGAGATCCCAGACGTACATCCATTTCTCTCACTCTCCAAAGCAGATGTATGTTTTTGTTTCTATAGAAGGTTAAGGCTTATGAAACAAGGACTGGAGAAAGAAGCAATCCAATCCATCATAGATATAGGAAACAAAGGTGCCGAAGCAGCAAATACATTTGCCCGCAATGGTCATCCTTGGTGGAATATCCTCTCAACCACCTTTCAATACTTTTGTGTCCTCCTCGCCATCGATACCTCGGAAAGTCTATCAAACGTTTCGTGGGTTCTAAATATATTTGAGAATATTGTAAGGATAGTAGATACGCATTTAGCGCACGAAGCATTCGACACTGCAAAAGTTTTGCTGAGAGATAGTATGGCGAAAAAGAGAAGGGATTTGGGATTCTTGGAAAATGCGGATGGACAGCATGGCCCAGAAATAGAAAGACAGGTCGATATTAATTGGGATGCGTTGTTGGACCCAACTTTTCCGGATGCGCTGATGAGTGAGGACTTTTCGATTTATAATAGTTGATGTGAACATTTCGACGGAGGGTGGGATCTAAGACTTGGGTGGTGTTGGCTGGAGATTTCTCAGGATTCGAGGATTCGTATACGCGTGGTACAGCTCTGACATGTCGATTCTGCGGACTCAGATACATTAGCAAATGCACATGTGGATTATCTGGGAGGAGGATAGGCTTGGAAATCAACCTTAGCCCGTGCGTTTGAAGGAATTGAATACATGTAGGGTGGACTTGAGCATTAACCTTAGTTCCTGGTTTGGGAGAATTGAATACATTAGCACATGTATGCCGAGTATGGCTTCAACATTGGAGTGAATGGGTACAATCAAAACAAAAGAGGAGCTTACTGAAATTGATTTTACCTTGGTATGCCTTGCAGGTTTGGAATTTACCCTGGGGTCCTCGAAAAATACGCTTTCACCCCAAGGTACTTATTGTAAGTCCTTTGTCTCAGATCTGAAGTTTCAAATCTAGTATGCTAATGCAAGAACCTAGATTTACCCTCTCAAAGTTGTTTTGTGGTAAAAATCTTTGAAGTTGGAGTTGAAATTGTAAGCTTTTACAAATCCGGACAGAGCCTAATCATTTGGGACAGAATTGGTCCCCCTAAAATTCACTCTAGATTCTCGCGAATTCACTGCCTTCTTCTGAAAAATCACACCATTGCATCAGGTTTTGATCAATGAAAGATTTTATTTGTCTTCTATTACGTTGTGTTGTGTCATACTGTTCTTTTCTAGTACTAGTTTGATTACTTTTTCAAAGCTCATTTGGTACTGTGACACTGCCATATTGATTGCACATTATCTTGGGTTGCAAAAAGCAATACTTAATACTTCGCAACTCCCAGTCTCCCATTTTTCTTCTCAACCCCACCAAGCTTTCGTCAATTATTTATTCGCAGTGGTCTTACCTCTACCTTTACCTTACATGTACCTTCTGCCTCTCAGCAACTCCTACACGCAGTTCAGATCTCCAATATCAGGTTTCTATACTTTGGTTTCTGCAACTTGCGGCCTCCTCCCCCATCCATCCCACCTTTTCTACCTTTAGCAGCAATTCTCCATCGTTCTTTGCGCCTTCGTTCAATCTGCCATTTTCTGAACACTGTTTCTGGGAGTTAGGAGTTAGTCTGGGACTACCAGGCTATTTTCTTCTTCGTTGACAATCCTTTTCGCACGAAACTGCGACAACCATCGAACGTCGTCCTAGAATAGTTAACTTGGGACTACCAGTTAGCTTCATACTCTTCTTTCTTGTACGACTCTTCGTGTTAACCCTTGAAGTCGTCTCTGCGAATTGGTTCGTAGCTAACGGGTAAGCTTTTGCTCGTTCAACACCCATCCTCTTGAGATACTCTGCGGCATCCTGCTAACGTCTTTATCAAATAGTTGGCTTGGAGTTGTTGTCGAACTTCCTCTTCCTCTGGTTGAACCTTGCCACAATAGTCGACGTCGTCCTTGAGTGTCTGTCTGAAGTCACCGATAAATCCTCTCCTCCGTCGATAAAACCTTGCGGTAAGTCATTCTCGACACTTGGTTTGGAGTTACCAATTAATTTGGTTCTCATTCAGCGATCATCCTCTCACGATCCTTCGCGGCAACCTTGAACGTCATCGTCGGTTACCTAATCTAGAGCTACTACCTGACCTTGAGTTCATTCAATAAGTGTCTTATTACAAGGTGTCGCAGCAACCTTTAAACGTCGTCCTTGAGTTAGTTCGGGGTCATTGGTTAGTCTTTTCTTATTTGACAATCCTCCTCCCATGGAATCTTAACGCAGTTCAATCCTCCCCAAACAGTTTATTACAACATGCCATCCTTGTTTTTACAACTTACGTGCGATTATCTGACTTGTTTATTTCAATAGTATACAGGAAGATAGCATAGCTACACTTCGTGTACTTTCAACTTTCTCGTTCTCGCACCTCTTATGAAATCCTCGAGCTTATCCAACTCTATCCTCTCGTTCCTTGCTTCCTATTGCGCCAACACTGCGACGACGATCGCTCACGTCTAAATCTATAACATACAGCTGTCCATAAGCGGTCCATACCGGGACAAAGCTTACTCGGTATGTTATCGAACAAGTCGGAGAAGGAAGAGTCTCCCTTCCAACCTCTACCCCCACTCTCCCAACGTCCAGAATGGGGTATGCTATTGCCTGAAAGCTCTCCCCCAGGCTCGATTGCCCGTCCTTTCTGTTTCTCTGCATCTTATGTCAGAGACAGTTCTCCTGTTGCTCATGATCGTTCTCCAGCTTCTGGTTCTGATGCGCCTAATTTGGTGGTCTCTGATCGTGCTGAACCTGATCATGGTCATTCAGCCTCTGGCCGTTTTCTCTATGGACCATTACGGGTTGGAAATCCTCTTCGTGGTCGTCCACCCAATCCACATGATCCGTACGATATGAACAAATATCACGCTATCAATGAGACTGCTCGTACATCTTACCCTGTCGATAGCGATACCACCATGAACAATGGTCCTGCCAGCAATCCTCCTCCATATAACTCTAGCTTCGTAAACGGTGCCCGCGGTGACAGTCCTCATTACTCTCTCCGTCCCCGGCCCTTGGAATGGAACCCAGCTTTTACAAAGGATCAAACCTACCCTTCCTCAATCGTACTACGACGCCAACTAATTGCTTCTCCTATTCCTGCTTCTACTACAGCTATTGCGGGCATTCCAGCTACTCACATAGCTGTAGCTCCAGCTCCAGTTCCAGCTCCTGCAACTACTCGAGCTGCTCCAGTCACTCGATCCACTCGATTTCGAGCCAGTAAACAACTCGCCTCGGCTACCAACTCTCAAGCCACTAAAGCCACTCAATCTACTCGATCATCTCGACCTCGAGCCAAGAAACAACCCACCTCAGCCTCTAATTCTCGGGGCAAAAAACCCCCCGCTTCGGCTGCCAAATCAGCTCAAAAGGAACAAAAGCAGAATGAACCATGGCATGATCGACTTGAGTACGGGATCGACCGCCGTCCAATGAAAGAGTCAGAACTCGCACAGGTCCGTCCTGGTTATGGCACTCTTATCCCCCGCAAAGATTGTTTCAAAAACGCTCCTCCGGGTAGCGAGAAACCCGTCGAGTGCGGCATGACAGAATCGGAACTTGTTTGGACTCTCAGAGGAGCTAGAGGTGATAAGCAACGTAGATTTTATAACAAACATGCTACTGTACCATTGAAAGACAGACTTAGAGCGACTGCGAGATTGGAGGCAAGGCTTAATAAGCAGAGGGAGGAAGGGAGACTTGCGGGCTATCCGGCTACGATGGCCATAGATGATAGATTCCCGATCGTGGCTCCTGCTCCAGCTATTACTCCAGCTGCTACTCCTGTTGCTTCCCCTGTTGTTGCCCTCGAAGTTGCTCCAGTCGTTGCTGGTAATGCTGCAGAGTCCACTGAGGACCAAGAAATGGCCGATGACGATTGAGTTCCACCTCCGGGTGGTCTCTACAGTGACGAGGATTAAGACGAGGATGAGGATACGGAGGAGAAATAGAGTGCTATAGTGTTTTTCTGTCTAGGGGATGGAGACTGAGGCTAATTTCTGGCGATTGGCAGGCGATGCACACATTGTACAATAGCTACTTGGCTTTTTATGCCAATGATATTATCAGGAAACGTCAGCGACTGCTTGTACTAGTGTCCCCTCGTACGAAAGAACTAGGGGCAGGGGTGAGCTAACGGGTTAGATATGGGGATGGGGATGGGAATGAAGTACGGGCACTGGATAAAGCTGGTACTTTCTAGTATATTAATGTGGAAGGAAGAGCCTTAGACTGTGAGCAGTAGAATTGAATGCTTCTCTTACTGATTGACTTGTTCTTGGACTTATTGTGAACCTTGAATTGTTTGATTATAGTGATTCTGTGTATCTATTGTGTACTATACTGCGTGTACTATACATTTAGCATGTATATACTTCATCTATTATATCTAATCATCTCATTCTCCTGTCTTCCTGTTTTCCTGTTTTGAGTCCCATTTAGTCAGCACATCTACTCAAGACTCGTGATACCTCGTGAGAATCACGTGGAATAATCATGCGTGTAGTAAGCACGTGCTTTCCACGTGAGATTTCGACCTGAATACACTTTTTCGAGGCATTCTTTCAAGAGAGTTCTACATAAACCTATATTGACTAGACAAACTAGACGATAGTAGTTCAATAGTTCGTGGAAATGAAACAAATAGTACCTCTACTCTTGTATCTATATTCAACCAGCTCTATTCTTTTCAAATCTAGTCTTCCTGTATCAAATTTCTTGTTTTCAGAAGATGAGAATAGTAAGTTGGTTCCTGCGAATTTGAATTTTGTAGTTCTTGAATTGGTATTTTTTTAGTATGAAACTGAGTATCTCTTTTCTACTAATACTATACGATAGTAAATCTCTCTCGTTTTCGCTATAGGAGAGAAGGGTATAATATATATGCTTCAGCTTCATGATAGAATATATTACTAATAATTAGAACCTATATGATAAGTACGTATTTAAATCGAATATCACAGTACGTGACTACATGCTACGTTAATCTTATCCAAATCTAAGCTAAGATGAGCTAAGTGAGATCGATTAAGTCTTCAATGAGTCTATTCTTCTTGGATATCTCATTTTAATTTGTAATTTTGATTCGATGTACTCTACTTCTTCACAAGTCAGAAGTGGGCTAGTGAGATCTACGCAATACTGATTATATAGATTGAATCATTCTAAACTAGAATATAACTACTATGACTAATATCACATATGTATGTGATTACCTACTCATGATGCAAACCTTAATTCAAGATTATCTTGAATTAAGCAATCTCTCATTTTATAAGAGATAAAGACATTTCTTAAGGATCTTTTTCATCTTCTAGTATAACTAATCTTTATTGATATGCTATAGCATGTGATCGTAACAACTACGAAATAGAATTGTAAAGGAGCGAAGCTGTCAAAGTTATGTGATGCCAAGCATCACCCTACTGTATCTTGAATCAGCATGGGGATCCCCCGGATTCTCTTCAATCCGTTACAGAATTCTACCTACTGCTACTTGACGCCTAGTTTTCCGTTCATACCGTCACAAGAATATAGCGCTAGCTTACATGTCACACCTTTCTAATACTATCTTACAAATAAATTATCTCCTCACGTTTTTATCTGCAATCACTATACCTGGAAATTATAGTAGTTTAAGCGTCATGAATAACAGCGGAAAGGTGTTAGAGTCTAACTCGTGATATCAACGATTCAACTAAATTCCGAATCGAATAAAGCAACTCGAGCTTGAGCATCCTAATGCATAATAACTATAGTACTTTTAAATAGTTGAAACTATTATCATATAATGAGAGTACTGGGTGAAAGTAAAGAGAAAGAGAATAAAGTATACTCTCTGATTTCTAAGCGAGTCCAGAGGGATCTAAAAACCTTATAGACACCTATCGAGCTCATAAGGATTCTTTATTTCTAAGTCTCAGGCGTTGTCCACAACATATATATTCTATATTCTAGCTAGAACCTTGCTCAATTTGATCATTAATTCTAAGTCCAAAATCTCTTAATTCCATCTTACACATTGTACTTTCTTTAGCCGAGTTTTCGACTCGCGTAAGTCTCGATCTTCAATGATGCTTAGTCATCATGTATTTACATCCAGCTGGACTTATTTCGACAATACCAAAACGACTCGAAACCCACCTAGCTATTAGAATTGTAAAAATGTTGAATTTTCGAATTGTGATATCGTCTCATGACAAGTCAGTACAAGATCTTAATCTCAATGATCTTTCCAAGACTCGGAATCTTGATGTCGTCTGAAGATTAGTAATTTCATCCGATCATTAGTTGATCACTCAAATGTATATCTCAGAATAATGTAATTGGATTGATCGTGAAGCAATAAAAACTCACTCGTTATGTGAACACCTATCTTTATATGTTTTTTCATCAACTGTCATATCATGTTTCTATTCCTACTAGTTGTCGATATAGGATTCATTATCCTTCTTTCTAATCTTTACAAGATGTCCAATCGACTCAGCGTCACTCGCGTGTGCACATCCTTGCTTTCCCGCCCCGTTAGCGATGTAACCCTCTCCTTATGAATACTCGAGAACACTACTTGACTCGATATCAAAACGTATTCAGCTTTTGGTAACCCTTATACTTGGCTCTTTTTGCTTCGTACTTCTCTACAGTTCAATAAACTAATATGAAAAACTAAAATTTATATACATAGCGAAAGTCGTTCCCCATAGCCCAAAAACCACGCAGAGGGCAGGTACATTTTGAATACATTTCATATTCAAAGGAACACTCAGCATCTCTAGATGAATTCTTCGAAAAGAAAATACATTGACGACAATCACTATAACTTTCCAAAGAGTTTCCACAATGAGTCATCGATATCAAATCTACGAACTGATACATCGACACTCAGAAATAGTGTAACGAAACAGTGCTAGCTCGCTTTGTCGCATGCTGGTTGGGGTATCAATACATGAAATGATGCTATTCGGGGTTATTACCGTTGACAACACCTCAACTTTGACTATCTACACCTGCGAATTGATCCTACTCCAGTAGGATCAATTCTGAGACATGCAACAAAAACTTACAAGTGGTTGGTCAGATGACCTGAGTGATTCTATTGGTCGATGACTTGACTGTCAATTCACGACCCTGGACTCTAAAGATTAAAGAGCCTTGAAAAATGCAAAGAAACGTTCTAAAAGCTTGGTAAGCAGCTGTTATAGTCATCCAAACCTACATTACGAATTCTGAACTGTCTGATTTTCAATATCGCGTAATGCATTTGGAAAGTTTAACGACTCGGTCTTCAGAGTGGCGTGGAGTAACTTGAGGATCTACGACGTAAGAACACAAAAATCGAAGTGGATAAGGGCTCACATATAGTGAATGAAACATTGCAGTCTACACTCATATCCGTCCTACTTATGTCCAATGTCCAATTATTCAATCTTCCCGCTACGGATGCTTATATCCATACTCTCCGAGAAGTTGCTTCCATACAACCCACGCGTCAACGAGAGAAATCATCTCACACGACACAGATCCATCACACCTCTATGGTTCCCACATCATCAGGAACATATCATCCTACACAAGACATATAACTTCCATCGGTTTCCTATTCTCCACCTACGTCGACTCATCCATCTCCATCTCAGGAATGAGGGAAGGCCCAACAAATTTGTATTCTCCATTTCCACACGGACGAAGTACCAAAGGTTGCTCAACACCAGGTATGGTAGCTATCTTATCATAGATTTGCACAGCGGGCGGCGACCCAGGCTCATTCTTCCCATAGGCGCCGATTTCAAAATGGCCCTTTGAAGTTGCAAAGATGTTGCGTCCTTCGCCTGTAAGTGGATCATCGTGATCTCTTCGCAACGTATCATTCTGGAAAAGTCTATCAAGAGACTCCACCTCGAGGGGTTTGGTAGCACTACATCCGACCTGTGTCGACTGAGGCATATCACCTAACCACCTAACCACAAACCTCACACCTACCTTCAGCATCTTATTCAAAAATCTCACTCAAGCCCCTTCTCAAAAATCTGTCTCAAGTCCCTTCTCAAAATTTATTACTCATAACAATTCATTATTAATTAATCTCTACAAAAATAGATTTTCCTAACCCTTCTACTAATGCCACAAGCAGGCCAGTAGAGAAAGGAAATATCTTTGCATCCGTAAACTCATCGACCCACTGTCCCTCTTCGAACCATCACCTGCCTTCTATCAAGCAAGCCAAGTACACGCAAGCTATCAGAAATTTTATTCCCCTTTGCGCCAAAAAGCTGATGCAAATTCAAAAGTAATATAAAATACTTAAGTCATTAAATAAGAAACTTAGTTCTAGCAGAAACCCAGAAGAGTTTCCCCTCGCGATGAAAATACAGAGAATATTTCCTTCGCTTTTCCCCATTCCATTCAGAACCACCCAACTCCACATAAACCCCCTAATTTCCTCTAAACAAAAATTGCATATCCTCTGGCGTTAAATTCTCCATCGCACTCTCATCAGCATTAATAGTACTATGAATCATATTTGCCTTCTTTTCCTGCAACAACACCATTCTACTCTCCACACTATCTTCAATACATAATCTAGTGATACTGCATGGTCTAGCTTGTCCAATTCGATGACATCTATCAGCACTTTGCCACTCTGCAGCCGGATTCCACCATGGATCGACAATGAAGACTCTGTTGGCTTCAGTAAGGTTTAGTGCGACACCACCGGCTTTGAGGGAAACGAGGAAACATTCAACATTGACGTCGGTCATGAAGTGATTGATGGAAGCTTGTCGTTGAGCGGGCGTCATAGAACCATCAAGCATGACAGTTGTTATACCTGCACGACGAAGACGCCATTCGACGAGCTGAAGCATGGTGGTGAATTGAGAAAAGATAATTGACTTGCTGGATGAGTTTTTAGATCGAAGTTGATAAAGATCATGAACCAAAGCTTCAATCTTTGAAGATGATGTCCAATTTTCCATCTTGATTCGATTGATGATAGAGGACTTTTTGACTTGTACTTCATCCTGTTCGATTTCTGGTTGTTCAAGATCAATGGCCAACGGGATATGACATTGAGGACAATCAGGAGATCCTATCAAGTTAGCGATGAAAAATTGATAGGAATGAAGAAATGACTTACCAGAAGATCTCAAGTAGTTCTTGGCACATTCTCGACAGAAATCATGACGACAAGCAGATTTAATAGCTTCCTCTGCAGTCTCATCACAAATACAACAAACAAGAATATTTTGACCACCTTCACCATTCTTCTTCAAGATCAGATCAGGATGATCAGCAACTTGACGCATCTGCATGATAAGACCAAAGATGTTGGCATAGTTATTAAGCAGGACACCTTGAGCAACATATGTTTCGAACTTTCGAGCACCATTATTCATAATACTGCCAGCGAAATCATTCTCTTCTTCACCGAAAAATTGTCTGTCGACATAGATTTCCTTTGCAGGAAGCTCCATTGCAGATGAATGATCCCGCTTGACACGGCGAAGCATAAATCTATCAGTCAAGATTCGAAGCTTTCGGAATGCTTCCTTTCCAGGGCCATTGTTACCGAACTTTTGTATAGGATTGAGTAGTTCTTGGTTGAAGACGGACACATGTTGCATACCACTGTGATTGCAACCAGTACAGCGGTTCTCACTGTTCATATCCCACTCCAGAGTCGAACAAGGGCATTGTTTACAAAAATAACATGCGAAAGGTCGAATATCGAGGAATCGAACGAGTGAGAAGAATTCACCAATGCGATTTTGCAAAGGTGTTCCAGACAAGCACCATTTGTGATTTGCCTTAAGAGCAAAGCATGCTTTAGCAGAACCAGAGGTACGTTGCTGAATATATTAGTATGAGGAAACTGGAATGGAGTATTAGGTCTTACCTTAATACTGTGTGCTTCGTCAAGAATGACCCGATGAAACTTAATTTGATGGATTGGACTCTTCTCTTTATGAATTCCATCCTTACGCTTGAAGCCTTTCTCTTGTTTTCGATACATAGACTCCAGACTGTTGTATGACATAAGAATTACATTATACTTTTGCAATTGCTGAACGGTGATGCCTTTTGCTTTGGCATTGCTACCATGAAAGACAAAGGTTTTCAAAGTACCATCTGTATAATCGGCAATTTCTTGCTGCCATTGCATGAGCGCAACAGGTGGTATCAAAACAAGTGAAGGCTCCTTGGCGGGAAAATCAGACATGATCAAAGATACAGCTTGAATTGTCTTTCCCATACCCATCTCATCTCCTAATAGACCTCCGCCCCAAGCCGTCTTTTCCATTGCTCTCATCCATCCAACGCCTTGAAGTTGGAAAGGTTTGAGTTCACGATTGATGTTTGTTGGTTGTTCGATTTTGCAGTCTCCAATCTTTGGTAGATCCTCTAATTCTTTCCACATTGTGTGTAACTCAGGATGTTGCTGCTCCAGCCGTTGACGTTCCTTACGGCTACGTCTGGTACTTCTGTCTTCTAAGCTGTTGATAATTTGACGAGCCTGACGCGAATTACGCACACGGGAAGTTGCAGGCTGAATACCAGTAACAATCGGACCTTCATCATCAGAAGTATCAGTTCCAATCATAGAATCATCGTCTGTGTCGAATGTGTCAGAATCCGACACAGGAGAAGGGGGATCTGTCAGAGTAGAACTGGCATTAGATTCCATGGTGTCCTCGGTTTTGAGTTTGGGGGTGGGTGGCTGGATTTCTCGTTTGGTCGTGCTTTTACGTGCTGATGATGACTTGAGACTATTTTGGAAACTTTCCGAATGCCTGTGAATAGCCCTTGAAACTTTGCTTGATTCTTTCTTGATTGAACTTCGTGGAGCAGAAGATAAATTTATGGGCACATCCGAATCTGAATCAATGACCATGAAATCGTCATCATCATTTGAGTCATTGTATTGCGTACTCTTTCCTCGATTTGGGGTTGGAAAGCTGACAGCATTGAAACTACTGGGGATTTCAACCTTGGGCTCAACTTTCGCCTTCTTCGATACACGTGAAACCCTACGATTAACAAATTCATCATCTTCATCGTCCTCACTAAAATCCGCATCAAAAGTCAAGTTGATCGGTTGGACGTTACGTGAAGTTCTTCGTAAGGTAGTTGAAGATTCGGCTACCACTGGTTTGCTTGATTTCTTGTATTCTTGTTCTTGAAGATGGCGAGCAAGTTGAGCATCTGGTGTATTGTCGTCGTCGACTTCGTCATCCTCAGAGTCGACGTATCTTCTTTTTTTGGGATTGAGAGAGTACATGCTATTTTGAAGTGCTCGAGCTCGATCAATTGCGTTTAAGGAAGAAGCACTTTGGACTGGATTTATGGTTTGAGCCCGACCTCTTCGTGTAGACCTAGTTGTATTTGAAGGCCGGACAGGAGCTTTTGCAGAAGCGGGAGTTGCAACACCACTTGTCTCTGGAGTAGAATAGTCACTTCCATCATTATAGTCGTTACTGGTTGAAACTGTGGATAGAGATTGACGCGATTCCGCGGGTTTTCCTTTTCCTTTCTGTTGTGTCTTGGTTGCACTTAAATATTCGCCAATTAAGGAAGGAGATGGAAGATCCGACAAAGAGCCGTCATCATCGCTGTCCGCAATGACCATAGAATTTTTTGAATCGGCCTGTGGTTGAGGTGCAGGAGAGGAAAGTTCATCAAGCTCAAGATTGGAAATTTGTTGTTTGACGGCTAGTTCAAGAGATTAATAGAAGGTACAAGGTATATTGAATGAATCTGAAAATATGAGAGGAGCTTACCAGATAATCGAGAGCTTGTTCGACTACTTCTAGCGCTACCCGCATTTCCTGAGTCTGCGACTTTTCTTGATCTTCCTCTTCCTTTCCCGGTTGACGCCATTGTGAATCGAATTTCACCAAACGAAGGGACGATAAAAAGGCGACCGAGAGGATGTGAAGACGATGGAGGGGTCGCTAGATAAGGAACAAACTTCGATGAAAGAAATACCAACAATTCGATCCCCAAGATTGGCTGAATAATATGCCCCGATAAGTTGTCGTCTGCAGCTCAAAGGGATTATGCAGGTACGACGAAAGATTGGATATAGTGTGGAGGGCGAATTGTTAAAACGGCTTCGAGTTGAGTCTAATCTCAAGATGTTCGCATGGAACTTATCGAATCCAAAGGTCAATCGATATCACCAAGCCTTATCGTGATAATGCGACCAAAACGGCGATTCCAGCACCTAGAAAGATGGAAGAACGGAAGAAAGAGGAAAGTGATTGGAATTATCAAAGAAAAGTTTGTGAAGTTATTCACAATCTTTCTTCAAAGTTTCAAGTGAACGACAAAGTACGGATTATTGGTAATTGGTTCGTGGTTCGTGGTTTGAAAGAGTTTTGAATCGTATTGGAAGATGAATCAGACTGAACCAAATTGCCACCTCCTGGATAAAATAAAAAATTCACGGAACGTCATTCGTCGGATAAAGATGAAAGACGCGATTCGAACACCAGAGTCCACGTTATCACGTGAGTAATCAGGCAGCAGTCGGCATTTTATGGCATTTGATTGGGGGAAACCGAAGCCTTGATTGATTAGATAAGCATGATAAGCATTTTAAAGTGTTTTACTGGGTCCTGCTGGGGTCATGCTAGATCTGGCATGTCATCAGCCATCACGGTCTGTGTGTTGAGAAAACCACTTTACGCGGCATTTCAGATGAGATGTGAGGCAAAAAAGGAAAAAAGAAAGGAAAGGAAACGAATGAAAGTATGAGATGAAAGAGGAATAATTGAAGTTATTCACATTTCGGTTCATTGGATTCCTTCTACACATTCAATACTACAATTCAGTTACCACAACATAAGACAATTCTCAGAGCGAATTCTCCATCAAAGAACGAAGTTGCGACACAATTCCCCGAATTTCTTCATATCAAGACGCCTTATATTGTTTGGACGGGAAGAAGACCAGCACGGAAAGACTACCACTGATCTCTTTCGGATTGTTCGGAATTGACAAGACTCCATACTAGAAACAAGGGAAACAATATGTATGCCATTTTCACTACAATCTTTCACATCATCTTTGCTAACTTTTAATGTCACAGGAATCCTCCTCCACCACCCCCTCCACCTGGAGGTCCCAATGCTCAACCAGCTCCCAGAAGATCAATTCGTGGACCGTAAGACTTCAACTCAGCGTCGAACCTTCTCACTTACTGATAAAACTATAGTCAATCCGCATTGACCGATTTCCTGGCTGTAAGTAATTAAATCATTCCACCCAGTTACGACTCACACTCACTGATCATTTGCGCAGGCTCATAATATCGATGCCAATCAAATTCGTCAAGATGCAAATGCTCGTCGAGCTGCTGCACTCGCTTCACAACAAACGGCTGAAGGAAATGGAGATGAGGACGAGGGAGAGGGAGAAGATGAACCAGCATCTGCGCCTGCGACACGTACCCGTTCTCGCCGAAATGAAAGTGAAGCACAAAAGAATAAGAGAAAGAAAGAAGAAGAAGTATGGCTACGTTGTGCGCTGGATTGAACCAAAAGCTAACAAATACATAGAAAGCAGTTGCCAAAATCAAGGCCTCTAAAAGATTTCAACGCCAAAGAGCTTTTGGATCAGATGAAGATATAACCGATGAAGATGAAGCCGCACTTCGATTATTTAATGAAAGCATGGCACCTTTACCTGATCAAATGGAAAATTGTGTACTTTGTGAAAAGAGATTCACCGTTACAGCATACAGTCGAGCTGGTCCAGATGGAGGTCTTCTTTGCCCACAATGTACAAAAGAACTCAACAAGGGAGAAGGACAAGCAAAAAAGAAACGAAAATCTCAAGCTGGAGCACAGAGAAGAAAGATTCAGAGTAATCTCCTAGATGGTGTATATCCAGGCGCTAAAGACTTGATGACCTTGTGTATCGAAACTTTAGCCAAAAATGTCGACATGGCCGATGACTTGGGAGATTTACCAGAACCACTCATGGATAAATTATCAGCCATACTTTCCAAGAGGCGTCTTTTACGTTCCAATACTTTGAATTTATTTCTTCAAAATGGTCGTGAAGTCGTCACCATCTATGAAGGGGCATACCTGAACTCAGATGACTACATTCGAATATTTCAAGTCGTACCAAGTGTCAAATCATTACGCATCCGATCTGGTATTCAATTCAAAGACAAAGTAATGGAACATCTTATAGCATCTACTGTCAAACTTGAGCACCTGAGCTTGTCTGGTAGTAATCTCATAAGCGACGAAAATTGGAACCGCTACTTCACGGAGAAAGGCTCACATCTGAAATCTTTCAAGGTTTACTATACAGATGGTCAATTTGGTGATGATCAAATAGATGTTATCACCAAAACATGCCCTCAATTGACTCGTCTTAAAATCACCCATAACCAAAAAGTCACTGATGAGGGTGTTGCACATATTTCACGTATCTCTACTCTTCAACATCTCGGTTTGGAAATCCAAAAAAGCAAAGCCTCGGAACCATATGTTCAGATTCTTGATAGTATCGGACCCCAACTACAAACGCTCTCTCTTGGTCAAGTCCATGAAATTAACGACTCTGTCTTGAACGCTATTCATGACAACTGTCAGAACTTAAACAAACTCCGCATCACGGACAATAGCGTCTTGACAGATGCAGGTTTCGCAAATCTCTTCACGAATTGGTTGAATCCTCCCCTTTCCTTCATCGATCTATCTAAAAATCGTCATATCGATGCCTCCGTCCCTCGCGATAATCCTGACAATATCGGTCTCTGTTCCCTCGGTTTCGAAGCTCTAATGGCACATTCAGGTCTTACTCTCCGCTATCTCGATATCAATTCTTGTCGACATATTTCCCTCTCGAGTTTTGAAAAAGCATTTTCACTCGAAAAGGAATATCCGGAATTGGAGGAAATGAATATTAGTTTTTGTCAGGAAGTTAATGATTTTGTAGTTGGAAGTATCTTCAAGACTTGTCCGAAATTGAAGAAGTTGATCATTTTTGGAGATTTTAAGGTTAGGGATGTGAGAGTTCCAAAGGGGAGGATTCTTATAGGTATGCCTAATGCGATGGGGATGCAGATTGAGGGGACTGGGGATGGAGGTGATGGGATGAGTGCCTGGTGAGGGGAGGTAGAGGGAAGAGTGAGGGCTGGAGATTGAAAGGGCGATTGGCTGTCAAGGAGTTTTTCTGCAATACCGGGGCTGGATGTATGTAATGTGGTGTGATTTGATGGGTGAAGTGGGGATGGTTGAGACTTGAGTGGATTTTATGAATCAATGGATATATGCATGGTGTTTATGGATAGCTAGTAAAGCTATGACTTGTATAGTTTTATGAGTCAAATTTGTTAGTATGTATGTTGATGTAATGACGATGACTCTTTCAAAATGGAACTCTCTTTATACTGTATGAGTTTGTGTGTAATGTGATTATCTATACTGATGGTCGGTATCATGTTTGGAGTGAGCAAATGAAGTGAACTAGAGATTGCAGTTGGATCCAGAACTAAAATTCGAATCTAGAGAGTTGTGGTGTGGTAATTTCTGTGAATTTTTGTGCTTGTGAAATCAAGCTTGGGATTGGGATTGGGGCTTAAGAATATGTGATTTTTGGGTATCTTTTTATTCTGTTTCTTCTCCACGACTGAGCTGCGCGAGCCTATTTCATACTTGTGCGTTCGGTACACAAGATGATTTCCCCCTTTCTCAATTTCCCAGTGTCTTGTTTACACATAGACCGTACAGCATGCCATTCTGACACTTCATCTGTTCTCTTCTCCTAAATTCTTCCCATCTATGACTCCGATTTTTCGTTTCGTCTAGCAATCTAGGGTACCTATTTCCATTCAGATCTCACCCAGCCCATGAAATCCACAACTTCCAATTCTCAAATTCCAACTCACACATCCATCCATCCAACATCTAAACCAAATGTCCCGGCAACAAGAAATTTCCAATCCCTTCCTTAACACGATACTCATGTCCACAATTCCCACAGACTAAACTTCCTTCGTCGATTTCTGTTTCCAAAAGAAGCGTATGGAGTTCCTTCATCATTTTTTCGTCTTCTTGGAGGGTTTCGGGGGTGGGGGGTGTGGGGGGAAGAGCAGGGAATGAGAGCTAGAATATTTTGATGTTAGCATCTTTTTTCTCTCCTGATGTTTTTCATCTCGGAATGATTGCTCGACTTGAGCGCGGAACAAAACTTGCAAATGGGCAAAAGAAGGGCAATCATCCAAAGAAAAGCGCAGGGGGAGAAAAACATACCTCGGAAGCAATAACACACAGCGCCTTCCAATCAATCCGCGGCAGAATATTGAGAAGTAAAGCAGTGTTTAAAGGTATATCGTTACTAACAAGCGAGCATTCTTTTGGATGAAGCGGAAACGATGCGCTGGTTGATTTGCACGCTTTCACGGCGCAGGTGAGGAAATTGAGAGTTAGGAGTTTCATTTTTTTCTTTTTCTTTCGGAGGTGCGCGGTGCGCGATGGGCGAATGGGTGGGTGAGTCCGTATGCGGGAGATTTATGTGGCGATTGATATTTGGCGTTGTGTATACCCAGTATTTGAGAAGGAGTTGGTAAAATTGGTGGTGGAGATGGAAGCTTGAAGTTGTGTTGTGCGGGTGTGGTGGTGTTATTAGAGTAAGGTTAAGAGGAAATTATTTTTTTGCGTTCGCGGGGGAGATAAGATTAGATTAGATTGACGCTAAAGGGTAGTGGCTTGGCGTGGAGTTTGACCTCACTTCATGGATGTCATATTCTTACAAAACGGCGCTTACTTAAGTTGAGTTCTTTTCAATGAAGGCGGTTTTTCCTTTTAGTTGTGAGTTGATGTGGTTTCGTTCAATTGGTTTTCGATATGTTCAATATATGCATGTGATGCGTCATTGGTAGATGGCTGTAATTTGTTGTAGGGGGGGTTGTAGAACAAGGTAGTATTATGATAGATTGGGGTTTATTGGACGGATAGGAAGCTGAGATGCAAGAAAACCCTCTGAGAGCGATAGCCATTGGTGTTATGGAAGTCAAGGATATTTTCGGAATCAACAACTGACCTGGGTTGAAAAGTAGTGACGCTGCCCAGCTAGATCTCTTGACAGCTCTTTCCAAGAGATATTTGGAATGTCATCAATTCTGGGCTCTCTTAGAGATATGATGTGGGTGCAGGTGAAAGATATTATTTCAGGAACGCCCGAAATTTAGTTGAAGATATTCATGACTGTTATGTATGCCTGAGATTCCCCGTACCACGTTCCAAATGACGGAGTAGGACTTTGGTCCGAGTGGAACATGGCATTGTTAGGCTACGTCTTCTATTGTATCTTGCCATTTTAAGTAAATATTGGGTAAGCATCTGTGGGAACATCGCTGCCATTCATCTGGCTATCCCGTAGTTGTTGTATGATCCCCCCTCCCCCCTCGTTAAAATCCCTGCTGGTCAACTCGAATGAGCTCTCGTCATTTTCATTCTGCACAGCACATCGGTTAAATTCGACCTCGAAGGCAATTCGAAGATTTCACTTACGCATATATTTCCGCATTGGACTTTTGCAAGGTTGATTGTATCGATACATCGAATCATTAAGCGGGAGCAGACCAATACTGCCTAAATGGGCCTTCAATCATGCCTGACGAGATTTGGCGTCAATTTCAGGGATAATATCCACTAAAAATGGTCGATTAGTGTCCGTAGCCCGAAGCGGATTGCCAGGCATCTACAGGGGGCTTCAGCTGTAGCCGTCGAGCCCTAGAGATGCCTGCAAATCTTTCAACTTGCATACACACAGAACTAGGTATCTTTTGCAGAGTAAAGGAAGTTCAGTATCAATGTCTGAGGCATCAATATATTGATAAGTTACCTGGAATTTGGTCTTCAATCGTCCGTCGATTTCTGCTTCCGTGGCTGATACGTTCTGATACATGGAAAGACAGGGTTTTTTGTGTGAAAATAATGTTCTATTCCCATCAACTTTCTGTTTAAATTTCAGAAAAACGACTCAGTTGAATCATCTGTTTTTCGTGTTGTTATTACCATGGCCTCTTCAGGTAGCTCAGAGAATGAGGGGCTAGCTGAGCTCCTCAAAGAGACGTTGAAGGAGCTACGAAATATCTCCTCAAAGCTGGGTGAACAAAGCAAAGCAATTCAAGCTATGACTAAAACGCAATTTCAACCTCTATCACTTGCCGCTGAACAGCCGATGGACAGCAACACGACCATGAGGAGGCAGCCTATTGTAAGCGCTTCACCACCGGCAGATCAGACTGAGCGCCTTGAAGATACCCATCCTCCAGGGGAGGGCGATTTTTGGGGTGATATCGATGAAAGGTTTTTCTCGGACAAGATTCCTCGAGATTATCTGGAATTTGCAAGTACCCTGATTAACAATGAATGCCTGCTTCTTTCGCGGTTCTACGTGCAATGCTGATAATATTATCCATTCATTGTAGATTGAAAATGAGTTATACTATAATCAGGATAAATCATCGCACTTGGAAGATGAGCCGCAGGACACTACTACGTCAGAAGCTGGTTCTGTTATAGCTCCCCAGTTTTTATCAGCAGATGAAAGTAGGATCTCTGCTTCTTCCGCTGCGAAAGATGCTCCAGATATTTCAGCCGCACAACCAACCAGAAGACTAAGTGATTCTTCAAAAATAAACAATGATCCGCAGATTACAGCCGCTCAGTCATTTAAGAGACCAACTACTTCCTTAACGATGAACAGTGCCCCGGATATCTCTAAAATACGATTTTTGAGTAAATCAATTGCGTCCTCAGCAGATAACAGTGCTCCGCTACCATCTGCTGCTCAGCCGACAAGAGAGTCAAGAGTTTCCGCATCGACTGAAAGTTCGATGCAACGTCTGGGAACTCATGGAGAATCAAAGGCTTGGGATCGGTTCAAACGACTACCCTATGATCATCGACTTCACCTGAACTTTGAATCTTTCCGGGATTTTCTCTCTACGAAGGATAAACTTCAAAATTGTGACTCTTCATTAGAGGTCATAGATTGGGTCCATCAGCAATGTTTTTTTTATTACAATTTACCCCGAGTCAGCAGTAATTGTTCTTATGGTAGAACATCGCAGGTGTTAACGATTGCGCCTGATACTGATTCAGGAAGATTATGTACCTGTGATGGTACCTGTTACGACTCCTCCCATACACCCATGAGTCCCATTGCAAACGTTTATTCACGAAGGAGGAAAGCACAGCTCCAAAGACAAGCTATCGGAGCAACCAATGCACTAACGGGGAGCCAATGGGGGAGTAAACAATGGAGGAGAATAATGTTAGTCAACCACAAGCTGCACGGTGAAAGTCTCAAGGGCTAATGTAGTTCCCAGACTACTCAAGGACATTTCGCGTATATACAAGTCGATTGAAGATCTAGAACGTAAGGTAGAAGTTGAAGATCTACTGGGGTATCACTCTACAGGTGAAGGATTTACATGGGAAAGTTTGGGGGACCTTTTACCCAAGTCGGATTTTCAACAAGAATGTTCCAGAATGCATGGCGCTCTCATGGCTTGTGCAAGCGGCTCAGTAATTATTATTGTGAGGAAAGTGGCGCAACCTTTCAACTTACCTTCTACGAAATGAATGCACCAGCTCAACTTCGTCACGGTATTTGGAAAACAGGGGAATTTCGCAGAAATAACGTTCGAAACTGGGATCAGGCTATCGTCGATGTGAAGAATAGCGATCTTCTTCTAAGGCGCAGCTGTGTTACGGTTAGTTCCACATTGTAAATCCCCTCGCTTTTCATGCGAAACTAATCTGCAATTAGATTGTTGGAATTATTGGCTGGTTGCAAATTTGGTCACCCGAAAACTGGACCACAGTATTGCTAACGTCTGAAACAACGGAAATATCTATGGATATATATGAAGATGGTGAGCAAGCCGTTGATCGTGAGTTTATTGTGGCACTTTCAGGAATCATAGACCGCAGCACAAGAGCGGTTATTCATCATTGGGACGTTCTCGCAGATTACTTTGAAAAGCTACTCAGTGAGAGCGACACTTTACTAGAGCCTGAGTTACACGACCTCTTACTTGTGGATGATTCAAAATATTCTAAGTCGAAGAAATACTTCTGGGCTTTGAACATTTTAAAGGAGATTGAATCAGATATCGCTGCAGTCATCTCGCAGCTTGAAGGGTTCATGGACTTTTCGCAAAACTCACTGTTGAAGAAATACTTCCCTTTACCAGAAGGCAAAATAAGTACACAGCGAGAGAGAATTGTGAAAACTGTTTTAGGTGTGTTGAAAGAAGATCTCACCAGGCTACAAAGTCGTTTTAGTGACCAGCGAGAGCTTACCAAGGATCTCCGAGACGGCGTATGTATCCTTGTCTTCTTCATTCCCAAACACCTTCTGATTGAAACAACAAACTTGAATGGTCTAACTTAGTGTAGCTGTTCAATGCTAGTGCAGTCATGGAATCGAGAGCTTCGACGAGATTGGGAGAGAATGTGAGACTACTCACTTTCGTGAGCATATTTTTTTTGCCATTATCGTTTACCATGGTGTGTTCCAAATTTCCGAAAAATAGACCTAGTACTAACTCAAGGATGAGTCAATCTGGAGCATCAATGACAGCGCTCTAGAGCATATCGATATCATGATTGGTGTCGCAGTTGTCTTGGGCATAGCAACCTACTTCGTAGTTTTCAACGTCAACAACATCGTCTTCCTTTCAAATCAGATTATCAAAAATCTAAAAACGGGTGCCATTGAGCATATGAAGAAAAATGAGGATACTGTATGGAAACAAAGAGGTGAAGGGTTGACAGAGCCCGCTCTTGCAAATGAGCAGAATGCTACTCCTTCAAGTTGGCGTATTCCTCAGTATGTATGGTTGTTGGCTTGGAACTGGATTGCTACAATTGTGGGTTACATATGGAGTCCAAGGAGAAAGTTATTCGAGCGGATAGCCAAGGAGAAGGCGAAACAGACGGAGCAGGGTGTTTGATCTGATTTACGTTAGCCTGTGAGAGTGTCAAAGTTGTAGATCTAATTGAGATCTATTGGGATCCAAAATTTATGCATCCGATATATTAGCCAGATCAGATGAACGAATTCCAGAATTTCCAGTATCAATACATCTATCTTGTAAAACTACTTTTGTGACGTGAATTCTTGGAGATGATGCTAAGAACTCTCACGTGACCATGTACAATATCCCTAAACTATTGAGGCGGGGGTGGGATACACCTACATCTACATACAGATACTAGGTTCACCGCGATTGAAAATTGAAAGTCTGTTGTCTTTGATTCCATGCTTAGATAGAGTATAAACCCTCCATTATCTTCCGCAATTGGGAATCCAAGATGGCTCCACAAACTACCGACTGGGCAGTCGAGCTAGTCAAAGGTCGAATGACCACAACTAAAGAGGGATACGAAGAAATGGACAAGCAGATGTCACGCATGGGCTTGAAGGGTGCTTATAGTCCGGCGAATGTCTATCCTGGATCTCCTTTCACTCCGAGCTCGAAGCCCACACCAGAAGCAGTTCGTGAGAAGGCTCGATTGTCATCACAAGAGATATTATCGGATTGGAATACATTGCGGGCCACTGTTCAGTTACATGCAAATATATTGGAGAAATGTTGAATTAAAAAGTCGAGGAAAAAACAGAGAGAAATGCTTTTGGAAGCTTGGCAAAATATGTCTACTACACATCGTCTTGATTACGAGGCATATAGACAAGAGTGTACAGGACGCATACTCACGGGACTTTCGAGATTTCAGGAAGCTTAAAAATGGCCTTATATCAATCTGGAAGACCTGAGTATCAAATCACAGGTCATTTTCATTACTAGTCGAGGGCGCAACCCTCCAAGCGCATTCGCTCGCGCGGACCTTAATGCAACACACCTCGGAACTGTTGCGCATTTTATTCCTGAGCCAGCTTTCCTTTCATGCACTGTTCTTGGATTGTGACAAAGTGGAAACATATGGAAGATTGGTCTCATGGGAGGAGGATGATGCTGCTGCTGAACTGATGTTCACAGAAAGACAATTCAGCCCTGGTAGAGGTTTGAAGGCATTTTAACTTCAAGAAAAAATGTATCCTTTCCTCATCAGATGTTGTGAGCTTATTCTTCACGACTCCACCAAATCGGGTGCTTTGCTCGACGCAAATACTCCAACGGGTGTTACACCGGATTCTTTCATTGCTCCAGAGCCCACTGCATCTGCCGTCACCGAAATACTTCTATCTCTATCTCTGGCCACCATTTCAGCGAGAGCACCGTATCGTTTACCAACGAACATCGATTTTGAGCGCCTCCGTGAAATTTTTGCAGCAAGACTTTCAGCAGCAGAAGACTATATCTTTGATTTGAGGGAGGATCCTGGTTTTTTTTCTGACACCATTAACGATTGGAGCGAGCATCGGAATGATACATTGTTAGACACAAATGGCAACCCACATCCGACTGGGCCACACACTCAGGATTTCTGGAGCCGCGTGGTTAGAAAAATCATCGATGACGGATATTCTAATCACGAAACCTGGTTTATCCTTCATCGTCAAGCTGCTCTATCATGCATATTGCTGGAAGAATACAAGGATGAAACTTCATATAACAAACAACTTCCCAAGGAATGTCTCATTGCAATTCTGAAGCTTGGGGAACTGTAAGGACAAAACTCCTGCCTGATGTTCACAATTTTGAAGCTAACCATTATGAAGTCTCAAGATAAGTGCCGAAGCACCAATCAACTATCTCCAGAATATCCAGTCCTCGCCACCCATCCGACATCACTTTACATGTGCTCCGCAAGCACCTGGTATAATCAACATGCATATATTGCCAAGAGATGAGAAAAGTCCATTCTTTCACAAACCGTGGGGTCTTTTATTGATTTTGTAGGACCGGGAAAAACGAGATTTCTTTGGATTGACAAATTTCATCGACGCATTTGAACAGTTGATGTAGGATCAAGAAGAAAGCAAAAACATATCTTCATACATTGCCGACAGATTCTCAGATTTAACCATATTATCTCGAGCTCTTTATGAAATCGAGAATTATTAGCCTTGGGCTGCGACTTTCAATGATGAATTCAATGTAAGAAAATCCTTCACTTTCCCTGGCCTCCGTTGAATTCCAAACTGCAGTTCAACGATGGTAGTCTCTTTTGTATATGAGGCCAATCAGGACTTTCAGGTCATTTGACAGACTTGAATTTCTCACATGTTGAAGTAATTTCGAGAACGAAGGTATTTTCATACATTAAAAACTCACTTTTAGCTTATTTGTTGAGACCATGTATCCCAAAACTGCCCTTCGATTTTCCACAATCAAGTCACAAGCTTACCGTCAATTTGCAGAACAACCACCAGCGAGAAGTGCTCAGAATCACAATGAAAGATTTTGGTTTCAACAAGGATTATCTCGTGTATATGGACTCTGTTCTGAAAGGTATCGTACCCTACTGCATTTCGGGTGACGGCAAGTTCAAATATCCTGTCAATAAAAAGCGTACAAAACAAAATACGGAACAGATGATTTTGGCTGAGAAAAATCTCGATTGTTTCTGGCACAGCGTCGGAAGGGTGATCTAAATCACATTACACCGGAAGTTCAAAAATATGTTTTTTGAATGCGACATTTTTCGCCTATCGTATGAGCCTCGAATATTGATATAGGCTCGGTTTGATTAGATCTGAAAGAGGGCGACAGATTTAGAGGGAGGGGTATCCTTGTTTAAAACTGAAAGTCATTATCTAGAAATGAATAACACATTCGTATTGAGTTTAAGCCCTCACTCGTGTGACCTGTAACCAACAATGAGATTTGAATTCTTGAGCACTTGTGGAAATATGACAGTACTTGACGCGTCCTGTTTTGAGTTCTTAAGGGAATGGATTAGCACAAGCATATTCTCACTGCTCACGATCTAGTGAAAGATTTGGACGGATTAGGAATGGACTATTCAAAATCACCGTGCTGACATCATGAGCCTGGTGAAGGCTAGCTAGACACGCATATCGTCAAAGTAAATGGATGAATCATGATTTCTGGGACCAGCCTAAAACTTTGAGTGTCACAAGATCTAGTCGATGAAATACATTCACTTGTTCTCATCTAACTCCTAAACTATATCCACCAACAATGCCGGAACGCACTGGAATCTCGGAGATACCCAGAAAATCTAATCATTCTCAAGACTCCGCGAGTTTCTACGATAATCCTCTCATCCATACCCCTCACTTGTACTGATATCTCAGCCATGTATCCCTCCTCGCTCGAAACTCATTGACGGCATGTCTTGTGACACCAGGACTACTTTCATAAGTTTCCCAAGTCAAGGTCTCAGAATCGGCCCACTTGACCAAGAACTTGCTATCCAACTTAGTCTCCTTGTTTTGCTGATCTTCGAATAGAATGTTGTATTCCTTCTTTGGCTTTTCATTTCTTCGGCCCTTGATGTTGCGTTGCCAGTAGTCCTTCACAGCTCTGGCATCAACAATTTGTATATTAACCCAGCTAGGTTCTATTCCGGGGCCCCAATGAATAAGACACTGTGGGCCAGTTTCTTGTTCCTCAATAATGTAAATGGTCGAAAATGAAAATTCGTTATTTTTGGAGAACGAAACCATGAACAGAGGTGTGCCGTCTGCTTTTATATCTTTGCGCATGAGTCCCTTGTGACTACGCAGAGTCGATGGAGGTTTTGCTTTGCCCTTGTTGGCAGCTGCATTTTGATTTCTGCTCGAACTTGCATCAGCGTTTTGATGTTTTTGGCTAGGCGCACGTTTCTGAACCGCACGATCTTCCTCTTCTTCTAATCACAAAGTCAGTATTTGTGGATTCCCAAGAGCTAAAGAAAAATGACAGAACTTACCATCATCGTCGAGGATATCATCTCTTGTCGACATTTTAGTGACAGCCTCTTTTGGTACACTTGGCCAAATCAACCACTCCGAGCCCACTCTTTTCTGTCTAGCGAACTTCTCATCGTCTTCTTCATTATTGTCTCCGTCCCACAAATTCAGAGCGCGTAGCCAATCTGACGCTTTGAAAATAGCACACTTTCTCATTTCCTCGCATCGGCCGTTGAGATTGTACATCACTAACTCACCCTCGCTTGTAATGACTTCATTCTTCGCAGCCTCGATGTCATCCGTCGCAGTGACATAAATACTAGGAGGATTTCTTCGAGGTCCGTTCGCGGCACCATAGTGAAGAGGGAGGAAACTGCTCGCAGTCTTGCAGCTGAGACTCAGGATATCGTAAGGGCGAAGACCTATCTCCCAAGGAGTAAGGGATTCCTGCAATTTAGAAGACTTTCCTCCTGGGACCTGGTCATTGGAGGGATCGTGGACGATGTAGAGAGATTCGGGAACTTTGTTCGGAGGATGGCGGAGGTCGTTCATGATTGTTTGATTCCTCGAATAGTTCAAACTTGTGGTTGTATTAATTCGCAGATGAACGGAGAGAGCTTTTGATGATTGCTGGAAGGTAGGAAAATACCGGTTTATGTAGAGTTGGAGCTGTGCAGAGAACAATGGGAGAATATTCTGGCAACTATAGCATTGTCTAGAAGAGCTCAGGTCTTCGATGATCGAGAAAGAATGTATATAGCGAGAAACCTCGGTACGTGTCTCAAGTCAAGCAAATACTGAATGAAACTCGAATGTTCAGGGGGAAACGCCCATTCATGAAGTGTAGAATCAGAGAGTAAGTAATGAAGTGAATATTCGGAGTTGTACGATAATGAAAAGATATTAATGGCGAGTTGGAGGATCATAATTATAGGAAATCAAATTAAAAAGATTTAATGCTCAGCTTCAGTACTCTCGCGGCTTCTTTGGTCAGAAAATTTAGACAATGATATTTTGATGGTGCAAAGAAGAAATTAGATTTATCTAGTAGCTAGCTGGTTATTGTGAGAATGAAATAAGTAACCGCGGTGATTTCATAGACAAAAGTCTTCGTTTTTACATTCAAATGTATTAACCATAGCATAAATTAGTGCCATAATCTTTCTACAATCTTATGGTGATTATTGATGCAGTGTTCTATTCAAGGCTCCGTTTTCTCCTTCAATACATGCATGATTATTTTCGCAACGTTTTCATAACCTCAATTTATACCAATACAAGCTTTAGTTTCTAAACTTCTCTACGTAATGTGAAGGGTGCCACGTTACACAATTTAAACTTGACCTCACCATGATCATATCCTGCCGTGACATCTATCAACTTTCATCCTTTGAAAATTGTTTGTCTCATCCGTCTCCTGCTCCACGATAATTTCAGACTATGATGGTATGTGCATAGAATTTTATTTAGAGTGTACCAACGCAGTGAAGCTGGAAAAAGTTGACGAAGAGAAAGCGGTCAATCTGACGACCACCAAAAGAAGAGCATTCAACCTGAATCTAAAATCTACACAGGTCAATTAGTTGCAAATTAGATTTCTATGTGGATATCAGAGGCAATAAAACTTGTATATTTCACAATCATCTACTCAAAAAGACATTGGGTCTCCTCGAACGGTGCTTGCACAGAAGTGTTAGAAATCCGGGTGGGCTGTCGCTAAGCAATTCGGTAAACCTCAACAGTTGAAAAAGGGAGCCAATCAGAAAAATTAGAACTTCTACCATGGCAGACCATAGAAACCAAAGTGGTTAAATCTAGTGCACAGTCCCCCAGATTAATTCAAAGGTACTCTTTACCTTCTTCAATCCCTCAATTAACTCATTGCACTTAAGCTTCTTACATCGATTTCTTCAACCTTTTGCCGTGTGCTTTATCTATCGAACAACTTGCTTTCATTGAGAGCATCAAAGACAAGATGAATGACCTCGAAGAAGCCGAATTTATGCTCTTCCTAACCAAGGAGAACAGAACCATGGCCTGGCCCTCTCTTGAAGGTTGGTTAACCTTTCTTTGGTCCCTCAAATACTGCGTCGTCTTCTTCCGCAATGTGTTTGATCTTTGAGATTGTTTGTTGAGACTTACTGAATCGTAATCATAGCAAAAGAAGAATTCGATTACAAGAATAAATTGTTTGCTGAGGCGCATAGGCTGCAGAACCGCATACGAATCGAGCCTGAGCAGCTGGCAAGGCAACGCCTCAGAATGGCAAAAATAAGGGCAAGGAGGCAAAGAAGACAAAATTCCAAGAAGGAATAAATAGTCGCACACAAGGTAAGAGTTTAATTTATTCAGTTTCTTTAAGAATCAAAGCTATCTAACCTCGATAAAGATAGAAGTACCTACCCACGATCATCTCCTTTCCCAACCTAATACGACTTCTTAATACCCTTTGACCTCACTCTCCTCCGCCTATCAGCATTGCTCTTCCCAAAAACAATTACATCCTCGATAAAAAGCATAGCCAACGATCTTCCTACGAACTTAATAATCAAACGCTGTCGCAATAATGATTTGCGAATGTCTGAGCGGGGAGTGATGGAAAGGCGAGGAATGAGGAGATTGAGAATCAACTTAAGAGGGAAGATATGTTACAAAGGAGCTAAATTAAGCTGGTGGAATACCTCATACAGTGTGCACAATAATTCTTCATTTCATGGGTCTTGTTTCCTCCGGCGGCTTTATTGTATTTTCTTTGGTCATCGCTCTTTAGCATTGGAGTTTCGGGAGTGTCTCTGCCGGAAGAGCTGCTTTTAATGTAGATGGGGGACTTCAATTACACTGCTTTAACAATCATCGATCCTGCAATATGTGTACGCAACAACCGTGAGACGATACTACCGCAACACCAACTTTCTACCACCTCGCTCCTGTAGCTTCAGATATGTGTGATGCGTCACAATAATCTGCTACCATTCTCTCATTCTTAAACTAAAGCACCATAGGCTAATCGTTTATATTTCCAAAGCAGACTTATCGCAGATAGCTGAACTACAAGAACAAAGCCGCCGATCCATACAAAATCGACGTCAAATTTTCAACACTCAACTTCGAAGGTCTCCATGCCTCTTAGACAAGAAATGCTCGCCAGCCCACGCAGTCCTTGACAAATCAGTCTTCACTCGAATCCTTGCAATATTAGCCATCAACTTCGGTTCCTGAAGCCTTATGTACTGCCAAAGACGCAGATCTTGAGTTGGATGGACACAGCATATAAAGTTTGATCCAGCATCTTCGCCGATAGAGACACCGGAATCAACACTGAAAGACAATAAAAGATTGTAATTGCGCGAGCACACGCAATAGGTTACCATTCTTGGAGTATGCTCTTGATCTGACTGGTAATAGTATGAACGATTCATATCCATAGCGTCTCAGCACTGCTCAATCTAGTCTGTCGAGCTCAACAAGCTCGCTAGATCACTGTAGAAGGCTACTGTAGAAAGATCCTGAGTTCTGTCACCGTCTTAGAAACACTTGAGTTAAAGAGAAACTTCCTAATGCCTTCTTTGGCGCAAGTCTAACGCCGGAGATATGGGAGACTCAAGAATTTTTACACCCAGAACAAGACAATTAACAAGCGGCAGTGACCGAATCAGTGTTCCTTTTACTTCTTACCGATGCGAGAACCGCATTCTCCTCCTCCTTTACGTCAACGTATTGCACTACTACGAAACCAACTTAAGCTTGGCACCAAAAGCCAAGAGAACTAGCGGCAGATGGGAAGTGAGGGAAAGCGCAAGGGATAGCCTATCTTGCGGAGCCTTCCAGAATGTTCTTGGAAAGGCTGGATAAACTGATACAAAGCTCAAAGGAAGGTTAAGAAACAAGGTACATGTTTTCTAACAGTTGGCTATTTTCTATAACTTATTATAAATTAATATATATTTCTGTTTTCTTAAGTTATATAGATAGTCTTGTATGAATTTCTAATTCTTTATTATTAGTATTATATATTATATCTTATAATAAAACTGTTTCGTATTATTTTGTTAAATCTCTTTTATATAATAAACGGTAAAAACCCCGAATATTATCATTTCATATATTGATATCTCAATTAGTATATGACAGGACTAAATATTATCATTTCGTTATACTATTGTTAAATTTATAGGCTGGCAAATTTCCAATCTAGTATACAATCTTTTAGGAATTAATAAAATAGAAAGAAAAGAGATATAATTATTAATTAAAATTCAAGAAATTCTACAAACTAATTTTTTTTGATTATCTTGAAAACTATAATTAAAATTCAATTTGTTAGTATTTCAATAATAAGAGGGTTAACGCTAAAACTTGATTATTGTAACAAAATCAGTTGGAAAGCTACTAAATTGAATTTTAATTTCAATTTTCGAGATAATTCAAGATAAATTATTTTGCTGAATTTCTTAAGCTTCAATAAATAATTATATATTTTTTTCTTTTATTTAAAAAATTCCTGAAAGGTTTTGTATTAGATTAAAAGATTAATAAGTATTACAAAATACTAGTTGAGGTTACTTTAGTTATAAATCTGACATTCGAGGTATTAATACATGAAATGATAGTATTCGGGGTTTTTACTGTATAATTGTCAGAAGTAGACAGCAAGTTACGCATAAGGAGTGATATATTGAAATATATATGTATGGTCTATATATCCGGAAAGTTCGAAAAAGGAGTTTTATAGTGATATATATATAATACATATATACTATACATATGATTTCTAATATTCCTCTTATAATAGGAATTTACTATCTAAATTATATAAACTCTATATATATATATATTTGTAAAAAGCCTTATTAATTTTTATGATAATATTAACACTTTAGTGTTATTTGTAGTATTTATATTTCCAATAAAGTTCGATAACCCTATAATTTAATATTATATTATAGTATATAGTACTAGGGCACAGCTGTTCGTCGGCCAGATTTTACCCGGGAATTCATCAACACTACTCCCTTATTCAATCCTAATTATTAAATCAATTCTTCGATATTTTATTATTAAATTTTCAGAATCTCTTGATATATATATATTTAATAATATTATTAATTTATATAATAATTCTATAATTTAAGCTTTCAATATTTAGTATACTAGCCATTTGCTATAATATAAGCTTTTATTCTACTCTTTATATTAACTTCCAAATTTATAAATAATTAATTATCTAATATATCCTAAACTATTTATAATATACTCTTTAACCTTTATCTAGTATATTCTAATTTACTTTTATTTATTACAATATCCAGAAACATCTCAAAAACATATACTTTTAGATATTATTAAATATGCTTAATAGAATTGAAATCAGAACTATAAGGAGACCAAAAATCAATTAAAGAAATACCCCTAGCTTTGAACCAATCTAATACCTTAATTACTTAATATATAAGAGCATTATTCTATATGAATTAATACCCCTTATTTGATCCCTTTCAAATAAAAGCTATTTCTCTATTAAGAACCTCGAAATAAGAATTGACACTATATCCAAACTTCTTATTTTCGAAATCCCTATTCATAATATATAATTTGCTTTTCCTAATATCATAAAAGCCTCCTTATATTATAATCTTTATATTCTTATATACACTATAGATTTGAATTATTTCCCATTCCCATTTCTATTTTAAAGCACAAAAAACCCATTCCTACTTTTTTTCTCTTCCCTACTCTATAGAACACTCATCCAATCAGAATATTAAACCCTATTCCTCCACTATCCACCCCCAATGAGCTAAACACCAAACTAATCTTTTAATAGCATATTCTTCTATAAATTCAGATTTCTTTCTAGCTTTCCAATTAATTATACCATATTTCTTGAAAATCCTCTTAACAATATCCCTTTTATATTCAAGCCCATAGACTATTAATATCTCCTAATAAATCGATTTAGACTATAATCTTGTATATTATAATAGTATTCATTTATTTTCATCTATATATAATTTATTTTTAATAGCTTTAAATAAAGTAATTCCCTTATTGCATATTATATCCATTTTAATAATATAAAAAATAATAATTAAGAAAATCCCAAGCTCCCTTACAATAATAATAAGCTATATACCCACCTCTATCTTTCCTACTATTTTTCTATATATATATAAATTAAAATGAATATAAGATATATTATTATAATCGATTTGATTTAAGGGAGTATATTATGGTGATATAATTAAATAAATCAATTAATTATAATGGGAAAGAATAAACTGAATTAACGCGTTTTTCGTGTTTCGGTAAATAGCTGTACACAGTTACTATAAGAGTATTCTTTTATTTAAATCCTATTCTCTCTGTTTATATCAAATAAAATTCAATTTATTAAAAAATATAGTAATATAAATTCGATTTACTTTTATAAAATCCTCTTTGTATATACACTAATGAATTACTTCAGATTTGTTATTTTTGGATTATAGGGTTACTTTTTTAGTATGGTAAACAATCCAAATCCAATTTTATATAAACAGACTTCCAGTTTATCTATTATCTCACATAATTTATTTGAAATGGTCAATTTGATTAATTTAATTAATTTGGTTAATTTATAATAAATTAACTAATTCAATTAATTCGAATAGTTTTTGATAAATTTGATAGATCTAATAAACAAAATGAATCTAATGAATCTAATGAAATTATTGAAATAAATGAAATTTATTGATTTGGTTAATTTAGTTAATTTGGTTAATTTAAATTAATCAAATTAATCAAATCGATCAAAATAATTAATTTGATTGAGTGTAATACTAGTATTTATTAATTCTTTTTGATATATATATATTTAGTATTCTAGATTTAATTTTAAATCTTTTTTATAAGTTATAAAGCTGAAGTATATAAATTGTTTTGTAAGGATATTAATAATCTATTTAGTTTCTAGAATCTATATGATATATAGTTTTTTAATATTAATTATATCTTTTCGAATGTAATGTTATTAAATATTAATATATTTTGTTTTGTTATAAAACTTATTCTTTTATATTCAATTAACTTTATTAATATTATTATAATATAAAATTGGGATAAAGAACTCTTCCTTAGAATATTCTTCTAAATCTTTTATTAACTTTTCTATTTAAACTAATTCTTTTGTATTCTTGTTTATTATTATAATCTCAGTTTCTATTATATAGAGAGATATCGATTTTTGTTTTATTGAAGATTATATTATAGTATTACTATATTTAATAAAAACTATTCCTTAAACAAATTTCCTATTAGCTGTAGATCCCTATATCGAA